GCACATCATATTCCCGCTGAATAGCTAAGTAAAGTACATGGCTCCTTTCATCTTAGCGTTGACTTCGATGGCTTTTGCAGACTTCTCCAGGTCGATACTGAAACAAGAAGATTCTACTTTTAATAAAACTTTACAAGTAAACTGGCTCGGAAGAGGAATCATGTTTAGTAAGGACTAGCGGTGCTAAAAAGTTAAAACGTTTTTTAAGCAACTGACAGTCCAAAGTAAGACAAAGAGAAAAAGTAACAACTCGAACACAAATTCCAATAAAAATACAAGGGTCATCAAGTCTGTGAACACTAACCTTCCATTTCCGGTCACGTGGTGTCTGGCTCTGAAAGCCACCAAATGGGCATAATAGGCGGGGGCTGGCATAGAAACACTGCGTGTGCACCGTGCGTACACGTGACATAGCTGGTATGTGAGTTGCTGAAGGCCGTCTGCTGTGAATGAGTTATCGTCATACAACACGTGATAGTGTGTAGGTCGGCTTGTTCCCTATAAGCCGGGGTAAAATCAGAGTAAACTTTATTGAGGAAAAAAAAAAAGAAATAAATGACTGTTTTAACAAAGGGAACTACGTCTCACGCATGCCTTAAAACGTCCTCAAACAAAATAAATAATCTAAAATCGATACGAGCTCAACCTGATCACAAAATTGGTGTTTCACTAACTTCAAAATAAAAACCAAGTAATAGCTTGAATCAACTAAATTATGATTTTGTCTGACTTAGGTTACTGGGTAGGTTGTTCCAGAAAGTTTACACAGCTGTCCTAAAGCCATGTTTTAAAATTTTTAGTTCGTGGAAGAGAAATAATTATATGTAAACGATTTTCCCTCTCTTTTTCGATAAGGTCACAGGAGGAATAATAATGCCATCCATATGGATAAAGATTTTTCCGTTAAAGACTTTGGAACGAGATTATTCGGAAACCTGAATGCCTTCGAGACTTTTTGAATTTGACAACCCGTATGCAAATCATCCTATACTAGTCCACCACTTAAGCAAACCTCTCGTAATTCATGTCAGAGTTGTACTTATATTTATGAAATGTGTGGAGAGGATGGTGCTCTTTCACACGTTCAAAGATGAATAGAAGACTAGACACAAAGAGACAAAAAAATGCCGTAGTTTTTTTCCCAGTTGGTGGGATAGCACAGCTACATTGCAACCAAGAAAAGGTAAGGGTTTGATTGACAAAGAATAATCAAGTTCCCAATCACGAAAAAAAACTCGACATGTCATGTTAAAGCTGATGTACCTGGATTCCATAATGACTGCACAAATAAAAGTCGAATTCATACGGATGTGTGATACCGCTGTCCACTGTTGTACCAGGAGGAACATTCCTTGCTTTGCCAACTTCATCTCGTTGGTTTTCACAGAACAATCTCGTATGATGGCGCTTCTGAACCACAACAAAAGTGATTCTCGGGCGATAATCTTTTTCAAGCATAATACAGGCCTGTTGTACAGCCCGCACCTCATGAACAAGAACTTGGTCAAACTGACCCTCGCTGACTCCGTCCCGGTAGAAGATGATTTTGCTAGGCTTAAGCTTCCGATTGGCTTTGTAAAACTCAATTAAAAGCTCTTTCACCATAACCGCCAAGTCATTTATTATCTCTTGCGCACCTTTACCACTCTTGTGGTTCTGTGCTCGCACTCGTGCACAGTACTTAGTGGCATTAGCGTCCATGCTCGCTACAACAGCAGCAATGGAAGGAATTCCATTTTCAGTCGGGGAGGGGTGGGTGACGTCGGCGCCAAAGATAATAACAGGTTCTCTGAAAACAGGCGACTTTACACCTGGATCTATAACATGATTAATTCCACCAAGTTTGGAGTTAATCTTCAACGCAATGTTGGCGCAAACCTGGGGATTGGTACGGTTTACGTGTTTTGACTGAACACACTGCGTTGGAATTCCAATGACATTGTCTCCGACACGTTTTATCTCCGGATAGATTTGTTTGTCTCTCTCGGGCAGAATAGCCATGATCAGTTGTAGGCCTGGAATGTCCACAACCCATTTAGAAAACAAACTCTCTACCTGAAAGTATTAAAAATGAAATAAAATCATGGAAGCCTACATGAATTCAAACTCTACTTGTTTTGTAATAAAAGAATTCTAATCTGTCCATAAGTGTAACACAATTTGCTGTTATCATTCTACGAGATGGATCTAACACAGGAACACTAATTGCTACCTTACGCGTGATCTGAGTTTCTGTACAAAAGTACACCTTATTTGAAAGTTCACCATGTAATACAAACGGACATTTTGCTCATTGCTCGTCGAATGAGGCATATGCTCTTCCACCGCTGTTTCATTTTCAAGTTTCCAAAATAATCCCTAAGGCATTACTTGAGGGTCGTATCGATCGCTTAAGGAGCGCGTGAAATACAAAAAAAAAACACAAATAAAGCAATCTACAAGTGTCCTACGTGACGAAGAGAGAAACAATTCTCTTTTACCTGAGAATTCCTTGCTTGCAAAGTAGAGCCTTAAGGGCGTAAATAATCAAAGCTTGGATCGTTAGTAGCGCCACTCAATTCCTTTGACACCCAATCACTACCCGATGAATAAGTAAACAGCACTGTCCACTCATTCTTCACTGTTCATAGTTTTAGCAAAGAGTACCCTTCTGAACTCTGCTCAGTGGATTTTTCAATGACACTCATTTCGTTTTCGCGTAACACCTGTCAAATGTGAAGATATCTCACCTCTCTGGCACCCCTGCCGTATCTCACAACAACTGGCTCCTCTGACATCCTCAAACCCTGTCGACTGGATACATTGCCCATTTGCTTAGAAAAATTTCTCAGCTGGTCTTCCCGACATCTCCCGCAAAAACAAGCCAATGCCCACTTATCGATGCGGGCTCCATCATGCAACGATTTGTTGCGCATATCCCATGAACCATCACGAGGAACCAATGGCTGATCCTGCGGCCCAAGGTTGATTCTGGGTGGTGGAAGCACACGTCCTTCCACCTTAACCATCTCTGTGCTGACTGAGGTTTGGAACTCATCTCTTAAGTATTTACTACTTGCTCGAGTCATTTCTTGGACCTAATAAGATTTAAATCGCATAAGAGAAACATTAGCATTTTTAACACAAGAAGAGTTCAAACATTTTTTTTCAGGAGGTCGATGCTTTTGCAAAAAACTCCGTTGAGGATATTTTGTGTAGTCACCATTGGACTACGTGGCTCAGGCATTTCTTTGAATTTGTATTCATTTTTGCGCACCTTGCTGAAAAAAGAACAAAAAAATCGCGGAATCTAAATAGTAATATCGACCTCTTTTGATAAGAACAACAGAGGATCTACAGTTGTAACGTATCTCAATCAAAAAAAAAAATTACTTAAGATGTTAAACAGCTCTAGTTCGTTTCCTGTTCGACTTGCACCAATCAGGAGTCGTTGTCTTATTAAGTTCAAAGGGGGTAAATTTCTAAAGAAACTGTGGTGTTGCGCCAGGGGGGGAGGGGAAGGGGTAGAACACGATAACTTAGCATCAGTCAAATAAGTTGATAATGTAAATTGGCCAATGTGAAGAGTTTCTAAAACTGACGTTTAGAGCGTCAGCCCTTCGTCTGAGCCAAAGAACTTCGTTGTTGTAGCGACTGTCGTTATATTCGTTTTGCTCCATAACAGACGCAAATTTTTTTTAGCTACATGCAAAATGAAATCTACCTCGAAAAGGCTTTGCTTCGCAAACTACAAATTTTGTTAATAACAAAGTATACCATGGCACAATGAATACCCAAAATGAAAAAGATACATGCAAGTCAATTCAAACACAAAAAAAGACTTCAAGTGGGAAATTAACCTACCCAGTGTTGAATATCACGCTGTCGCTCAGGCGCAGGGCGTGCAGTGCTTTTGATCATGTCTGTAGTCTGTTGTTCAGACAAATGCTTTCTTTGACAAGGAATAATGGTACACACCTCCATGGGCAGATACCTGTCCTTTTTCTGTCCAACTTGTAAGCATGGTAGGTGAGGGTACCTACAGATAACAAAGCTTAATATTAAGACACCTTAAAGCAAATGTAAAATTGTGCAAGCTCTCATTTTTTGCAGCAGTACTTCTGAGAAGGAAACAAACTCTTGTGAAATTCGTGAGAAGCCCACAATATGCGCATAATAAACAGCCCACAGGTTATACTAATCATACAGTTCACACCTCAAAATTAGCCCGTATCTATCCTTGAAATAATCTGCAACAGTTGTTTTGGATGTGTGACCTATTGCCTCATCTGTTACATCAAACTGCATTCTGTCCGCTGAATTTCCTGACACGCCCCAAACTGTGTACTTCCTCTTTATAGAGCTAGCATGAGTAGTTTGTATACGAATTCCTGTAACACACCCAAAAAAAATCACATATTATTACCTTAATCAAAAAATATCACACAGAGTCAGAAAAATCTTAAGACTCTATTAAGTTATTTAAATTTTCATTATTATATGAAAGCTGTTCAAAAGAAAATAAAAAATATGTATGTCCTCGTGACAATATTACCACTATTAAGCTTCTTTAAAAAAGTATTAATTCTCTCAAAATGGATATTGTGTTAAAGTTTAATAAACACAAGTCTACAAAATTCAAGGCCATTTAAAATATAACTCTGCTGTACCCTATTTTATTATCACTTTTAGGTAAGATATTATGGAACTCAGAGGCCAATTTTTTTCTATGTAAACACTAAGAATAAAGTTCAGTCATTTAAACTACAAATCAAAGGAGTGCCCATAATTCATACTTGATAAAACATTGGAAATACTATGATATTGCTTAAAAAAATGTTTACAGAATCAAGTGAGCTTCCACCATCATCCAAGTATGCAGTTGATAAGAGTGAAGTTTACAAATATATATGAACAAGTGTTCATATTATTTTATATTTATAATTTAAGTTTAGTTTGCAAAAAAAAGGTATCAAAGTTAATTATAAACTCATGTAATGCAATATGAAACAATGCAATATTACAAAATAATAAAAAATACATTAATTGTAATATAACATACTATAATTATAATCATCATAAGTATTTTACAATACCTTACTGGTATGCTGATTTGCTGGCTTGGAATTTGGAAGAGATTAGCAAGTACATATAACATACAAGATACTTCTCCATGTAGCCAAAGAGACAGAATTATCAAGAGTTTACTTTCTGGCCACTTTTTGGCAAGTTAGAGAAAATACATAAGGATACTCCATTTTGGCTTCTCTGTGTACTAACTTGAAAATAATTATTAATAATTACCTCAGTTTCTGAATGAAATTGGTGGATATTTACATTCCCGCTTTGCAGCTTGGTATAACCCCACCACAATTCACAAACCACCACAATGAACAGACCACCCTAATGAACATACCTGTACACAGATATTTATAATAATAATGGTTAGAGAACAGAAAACAAAGCAACTCACCGCGTATGGCTTTCTCAAGCTTCCGTCTGTCAGGTTCAAATTGGCGGTCTTCAAGATTATGGGGTTGCACTTTAAGCGTTTCACACAGGAAATCAGGAACAACAGCTTGATCTTTGTAAAATCCTTTTGCAGAGACTGAAAGTACAGAAACTCACTGAGAATATTATGTAAACATTGGACAGTTCTTTGAAATATATAGAGAACAGTATGGAGAAGATACATACTGATGTTAGGGACTGTAAAGGGTTAACGGGTTCAAGATCAACACTGGGAAGCTCAATTTCAAAAGGAAACAGTATTTCATTTCCAGAATTACAGTATGCTCTTGAAAATAAATTTCTTAAGACTTGGATATTACCAAGCAGACATTACATTTCAAGTATTTCTCAAATTTTTTTTGAAGCAATGGTAAGAACATGTAATTTATATAAAATTTTACCAATAACAACAACTCACCATCAATGTTTACCAGCATGGCCTTCCACTCAGAATGCCGAATAGTTGAATAAAAACCAAATTTCAGCTCACATCCCTCTCCCAGGGGTCTTCCTTGACCATCAAATGGAAAGAATGATCTTCCAACAGGGGTGTAATACATTGATGGCATCTGTCGCACCACAATGTCCAATGCCTGTACTGCATCCTGAGGTATTTTGCCATATTGTTTTCCACTCAAAAAGTTGTTAAGTTCCAAAAGACTTACCGCAGCAGCAAACTGAATTTTAACCTGGTGGGTTAAACAAGAATAAGTGTTAAAATATTTTGAAATTATTATCTATTTGGTATGTCTACAAGCTGCCTAAAATTTCAAATTATGCATATTCAGTAGTAATTCTTTCAGCACAAATGTGACAATTCTAAAGATCTGCAGATAGCATTCCATCTTGAGCAACAGATAAAAATTGCAGACTATGTCAAGTTTATTTTTAAACTGATTGTTTATCATCCATTCAATGCAAAAGAGTAATTGCATTCAAAAAATGACTATCACCAAGGCATTATTATCAGTGTATTGTTGTGTACACTATGTCTTGTATGTGACATATATCAAAGCAAATGCTAACCTTGAAATCCTTGTCTCTTCCTCCATCTTCACCTGGTAGTTTAACATTAAGTTCAGCCTGTAAGTTACACAAAAAAAGGAAAAGAACTCCTTAACTCCAACAGGAGATTTGTGGATTAGAGTATTGAAAGAATTCCAGGGTTGGCTGAAAGATATTTCATGACAAAGTGTAAAACATAAACACTCATATTTTCTCATTTTTTTCTTTTAACCAAGGCCATCCTTGTTTGAAGTTAGATTTAATTGTTAACAATTAAAAATTGCTCAATTAACAATTAAGTGTTGCTCACAAAGTGATGTCTTCATACTTCTTTTATGCAATGTTTACACATGTGTTGCAGTTCAAATTATTTTTTTTCCAAGATAATCTAGTTTTATCAACTGAGTTGATAATATAAATTGGCCTGTGTAATGAGTTTTTAAAGCTAAACTTTTTAGCATTGGCCTTTAATCGCCTCGTACATCAATGAGGGGTAACTATATCACATTACAAAATGCTGTTGATAGGAAACTCACAGGAACAGGTAGCTTTATCCTGCTGTACAAATTCTTTTCTCCATCAAAAGCAGGATGATGGCCTTTAAATGTTGTCTGTTTGTACTTATTAATGATTTCATTAACAACATCTCTCTTAACACTTTTAGGACATCTTTGTGGAGTTATTTCAACATCGTAGTGGTACAGGTCTGAAAGCTGTGGTGAGATATTGAGGCGGAAGAAGTTTGCCCTTAATGCTATAGGGCGACCCTTTGTGCCATAGCCTGGTCTGAGAGGAGGACGCATTCCACTGTTTGCTTGAGTCTGACGAGGAGTGTGTTCTGAGAGAGAATTAACCCAATCAATACATCACAGTCAGCATTTGAGTACAAATAAATTTCATACTCATTTTTGTTTTTTTTGATACTTGGACTAGAAATAAAAATCCTAATTCAAAGAAATATTTAGAACAATATTCAACTGTTATGGTAGCTTCTGGGGAGCCATTTTGTGTGATTTTGAAAATAAGAGTGCTGTCTTCTTTCTGCCACTTTCCAGGCCCCCAACACAGTAGATGAAGTCTTATCATCAGAATCTTTAAAAATATTTTAACATAGATAAGTTCCTCTACACTGCTTGTTACTGAAAATTGTATATAATAAAAGAGTATTGAAACATTGTTAAAAATAATTTGTGGCACTGAAGACACCCCCTCCTTTTTGCATTTATTTCCATGCTTAATTTGTGTTGTCAGTACTCTTTTTATTTTCTCATTAATGTTTTTTATTCTTTCCTTTTTCTCAACATTGTAATGTTATGTAAACTAAGTTCTTGCGATGCATTGTAGTGTTACTATTGTACCACAATAAAAAATAATGAAAAAAAGAGTTAAAGGCTTTTACTGTACCTCCACTTCCCAGAGAAGAACCTAGCTTTTTAGTTACATCTTCAACTTCTCTGTCCACTGCCGCTGTACTGCTTGTAACAGCAGCCGAAGATGGGGTGGTACCACCAACAGTTTTTGTTGACGAAGCATCAGCTGCTGCTGCACCCGGAGGCAAAGTGGAAGCTTTGAATAAATAGAAAATAAATTCAATCTACTGGTTGAGATTAACTTAGTTCCTTACATGAAATTGAGTTCAGATCATAAGACAGCAAAAGAACATTCATAACACAGTATTTCTAAAAGTTCACCTGAAACCATTCATAGACAATTTTTTCTTTCTTTCATCCTATTTTTTCGCTTTTTTTTAACTGCCCTCCCTCTAATACAAGAGGGTCTGTGGTCGATCAGAGTATATCTGATCTCAATAAAAGTTTAATATTTTAGTTTTTTTTCCCTCGGGAAATGTTATTTTTTTTCTTTAGATCCCAATGCTATTAATGCCTCGAATTTTTGGCAAAAAAGCTTCTCACAGAAAAGAAAGGGCTGTCGTTCTAAATACATGTTGTTATTAAATGCACACAACATTCCTTCTCAGAAAATCAGCAAACTTCAGTTTGACTAAAAGTACCTTTGCCTTTATCGTCAGGAGGACTTGATTGTGTACCGCGTTGTTTTCCTTTGGTCTTTTTAGACTTTGATGGTGTTTCACCCGAAGAACTTCCCCTTTGACTGTGTTCCTCAACTGTTGTCGTCTCTCCGCTGGCAGAGGGGAAGATTTCCTCCTGTCCTAGTTTATCAACAACGGTACCATTTGTCGAATTACCGCACGCACCAGCGGCAGGTTTCTCATCAAAATCAGCTGTTAAATCCGTACGATTTATACAACCTGGCTCCTCCTCAGTTGTTTTCCTATCCTCATCAGGAGCCTTCCCAACATGTTCAGTCCTGCCAGGGTTAGATGGTAAATCTTGTCCTCTTCCTCGTCCTCTTCCACGTCCCTTACCTTTGCGTTTATTTTTTCCTTTCCCTTGTCCTGGGGAAGACATTTTGAATTACTCGCTCCGTAATAGATAGCACTAGATAAGAAACTTCGACATAGAACGTATTCAAGACAACTTCCTTTCACTTTAAGGCCTTCCAACGTAAATAAAGAATTTATGCTTACGTTGCGTTTCTTCCTCGGGAATAACCATGACGTATACTCCACAAGAAGGCCAATCAGACGACGTCCATCACTTCTCAGAAAGCAACACTGTGATGATTCCAGGAAAACGTCGTTTCTAAGAAAAAAATTTTACACTTTCGCGATTAAAAAGCTTCTTTTTTTATTTAAAAGTGCTCAAGGTAGATTCCCTTCAGCAAACCCTTAAAAATGTGTTATTTCTCGCACGAAAGCGAACATAATCGGCTGTCCGCCATTTTGGTTGACAGAAAGTACAAATCATATTCCAGCCAGTCACCCCTCCCCTAATATTGATTTCTTTATCTAGTGTGTCAAAGTCCACAGGAGTACCAAGTTTCTCATCACTGCTCAGGGAAGATGTTACAAGTGGCTCCAAGCTTTTGATTTTTACGGGGCGCAAAGTTCTTTTGTTAATTACTTTAAAAATGATTCAAGCTGGTCAATATGACAAATACGTACACGGAGAGGAGACCGCAGTTCCTTTGTTATTTTGTTTTTTCTGGGATCGAAACTAATACCCCATTCACACCAGTAGGCATGTTGAGTTTAAATCGGGTTTAATGGAATGAAAATGAATCAAGGAACTGAAAAACTGAATTTTTCGAAAGTGTAGACATCAAGCCACCGCCTAACCCCGGTCCGCGCGGCTATCCACCAGAGTTTGACCTTCACGCCGATCATGCAAATAGAAAGGTGAGCTCGAGTTAACAAGCTATCTCGAGTACGTTCTTGTGCCATCCACATTCCCGAATCGTTGGGTAAATGACCCTTTCATCGAGTGTCTCGTATTTCCTATTGCATTGTTCTTGATGCTCGGAGAAATACAAGCAGGCCACAAGAAATGACGAGCAGTAATCATACAATTACATTCGACCTAATTTTAATCAAAGACAGCTCGAACACGCTAAATACTTCATTTATATACAAACGAAATATCCTTATTTTTCATTTAGTTTACACGAAATATCGTTACACCTTCCCTTGTTATTCCCATGTCATTTCCAATGTTGTAACTTGTCGTTCTGTTCTTTATGTTTTATGCAGGATTGCTTGTAACACTTTATTTAGAAACCACTGGCAATGGCGTGTAAGTAGAAGAGTTTGATGGAGTCGACAAGAATTAAAAGAGTAAAAAAAATGTTTATTATCACCATGTCTATTATTGACATTTTAATCACATTTTCCACAACTACATAGGCTTAGCCACAAGTTGGTCGAGATTTGCAAATTTTTGGTAAGTTTTGAGATTTTTGGCAACTTCTAGGATTCTCGGCAACTGCTGATTTTTTTTTTTAGTATTTTGAAGATCATTTTTTACTTTTTTGCCACGTTTATTAGCTTCCGAAAGGAAGGTCACCTGTCACTCAGCTGGTTTATACTATCTAGGGACCTCAGGGGTAGGGTTTTTTTCATTAAATGCCTATCCACGAGGTAAGTGGTATCACGTGGCATGTCGTAACTGGTCGCAAACCCTTAGTATCTCGCTAAAAGTGGATTATTCACAATATTCCAATATATTCTGTGGAATTTGTGTTCAATTTAAAAAACAGAATTTTTTTAGGAAACAAAGTTATAGTGTCAGGGATCAAAACCACGAAAAAATCAACTTTAAGCTCAAACCAGTAAAGAAAAAACAGTTACATTTCGGAAACTTTTCAGCAACTTTTTGGCATCTTTGGGGAAAAAAAAATAACAACTTTTTAGCAACTTTAGACATTTTCATCGGCAACTTTTTAAGAATTTATCGGCAACTTGTGGTTAAGCCTACAACTACATGTGTTACATAAGGCTCTCCTCAATGATTAACGAAAGTATCACTCTCTTTCTAACGTTAACCTTACCCAATGCTATTTCGATCAAACAAGGTAGCCACTTGTTGACCTGCTAAGTACTAGGACCAGTCCAAATTTATCCCCAGGGCGGTGGTAAGAGGATTTTGGAGGGATCACGTGGTTTTCAGAGGGATCGGGGAGGATCAGTCTTCGCAAGAGATTAGAAGTTCTTATTCGCCGACAGAGTATAAAGGGAAGGCGGATCAATATCAGTATCTGGGCAACTGCCCACCTACCCCTCCCCTGACCGAACAACAGTCCATTGATGACAAGTTAGGGTTAATGCTGGGTTAGGGGAGGGGTAGGTGGGTAGTTGCCCAGATACTGATATTGATCTGATAAGACAATAGAAAGCCTAATGCCAATGAGAGGGTAAGGGGGGGGGACATGAGATTAATTAATGAATGATTTCGGGGGGGGGAATAATTGAAATAGTACAATGTTGTGGTGGGGATCAGGTAAATTTCATTACGTCACAGCCAAGATCTTCCGAAGCCCACTCCCTTCTCAATAAGGACCGGTCTATTACGTTTCTGTCATAATTGTTGTGATGTCATGTGATCGGTGAACGAGAACTCAGATGAATGCTTCTAGAAATTCGAATTAAGACGAAACCTACTCGTGTCAGGCTGAGGCGTCAACAAATTGAAAATGCTCTCATCCTGGTTCCCTTCTATTACATCGAGAGTAGTTTTGTCCTTGTTCTGGTCTTATAAACCATAATATATCATAGCTTAACTATAATCTCGTACCCAGATCCTACCGCGTAACTGCAACTGAAATGTTACTACTGCTCGACCGTGAAACGTCTGGGTACGAAACTAGCTAAGCTATTGAAATAGAACGGTGAACTGAACATAAAAATGAAAGAAAAGTGGCACTGCTCTGCAGTTGTTGTTCCTTGGCTATAAGTCTACCCTAAGCAATTGCACAATAGCGAAAACTTCCTGCTGGTGATGGATTAAGGTAGTAAACATAAAACCCTTCACAGCTTCTCACTTGAATTTGAACTCGTCTGTAACAACAATTATAATACCCGTGAAAGCACGCCTGCCTGTTAACAATGCCTTCCTCGAGAGATGGATGAAGCCCGTTTAACCAGCCTGTTATGTCTGTACGACATCTGTGGTGGCTGACGCAGTAGTCCAGCATTTTAGTGTATGAACCAGACTGAAATCTGTACCAGCCAGGTACGAGAGATGCGTCCGAGTTGCCTCCTCTTCCATACGATGTATGGCGATCGGGTTCACTCAGCACAGTGTAATTGGTGCAACCCACTAGGACTGTGAAAATATATATATACACATTTCACGTCGTAGAGAGTGAGAGTTTTAGCCGTTTCATTCTCGCTAAGATTGTCAGAGTAATAATAATATAAATATATAAAACTTTTTGGGTGCTCAATGGTCGAGAACACCTCAACTAATCCCAGAAAGTGCAGAAAATTGAAATTAAATTAATTGACGGGTATGTCACAAAAGTACAACAACAAAAAATGGCGGACTGGTTCGGAGACAGTAGCAACGTTCTAATTCAGAGTTTTAGGGAGAACGAGAGGAACAGAAACACCCAACAAAGCACAAAGAACTGGATGAAAGTCTGGAAGTCTAAGGATTCCAAAAATTAACGGCGATAAATGGCTTTAGTCTTTGAAAAAATTTACGCGCGCTGATTTATCCCAAATTGCACACAAAATCATGCGATTACCAGTACAAAATCACGCATATCATTTCAGACCAAATCTCACCCCACCCAGCGGTTCAGTTACCATCTTTTATTAATTTGGGGGAAGACTTGATGAAAATTAAAGTTCCAAACATGGTGTTTCCTTAGGTACAATTTTCTTTGAAAACTCCATAAACGTCGTTCGTATGCCTCTTGTACCAGCACCGAATATCATATATGCATCATGCTGTGGAGCTCCTAAAGATTTTAAGACGTAGCGAAGACCTAAAAGGAGTTAAATACGTTCTCCAACTTCTCGTACCAGTGTTAGAGCCAGAACTGTGGCCAATGAAGCAGTGGAAACCCAAGGGCAGGGAGAGGGATCGATTGAACGCCCTTTTAAAGGGATGGAGTGAGATTTGGCTCTCGTCACACAAAATATAACTCCTTAGACTAATCAGTGATCCATTATTCAGATCAATTGTTGTTATCAGTATCATATCATAGCTTAATCAATTCGGTTGAAAAACAACAAAAAATCTTAAAAGTTACACACCAATTTCACAATTACTGCCGCGATAACCCGGGTAACAAACGCATTTATGGGTTCCGTCTCTGAGCGAAATCGGTGAACATAATCCATGGCTGGAACAGATTTGTTCGGTACAAGGATTCTAAAAAACAAACATTGTTATGTTCATAAAACCACTGTGGTTATGTCAATTGTATTTTCAGCCGGCTGGTAATTTAAGCATCCTAGGTGACATGCAACAGAGAATACCTTGTTCTTTAATTAGGACCGTTATCCAACATGAACAAAACCGCCTGGTTTTTCTGTTTTGTTTTTTTTTATTAATATTCTGTCTTTTTTTTCGGTTGTTTTGTTTTCATTTTGTCATGATCATTATTAAAAAAGACTTCGTTTCCTATGGCTCGTGTTCAAATTCCATTGAGTTCTGAAAACAAAATTTAAGCCTCTTTGTTTGCAAACCTCACTGCCTGAAGACTTTCTTTCTATTTATGAGGAACACCAGGACGGCTTTTGATCAAGAAAGTGCTTGCTTTTCTAATTCATGACCGCTACAATTCTGAATAGAGTCAAAACTGTATCAAGCCGCACCGTTTTAGTGGTCACCCTGTAATAATTAAAGCGATCGATTGTCAAAGTTGCAAATTTGTCTCCCCTTAATTAATGTAATTTTCACCTTCATCAAGTGGTCAATTCCATCAAGGTCACCCTTAACTGAGTTCTGAATCCTGTTTGTATTACATTTTATCTTCCACCAATACTGAACGGTCAATTAAAGCGGAACCACCCACATAAAACTAAGAATAATCTTTCAAGTAATTTTTAATCCACGTTTCCCTCCCGAAATCAACGTTAGTAGTAGTTTTTAGCGAGATTATGTACATTAAGTGGTCAATTATGGCGTAAGTGGTGTTATGTATCGTTTTTAATAATATCCCTAATCTGCGGAACCTGTATCGTGCGCGGATATGAAGGTTTTGCATGTAAACAATCCGACCCGCAATTTTGTTTGTATTCCTTTCTTACTCCGCACTGTATTCCAGTCCACTGAAAGCCTAACGTGATTTATATTCCTAGCCATACCTTTAACGTGAGGTGATGTGAAAACTGATCTGCAATGAGCTTTTCAGCGTTGTTGTAGATATGAGACGATAGGAGATCACACCAGCGTTTTCCTTTATTATCAGCAAAAACAGCCAAGTTGAATGAAACGCAGAGGTTGTTCTCAAGGCAGGCTAGGCTACAGTCGAGGATGTCCTCCACAAAAATTCTCATTATGTAAGAAGCGTTAAGGTAATGGTGCAGTAGTGGCTCATACGAAGCTCTTATATTTTTAGCAACGAGTCCTTCACGGTTCGAAAGGCAAACTATTAAAGCGAAGAAAACGCAGAATTTCATCTCCTTTGTGAACTTCTACCAGACAAATTTTAAAGCCAGGTAGATGCCTGATAGTCTTCAAATGACAAGACGGCTAGCAGATGTCTTATTTATCTTGCAAGATTGTTAAAATTCATGATATCAACAGGATTTCAGCAACTCTACTGTTCAATATTTTGATGCAAATTACTCTCGGTGGATGGATAAATGGTGATAAATTTGTAATGGCATGCCCCCCTTCATGATAACTGTAACTCTAATTAAAGTCAGTACAAGTAAATTAATGTTAACGAAAGCCGGCAAAAATTTATTGACCAATCAGAATGTCTGGTTTGTTACTTTCTTTGCCCTGAATTAATCCTCTTCTGCATTGAATTACCTAAAAACTGCACTTATCTTAACCAATTAGAACTGAGTAATTTTTTCTTGTATATAATTAGAATTGTAACAGGGGAATTTCGAAGTTTGGTCGTTATACCGGTATCATGCTTGATGCTTTGAATATACTTTATAATGCTGAGCATAAGGCCAGGCATAATTTATCTGACCCTGCAGGAGATCTCGTTTTAATTATGATAGACACCGCGGCGCCTTTTGATCAAGAAAGTGAATGCTTTTCTTTTCCACAAACTTTTTAATTCTGAATATTTCTTGTCAGCTGAATCCACTCACACATGCACGTAACCATGGTAAATGATATCAATAATTATCATCAACTGACAAATGAGTACCCATCAAATCTGAGTTTACTAGCTCTTTTTCGCACAGAGAAAGTTGTGCATGATTCGGACCTTTCCATCGTCTTTCTTTCCTCATGTAAAACTTGATGGGAGACTACTGGCGAGAGAGTTTTGTTGACATTCAACAGAGTAACATTACTTAATGCTCTCACGTCTCTGTATGTTTGGAAGGTAAATTGTGTTCCGACTCGCGCTGAAATTACGAAATTCAAGTCAAGTCAACTTTATTTACCCACGGATCCTTCAGGGATTTCGTATAAACAAGTGATAGATATAAAAATGAAATAATACAAAAAAAATTGATAACATGATTTGCAAGGCTGTCGAACGATAGCTATAACTAAAGCATAAGAGATGAAAAAATAAGTGATTCACTCACTGAAATTTGTGGCGGTTTATTAGCTAGAGTTTTAAAGTCTGTTGATGATGACGCTCGACGCAGGCGGCGAGGAAAGCCATTCCACAGTACCGAATTACCGTAACTTAAGCTTCGCTTGAAAATTATTTGCCGAGTGGTGGAACTACAGGCTCACTCTCACTATTTCTCAGATTAATGAAGTAAGTTCGTTCCTTTCAATGAGTTTTGGCCTTAAAAATTCTGGATTAAAATTGTGTAGCGTTTTATACAGTACTTCTCCTACTTCCAGTTTCTGCTAACTACAGACCGACCTGTCAGTAGGCTACACTGACCTAACTAATTATGTACCTTCAACGTGAGGTGATGTGAATTTTGATCTACAATGAGCTTTTCAGTGTTGTTGTAGATATGGGACGATAGAAGATCACACCAGCGTTTTCCTTCACTATCAGCATTAACCGCCAAGTTGAATGAAACGCAGAGGTTGTTCTCAAGGCAGGCTAGGCTACAGTCGAGGATGTCCTCCACAAACATTCTCATTATGTAAGAAGCGTTAAGGTACAGGTAGTGGCTCATACGAAGCTCTTATATTTTTAGCAACGAGTCCATAACGGTTCGAAAGGCAAACTATCAAAGCGATTAAAGCGCAGAATTTCATCTCCTTTGTGAAATTCTACCAGACAAATTTTAACGCCAGATAGATGCCTGATAGTCTTCAAATGACAAGACATATGTAATACATTATATAGTTATGACAATTTTTACGACAAGTTAAACAGCAGAAATTAACATGCGATATAGCACCTGTCCCTTCTAACTTTCAATTTAGTTCCCATAATAACTATTACTTTCTGATAAAGCTTTCTATCGGACAGACAGTGGGAATCTTTATGCAACCAGTTTGAGATTCTCGTAATAATTTTTAAAAAAAAAGGATGTCTGTGAATTTTTCGTCACCCAGGCAACACTGAGGGTCCGAAAGTTACCTTAACGAAGAGAAAATGCCCTGAATTTCAGCTTCTTAAAAATTCGCTGACTACATTTATCAAATCGTAGTTGATAACCAATCAACTATTTCTATTGCCTTCCGACGCAGTTTCTTTAGAAACTAATAGATAGACCTCGTGATTATCAGAAGTTACTTCCTTAAAAATCCTTTAAGATACCAGATGTCTTTTTTATTTATCTTGCAAGATTATTAAAATTCATGATATCAACAGGATTTCATAAACTCTACTGTTTAATATTTTGATGCAAATTACTCTCGGTGGATGGATAAATGGTGATAAATTTGTGATGGCATGCTTCCCTTCATGATAACTGTAACTCTCAGTAAAGAGTCAGTAAAGTAGATTAATGTTAACGAAAGCCGGCAAAAATTTAAGATGAAAACAAAGGGTGCCGCTTGTTATGTTGGTATCACGCTGACCATGCAAGCTTTGTTCTTGTGTTTGTAGGCTTAGGTGGTCTGGGCACAAGTCAGTCAATTTTACAATTTGTAGCAAGAGTCAGATTCTTATTTTAGACCAAGATCTTTCAGTCATTGCTCAGTACACTGTGTTTTTAATTTTACTCAAACCCTACATTTTTTAAAAACAGCGGCTGGCTAAACAGAACTTTACAACAGCAACCTTGAAATTAAAAAGCAGCTTTCATTCGCTATTCTTCTAACATTATCCAGCTTAGTGCTGTTTCAGTCGAAAAAAAGCAGATCTGTAAATGTAAACAATTACAGATCGTCATTGCTCCCAACACGTGGACGGGCCAAATTATTAAACTGGGCTTTTACAGCAAGTATTTTCAGCGCACTTTTCTTTCTCTCTAAGGGAAGTTCAATTTTTTAGCCATTTTAGAGTAACTAGGGTCCACTACACTGCACAGTAACGAAAATTTCCTGGAGGAGGTGGTTTTAAGAAATACACGTAAAACCCATTACATTTTCTCACACGAATGTGAACTCTTCTGTAACAACATTTGTTGTATCCAAAGAAACAAACTTCCCTATCGACAATGCCATCCTCTATCGATGGATGTGAGCCTTTTAACCAGCCTGGTAGGTCTGTGCGGCATATGTGATGACGGACGCAATTGTTCAGCATCTTTTTGTATGAATAGGACTGGAATCTGTACCAGCCAGGGATCAAGGAGCTGTCTTTTTTTTTACCTCTTCCGTAGGAGGTGTGCCGATCTGGTTCGCTTAGCACTTTATGATTCAAGCACTCCGGTGCAGCTGAAATACAAGCACAAAAGTTAAAATCCTACGATTGTACATTGAAAAATTAATTATAATCAGACAAGATATTTGCTGACCTCAAAGGAAGTAGGGTATAGAGAACCAGAAATACTTAAGGGCCCAGGTAATGATGTGTCCATATTGAGACAGGTTTTCCAACATTATTAAGTTAAAGATCTGCAATCCATATCAACTTTTGCTTCTCTATCTTTAAAAACCCATGATCCTTTCTAGTTTTTCCTTTTCGTTGTGGTCTTTTTCTTTCTTTCTGGATTATTGTTTATGGTTCCTTTAAGATAGAGGTACTTTACATGTAAGGGAAAACTATACGCTCTAAATATCGTGTCATCACTAGTTACTCTTGAAGAGCTCGCCTAATCCATAAGAAAGTCTAGCTGAAGTTGACAGTAAGAAAAAGTTAGTAAATTGCATAAAGAACGGTGACAAAGTTGCGAATGGTTTTAGTTTCCCAAATTTCAATTGAACTTAGATTAATGGATGCCTCATTTCTCTATCGCCCACCTTATATTTTCACCTGATTTTTCCTGTTCCCATGCACTCATCTCATGTCACAATAAGCAAACTAGATGGCATGGTTACGTCGGATGTAACGTGAAACACACTAATTTATCTTTAGTTTTAAGAGTAACCACCAAGAGAAGTAACATCTATCTGAGATTTTCAAATTAATCTGGAAAAAAATTACTATTCACCAATTTCACAATGTTTTCCAACATATCCGGGATGACAGACGCACTCGAAGGGTCCGTTTCTAAATGATATTGCTCTACACTTCCCATGACTCGAGCAGATTTCAGCGCCACAAGAATTCTAAAAAATATAGAACAAACGAGTAACATAAAACAGCAGTAAATGCATACATAAATTACTTAAAAGGACATCTTATCGCACAACAAATAAACCTATAAGCTACAAAGTTGAACGCGAAGTATTTTGAAATACCTATATTGGAAATTCAATCGTGAAACAACCCACGACATTAACAACAAAAGACCTCTGGTTTCTTTATTATTTTAGTCTCAGTGGAAGAGAAAAGGGAATTTGAAAGATCTAATCATTTCTCAAATACCTGCGAAAGGCTGTAGTGGTGTGATTGATAATTTGCCGCTAGTTTTGCAGCATCGCTGTGCATGTTGGACGACAGAAGTTCGCACCAATACTTCCCTTTTCCATCAGCAACGGCAGCAACATTTAATGAGACGCAGAACACATTTTGTATACATGCAAAGCTGCAATCGATGGGCTCGACAACATGTCTTTTTTCTAGAGCACTGATGTGCAAGTAATGAAAAAGTCTTAACTCAAATGACGCGATCATAACTTCTGGTATTACCCTTTGAAGATTCAAAACAAGCACCACGGTGAAAGCAATCATTAGCATCCTTGTCGTTGAAACTTGCCTTTTGAACAGATTCCCAAGAAAAAGCAGCGCAAAAATTAATGTACATATGCAATACGTTATGCTTCTTTCTCATGAAACGCACCGTGGTCCTTAAATAAATATCAATGAGTTATCCTTTTTTAAAGATCTTAGAATATTTGAAAATATTGCTGTTAATGTGACTCCATTAGATCGCTAAGAAAACGCCGAACGAATAAGGAAAAAATTAAACATTCAGCGATCAAATTGTTTAGCTAATCATAATCAAATACTGGAAAAAAAGAGTATAATTGGCATTGTTAAACGCTACGTACATTGCAGCTGAAAAAGTAATTCCCATTCAGGTGATTTTAAACTGTCTAAGCATTTAAATCTGTGCCAAAAAGGTCGTCTAAATTTTGAATTTCAAGACAATACAAGCTTACTCTAACTCCAAGAAAAACTGCGATTCAGAATGATGTTTTTCATTCTCAAGCATCTATTTTTTTCTAAATATAAGAAGAGAGATGTCTGGTTTTAGACATGTGAAATTTATATCTACAAATCAACAATTTCAGAAATTGCCATCAGGGGAAAACTAAGAGCGAATGAAGCCTTGAGTTTAGCAAAAACCATTCAACATCAGAAAGCTTTTCCTTAAAATGCGCCTCTGTTTCATCATACAGCATTTTACGAAGTCATTATTCATTTTCTATCGAGCTAAAATGCATAACTTCCTACATCAAAAATTTTTATTCAATTCAAATATTGCAGACTGCTTTAAATTCGTATGTTAATATGCGGCCATGGATATCAAACAATGGACGTTGAATAAAGACGTATTTTGACAGGACGTCTTCTTGTCAGAGCTTTGACCTCACGGAGAGTAAATTTTCTCACGTAATTTCTGTTTCCTTAGAAATTCTAAACTTTAGTTTGACTTTCAGAGCTTGTAGTAAGAGCATTACTTACGGAACTTAACAACTCACAGTGTAAGGAGCATCGATAATCATTTCAATTCTTGAAGTTCACCTGGGGGTATTACGTGCTGAATTAATCTCGCTAACTAGAAGTTAGTATTTCACCGTAAGAAGGTTTGTAACCCTGTAGTAATGTATTTGCGTATATTCAAGAATTAAAACTCTGGAGGGGGAATTCTATCTGGGATCATATCTAGAGGCGTGAGGTTTATAGTCCTTAGTGGCTCATTAATACGAATAAAGGAAACAGGTTTTAAGGGGGGAGGGGACCCTAACAATGACCAGTAGGGGAAGGGGGGCCATAAACAGGACCGCAGCAGCTCATTTAATGAATGTAAATCAATTCTTTATTGTGAATTATAAGTAAACCGGGATTTGGTTGCTTTGGTTTTGCTCTACTTGCTGTGTGATTGGTCCAGAAACTTACGCCACCCTTTAAATCAATCAAATGTAAAACTGAAACCAATCGCGACTTGTTCGTTCCCATTTTCCAGCGGTTCAAGTGGTTTTACTTTGAGTTGCCATTGGCTAATGATGATGTCAACCTTTCATCTGATTGCCAATGTGATAACCCTAGTTTTGGAAACTAATAACCTCATGCATCATTAACGATTTGATAATAAAATTTATTTTACGATTGGCACTGTTGTGATCGACCCCAAGATATCCTCTTGTTCGACATGCTCGAAAGATATGGCGAGAAATTGTGAATGAACGAAAAATTTTGGCGATTCAAAAGGCGAAGTTTTATCGCGATGGAGATGAAAATTTCATCGCGTTTGTTAACATATCCCCGACGAATGGATATGCCAGACAGATGATGGGTAGAATCCAAACAACAAGGTTAAATTGATATATACATACATTGTATTCTGATAGAGTAACTAGTTAATGCGAAGCTTTTAAGGCTAATTACAATGTTTAATAATCGATGAATAATATGGAACGGGAGTTAATACGTGAAACGACACCTGTCCTCTCTCATTTTTAATTTCAGGCCCCAAACGCTAAGCAAACATCAGCGACCAATTTCATTGTACCTCAGTCTTCCAACGTATAGCACCATGGGATATAAGCTTTTAATAAAGTTGGACATGAAGAAGTAGGTAAAGTGTTGATGACTGTCTGAGAGGCATCAAAGATACCTCCCACCCATTTCTAAACAGTTTGACATTCGTAATCTTTCATTACTCAACGTTTTCATTTTTCTCAAGTAAACATCAATTTTTTTTATGGACCCTCTACCTTGCGATTCTGAACTTGATGAATTTGCGTGACATCAAACTGTGACATGGAACATTTTAGGCAAGAAACAATATCACAAAGAAGAAAGGGCTGCCATTGTAAATGCATGTGGTTAGTAAAAATACCCAGCATGCTCTCAGAGAAAATTAGTTAAATTAAGTATGATTAAATGTACCTTTGCCCCTAATCGGCGCCGTAATGGTAAAATGATAAATATTTTATTATCCTCGTTATCCTGACTATTGTCGACAAAAAGCTAAAATATGGGCATGCGTAGCATGCGATAGTTATTATCTTTCTTTTTTCGGCTGGGCGGCTTGAGATGGGACACTTTGTGTACCTAATGTCTTGTTTCATTTTTGTAACAGAAAAAAAGCATAACTTTCAAAAGAACGATCATATCGTATTAGTTTACCTGAGAAAAAGAAAAAAAACCCTACTTATCTGAACTCACACAGGTATTTTGTGGTCTATTGTCTCTGTTTTGCTCCATTGTAAAAATAAAATGCATCAGTGCCACGCTTTGCAACCGTTGTTTGGTCTCGTCACACAACGCCATTTATTTCCCGTTGGAGAGAGATCAAGATCAAATAATGGTTGCAAAAAGGACTACGCTTACTACCGTTTCTCTAACAGGGAGAAAATCACTATCGATAACATTTACCTTCATGTGAATTTTTTACAGTGGGTTTGGACAACGCGGTTAGAGTAGGTGATAAAATGTGGGTTGTCTACAAAGAAATTATTCGTGATAGAGCGAAGTCTAATGTGGCAAAACAGAATTTGATTGGTGGAATGCCATAAAAGCACGTAAAAAATTGCCTAATGTTCATGTAGTGCAATGATTGGGTATGTTCTGATTGGACTTTGTTTTCATGGTACGTAATGGAATGTAAGTTGTTTGGCGGGTGTGTTGTGAGTAAAAGAGTGGAAAAAAAAGCTCTAATTTAAAAATGATACAAAAAGTTAAATGCGACGAGGCCTTCGTGAAGGCCACAAATCATTACACTTATCAAATGAGCCTGGCTAATGTCATTCTTTGTGTAAAGCCCCCAAACGCTGTGATTGGTGCAAGATATCCAAATTCTCTGATATGACTGGTGCGAGATACATACCCTTATGCGGCAATCTGATTGGTGCAAGATACATACCCTAATGCGAAAATCTGATTGTGGCGAGCAACATGCCATTCTAAACGCTAACGCAAAGTTATTGTTTTTTAAATAATAGTAATAATAACTCAAAAAGGATTTTTTATTATCAATAATACATCGCTTCGGCGATGATTGCATTTTGATTACATTTGTAAAACTACGCTACATATGCTAAACAAGGTTGGCCTTTATGGTTAAAAAAAAATGACAGCTTTTTTACTGGCCTTAGGCGATGCTATTTCATACAGGGTAGCCGCTTGCTATCCTGTTAAGAATTCACAGTTCCTCTTATATTTCCGTTACAATCTTTGTGACATCACGTGATTGGTAAAGTACACCTCAGACAATTGATTCTAGGACAATTGGGAGAACAGAACACTTCTCTTCGTGTCAGGTTGGGACGTCTAAAATTTACAACGCCTTTAAGCCATCTTGGCTTCCCGCTACCATATCGAGGGTAATTTTGTCCTTGCTATGACTTCAAACATATTAATAGCTACTAAGCAGTTAAGCCTAATAGCGTATTGTACTTGAAGACAATAGTGCCGCTCACATGCTACTGTTCTGTGGCTTAAGGTCCTCCCTAGGCAACTGCACAATAGCGAAAGTTTCCTGCTGGTGATGGATTAAGGTAGTAAACATAAAACCCTTCACAGCTTCTCACTTGAATTTGAACTCGTCTGTAACAACAATCATGATAACCGTGAAAGCACGCCTGCCTGTTAACAACGCCATCCTCGAGGGATGGATGAGTCCCGTTTAACCAGCCTGTTATGTCTGTGTGACATCTGTGGTGGCTGACGCAGTGGTCCAGCATTTTAGTGCATGAACCAGACTGAAATCTGTACCAGCCAGGTACGAGAGATGCGTCCGAGCTCTCTCCTCTTCCATTCGATGTATGGCGATCGGGTTCACTCAGCACAGTGTAATTGGTGCAACCCACTAGGTCTGAAAAAAAAATTCACATTTTACTCTTGATCAAAAAATCTACGACTGACGTCGTAAAGAGTGAGAGTTTTAAGCTATTTAGTTCTTACTAAGATTGTCAGGGTCTTTGTTCTATTTTATCATTTTTAGAAAATGTAAAATGAAAATCTCCAAAAGGCATCGTATTGGTATACATTAGGTCACCCGTTTTCATTTAATCTGGCGATTTCTTAATTGCAATTTTGTTTAAAAAAAACCTGGTTTCATGTCTCATGTACTAGCACCAAATATCATATATGCATCATATGATGTAACTCACTGAAGACCATCTTTTAAAATTTATGTTTGGATTACTTTTGTAAGTTTATAAAGACGTGGCGAAAACCCTAAAAGAGATTTTTATTTATTCTTCTCTCCCCCCCCCCCCTCTTTGTAACGGTGTTAAAGCCACTAGAGTTTTCAATTAAGGCGGAAATCGAAAGGCGGGGGGGAGAGGGGGGGATTTACCGCCCTTTTAAAACCATAGGATGTTAGTTGGCCACCACAGAAAAAAAAAGCGGTGAAACGTCTGCGCATGTGGCAACGTTGTAACGATTAGGTGACGCCTAGGTATTGTGCTTTCAGACTTTCAGAACCAAGCGACAAACAAGCACACAAGCCAGTGAGTCCCGGTGTTTCAGAAGTGTTTAAATTCCTTAATAAAGCTCCAAACGGAAATTCAATAGGATACCCGTTATCAATTTCCTAAGGTGGACCTTAAATCCCCTCACCCATGCCCTACGTACGTTTGACCTCAGTGTTTAGAAAGTATGACCAATCCGAAAAATGTCACACCTGTCATAAAGATTGTTGTAGTTATAAGTAACATAGCAAAGAATATTCGTTTCGGTAAATATGTGACGAAAAAATTCAAAAGCCACTTACCAATTTCACAATTAGTGCCACTGTAGCCCGGGTAACAGACGCACTTATGGATTTTTTCTCTCAAAGAAATCGGTGAGCATATCCCATGGCTGGAACAGGCTTCTCTGGTACAAGGATTCTAAAAAGAATAAAGATTGTTAAATTGAGTTTACAATTTTTAAAGCCAGAGCACCTAAAATTCTGCTAGCTACGCAGGCTACCGGACTTGAAATAATAATCACTTTGTAAGCGCACCCTCAGCTTAAATACAGTTGGCTAGGAAACTTTATCAAAAACTATACCTAATGCACAGATAGTTTATTAACCAAATAAATGTGTATGATGGTGGGATTCAATGCAACTGAAAGTATTGGGCATTGATGAAAACATTGGGCATTGTGATGCACTTTGCGGGCTAAAGTGTATTTTAGCTAACTCGCACGCTTGCGTGATTGTTCAGACTACTTTGGTAGTCGCTTTGTTGTACTTTTTCGTCATTCTCATTTTCTCAGTGTCGTCCAAAGTAACTGTAATAGTGAAAACAGTTTATTTTCTTTGGAATGAAAAAGTTTAAGGCCCCTTTCAGAGCTCATTTTAACCAACGCCCAGCAGGCTGGGCTAAATGACTGAGTCGGGCTCGAAACAGATTTATGTCTGCGAAAATAATCTCTGTTTTGATATCTTAATATAAAATATAAGCAAAAAACCGCATAAAAAAACAAAACAAAACAAAACCAAAAATACAAAAAAAAAAACAACAACAACAACAACAACAACTAAAGTCTGTGGCGAATCGATATCCAGGTCAACGAGACTATTAACGAAGAAGTTACTCGAACGCCAGAAACAACTAACATAGATGATGTAGTGTGACCTTCAAGAATGTTCTAGAAGTAACTGTGTCATGCTGAGTCATCCATGAATCAATATATAAATTGAATCTGTTGTAATGTTACGGAACGTTCTAGATCCTCAACCGTACCTATAAAAGCCGAGCTTGTAACTAGATGTAGAGAGTAGTTTAGTTGCTGGTATAGCCTGTCAGATATCAATAAAGGTGTATGCTGCAGAATACAAGACGTCCACACTTCAGATGAATGAAAACTACTCAGTTAAAATCAACAAAGTGACAAGAACTGGCGAATGAAGCAACGCTTATTGATGAAAGAATACGTACGTATCTGCCGCGGTTACGTAACCCTGGCGTAACCTTTAGCTAAACTCGAATATAATACTGATACATGATAAAAATTCTTTGACAGTTATTTCTGACAGTTAGTTGTTTTCGTAAATTCTAGTTGTTGAAATATAAAGATGTTTTGTGTTCTTAGCCTTCCAAAACGAACTTTACGAATGAAGATTGCTGAAGACCTCAGTCAATCATGATATGGTGACATGAACGGCCGGTTTTCCTCCAAAGCGCAAAAGAGATTTTAGGGATCTGCCCTCATAACTGATTATGTGCCTTCTCGTTCTGGAACTTAGAAAAACGTTTCAATTAATTCTCATGAATATGTGTCTTTGTTGATATTAAAATTATCCTTTTTCTTTTCCGAGCGTTTTCCATCCCTGTAAACTTTGTTTGTTATTTGCAGGAAACTGACGTTTTTGCTTCCATTTATCATGATTGAAAAATATGTCTACTGCCTCCGATTTGCTTTCTCAGAAACTTCACCGCCGAGAGACGAGGATCAGATAAATTACTCTATTTTTTTGCCTTCGTGGGATGTCTTTTTCCGAGATAACTTTTAGCTGGCCAAAAGTAATTTCATTTAACTTTTATGAGATAATCAGACCGAGATGTAATTCAGAAATGCAAATTTTAGAGCTTTATTCTTAACCATCGTAGATTCTGTTCGTCTCATGTCAACAATTATTAACCACGAACACATAGCGTTGTTTGCCTGTGATGTCATAATTCTAAATTATAGCTCGTAAGAGCCCCTCAACCTCCCCTACCCACCCCTCCCATACCTGCCACCAACAGGTAAAAGAGTTACGAAGAGGGGGTTCACCGGGTTTAAGAACACAATGTTTTACTGGGTAAAATTGTTAAAGAGTAAGCGAGAAAAGTAAGCTTATTGTTGAAAATACTCAGGCTACAGAAATTATCTCGTGTTTGAATTGTAACAAGAGAAGTTTGGTCGCTATAGCGACATCATGCTCGATGCTTTGAATATAGCATTATGCCAAGCATAATTTATCTGACCCTACAGGAGATCTCTTTTTAATTACGGTGGACACCACGGTGTCTTTTGATCACGAAAGTGAATGCTTTTCTTTTCATAAATTTTCTAATTATGAATATTTCTTGTTAGCTGAATCCACCCACATATGCTGGTAAACATGGTAAATGATATCAAAAATTATCATTAAAAAATGAGTACGGATCAAATCTGAGTTTACGTTTTTTTCGCAGAGAGAAAGTTGCACAAGATTCGCATCTTTCCATTGGCTTTCTTTCCTCATTTAATATTTTAGTAGGAGACAATTGGCGAGATAGTTTTGTTAACATTCCACAAAGTGACGTTATGTAATACTTTTACGTCTCTGTATGTTTGGAAGGTAAATTGTGATCCGACTCTACTTTATTTACCCACGGATCCTTCAGGGATTTCGTAGAAACAAGTGATGGATATAAATACGAAATAATATTAAAAAATGAATCACATGATTTTCGAACCATAAGTGATAAAGAAATAAGTAATTCACCGATTTTGGAAGTTGTGGCGGTTTATTAGCTTGAGTTTTAAAGTCTATTGATGATGACGCTTGACGCAAGTGGTGAGGAAAGCTATTCCACAACACCGTACTACTGTAACTAAAGCTTCGCTTGAAAATTATTTGCCGAGTAGTGGAACTGCAAGCTTACTCTCACTATTCCTTAGATTAAACGAAGTAAGATTGTTCCTTTCAATGAATTTGGTCTTGAAAATTCTGTATTCAAATTGTGTAGCGTTTTATTCCTCAGATTAAACGAAGTAAGGTCGTTCCTTTCAATGAATTTGGACTTGAAAATTCTGTATTCAAATTGTGTAGCGTTTTATTCCTCAGATTAAACGAAGTAAGGTCGTTCCTTTCAATGAATTTGGTCTTGAAAATTCTGTATTTAAATTGTGTAGTGTTTTATACAGTATTTCTTCTACTTCCAGTTTCCGCTAACTATCAGATCGTACTGTTAGGCTACACTAACGTTACTAATTATGTACCTTCAACGTGAGGTGATGTGAGTACTGGTCTGCAATGAGCTGTTCAGCGTTGTTGTAGATATGGGACGATAAAAGATCACACCAGCGTTTTCCTTCACTATCAGCATTAGCCGCCAAGTTGAATGAAACGCAGAGGTTGTTTTCAAGGCAGGCCAGGCTACAGTCGAGGATGTCCTCCACAAACATTCTCATTACGTAAGAAGCGTTAAGGTAATGGTACAGCAGTGGCTCATACGAAGCTATTATGTTTTTAGCAACGACTCCATGACGGTTCAAAAGCCAAAGTATTAAAGCGATTAAAGCGCAGAATTTCATCTCATTTGTGAACTTCTACCAGACAAATTTTAGCGCCAGATAGATGCCTGATAGTCTTCAAATGATGAAATATATGTAATAAATCCTTCAGTTTTGACAAAAGATGAGAAATTAATCAGTGGAAATTAAAACACGATACAACACCTGTCCCTTCTAACTTTCAATTTCAGATCCCAAACGCTACATATTAAAAAAAACCCAACCACTTTCAATGTAATCTACTTCATAACTAGCACTCTCTGACAGAGCAATATATCCGGGATGACAGACGCACTCGAAGGGTCCGTCTCTGAAGGATATTGCTCTACACTTCCCATGACTCGAGCAGATTTCAGCGCCGCAAGAATTTTAAAAAATTTGAAACAAATGAGTAACATAAAACAGCAGTAAATGCATACATAAACTACTTTAAAGTACCTCTTATCGCATAATAAATAAACCTATAAGCTACAAAGTTGAACCCGAAGTATTTTGAAATACCTATATTGGAAATTCAATCGTGAAACAACCCACGACATTAACAACAAAAGACCTCTGGTTTCTTTGTTATTTTAGTCTCAGTGGAAGAGAAAAGGGAAATTCAAAGATCTAATCATTTCTCAAATACCTGCGAAAGGCTGTAGTGGTGTGATTGATAATTTGCCGCTAGTTTTGCAGCATCGCTGTGCATGTTGGACGACAGAAGTTCGCACCAATACTTCCCTTTTCCATCAGCAACGGCAGCAACATTTAATGAGACACAGGACACATTTCGTAGACATGCAAAGCTGCAATCGATAGGCTCGACAACATGTCTTTTTTCTAGAGCACTGATGTGCAAGTAATGAAAAAGGCTTAACTCAAATGACGCTGTTATAACTTCTGGTATTACCCTTTGAAGATTCAAAACAAGCACCATGGTGAAAGCAATCGTTAACATCCTTGTCGATGAAACTTGCCTTTTAAACAGATTCCCAAGAAAAAGCATCGCAAAAATTAATGTACATATGCAATGCGTTATGCTTCTTTCTCATGAAACGCACCGTGATCTTTAAATGACTATCAATGAGTGATCCTTTCTAAAGATCTTAAAATATTTGAAGATATTACTGTTAATGTGACTCCATTAGATCGCTAAGAAAACGCCGAACGAAACAGGAAAAAATTAAAAATTCAGCGATTAAATTATTTAGCTCATCATAATCAAATACTATAAAAAAAGAGTTTAATTGGCATTGTTAAACGCCACGTACATTGCAGCTGAAAAAGGAATTCCCATTCGGGTGATTTTAAACTTTCTAAGCATTTTTTTTTTGTGCCAGAAAGATCGTCTAAATTTTGAATTTTGAAGACGTTAGAAGCTCATTCTAACTGCAAGAAAAACTGCGATTCAGAATGACGTTTTTCATTCTCAAGCATCTATTTTTTTTTCTAAATATAAGAACAGAGATGTCTGGTGTGTGACGATTAGGTTACGCTTGGGTGTTGTGCTTTCAGGCTGTCAGAACCAAGCCACAAACAACCACACTAGCCAGTAAGTCACGATGTTTTAAAAGCGTATAACTTCCCTAACAAAGCTCCAAACGGAAAATTCATCAGGGTACCCGTGATTGAATAATTGAATATCTTTTTTGTTTTCTTTTCACAGATTTCTACGAACGTTTCAACTTTCTTTCGCTTATCTAACGAGATAGCCGCGGAATGTTTCTTATTTTTTTCCTTTGAAATTTTGCGCGGGAAAATTGGTGCGCAGGCGGCTAAAATTAATCCCTCGCCCATGCCCTAGGTACGTTTGACCGCGGTGTTTAGAAAATATGGCCAATTCGGAAAATCTCACATATTCATAAAATCAATTGTGGATATAAGTAACATGGCAAAAAATATTCGTCTCAGTAAATATGCGACGAAAAAATTCAAAAGCCACGTACCAATTTCATAATTACTGCCACTATAGCCCGGGTAACAGACGCACTTATAGATTTTGTCTCTCAACGAAATCGGTGAGCATATCCCATTGCTGGAACAGGTTTCTCCGGTACAAGGATTCTAAAAGAATAAAGATTGACCATTTGAGTTTACAATTTATTTAGCCGGAGTACCTAAAATATTGCTAGCTACACAGGCTACCGAACTTGAAATAACGATCACTTTATTTGTGAGCGTACCTTCAGCTTACATACGGTTAGTTGGGAAACTTTAGGTATTGTAGGCAAATGCTACTGGCTCTACCCCTCTATACCTAATACACATATATTTTATTAACCAAATAAATGTGTATGATGGTGGGATTCAACTGAAAACATTGAGCATTGTGGTGCATTTTCTCAATGCCCTCCAAAGAAATTTTTAACAGTAAAACATTTTACCTTCCTAGGAATTAATTATGTTTTAGGCCTTTTTCAGAACTCATTTTAATCCCCGCCTGACAGGCCGGGCTAGATGACTGATTCGGGCCTAAGACGGATTTATACCTGTGGACATACCCTCTATTGTTTTGACATCTTGATTTAAAATATATGACCAAAAACCACAAAAAAAAAAAGAAAAACTAACAATTTGTGGCTTATCGATATCCGGGTCGATGAAACTATTAACGAAGAAGTCACTCGGACGCCAGAAACAATTAACATCGATGATCATGAAGAAAAAATACTCAGTTGAAATAAAAAAAAGTCACGAGAACTGGCGAATGAAGCAAATGCATATCATGAAAGAAAATGTATCTGGCGAATATGTTACTGATACATGATAGAAATTCTTTCACAGTTATTTTTGACAGTTAGCTGTTTTTTGTTAATTCTAGTTGCTACAATACAAAGATGTTTTGTGTTCTTAGCCTTCCGAAACGAACTTTACGAGTAAGGGTTGCTGAAGACCCCAATCAATGAGTATGTCGACATGAACGGCCGGTTTTCCTCCAGAGCGAAAAGGAGATTTTAGGGATCTGCCCTCATAACTGATTATGTGCCTTCTCGTTCCGGAACTTTCAATTTATACTCATGAATATGTATCTTTGTTGATATTAAAATTACCGTTTTTCTTTTTCGAGCGTTTTCCATCCACGTAAACTTTGTTTGTTAACTGCAGGAAACTGACGTTTTTGTTTCCATTTATCCTGATTGAAAAATATGTCTGCTGCCCCAAAGTTCAGCCTCTAAATTATTCTTCAGCTTTCTTAGAAACTCCACCGCCGAGAGACGAGGATAAATTACTCTATTTATTCGCCTTCATGGGCCGTCTTTTTACGAGATAACTTTTAGCTGGCCAAAAGTAATTTCGTAAAAAAAGGCCGCTTCATCGTCATATCATTTAACTTTTATGAGGTAATCAGACCGAGATGTAGATAAATTCAGAAATGCAATTTTTAGAGCTTTATTCTTAACCCTTGTAGATTCTGTTCGTCTCAGTCCACAATTATTAACCACGAACACATAGTGTTGCCCGCCTATGATGTCATCACGCATCTTTCCTTATTTAATATTTTAGTGGGAGACAATTGGCGAGATAGTTTTGTTAACATTCCGCAGAGTGACGTTATGTAATACTACGTCTCTGTATATTTGGAGGGTAAATTGTGATCCGACTCTCGTTGAAATTACGTATTTCAACTCAAGTTAACTTTATTTACCCACGGATCCCTCAGGGATTTCGAACAAACAAGGGATAGATACAAATATGAAATAATATTAAAAAAATTAATCACAGATTTTCAAACTATAAGTGATAAAAAAATAAGTAATTCACCCATTTTGGAAGTTGTGGCGGTTTATTAGCTTGAGTTTTAAAGTCTGTTGATGATGAAGCTTGACGCAAGTGGCGAGGAAAGCTATTCCACAACACTGTATTACTTGTACTGTAACTCAAGCTTCGCTTGAAAATTATTTGCCGTGTAGTGGAACTGCAAGCTTACTCTCATTATTCCTCAGATTAAACGAAGTAGGGTCGTTCCTTTCAATGAATTTGGTCTTGAAAATTCTGTATTTAAATTGTGTAGTGTTTTATACAGTATTTCTTCTACTTCCAGTTTCCGCTAACTATCGTCCTGTTAGGCTACACTGACGTTAGTAATTATGTACCTTCAACGTGAGGTGATGTGAGTACTGATCTGCAATGAGCTGTTCAGCGTTTTTGTAGATATGGGACGATAAAAGATCACATCAGCGTTTTCCTTCACTATCAGCATTAACCGCTAAGTTGAATGAAACGCAGAGGTTGTTCTCAAGGCAGGCTAGGCTACAGTCGAGGATGTCCTCCACAAACATTCTCATTACGTAAGAAGCGTTAAGGTAATGGTACAGCAGTGGCTCATACGAAGCTATTATGTTTTTAGCAACGAGTCCATAACGGTTCGAAAGGCAAACTATTAAAGCGATGAAAGCGCAGAATTTCATCTCGTTTGTGAACTTCTACCAGACAAATTTTAGCGCCAGATAGATGCCTGATAGTCTTCAAATGATGAAATATATGTAATAAATCCTTCAGTTTTGACAAAAGATGAGAAATTAATCAGTGGAAATTAAAACACGATACAACACCTGTCCCTTCTAACTTTCAATTTCAGCTCCCAAACGCTACATATTAAAAAAAACCAACCACTTTCAATGTTATCTACTTCATAACTAGCACTCTCTGACAGAGCTTTATATCGGACAGGCAGGAAGGAGCAGATTAGGTGATCGTTTTCGAGACTGACGAAAAACAAAGACAAAGATGCCTCCAAACCTTTATTTGATCAGTATGAGATTCTCGTAACTACTTTTATCTAATCGTAGTTGATAACCAATCAACTATTTCTATTGCCTTCCGAAGCAGTTTCTTTAGAGACTAATAGGTAGACCTAGTGATTATCAGAAGTTACTTTCCCACAAATCCTTTCAGGTACCAGATGTCTTTTGGACTCATTCAGCAAGATTGCTCATAAAAATGAATGATATCAACAGGATTTCTGGAACTCTATTGTTCAATATTTTGATCGATTTTCCGCTCGGTGGATAGATAAATGGTGATAAATTTACAATGAAATGCTTCCCTCCGTAATGAGGGTAACTCTAATCAAAGTCAGCACAAGCAGGAGCCCATGAAGGTCGAAGTTAATTACTGTTAACGAAAGCCGGCAAAAATTCAAGATGAAAACAAAGGTTGCTGCAATTTATGTTGATAGCGCGGTGTCCATGCAAGCTTTTGTCATGCGTTTGCAGGCTGGGCACAAGTCAGTTAATCTCACAAATTGTAACAAGAGTCAGACTCTTATTTCAGACCAACACATCTTTAAGTCTTGGTTAAACTGTGTCTTTAATTTTACTCGAACCCTTCTTTCTAAAAGCAGCGCCTGTGGCTAAACAGAACTTTACACCAAAAACCTTTAAGTTAAAAGACCATTTTTTACTCGCTATTCTTCTAACATTATCCAGCTTAATGCTGTTTCAACTGAAAAAAGGCAGATCTGTAAATGTAGACAATTTCAGATCGTCATTGCTCTCAGCTCTGACAGCAAGTATTTTCAGAGCACTTTTTTTTCTCTCTAAGGGAAGTTCAATATTTTTTAGCCATTTTAGAGTAAGGGTCCACTACACTGCACAGTAACGGAAATTTCCTGGAGGAGATGGTTTTAAGAAATACACGTAAAACCCATTACATTTTCTCACACGAACGTGAACTCTTCTGTAACAACAGTTGTTGTATCCAAAGAAACAAACTTCCCTGTCGACAATACCATTCTCTATCGATGGATGTGAGCCTTTTAACCAGCCTGTTAGGTCTGAGTGGCATTTGTGATGACCGACGCTATAGTTCAGCATCTTTTCGTATAAATAGGACTGGAATCTGTACCAGCCAGGGATCAAGGAACTGTCTTCTTTTTGACCTCTTCCGTAGGATATGTGCCGATCTGGTTCGCTTAGCACTTTATGATTCAAGCACTCCGGTGCAGCTGAAATACAAGCACAAAAGTTAAAATCCTACGATTGTACATTGAAAAATTAATTATAATCAGACAAGATATTTGCTGACCTCAAAGGAAGTAGGGTATAGAGAACCAGAAATACTTAAGGGCCCAGGTAATGATGTGTCCATATTGAGACAGGTTTTCCAACATTATTAAGTTAAAGATCTGCAATCCATATCAACTTCTGCTTCCCTATCTTTAAAAACCCATGATCCTTTCTAGTTTTTCCTTTTCGTTGTGGTCTTTTTCTTTCTTTCTGGATTATTGTTTATGGTTCCTTTAAAATAGAGGTACTTTACATGTAAGGGAAAACTATACGCTCTAAATATCGTGTCATCATTAGTTACTCTTGAAGAGCTCGCCTAATCCATAAGAAAGTCTAGCTGAAGTTGACAGTAGGAAAAAGCCAGTAAATTGCATAAAGAACGGTGACAAAGTTGCGAATGGTTTTAGTTTCCCAAATTTCAATTGAACTTAGATTAATGGATGCCTCATTTCTCTATCGCCCACCTTATATTTTCACCTGATTTTTCCTGTTCCCATGCACTCATCTCATGTCACAATAAGCAAACTAGATTGCATGGTTACGTCGGATGTAACGTGAAACACACTAATTAATCTTTAGTTGTAAGAGTAATCACCAAGAGAAATAACATCTATCTGAGAATTTCAAATTAATCTGGAAAAAATTGCTATTTACCAATTTCACAATGTTTTCCAACATATCCGGGATGACATACGCACTCGAAGGGTCCGTCTCTAGAGGATATTGCTCTACACTTCCCTTGACTCGAGCAGATTTCACCGCCGCAAGAATTCTAAAAAATATAGAATAAATGAGTAACATAAAACAGCAGTAAATGCATACATAAATTACTTAAAAGGACATCTTATCGCATAACAAATAAACCTATAAGCTACAAAGTTGAAACCGAAGTATTTTGAAATACCTATATTGGAAATTCAATCGTGAAACAACCCATGACATAAACAACAAAAGACCTCTGGTTTTCTTGTTATTTCAGTCTCAGTGGAAGAGAAAAGGGAATTTGAAAGATCTAATCATTTCTCAAATACCTGCGAAAGGCTGTAGTGGTGTGATTGATAATTTGCCGCTAGTTTTGCAGCATCGCTGTGCATGTTACGCGACAGAAGTTCGCACCAATACTTCCCTTTTCCATCAGCAACGGCAGCAGCATTGAATGAAACACAGAATACATTTTGTAGACAAGCAAAGCTGCAATCGATGGGCTCGACAACATGTCTTTTTTCCAGAACACTGATGTGCAAGTAATGAAAAAGTCTTATCTCAAATGACGCTGTTATAACTTCTGGTATTACCCTTTGAAGATTCAAAACAAGCACCATGGTGAAAGCAGTCATCAATATCCTTGTCGCTGAAACTTGCGTTTTAAGCAGATTCCCAAGAAAAAGCATTATTCTCAGTGCAAAAATCAAAGTACACATGCAATGCGTTATGCTTCTTTCTCATGAAGCGCACCGCGGTCCTTAAATAAATATCAGTGATCCTTTCCAAAGATATGAGAATATTTGAAGACTGCTGTTAATGTGACTTCATAAGATCGCTAAAATAAACGCCGAACGAAATGGATAAAAATAAAAATTCGGCGCTCGTCTCGACTTAATTATTTAGCCCATCATAATCAAACATTATAAATAATCTTGTTTAATTAGCGTTGGTTAAACATTACGTACATTGCAGCTTAAAAAGCGATTCCCATTCAGTTGATTTTAAACTGCCTAAGCGTTATGCGTTAATTTCTGTGCCAGAAACATCGTCTAAATTTTGAATTTCAAGACGTTACGAGCTAACTCTAACTCTAAGAAAAACTGCGATTTAGAATCATGTTTTTCACTCCAAGCATCTATTCTTTCCTCTAAATCTAAGAGCAGAGATGTCTGGTTTTAGACATTGTCAAAATTATATCTACAAATCGACCAAAATTTCCGAAAGTGCCATCAGGGGAAAGCTAACAGCGAATGAAATCTAGAGTTTTGCAAAAACTATTCGACATCAAAAGCTTTGCCTTAAAATATGCCTTTATTTCGTCATACGGCATTCTACAAAGTCTCAATTCAATTTTTGTCGAACCAAATCGCGTAACTTCCTCCATCAAATATTTTTATTCAATTCAAATATTGCAGACTGCTTAAATCCGTATGTAAATATACGGCCGTGGATATCAAACAGTGGAAATTGAGTGAAGACGTATTTTGACAGGACGTCTTCTTGTCAGAGCTTTGACCTCACGGAGAGTAAATTTTCTCACGTAATTTCTGTTTCCTTAGAAATTCTAAACTTTAGTTTGACTTTCAGAGCTTGTAGTAAAAGCATCACTTACGGAACTTAACAACTCACAGTGTAAGGAACATCGATAATCATTTAAAATTCTTGAAGGTCACCTGCGGGGATCACGTCTTTACTTATTTATCACTCGAAGGTCAAAATGTGCTGAATTAATTTCGCTAACTAGAAGTTAGTATTTTACAGTGACAAGGTTTGTAAGCCTAATATAATGTATTTGCGTACATTCGAGAGTTAGAACTCTGGAGGGGGGAATTCTATCTAGGATCATATCTAGAGGCATGAGGTTTATAGTCCCTCATTGCTCATTATTGCGAACAAAGGAAACAGGTTTTAGAGGAGGAGGGGACCCTAACAATGACCAGTAGGGGAAGGGGGGCCATAGACAGGACCGCAGCAGCTCATTTACTGAATGTAAATTAATTCTCTGTGAATTATAAATAAACCATGATTACTTTGGTTTTGCTTTACTCGCTGTGTTATTGGTCCAGAAACTCACGCCACCCTTTAAACCAATCAAAACGCAAAACTTAAACCAATCCCGACATGTTCGCTCCCATTTTCCCTCGGTTCAAGTGGTTTTACTTTGAGTTTCCATTGGCTAATGATGACGTCAACCTTTGATCTGACTGCCGATGTGATAACCCTATTTTTGATGATTCGACTTTCAGTTGAAAACTGTCTTATCAGTGAATATAATTTTGCTGGTTTTATCATTTTAAGAATTTGTTTTTCAATCCATTTCAGGCTTTATATATCATGTAATATTTCATAAACGTGGGCGAGTATTTTATCAGGGTTTGTAAACACGAGAAGACTGATGATTTTATTATTTTGGAGTGTTCAAAGACCTTGATGAAATAGTGTGTTCACGGATTATGATTTTCATCGTAAGCAATATCTTGAAGAAAGGTTTGAAGACCTGGAAAGCATTTCCCTAGACATCTGGCTCACAAGTTTGACCATGTAGTGGCTTATTAATTTCCAACCACACGTGTTGGATATCCTAACACGTGTTGGATATCCTAACACGTGTGTTTGGATATCCAAACACACATGTTTGGGTGTGTGGATATCCAGACTTGCTTGCTCAAGTGTTTTTGGTTTACCATGTGACCCAAGTGGGGACACACAAGAAGTTAATAAACTTATGCATAATTAACGATTTGATAATAAAATTTATTTTACGATTGGCACCGTTGTAATCGATCCAAAGTTATCCTTTTGTTGGACATGCCAGAGAGATATGGCCAGAAATTGTGAATGAACGAAAAATTTGGATCTGTTTTAGATGGATGAAGCAGATTAAGAGGGAAGATTTTCAAACTCATTTCATAGAATAAAATTGCCTCATTTACAAAAAAACACATATTAAAAAAACTATGGAAGTGCAGCTGGTCTGCTTAATATACTTATGATTAGTATTTCAAATTAATGTAGCGACAATAACTGTCTGAAAAGAAGAAAAACAAAAATATCTTCGTTATATAACTTAAATATAATATTATGTAACTGAATGTAACATTATATAACTCAGAGTGACGTAAGTAAATGGAAATTAGTTTTAAATGAAAACATGGTACAACTTTAGGTCAAATCTAATGCATTAAGATCTAAACATAAAACAAGGACAAGAGGAATTCTGTTGAGACAAACTAGTAATTAATCAGTCAGTAAATTGCGTTGATTTCCCCTCAATAAGTAAGCAAGGTGTAGCTAAAAGTACTAAGCTATGACTCTTTTACTTTGATGAGTGTCTACATTCTCAATACTTCTGGCATAGTAAAAATAAGAAAAGGAAGAAAATAACAACATGGGATGACGTCATGAAAGGGGTTAAGTTCATTCTGGGAGTCCTCCCTCACTCCACAACAGTTGAGAATGCCTTCACTAAACAAGGTGGAATTTCTCAGCATAGGTATCAGCGTTATCGCGCTGGCCACTATTGGTACTGCAATTCAAGTGCTTTCGTTTCTGATTTTATGCAAGAGACAGTTTCGAAAATTCCATCTCACGCCATATTTTCTGAACATTGCTCTGGCGAACGTCCTGGTTATAACAGTGGACCTGCCAGCAGTAGCGATCTCCGCATTCGCAGAAAAACAACTGATGGGAGATATTTTCTGTCAGGTAAGATTGATTGATCCGTCATGGCACAGACATGCACACACAGGACAGAAAAAACCTTCAATCTAACAAACGGAAAACAAAGCAATTTAAATCATGGAGCACTGGCAACTCTTTACCAAACTTTCAAACAGCCTGGATTTTATTCATAGAGAGTGGTGCTGAAATAAGGGGATCAGGGAATCATTATGGATAAAATTGGACGCTGCTGTTTCGAAAAACAACGTCTTCCGCATTAATTACAGAGAAGGATTGGACATGTCAATTCCTTCTCTGAGCTTTGGTTTTCTTATAGCCACAGAGAAAAAGATGTTTATCCTCAAAGAAATTTGTTGTTTCTCCTCAACAAAGGAAAAATTCACGTGAAAGACAAGCATCGAAATTTGAGGATTTTGTTCGCGACTCCGAAGTTCATTTGATTAAACTGTTTCTTTTATTTCAGATGCGAGGATTCTTCGTTGGGGCGGCATCTATTACAACTTTTGCTACCATGACATTGTCCCTCTTCAAAATCTTTCGTAGGCTGCATGGTCAAGCTCCAGACGCTGATTTCAAATTTTCCTTGGGCGAAGAAGAGGACTGGAAACCTTACAAGAGCATGAAGACGATGTCAGTCACGTGGTTCTATGGAATTGCCGTCATGTTTCCTCCCTTTGTGGGTTGGGGCTCATTTTCGTCGGAGTCTGGTGGTACTATTTGTATCCCAAACTGGCGAGATAACACCTCAGCTGGACACGCCTACTTGATCATACTCGTCATTTTGGCCTTCGTGGCACCCTTGTACGTTTCCTTGGTCTGTTTCGCGAGGATTTACCAGAAATCAAGGAAACTCCCTAGTGAAAACCTGAGGACGACCAAGGAAAAAGCATTGACAAGGAAAGCTGTCAAGATGGTCGTACTCGGCATAGTCAGCTTTTCCATCAGTTGGACCCCTTATTGTGTGTCTGCTATGATATCAGTCATAGGTGGCTCAGAAATTTTTGACAGAGACCAGTCTTTCATCCCTGGAATATTCGCCAAGGCCAGCCTCATGTACAACCCGCTGCTCTGCATGCTTGTCTGCAAACGGTGAGAAAAGGGAAAAGAATGCGTTGAAGCGCCTGTTACGAGTACAAATACTTTAGATACCATAGAGTTGAGTGTTAACGAGTAATGTAAGAAATAAACTGTAACTACCATCAGTCGTAAGAAAATGTCACTCATAACAGAGCGTTAAGTCTTACGAGTCTCATTCCCATCATTGCCTCATTTTATAATGAATTTCTAAGCCATTAGAATGACTTTTTCACCCCTCCTCTAGCCCTCCACCCCTCGCCTACCATCCAACCCCCCCCCCCCGCCTCCCATCCAACCCCCACCCCCCACCTCCCATCCAACCCTCACCCCCATCCAATAACTTTTCAATTTTCCTCCGGACCTTTAGTTGGAGAAAGGTCTATTGCCCAGACAAGATGACAATCAGACCTAAAGTCAAAGTCCGTAATACTATAAATTTTTACATCTGTTTAACACAACAAAAAGGTTATTTCATAAAATTTATATCACTTTCGAGTCAATAAGCAAGTAAAAATTTCTCTCCACAGATTTCGAACCGTTGCTGCAGATATGTTGTGCTGCAGGAATAACAGTCATATCATCGTGGAAGTTGTCCAAAGGTCTACTGCTCCGAATGAGACGATGACCAGCGAACAACAACAGAACAACAACCAGGACATGCTACGGAACCAAGCGAGGTCACAAGAAACTTCTATGGTATTGAAAGGTTTTTGTGATCTCTAGAGGTTGCGAAGACACCAACTGCACTTTCTACACAACCCTCAATAGAGCAATTTTTTTGATTGAATGTCGAAAGTCATCTTAAACTTTATTGGTTTTTGTAATATTTCTCCCTATATTTGGATAAATATCTTACCTACGAGATAAGCTGCATTTTATTGGTTAGCACACTCTTGACCGCAATCACTTGATTGTCCTTCTATACCATTGTATGCAATTATGTTCATCATATTCTAATAAAGCAGTTGTGTAGAGAACTTGGTCTGTTTCAGTCATTACTCTACTGACAGTAGTATATTGAACCCTAATACCCAACAGTTTTGCTTTACCTAGCTCTGTGATTGGTCCAGAAAACTCGTCTCACTCTCTTAATCACTCAGATGCAAAAACATAGCAATCATGACTTAGCCGCCCGCGTTTTCCTGCGCTTTAGGCAATTTGGTTGGTTAAACTTAGAGTCAACTTTGGTTTTTTAAACCTTTAACTCCCGTGGTTAATGTCGAGCAGACAAGGGACGAGAATAAAGAAAAATATCAATTGGGGGATTATCCGTTGATCCTATACTAAATTCTCTGAATCAACATCGTAAGAATTGTATGATAAAAAGTAAAGAGAATTACCAATGAGATCTTGGGAATGAAAGGATAAAGGTATTTTTCTTTCTTCTGATTTGGTTTTGGTTTTAACCCTCTAACAGACGAAAACAGAATTTCTCCTTACAATATTAATACAATATCAACCAGATAAGTAATGAAAATAAAGAAAAATAACAATTTGGATATAATTAGCTGATCTTATACGAAATTCTCTGAGCTAACATCACAAGAACTGTATAGGAGACAGAAAGGAGAATTACTAAATTAAATGAAATCTTGGGAGTTTTAAAAAGGGTTAAGACATTTTATTGATTAGCGCTCGAAGATGAGCCAAGGTGGCGAAATTAAACGATTTCAAATTTTTGCACGCATTGATACTTCATGAAAAAATTAAACTTTCTCTCTGCAAGAAAACCTAAAACTTGTGGTGAGTGATTAATTTCGGCAGAAGCAGGTGCCATTCCAAGCAGCCGCCATCACTGAATACGGTGTATGTTTTTAGCTATGAATTCCGACTTTCTACCGACAGGTGCGTCGTTTCTCATGCCCAGTTTTGATTAACTGGAACGGGACTCTAAGTCGTCAAATTCTGTTTGTTATCACAATTTTGACTAAAAAAATCACCTGTTTAATAATTCTAAATTGGACTCCACTCGGTCGTTTCACAAATACCAATATTTTTTCGAGAGCTGGTTTTTTAAAACAGAAACTGAAAACTGGCCCAAATTGTGTGAATATCCATTAGGATAGTGTGGAATGGCAGACAGCCCTGTTTGCTCCGAATTTCTAAGGATGGTAACGACAACATACTGCCAAGATATCAGACTGTTTTTCGAATATCAATTATAGCCATATCCTAAATACCCGGACAAAACCATGTTATCGGTGAAAGGAAGGTTGCACGAAGCTCTGTTCTTCACCTTACGGTATGCCATCTGTACAGGCATGTGGTGATATTAATTCTTGATGTCAAGTGAGGAGTTATGAAAATCTAAACAAGTGAAATTAGAGAGATGTTTAATTCCCACCTCCCTCAGGCAAATTTCTTTTTAAAAGTGTTCCAATGACAAGTTTTTGTCTGGTAGAAATCTTTGTTTTAGAAAAGACCGATTTTGCTCTTTTCTTATTTTCGGTTAAGCGGCATCAATAGGCGAAATAATTAAAAAAAAAGGATAAACAAAAAGGAAATTAGTAATAAAAGATGAAAAATATATAAACAATTAACAGGTGAGACACTCAGAAATCAAAAATTATTTTTTTTTATCGGGGGACGTTTTGTTTCTTAAAAACGCTTTGGCATTAAATCAGGAACCATAAAATTTAACAGAACTTGACTCCTTCAGCGAAGAAATTGCATTCCTTTCACTGTTATGCTAAGTGAACTGTCCCTAGCACATTTTTCAGCACAACTGAAAGCCAACCCAAGGCAGTAGCTCCTGTGAGATGTGTTATAACATTCGTAGAATTCCTTATTGCAGTCGCGACAACAGAAAAAGAAACATTTTGCCCAGTACGTCTGCTGTTGGATTTCAATTTTCCCTGATTCATCACAGAAAATTGGGCTGCTTTCAATCTGCAAAAGAATATCAAGTACAGTTGTTTTATTTCAAAAATATATTTTGTTTACTTGAGCTACCGTCTACACTAAAGAAATATTATGCGCAGCCTCTTTCCCAAAATCTATCGTCTCGTCTTTCCATCACTATCTCTGTCTCTCTCTGGCCCCGTCAGGGAAGGGGAGGGGGGAAGAAAGACTCTGGGAACAAGTATTATGAGTATTTTCCTCATTAAGCTAAGGATCTGCTTTATATCATAATATTGAGCTGTAAGTCTTGCATGCTTTGCCGTAGCAATTTAAGATAAAGCGGTCAGCGATATTCGTCGAAGAACCTGGTCCATTGCTATAATCTCCCCAACAATTTATCAAGTCTCACCTGAGACTCCTAAGCAAAGGTATTTACAGTATCAGGAAGAATTTCTTTGAACAGGCCAAGCCAATTTTAGACATAACACAGTTTGTTTCTTCAAAAACATGTTTATTTATCTGTTACGATCATTACAAGCATAACTTAGGGAATAATTAATATTGTCCTTAGTAGGAACAAGACCTCGCAACATCACTCTGTTACATTTCACCACGAGAGGTGTGTCTTTGACACAGGTAACAGTTTATTACACTTAATATCGAAACGACTTTGTTTAGTTCTCAGATCTTCTACAGTCACCTACAGTCACTAGGGACTGGGAATGAAAGATCGGTTAACTGTGAAAGTTCTCAAGAGGATTGTTCGCTTCCAAACAATTGCGCATGCACTTGTACGATCCCCTGTAACAGTAAGGCTTGCCTCCATTGTTTTCGTTTCCGTCCGTTGCGACGCACGTTAAATGATCGGAATTGCACTGGCGACAGCAATTGAACATGCGCGGACTGAGGAAATCACAGGAGCTGTTTTTGAATACAACTGTTGAGCCCAGGACACAGTTTATTGGCGTGTTTTCATGATTATGGAGTTCACTGGTTGGCTGTTGAGAAAATCAGATCAGATTAAAAGCAGGTTATCTACAAAACTCTGATATTAGGCTGCGAATTAAAGGTAAATTGAAACTTAGATTCGTCCAGTTTCTCGAAAAGAGGGCATTTCTCAGTTTTGCCGCTGGAAATGAAATTGAGCCAATTGAAAGTATATCTGGAAGAATATGAGCTGAAAAAATCAGACTTCCATTTTCGCTCTCGTTTCTTCATCCAATCTATTGGCAATTAAGCTCTTAGGGAACATGGATTTTTATCACGTCTCACTCCGACTTTTTGTTTTTTTTTGCCGTGATTCATGCATTTTACTCTGTCTATTGTTAATTCTCAATTTTCAAATTGTAGTTTAATATTATTTCAATTACACAGCAATAAATGTATTATACATAATAAATGCAATGCTATCCTAAGAAGCAGCATATATGCATGCATGCATAACTCAAATTTTCTCGACAATTACCGTGAACACTGTAGCAGTTGATTGCGTGCTTTAATCTTATTTGCGCAATTAGAAGATGACATATTCAATAAAAAGGCAAATGAATATTCAGAGAAACAAGAAACTCTATTTACCGTTCTGTGGTCTGGTACTTTTGCTCCTGTGACTTGACGCTAAAAAGCCTACACTGTAGTATTTCCCTCACGAGGCAGATGAATAATCGGAGCCAGTGAGAAAAACCGAACGTAATATTTAACCTTACATCGCTCTGCTTTTATCAGATAGAAAACTCAATTGCGTGCGAGAAGGCTGAGGGCCGCGCGAGCTATCAAAACAACGCATCTCTCTTGCCATACTGCTTGCCGTCATTTATACTCGGGCTGGTGAAGATGATTGAATTTCGCAAAAGATTTCTCTAGAATCTTTCTCGCGGTGATCAGCAGCAAGTGACAGAAATGTAAGGGAAAGTTTGCCACCTGAATTATGCGGCTCTCGTGCTGAAAGCTCCCTCATTTAAAAAAGAGAAGGATACATACATGCAGCCATCTTTGCGCAGTTTTAACGACATTTTCTCCTATTTTCATTTAAGACACGATGTTCTATTAAAATTGCACATGGTCAAATTTCTTGTATAGATACAGAATGGGTGTTTAGAACTGCTTCAGAATCTTGCAAGCCTAATAGCGCGCCAGGTGTATTGTAGCCTCCTTGTTTAGAGAGTGATAGCTAATCAGTAACAAGTAAACTGCCCAGAATAATTTCGTCAATTTTCCCTGACATTTCATCATCGTCCATTTATACCTCTCAGTAAGGAGCTGCTCGGGATTTTGCTCATAAACACAATTAAAAGACCATGCCATGCTCTAACCCGAAACTCTCACCTCCCCCCCTTCCTCACCACACCCCCCCCTCCTCCCCGAGTTTATCCGGATTCAAACTTACTTTCCACTGGGTCGCCGAGTCTCCATAATACTCTTTCTTATCTCATTACTAGAAAATTACCTGAGTGGGGTTTAATGTTGGTAGAGTCGTTGGTTGAGTTGTTGGTTGAGTTGTTGGTTGAGTTGTTGGTTGAGTTGTTGGTTGAGTTGTTGGTTGAGTTGTTGGTTGAGTTGTTGGTTGAGTTGTTGGTTTCTTCGGTCTTGATATTGGTGTCGGCAGAGTTGCAATGGCTTGACTTGGTGATGGGGTGGACTGGGGATATGAACCTGAAAGATTTAAAATCAATTTTTTTTACATGCTCAACTTTTTGAATAGAAATGTAGAAGTCAAAACATTTCAGAGCTTCAAAAGTTATCTCTGACGCAGAGAACATAAATTTTTGGGGACAACTTTTTGCATCTGTGACAACGCACATGTTAAAAAAAGATTAATTTGTGCGATTCATGATTTATCGTGACACATGTATAATCTCTTTTTTAAGGGTGCGCCCGTGGTGAGGTAGTAAATTATATCTGCCGGAATAACGCCTGTTCTCTCAAGAAGAGCACTTGACCTCGGACTTTATTCAAAGGATTCTTCAAGATACTTACATGAATTAATTCCTTGAACCTTGAAGAGAACACACGTGGTCTTAAACGGCGAATCCGAATTCCGAGCACCACATTGCACTGCTACTCTTACCAGACGGCCAGCAAAACTCTGTGGCATTGTAAGGCCAGACTTGAGCTGAAAATTAGGGAAACAGCAGCTAAGCTGATGACACAGTAAAGTGCGGTGGCCACGTCGCGTATTTTGGACAAATTTTCCCACAGTTTTCAGTCATCGTATCAATAAATTGCTTTGCCAAAGAGAATAGGAATGTGAATTTTCTTACAGCATACACCTTAATAAGAGAGAGTACGGAAGAAATTTAATTTCTTTGAGGAGAAAAGGAACGAAAAAATTATACGAGTACTTAAAATTTGGCTCAGTAGATGAGTAGGTTACAGCACCCAGTTTTAGAATTGTTTTTATACCTTTATGGAGAGTTGACTGATGGACCAGCCACTAGTTAAATCTATGGTGTCCGCCACATTTTCCAACTTCCATGTTCCGTCACACCTTAGGTAGTTAACATGAACCTCATCTTTGAAATAAAAGCTGCAGTTCTGGTTGGCAGGCACGTTGATCGTTTTCTGACGAACGGAACCGGATGGAAAAAACGGCAGTGAATTATCATCTGTCTCATCTGCAAACAGTAAATCACAGCCTGAAAAAAAAAACAATAACAAATAGCGTTTTAAGTCATGATGCAGATTTGAATCCCATTTCATCCAACTCATACCCAAAGTTCTTCGTTGACATGACATATTGGTTTGGATCATCATTGATAAAGAGGTCGTTGAAAAGCATCCGGTTTGAGGTAGTAATCAGGCAATAGCGCCTCCTGAACGCATTCTATTATGATGATAATCATGCCATAAAAAGGAAAAAATAAAGCCATCTAAACTAATATTATACATCTAGTTAAAGCAAAGGAGCGGAAACGTGACGGACAAACAGATAAATGGCTGTGGAAGGTGACTGTAGGGAAATGTATGGATGAGGAAAAAAATACTGCTCTAACAAAGGATTCGGAAACTGTTAACTTTTCACTGCCAAGATCTCATTATCGATTCTCCCCACTGTCCGCCACACAAATTTCAATGGCGTTGATTTGGAGAAATTAGTACTGGATCAACTAATAATCCCCTAACTGATATTTTCTATATTCTCATTCCTTATCTGCATGTTGTTGTATTCATGTTACAAGGAGTAATTCTGTCTTGATCCCTCATGGCAGCTAAGGGGTTAATGGAACTGAAGACATAACGGTGGAGTTCCACTCCAAAAGCCAATACAAGTCAGCATCACGTACAATATATTAACGCTTCAAAATATATGTTACGTGATCATTGTTATCACTTAGGCGATATTAACTTTTTTGTTTCCGAACTTGTTATTACTTTACCCCTTTATTCATTTATAAACAATCCTAATTTAAAAGATATGTAGATCAAAACAACTTAGGGACAAAATCTGTCAAATTTCCCGCGTCAAGGAATGAATAATTTGAAAAAAGGAAAAATCACAGTTAGGTTTTTTTACGTTTGGGTGTAGCTTGTGTGTTATTTCTGAAATTGGTCGATATATATATATATATATATTTTTTTTTTTTTTTTGAAGCCACTCCTTAAACTTTTGCGTCATTTTCTCTTTGCAATTTTCTGAAGCTTATTTTTACGCCGTGGAGATGACAAGATGTTCGATCTGTGGGACCAAAAAGCCCAAAAAGGCAACTAAGAAGGAATACAGAAGGCTAAGGATCATGACAGGATTAAAATGGACTCTAAATAATCAACTTGAAATAAATATAATGAAAACAAACCAGCGACAGAGTACTGTTTAAGAACATCATTGCATTAAAACAGCCTTAAATCACAAAACATACCTGCATTTCGTCGAGCTTCAGAATTTTGCTCGCATTGGAAGTCTTCTTCGTAAAATGAAAAGGTGTTTGGGCAACTGCACCAGCAACCTCCCAGCGGGTGGGCTTTGAACAGGCTGCATGATGGACGAAAAGAGGGACATAAGGAGTCTGGCAAAAGAAAATCGTCCGTAGGTAAGCTGGGTAATCGTTCCATTTCGATCAAAACGGCGAAGGATGGGTCTGACAGAGCTACCAGGGGAAGAAATGTCCAAAATATATCCATCAATTTAAAATGGTTCTTAACGAAACTGTGCATTCTGTCTTCGTCAACAATTAGGCATGTTCTTCAAGAAGCGAGTTGTTGCACGGTATCCTTTGATAGATGTTGAATTATCACCGTCAATTCGTGAGTGCAAACACGTTAACTTTTCAACTCTTTCGTTTACCAAGTTTGAGTGCAATTTCAATGGATGAACTAAACAGTGACTGATAGAGCTCAGGTCGCGAAAAATGACTTTTTGGAATGAAACTGCAAATCAATATCACACAATATATATTGACACAACAAAACACAAAATTCCTGTGTAAGAATTGTTGACCAATACAAGCTCTGACATACTCAACCATGAACATACGTGTGCATTTTCATTCTAACGACATGCTTGCCTTGCATTGCAAACATTCCATTTCAAATGCATGTTTTTTCTGGATTTATCATAGTATTGCGCTGTAATAAGAGCCTGTGAAACATTTACGCTATTTTTTAGAGTTAATAGATTTCGGGCACGACGCCAAAATCCTGACGCTAGTGAGCTATTACGTTTTACGTTTAACTGGTTTCTTTAACCGCTCTATCTTAACTTGCAAAACTTATTCTTAAGAAGAGCTATGCATTACGTGAAAAACGCTTTCGCCTGGCCAGCTCTGACAAAATGATCATATAAGTTATAGTATTTATCGAAAGACAAAAACAACAACAACAACAACGACCGAGTTGAGCCTTCTGGAGCATTCAATTTGGTCTAATTCCAGAAAGAGAGAACATGATCTCATCCTGCGCCATGTATTAGCATGATACGCTATGCCTGCTACCCGGTCAGGGGGCGAACTACAAACATGACATAGCTTTGGTGAACATTTTGTAATTCCGCTATGACTTTTTGAGTCCAAGACATCTATCACAAGCCTCTGATGAAGATACGAAAGGTATGACGGGAAATACTTCTTAGGGCCTTGATAAACTGACCTGCCGAACGGAAAACATGGAATTTTAAGAGCCATTGTCGGTCAATTGGTGAATTAGGGCTATTTTCACGGAATTCATGGAGCATTGAGTTTGGCAGGGGCGGCCCGACGTTCTTCATCCTTTATATATTAATTCGTTATCGCCGCTGCAATTTGCACCCAGCAAATATGGAATGGCTGCAGAACTAAAGAAACAGTTTAAAACACACCACAATGCAAAATGAATTATTTGATAAATTTTTTCAGATCTTTACCATACCGAGGGCAAAATAAAGTACTGATAACATCAAACGAAAGCCTGGGCTTTCTGTGTTGTGAACGGTAAACATATCAATATCCCAGACGTGCCGGAAAACTGCACTTGAGTGGGGTCAAGAGAGTATAATGGGGGGGGGGGGTGTAAAGAAGAAGAGAGTCCCTGGGAACGATGCTGACGCCTCGTTTGAATTAAAACGAGCAAATAAGACATAGGTGTTTACATTTTGGAGTTAGTTGCCAAGATTTAGTCAATAGTTAGGGGAAACTAATAGCCATGCTAACGACTGTTTTTTTTATCGGTTGCTTTTGGGTTTTCTGTTTAACTAAGAGATTATAGGCAATTTGTAAACTCTCGGTTTATTCTGCATGTTAGGAAACGTAAACTGAAAATCGGCCATTTCCTAATATCTTACAACCAATGTTCTAAAGCTAGAGTTTTTATGAGACCATTAATTGAAAATAATGTGTCATTCTTATGGAAATGCAGGTAATCTTCACAAGAGGACTTTTCGGAACCCCAAAGTGGCTTTTTATGAGTATTCTGAAGAGACATTTTTTGATGTATTTCCATCGGCTACAAGTTAATGATTTTTTTTGTCAAAACATTGACATACTTTTTTCATCAAAAAGCTATTGAAAAAATTAATTAAAGAATCTTTTCGACATATGGCTTTAAAATCATAATAAAGAGCACTCTCTATATTGTCCAGTGCACCTCAGTGCACCATAATCTAAATGTTATAAACGGAGGGAACAAGGTAACCAAGCTGCTATTTCCCCACCAGTTTTCAAACTCCTCAACGCCTTGAAATTATGAAATAAGCACAACATATAATTTATCAGCAATCTGATCTAGCTAACAAGCATATTGTGAAAGGAGCTGATATTCCGTGAATGACACAGGCATGCTTAGAGAAAAAGAACTCCGACTGTTCCCAACAGGAGTCGAATCATAAGACTGTCAAATGAGTAAGTACTGAGCTATATGAAATATACATAGCAAATTGTCGTTGCGACCTGGTTTTCTGGACTTTTTACAACGAAAGCGATGAAATGTTTTCCAAACGAGCAAGAGTGACGGTAATCGAACCAAGAAAACCACGATTTTCTTTTTTTTCCTTGTCCTTACATTGACGTGATGGCAAATTTCAATGTGGCTGAGCTTAAGTCCAAATTTATTTTTGTGGATTTAGCATTCAAATGTGCGCTTCATTTTCATCTTGATTTTTGTTTGCAAACCATCTTTCTTCCCGTTTCAGTTCGATATACCTCATGATCACATCAATCAATCTATGATGCGCCAAGCCTACCCAAATATGATAAATCTCTCTTATTATGCAGCTGAAAGCGCCCGTGAGCAATATGAGGCGATTCCTGTAATCTGATTGGCCAACCAAACGGGCAAGATGGGCCCATCTTACTCGGATGGGATCGCCCGTCTTGATCTCGCGCAAGAAAAAGATTGCGTGGAGCGAACTTACCAAGTTCGTGATTTTTTTACAATGTCGGCAATGAAGTCGCAAGAAAGCGAAGAAAAATAAAACATTTGAAGACTCTTATGGTTTCACGATCGTGCTACAAATACAGTTCGGTTTCTTTTCCGGCTCTCGAAATAAACAAAAGCAAGTCATTCTTGTTTCTTATTTTATTGAAAATTTTTTGCTGAATAAACAATCCGTCAATGACCAAGCTTGTTCGGTCAAGATAGCTGGACATTGGCCTAATTTTTTTTTTTTTTTTGCGCTTTTATGGACCACGACTTCGCCTCGGTCCATTAAAACGCAAAAAATGAACTCAAGCAATATCCAGCCATCCTGACCTCACGCTTGGTCAATAACACATACATGGTATCCGGTAACCAAAGATCTCTGCCAGCACATATTTATCAAACAGCAATTATAGCCGGAATTGTCATCTAGGTCTTTCACGTGCAGATTGCTTATGGGAACCTATCGATATCAGATATAATACTTCGATTTTCTTTTAAGAAAACTAAGAAAAGACTGAGTCGAATTTTCGAATTTCCAGTCACTTAAAATCCTCAAGCCACGAGACGTGATGCTTTCTCTTTTGAGGAAACTAAGAGTGCCAGAACGCGCGGACCATTGATAATAACCGTGTTAGTACCATCACATGATCTATGATTGGAAAGAAAACGGGAAGGCGAACATACAACTAGAAGGTCTCTGTATGGTCGATATCTGCTCTCACGGCGTCTCTTCCGGTCAGACGTAATTTATCTCCACGTTGCCTATTCATATATTATCTATTATACCTAATCGGCGTTATAATTACAGGTATTTTAGGAAGTAGATGTAGAGGTTTATTTCAGTCTACGGAGCAGGGAATGATTTGGAATATCACTACTCCCCTTGGGAGGGATGTTAGTTCATCACAGGTGACCACTCCGACTCACCCACCCTAAAAATTTTTGTGTGAGAGGCAGTCAGAGTGAAAAATGTTGACAAAGAACATAACTCAATATCCTTGTAAAGTTGTAAGCCACAAAGGCTTCAAAACAAGTGATTTAGTGCAAATACAAGATCTATTATCTTACTAACTTTCCCGTTCCCTTTCTTCTCGCCAAGTTCCCGTATGTGACGATGTAAAATTTTAATCCTTAAAATACAGAATAAATCAGGTTAATCATCTTTCATTTGTTGATGATTTACCTGTCACGAATGAAACAAGGTTTGCTTTATCAAGAAATTAACCATTTATCAATTTTTTTAACGATTTTAACCCAAAGTGAAACTGTTTAGAGATGACCGTAATAGCAAAAAAATCTTGCTACGAGAAAAAAAATAGAAACGCTTGAATATTCAAAGAGTTTGATAACCATCAAGTCCACTTGCCGATATCGGCATCCTTTTCTCCGCGTCTTAGTTTTTTTCCTGAAAATTATTACTCCTACCTTTGAAATGACATCTTCTTAAATTTGCTATCATTTATGGAAGACACTTTTTCATCTAAGCTTTGTCGTGGAATTTAAACAAAAACTCTGGAGGAGGATGCGCGGCAAAATATCCTAACTTCGTGGGTGGTAGGATTAAATCATATAGTACTGACATTATGTCGCTTACAGAGTTGGTGATAGAAATATTTTTCCAATTTTTCGAACAGTTTAGCTGAATTGTTGAGTTTTTCTGTTATTAAATGCAGGTTAAGCGACATTTGCATGAAAAAGACACACGCAAAAAAGCAAATAAACCAAATTATGTTCAGCTAGAAACTTATGAATAACAAAATATTGACAGGTCGGTGTTGTGTGTTTATGACTCTCGGCCCTCTATTACGTAAGAAAGCCTCAACATTACTAGACAAAAGGTCTTGGAATGAGTAATTACACACTTCAAGCATCAGAGTGAATGAATCAGTATTCACGTGCGATATCAAGCAGAACACATTTTAACCGCGCGCTCAAGGCCATGTATTGACACGCACCCACTTTTGAAGGTTATCAGCTTGTTCTTGAATAGTCTTTATCCAGGAGGAAAAAGAGGTGTGTAATTTTATATTAACTTACTCAGCTTATTTTTCAGTGAGTGATTGTACTTTTTCTCTTCTATTCGTGTAATGCAGTTAGATGTCGTTGCATAGATTGTTTTGTTCAGCAGTGGGTAACCATTTTCTAGTGGGAATTAATTTTGTTTTTGTTATCGAGTATTAGTATTTTGCACAGACGTATTTGACTGTATAATGTAAGGTTGCTTGTTCGCTTTTTTTAACAGATGAAAGAAACATAGCAAAATCTTTTCAAACGAATTTTCGATGGCATGCCAACAACTAATTGTTCCTTGCTAATTCAGAAACTTGAGGTATAATATTATCATGAGCACAAAATATTCTTATTAATTATTTTATTCACTTAAAATAATATTGAAGCTTTCGCTGCTTCGAAATATCATGCGATTTCAGCACAAAAAAATTTACAAAGTAATGCATGAAAAGGCCATTAGTAAATTTAAAGTATAACAATTGTTGAGTGTATGGAGAATATTTCGCCATGTGGCTTTGGCAATAGACTGCAACAACACTTGGAGGTCTTAATCCGGCGATGGCTTTTACGGCTAACGATTAAAATTTCGGCCGTGTTACGGCTAACGGTTAACCCAAACTAACCCAAATGACACAATGTAGAAGAGAAGAAAAATTTTTGGTTAACTTTAGTTAAAACTTATGGTTACAATTTGTCAACTTTTACGACTAACGGTTACATATTCTGGCCATTTTACGGCTAACGGTCAACCTCCGAATGACACCCTCTGCCGAGCGATAAATTATTGATAGGTAGCAAATGAATAGAAATTTATAACAACGCATGACAAGGCCAAAACATGACTCAGACATTTATCGAACTCCACATGTCATACATCAGTAGCAATATTGCTTCACTGAAGATTTTTTTATTCCATTTCTGCGTTTAAGGTAGGGAAAGGAGACAAATTTGAGCAGAACAGAGAGTGGAAAAGATATGGGGTTACGATGAGGTGATGGCTTTTCGGGAAAAAGGCCCAATTTTTCGGCTGTTTTGCGGCCGACGATTAACCCAATTGAGACCCTCAAAATATGGATATTTAGTTCCTCTAAAATCTATTTAGTGACAAAATAATATACCTTGACAAAACTAAATTCAACTTTAACAAGTTTGATGACTTTGCGGAATAGTCGAGAGGTAATTGCCCTTGCATTTATAAAACAAACGTTAAGAACCCATTGCGCACGCTGTTTGTTTGTTTGTTTTGTTTTCTTTGAAGGGACATAAGCTTTTTTCATATCAGAGAGCGATTGATTCGTAAAACATTGTGGAAAAAATCAGACCACGTAATGCATTAATTTTCTCTGAAAAACAAACCAGACAGTAGGAAGGTAAGTACATAATGCAAAAAAGATTTTCATCCAAGATTATGAGGGCAACCGAGATATTTTGAACACGAATAATTCATTAAATTTCCGGTTAAATCTGGCTTTTTTCGATGTCTGGAACACAATTATGAACAAAGAGTGAACTTACGTAAATGCACGCGGGCGTAAACCTTAAATTAAAACTTCAATCCGATATCAATCTTGGATTCAAATTGTAATTATTTTTTTCATCACATAACTAGAATAATGTTTCCCCCCAAAGATCAAATCAGTGCATATGTGGGTTTCGATTAATGGAAAATGCACTTTAAATATTGTTTTTTGTTTTTCCTGTTGTCGTTTTCATAAAAAAAAAAAAAACAATTATTATAAAAAATCTAAACTGTTTTGTTTGGGGGATCGTGGGGATCGTATTTCTGGTTAAAATTACCAATCCAGCCCTCAACTCTTTACACACTAACATCATTATGCATATTCTCCATACTGTTCTCTATACATTACCTAGGTTCTAAAAAGGAGAATTTGGAAAACCATCAAGAGCTTCGTTAGTTGCTGATCATTTCCTTTGTTCTCATGACTTAAACATTTGATTCAGGGATGATATTGTAAGGAGAAATTAGAACCTTATCACTCCTGGGGAATAAAGGGTTAAGGAGCTCTGTCTTGCGTTGTGTGACTTAGTAATAATTGCATTCTGGTTTAATTTATTTGTAAATTAATTGCCATCGCTCGCTAAAATCAGACATCACGTAAACGAACTGGAGACCGCTATGTCTGGTAATGAAAGTGAAAGTAATGAAAATCATGAAAAAAATTGTAAACATTAAGAAGAGGGTAATGGCTTTTTTGGATAACAGTTAAGATTTGTCCATTTTACGTCTAACAAATAATTTCTTTTTATTGTGTTTAATTGAAAAAATTTATACGATTTACCTTTTTTACGTCTAAATTTATCAATTTTTACGCCTGATGGCTAAGTGTTTTGGCCGTTTTACCGCTAACGGTTAACCCCATTGAGATCCTCTTAGACCAAAGAGTGGAAGAAAGAGAGAATTTCTAAAGGCCCTTTGACTGACAAGCTTACTCAATTTTCGTGTATTGTACTTATCACAAACTCTCTGCCTTCTTACCAATTCGAATCTGGTGAGTACTATTATAAAAAGGTTAAGTGAAGGGATTAATTAAAGCCGCCTTCGAAAATCAGCCCCCGCTAGAGTGCAAAATTTTGATTGTGCTGTAATGTGATTTTACCACGCTTACGCTGAATTGTATTCAGACTAGAATCACATTAGTCTATTTCCTCACCATTTCGCAAGACACCGATAATGGACTGAAAATATAAACAATAAACTTTTAATTTTGTATTTCCTTTTAGTCGATCGGTTTATCAAAAGCGTTGCTAACTGATGACTGACTCGAATTTAAATAAATTTGTTGCTCCAAATTTATTACTGTCATAACTTAATTTCATTCTTTAAGCGCAAGCAGTTTTTTATTAAGCTTGAGGTCGGATGAAATCCAGTTATCGCTTTAGCTGTGGAAGGAGAGAAATTTTTTTTGTGAATTTTCTTGCGGAAGATTTTCTTTATATTCTATCCTAAACTCTACTTAGGATTGATTCTCTTCTAGCGTTTCCTTCAACATTCAGTCATGACAGCGTGACGAATAAAAGATTTTGAATGCAGTTAGCGTAAGCTAGCAACTTTATTGTCTTCGAAGGTAAAACAAAGTATATTTTGGATCATCCCACAACGAGGAAGTATGCTAAAGATATATTAGATGCCTTATCAGTGAGAGATCGCTGAAGGAAAATTCGCAAACCTTTCTCTAATGTCATTCATGTTTGTTATTCAACAAATATAAACAAAAATTCCTACCGAATGTGTCCAATTCGTCTTTTCCAAATTAAAGTAGCATATATTACATTATACGAATACTTTTATATTATGAAATCATACATTTCTTCATTATTTTTCGTTCTATATTGATTAATTTTTTGTATACTAAGTGTATTTACACAAGAAACCAGTATATGTATGTATGTAGGTATAGTTTGTGAGCATCGTGGAGATATAGTGTGTGATTTGTATTTCTGTTTTGATGCATTGCACTCGATGTGGTTTATACACAACTTCGCTCTGTGTGTTCTTTCCTCGCCTTTAGGTACAAATCATCTTTATGCCGTTATTTTATAGTGAGTGATCATGGAACAGCTGAGCAATAACTTATGACAAGTAAATAATAACGAGGATAAAGAGTCAGGAAACGCTCAGCAAGAACAATGATCTGAACAGCGCGGCTGCATCTGATTGGATAAAACCACGAGAATATGTTCAAAAACTCCTGCAGATATCCGCAGTAGAGTTCGTGCCTCAGTATGTGGGTAGCGTTTGGGTTTGTCCTCGTCTCATGTAAGTAAATATTATTCTCATCATCCTACAGCTAGTTTGATATGTATTGGTCTGGTATTTGCTTCCTAACAAGAAGCTCTGTTTTTATTTCTAGTATTGATCTTAAAATTTGGATGGGGGAGAAACATCTGTTAAGAAAATAAAAAATATGAAAAAATTAAACTCTTGCTTTGTGATGAGCTAAAATATGAAAGAACACATTTCGAAAAGAGGTTTCAGCGATGAAAAAAAATGAAACATTTTTTTTATCTCCACATCGTCTCAAGAGAGTGGTTTAACGATGTGTATTTGCTTATTCGAATGATGAATGTATCATCAGATGTATAGAGTTGGTCCTTTCATCATTGTCACAACCAAAATGTGTAAACGAGGTTGCACATCTCTTTTTGGCAAACTGACGTAGGCTGGAATGAAATTCTGTTTTGATGCATCGAAAGATTTTCCACCTTTGTCAGGAAAGCTTGGAAAACTTTGCTAAATAAAATAATGTACGTTATAAAAACAAAGAAACTTTCAGAGACTTGCAAAATTATCCCGAAAATAATACTTTTGTTTTTAAACAGTGGAAGTAACCACTAAATACAACTGCAGCAGAGTGGTTAAGAAACAAAACGCTCTAACTTATACATAAAATCATAAGAAACATTTCCGTAGTAACCATCTGTTTCAGTGCTATTGCATGATAAGTTCCTGAAGGAACCCTGGAGTATGCTTTTTTTTTCCTATTCATATGCTAAAATCTTGAAACAGTGATCATTTGTTTGCTCGTGTTTCCAGCATAAACGAGAAAAGAAATGAATTCCTAATCTCTACGAATTTCAAGTTTAATTCCAAAAAAAAAGTAAAAAGCCTTAATAAGAATATTTTTTGTGGTCTGTTTATTTATTCGTTTGTATGTCGTTGTATGTCGAAAGCTCTGGTTTTGTTTGTTACCTTGCATCTTATGAACCATGGCATAAGCATTTAGTGATGCTCTTATTTTCTAACATGAAGTGATAAAAAAAATGTGAGTGTCTTGAATTCAAAGATTTGACTTTTATGATGATTTGGCTTTTGTTTTAACGCATAATTATTTTTTCCTCGCTTTTCCAAATGACATCGCAAAATACTAGTTTTATCAAATTGTCGTCGTTTTTACGCTAAGCTTGCTGCTATTGTTCAAACTTTTATTCTCAGAATAGATTAATATCAACAAAAATCACACATCAAATTATGATGTAAAAATCAGTGATGTCTGAAAGGTATTTATAATTTACTAAATGCAAGTTCCGCTCTTAGAGATAAACGTGAAAAGTTTACCCTTACATTATCTCAGATGTAGCAGGCTACACAGAGGCAAGTGAGTACAGCATACATGATGCAAAGACCCTCTGGTCAGCAGCTGCCGAGAACTGCAAGCGGAATGCTTCACTATTGGTTGTGCTTGATTCTCAGTACAAACTCGACCAGCTGGCTAATCGTCTTCCGTCTCAAGGAAACAATAATAGAAATAGGTATTGGATCGGACTTGTTTACAATGGATCAACGGGACAATTATTTTGGAGTTCTGGTGTTGTTGCTGACAAAGTGTTAATAACCAACTCTAGCTGCAGAAAACACCCGAGAGCGCTTAAACAAAAGGACTTGTGTTACTTGGTGAAGGAGGGTCACTCTATTTGCTTTGAAAAGCAAGAATGCAACAAGAACCATCGGTATGGTTACATTTGCCAACCAGTTACCAACAGAGGTAATTATTCAATGATAATAACAACTGCGTTTTAGCCCAAAATGCACAACTGACCTAGAACAAACAATTGATTAGCGGCCAGCATTCTAAGGAAGCAGTTGCAAAACATTACGATCACCTAAAAAAAGGAGGAAAATGATTTCTCTCATTATTCCAATGATAAATGCAAAATATTTTGTAAAACGCTAAAAAAGGACACAAAAATCTCCAGATTTATCCCTGAGGAATTCCCTTGAATCTGACTTTTGAAATTTGACGTTTTTGATATATTAGTATCGCCCACCACATCAAGTAGTCCAGCACCAACAGTCCAAGGTACCACTTCAAGGCATAATACAGCAGCGAAATTTAATGCCTCTGTAGGCTTTACAAATCCGGTGAGTGATATAAGCACAAAAATTCGTTCAAGAGATATCTCTTACCTACAGTCTCTTGCCAAGGATATAGTCAAGCGTTTCTATCGTCTCTTTTCAAATTTATTCGCCTTAGTCTGACGGAGGCCTAACACATGCAAATTTTTATTTTCAACAGTTGTCGAAGTTTTCTTCCGTCATGAGTTCCCTCAATCCAAAAGATCCATTTTCTTTAAAGGTAAGCCCTCACTAGCTCCTATGCTTTATCAGGATCTAAGTAAAACTTTAGCTTCAAACTTTGTCCAGCGAGAGTTTTATTTATGACGATTAATTCACCGATAAAACAGATTATCGTCTATTATGAATATATCATATATGACGCAACTCATGCTATTGTTTTTAAAATTCTCATTCACAGCTTGCGACAAATGCATTTAGAGGCTTTGCCGAGTCCTTAAAGTCAAACCGCGATAAAAGAGAGAGGAAAGTTAATTTGATTTATTCCACTCAACTTATTGAAGAGTTTGCATTCAGATACGCGTCCTTCAACTTGAATTCAACCAATAATGAAGAGAGGACCGAAAACGAACACATAGGTAAATCACCGTCTTCAGGTGACCAAAGGTTTCCAAGGCGCTCGTATCCTCTTTATTCAAAATTTTACGAGATCCTGGTTGGTAAAGACGCAGAAAAGTTGCACTCACCATTTTGCTTGTTCTTTTTTATTTCCAATTTGTAGTCATACAAGTATCATTAGTACCAAAGGGTTATCGTCAAAATTTCACATTTACAGGAGCGAAGGGCGTGGACGAAGAAGCGAGAATTACTCTTCCTTCTTTTTTGTTTCAAACCAAGGGTAAATATGTGAATAAGCAATTTCCTTGTCGAAAAACTAATTCCTCAAGCTTATGTAAATGTATACTGGCATGTGCAATGCTGTTTCTGCTTCGAAAGATAAAAAAATTGGATGATGTTCAAAGTACACAAATTTCTCTTCGTTCCTCGACATTCCGCATTTATATTTTGTTCATGATTATTGATTTAATAGACGCACTGTCAAGAAGTACTCTGTCTCTTCTGTCTGTTATTCTGATTCCCACTTTAGCTATATCCCAAGCAATGTGTGTATTATATCTTTTCCTTCTCGTAAAATTTTTTGCCTTCATTTTCAGAGACTATTGCGGTTAATGTGTTATACAGAGATCTCCATGAATTTCTCGACAACTTGGGCTCCAGGTAATTCCTATTACAGATTTGGTAATCTTTTGATGTGTATTCATCGAAAAAAGTTGATTGCGTGTCCTTGTTGGGACTTACAATGTTCGTCTGTTTCACAGGGAAGGTAAAATTCACTCCGTGATCCTAGGAAGTGACGTTGGACCATCTAAACAGAAAATTTTCACAGAAAACGTCACAATCGTTTTCCACACTTTGGAGGAAAAGGTAAATGAAATAAGGTCACTACTCATTTATATATGACTGTTTTTCTATTTAAAAAATCATCATAATTGAGGTGCTTCTGTCGTTTTAGGGAAAGTACAAGAAATCAAGGCTAGATTGTGCATTCTGGCAGTGGAATAATTCCCTTCCGTAAGTAGGCTATTTTCCAAAATTCGAAGCCTTCGCATTGATCTCAAATTCCCAACTTTAAGACCACTCTTTCATATTAAACAGTCGTGTAAACGGTTTTTAGATCAAAGAATGCTCCTTCTTCGAGATTGTCTATTGAAGCTTCATTTGGAAAAAAAGGTCTTCTTGACAAGTTTTCTCTTCCTTTTGCATTGTGAAAAATCGATGAAAATATATTGACAGCTGTCCTTGTCATAAGTTTCACAAGACACTTTATAAACAAAGAAGTTTTCTAATGTGCTTGACTCGACAAGGACTGTTGTCGAGGAAATTCTACGTGGGATAGGAAAGAAATTGTACTTCAGTTTTCTTTCTGGTTGCTAAGGAAACTTTTAGGTGCAAATGGGAATAAATTGATAAATAATGCGCTTGGTTTTATGACCTGAGTTTGACTGTGATATTGGTTCATTTTCAGAGATAATGGAAGTTGGTCAGGCGATGGTTGTTCACTGGTGAAATCAAATACGACCCACGTGGTTTGCACGTGTAACCATTTGACGAATTTCGCTATTTTAATAAACATCGAGAAACAAGAGGTACAATTATATATATATATATATATATATATATATTTATATTGCCTGTGTAGCTGGTTTAAGGGGCTTGAAAAAAAGTGTTTTTCCATTTTTTTTTTCCCTACAGTTTCCAGAGGAACACAAGAAAGCCCTCTCCTATATGACATACATAGGAGTTGGCATTTCATTGCTCGGCGAAACAGTTACTTTTATAGCATATTTCTTACTTCTGTGAGTACCTATAAATTGACCATTTTTCAACTGATTGCTAAGTTTGCCAAGTCTTTAAATAGGAGACGCTGCTCTTCACAATGTTTATCGTGCGCGAGACCAAAGCGGGCAATCCCGAGCGAGCAAGATAGGCCCATCTTGCCTATCAGAGCACAGGATTCGCTTTACATTCCCCACGGGCGCTGTTGGCGATGTGATAAGATACCATATTGCGGGGGTATAGTTTATTCTTCCTTAAAGCTGACCTTGCCCGTGGAAGGCTTTGGACCAATTAGGCGTACATCATTTATTAGTCGAACGGCGTATCAAGAGTTTCATTGTATTTTCTAAAGCTCTTTATTAAACTAACAAGATAATTTTTCCTTCTGTTTTTGTTTATGTTTTGATTTTTCACTTTAGATGTTCCAGTCATGATCAACAAAGTCATGTGCATATAAACTTGGTTGCCACCTTAGCTGTTGCTCAGAGTATATTTTTGGCGGGAATCAACGCCACTCATAATCAGGTGACATACCTTTTAAAGTTCCAATGGTACTTAATATCTATAAATTTTTAAGTCGTATGGTTCTTGCATTCCTTTGAGTAGGGCTTTGAAGCCAGGGCATAGTATATGCTAACGAGATAATCGACTAGACTAAATTTTTTTTTACTAAAAAATATCGTTTCAATGTGCGAAAATATCTCAGGATTTACAAAAGCTATCTTATCCTCTTTAGGTACTATGTATAACTGTTGCTGCTCTGATTCATTACTTCTATTTGTCATCCTTCTGTTGGATGCTAATAGAAGGTGTTATGCTGTATCTACTGATCATAGAAGTCTACAATACTGAGCTCAGATTGCGTCTCTGTTATCTGTTTTCTCTGGGTAAGTATTCCTGAAAGGTGAGTCGCTGACCACTTCCCACACTTGGGATAAAAGAAAACGACTCATCCCCTACATTAACACACTGAAAGGAACAGCAACAAACACACCTAATTTTAAAGGGGGATGGATGTTGACCAATCAAATTGATTTACAGCTAAAAGTGTTGGCCAAAACTGACCAATCAGTATCACGATCTAACTAAAGGCTAAAGTTCGAAACGTCGGCTTTAGTAATTCTTTATGGTGACCAATTTAAATTATCAACTCAGTTGATAAAACAAAATTAATTCCTTGAGAATGTTCACTTTGGTACTTGCAGGCTTTCCAAGTCTTGTTGTTGGAGGAACCCTGATATTTGCTTCTTTAAACGAGCCGGGTATAGACCAGTACATAAACAAAAATTGGTAAGAATTATTCACGTATTTCTCCTAAAACATCATATATCTAAAAGTAAAGTACTTCGCCACGACAAACATAATTTAGCTAAAATCCGTATTCGTAGATTTTGCTTCGTTTGATCAATCGATCGAACGACTGAATGAAAAACCGAAGGAACAAGCGAGCGAATGAACTACACATCAAATGAACGAAATGACTAATGAAAGATCAAACGACAATAGAACGAATGAAACAAGACTAGAATTTCACGAAAATATGAATCAAAATATGTATCATGTACTATTATGATTATACCTACCTCGTAAAGGGAAGTAATTTTAGTTACAACTTGTTTCAGGTGCTGGCTTTCAACAGAGAATTATTATATATGGTCGTTCGCTGGACCAGTAGTAGTTATAAGTTTTGTAAGTATAAATACTGTAAAAGAAATTCACGACACCCTTCGAAAGACTCAAATATATTTATAGAGAGGCGATCAGTGTTCAGGAAAACCTCGTGATAGGACGTAGCTTATGTTGGTGGCGTGATCTTTTAGGACAGGCGCGTCACTTAAGTCAGTTTTTGTTTTTTTACTATATGTAGTAAAAAGCCTTAAGGACCAGTAATTTATTGCGGTTTGTCTCTATCCAGGTGAATATGGTTGTGTTTTGCATTGTTGTAAAAGAAATGGTGAACATGACGAGCATGCAGTCAAATAAATTAAGCCGAGTCAAGTGAGTATCAGTAATGAAGTAGTTGTCCTCTCTTTTGCCTTAACTCTTAATGTACTCAGAGAGACACATGTACACGTGAAGGACCTAATTTTGGAGCGGCTAGAAACATAAATTATGACTCTGGAACCAAGTATAAGTTAAATGCGATACAAAGGCTTCCATATTATTTTGGCTTAATTTCAGAGCCATGGCCATGAAATTAAATAAAGAAAAGTAGAAATCGTCTTTAATTTCATCTGGTACAACTGGCATACAAAAAAATAACGAATAGAGGCATTTCTTGTCATCAAAACTGCTTCGTGTGAGAGCTGCTTCATTTTCAAACGGAATCCCTTTCTTCCTTATCATTTCTCTCTCTGAGAGGGAAAAGATTGACCAATCAATACAATTTGACGTTTTCGTCTGCGTTTTATCCCAGGACAACCGTAAAGGCTTGCATTGTGTTATTTCCTCTGTTGGGGGTCACGTGGCTCTTTGGGTTATTGAGTATGATAAATTTCAGTGTTACGTCACAGTACATCTTCACTTTACTGAACTCTCTTCAGGTGAGAATATAAAATACTGCTAAACAAAAAAACTTATTCTTTTGCGTATATTTCAGACTAGTTTAACTTCAACATTTACTGTGCTATGTAAAGTGCTACTACACATTGAGGTGGATCATTTGATTAGCTGCAACGGATTTTGAACAAGTTTCTGTGTTCTCAGGAACGGATTGGAAAATGGTTTTGAATGTTGATAGATCTTTCTGAAATACAAATCAAAAGTAGCAAGGAGTTTAAGGAAAACAAAATTGACAAAATATACGTCAAATAAGAAAAGATTATAAAATCCACCACCGTGGATGTGATTCCTTTCACCAATATTAATTTTTAAAATTATTATTAAGAGTACTATTAGTTTCTTAATGATGTAAGTAATGCGTGATAGCATTAAAGATGATGAACGATATCCTCATTTAGCTAGTTCGTGATAAATATTTCACACAACAAAGAAATTTTTCTTTAAACGCAAATTAAGTAGCTACGAACTTAAAGGTCGACGCAAATAGTAATCCATGCTGGCAAGACAGAAAATTATCTCTCGAGGCTGAAACATTGATCTATAATTTCTAGTATTCTCTGAGCTTGACTGTTTATTCGCATGACCAACCATGGCAAAAGGAAGCGGTTGGAATTCTAAACATGTTTATTTAATTACTTTCCTCCAAGGGATTGATGATTTTCATTTTTCACTGTGCGAGAAATACTGAGGTAAGATTTTCCTGATCGCATTTGCTCATGCTAAAGGTAAGTGAAAAATACTACTGACCGAATCGGTAAAGAAACAATGTTAAGGGCTCCATGGGAAAAGGTACACTTCATATGTAAATAATAGTTTTAGAATTCTTGTTCTCACACTCTTAATGAAGTCACAACCTGTTTCCTTGGCAACAGAATAGGATGAATAAAAGCCAGATTATGAAATTGTCGATGCCGAGAAAAACTAATATTGAAAAAGTTTTCTCTCTCATTTCTCAAGGTTAAACTTGTATGGAGCAACAAGTTACAAAGGATGAAGAAACGAGCTTGTCACTTTTTTAGAATCCAAGGCCCTTCCCAAACCAACGTAAGCGGAGAAAACATTTCAGACAAAAATAAACCTTCTGAAGTAGAACTTAGCAGAAGGAAAAGCAAGATCGCTCCTGCTGATGGATAGGACAAACAATCACGAGCGATCACGTTCACGCAAACATATCATCACGTCCAAGGTGAAACTTCCAGGAAGGAAAGACAAAAATTACTTTAATTAATCGATATGATGAGGTATCATAGTCACAACCAAGTTTCTTCATGACAGCAGTGACTTTGATTTTGAACGAGCGTGCTGGAGACGAATTTTTTTTGTTCACCTAAGATAAACCACATCAAGACATTTAATGCAAAGCAAATACTTCATGATAGGAACAATTTTATCTTGGAAAATGATAAAGTCTTGGACAAAACTGACTAATCGCCATAATCATCTGTCTAATCAACTCCCAGGTCACGTACGTCGATAATTTACATGTTGTAAGCTAAGGCAAAATGTATTACCTTGAAAACGAATCTTTTGTTTTGGGATATAGATATGTAGTATAAGTTATAAATCATAACATTTTAATTTTCCGAGAAATTTTCGTTTATGGAGAACAAAATCGAAGGAAAATAGTAAATTAGTAAAAGGAAGTGATTCTGTAAGCTAATCGCCTAGGTATTGATATTGAGAGTTCAACCGATTATTTGAAAATTTATTCACAAATAGCCTAAGTAATAATGATTAGTTGGAATCAATTCTCGGATATGTTTTCACATAGGAAGTCTCAAGTCTCTCTGAAAAAACAAAGAATATTACCTAGTTTAAAACATGTCGATCTAATTGATAAATACAAGAACTAGTTCACATATTGTGCAAATTCCTCTCATCGAAGTGAAAAACTCGAAAATCCTGAAGATCATCTTCTCCACCAAAATTAGAAAAGTTAATTCACCAATCAAGCCAAGTGTCTCATTTGTCGTAAACTTAACCCGGTATCAAGGGCATGGTGCGCCAAGCAGAGCTTGTCCCCAGACCTCTCGATCAAACGTTTAGCCCGACTTCAGTTTTTCCTACATCTCGTTATCTCGTCACTATTACAAAACGTGGGCCATCACAACGGTCATTACCGATGAAACTTAACTTCAGAATGAAATATTTTCCAGTACTTAAACTTTTTAAAGTTTAAAAACATTACTGCGCTTTACTGGGAAGATCACTCTCATATTCAGAGTTGCAAATGTTATTAAGCTCTCCAGATGATCAAAATGTCTATCTATCTGTACTAATCCCGACCGACAACTGACAAGGTGTTTGTTGATATAAATGGGGAGTTGGTCCATACCAAGCGGAGAATCGTGACTTCTGTCATTTGCTACCTTGGAAACCAAAGTCAGGCAAAAATTTATTTGAAAACAGACTTATATACTTTTTATTTATGATTCAAGAAGAATTTAATTATATTACTTTGCGGTCAATGAAATTTGTTATTTTACTAGATGAAACTTATTAAGGATTTAAAACTGATTCATCCTTAGAAAAAAACCGACGCTGTTTGAAACTCTTTAAAGCTAATGATCACTCTATCAATTATCGTCTTTGTTGTTGGCGCTCTCTTAAATCAGCGTGAAAAGAAGACATTTTTCGTTATCCTGCTGTTTCATGCTATTGATGCCTAAGAATTTTATCCGCAATTGACTTTTGTTCCTTCACTTACATTCTATTTCTTTTTGTGTTTCAAACATTGAAAACGCAATTCACGGCCACATTCATCGAGCAAACGAAAAGATAGTATTACCAATGAATAAATTTTCGCTACCATCAAAACTCTTTAATTAAAATTGTTTTCGTCGAACCAAATTCAATGAAGTTTGTACTTGGCTGAAATAAAATTTTCTGTGTCTGTTGACAAAGTAAGAAAATTATTATTCGAGTGGTATGGTCTCTCCAACAAACCGTATATACTATATATTATTATTTCAACAGTAGCAGTTGCAATTTAAAAGTAATGCTGAATTAGTTATATTTTTGTGGGAAACAATATATTGACATCCGGTTCTGATAAGTGTCCAAATGGTAGCAAAAAGTAAACTTCCTTCCAATGAGTTGTCTCATTTCATTTTTAGGTTGAGTACTTTTCACACCCAAACGTTCTCCTCGATGAGTTGGAAAAACAGTCTACAACTGATAATCTGTTGGAGAAAAGCTTTAAAAGTAATTACCCAGAACCCAAGGGAGGATACTGTTCAATTTTTTTGTGAAAAGTACAGCATGTTGATTTATTCAGTGTTAACGTCGTGGACTTTTTAATTAAAATATTAAATTAAAGGGGTTAAATTGAGCTTTTAGCGTAAAGGAAATGCGTCAGTTCTGATGCAAATTACAAAAAAAAAAGTGTCTTTGTTTGTGACATGAGCAAACTTTGCAGTCTGGAACATTCGGTTTATTGAACAAGGAATTATTTGATTTTAAGGAAGCGACGAGGTGTTCAAAATTGCATGGCTGAAGAATTGTTCCAAGAAAAATTGAGATCCAGCTAGCATTTTCTCTTCTCAAGAAGCTGTAGACGTAATTAAAGCCAGTGCGTTGTTTCGCCCACAAAACAGAATGACAGAGAGAAACAGCACAAGGTCTGATGAGGACAAGTTTCATTTTATTTTTTATCGATGAAAGACTCACCTGACGTTGGCCGTCAAGGAAGATGAGCATGTGGGCAGGTCGAAAACAAAAACTCAAACAAACACAGTTATTTCTACATTTGTGTCGCTTTCGCTAAAACGAACTGAACTGGACAAAATCTTAAGAGGTGAGGCATTTGAGGAGAGAGGAATGAAACTTTTCAAAAGAGGCTTCCTTGTTTTTCGACATTTATTGTAATTCATATCATATTTTGAAGAATACGAACTTCGGCGAGTACAGCCATGACAGATCGTTCACTTTCGTTAGTTTGCGTGGAATCGTTCATGTTTCTCATCATCAACATTGCAGCAATCATTGGGAACACGTTTGTCGTTGCTGCCATTTCAAGAAACAGGGATCTTCGAAAAATTACTCACTGCTACATTTTAACCTTGGCAATTTCTGATTTGTTCGTCGCAGTCACTTGTATGCCGTTAACTTTGGGTGCTTCCCTGAAAGGTCGCTGGCTTTACAGTGACATCACATGCCAGCTTCAAGGTCACGTGATGCAAGTGTGGGCGTGTTTTTCTTTGACAATCGTGTCAGTGACCGCCATTAATCGATATTATCGCGTTGTGCGACCCATTCGTTACAGAAAAATCTTCACCAAGCGATTTACTCTGGTAACTACGATCTCCCCTCTCGTTATTTGGGCGTGTCTGGAGATCGGAATGATGTCTGTTATGGACGCCCGTTTTAAATTTGCCCCACATTTTTTCTGCACGCCTTATCTCACAAACAAGCTCATGAAGAGAGCTGTTGCTTTGCCTATTTATCTTTCGTTTATCGTAGTCGCCCTGTTCGTAGTTCTGATTTGCTATTTCAAGGTTTATCGCGTTGTTCGTAGACATGTGATTCTGGTTCGTCCAAATATTGTAGGAGCATCGTTTCAACCCGGAAATGAAAACAAACTTTCTTGTCGCGTCGATGAGATCAATGCTACAAAAATGGTTTTCGTTATAATTATGGTCAACTGCCTTCTCTGGATTCCAGTTTGTATTATCGGTGCGCTGTATTTTTGCGACATTGTTATGCCAAAATGGACACATTTGATGTATGATTACTTGATGTTCATAACAGCTGCGACAAATCCGCTGATTTACGGACTCATGAACAAGGCTTTTAGGGACGAGTATCTTCGAATTTTGAAGTGCAAGAGAAGCGCGAACAACATCAGCTAGTTTGGCAGTTTTTGGAACTGTGTAACACACTGAGTTCTACAACAGGCGATGTTTAGGTTACACTTACAACATGCATGAAGTGAGGAATAAAAAGGCCTCATGTCTGAGTTTCTAGAAACTTGTGCCGTGACGTTTGACCACATTTTTTAAATCTGTGTTCTTAGAGGAAGCAACGACAAATTAAAGAACTTAATGGTGCCTTAAATATAGCGTTTAAAGTTAATAAAGTTCCCGTCAGTTAATTATTTACAATTTCTTTTTAGATTTTTTTGTCTCTGTTCATATTTTCCGTCAAAGGCGGCCAAAAAATTATCGCGGTAACTCGGCGATCTATTAGCTATGCCAGGTCGTAGCACCCCAAGCCGCGCATGTCTGTATATTTTCGACCCTGAAAACTTTTGAAGCTCCAGTTCATATCTCTGTAGAACGAGTCCTGTTTTTTCATCAGCGCTCAGAAAATTTTTGCCACTGACTTTGTTCCTCTTAAATCAAAAAAAGAAAAAAATATATATATATGCTTTCGACTGTATGCTGTTTTGGTGTATTTGAGTGACCATGTTTTGCATAGTCTTCTTTGACAACAGAAACTGTACAATTAAAAGTTTAATTCGGGAAAAACTACAGGAACCCATGAGTTCATATTGGAACGATGGTTTGACAAAAAAATTCATTGACTGAAAAGGCTCTCTGAAATTTAATTTCAGATTCAAGTTCCATTTAATTCGGGAAAAGCCGCAGGAATCCATGAGAGGGCTGTCAGTTTACGATCGAACACATTCAGTTCTTTCTAAAGACTTGAACTGACTCTCTATTCAAAGAGATCAAACAGAGTCTCAATGTGTGTCATAAACAGTTCAACAAAACAACTCATGGATTAAAAAAGCACTCTGAAACCTCATTACAAGTTCAAGTTCAAGTCTCTTTTTTGTCGCTAAGAATGAAAGTACTGGTGAAATGATGAAATGAAACTGTCAGCGTGGAAGCTATTGAGAAACTACAGGGTTTTTCTTTTAAATGATGGTCTTCCACTATGTTATCTATCATTCACAATTTAACACTAGAATAAAAAAGAAATCAATGGTCTAGGTCAACCAGAACTAACGCATTATTTCAAAAAACCTATAAGTTTGTAGGTTTAAAAAAGTTAAAACTAAATAAGTGAAAAAAAGCAATTAAAAAAGCTTCCGGATACACTCTCAGTACGTCTCGCTTTGACAATATTCCCATAACAATTTTTCCATTTCCTTTAATTTAGATTGCAAGAAGATCACCATAGCAATCAATAATAATAGTGTTCGTGCCTGAGGTTCTAATTCGATTCGAGAGAAGGAACATTTATTTTCACCTCTGTTACTGAAACATATACTCTGCCCATGCGTCAGTTTTGCTACTGAATGACTCCTGGTGTTTCGGCAGGTTTATTATTTTAAACATCTTGACCGTGATTGACTAGTCTAATAAAAATATATGCCCTTATCTAAAATTAACTCTTCAAACCACAATATTAAATCCGCAGTTAACTGTTATGACTTTCCTTGGAAACTCGATCAAAAAAAAAATTCGGTGTCATACCCTGATGAGACTCTTTGGGAGATAAGTTCAACTTTTTCATCTCCAATGTTTTAAAATGAGTCAGTGTTGATATTGTACGAAGAGGTTTCTTTACAATCGCTTGTGAAGACTTTTTTTGGCCCAAGATATTATAACTATTGAGAATAATGGAGAAATCCTCAGCAGCTTTTTATCAAGACAAACTAAAAGAGGGACTACTCTATTTAAAATCTAGCTCACCCGAAGAAAAGTAAACATCTAAACGTGTTAAAACAAATAGTCCATTCTTCAAGATATTTTTAAAAGCAGACTGGTGATTTTTTTAACTACTTTCCACAAAGCTTTACTCTGGTTCTTCTTCCACTAACATATGTTTTTCCTTTCCATTTCTAGCGCTGCTTCCAACACTGGTGATGAAAAAGCGATCCTCACCCCATATACCGGGAAAAGGTGTCAGCCTTCGCGGTGGATTATCTTCGTTGCTCCTCGACGGCTTTTTTCGTGGTATCATCGGAGAAGCTTCGAAAAACGAAGCACTTTTTTTGGTGACAAACTTATGTTCTCGCATACTGGCGATGACGGTGGAGCTATCACGATCAGTCCTTTTTCGGGCATCAAACTAGGAAAGGTGGTAAATCCCTGAGATCGCTCTAGATTCTTCTCGTTCGAGTTTCCTTTGATATCAAGGCATGGAAGAGATTCTTTTGCTTCTGTTTGCAGGTTGTGCCCTTTTCCCTGTTTTTGTTTGAAAAACGATCTTGATTCGTGGAATATCAGAGGGAATCTTGTCTTTTGGAGGTCGTTCTTTGACATCATGCATATGTCTTGGGTGAAGACATAATTCTTATTTTCTTCCACTTTCTTTAAAACAGAATCGCTCGTAATTTTATCATATCTGCTCTTGTCATAGCTGGCTTGCTTTGGAGACCTTTCTCGTTTCCTTCTTCTCTGCCCTTGATCTTTAACAAATGAGCGGGACTTTCTTAACTTCTGACCGGCTGAGCCTCGTTCATCCTCCTCAGACGGATATGAAACCTTTTCCATATCGGTTTGAATTTCGATGACGTGAGATACTCTCGAAGTCTTCGCTTTCAAAGAATAACTGATTGCACTTCGCAACAACTTGCCCCAAAGTATTAGTATCTCTTTTTACCCCGCCTCTGAGTCAAGAAGAGAAAACTCATACCTCCAACAGCGTGTTACGCGAGCGGCTTTTAATCCTAGCAAATGCTTTTGTCGAGAACTTGAATAGCAGGTTTACAATTAATCGAAATTTTTTAAACTTTGTTCATTAGCTGTAACTGAAATGTTGAGTCATGTTTGTACGTAACAAAGCCACTAGCAAGTATTTAGAGCGTAGCAACTCTGGTAATTCAACTGTCGTAATTATCCTAGGCTGCAAACGACTTTGACTTCACACATTTCAGTTGTAAGTTTAGTTACGCATTTCCTCGTCAAATCACGTATTCTGGTACAACAAGATTTAAGATTTATGCATGTAAGTCAGTAGATTTCTCAAATTTGCGTTATCCTGTACATTTCTCGATCAATTGATCTTTAAACCAATTTCGGCTCAAATCGAGTTACTTTCAACTTAAGGTCGAGAGTACCTCCAAAATGCTTGGATTTTGCTGAACCTTGCTTTGTGATTGGCCAACCAAACTTACAAAACCTTCCAATTAGATGAAAAACCAAAACTACCTGTGACTTGATCAGTGTGGTTTTCTCACGCTTCACGTAGTTTGCTTTTTCGTGCCTTGAATTCTCACCTTTTCTTTGTAATAGTTTCCTATTGTTTGGCCTTTGTAGCCTTGTTTAAAAAGCAGAACTGTTTTACAAGGGTGTCTCTTAAAAAACACTTCCCCTGTCCAATTAAAAACTTGTTTCTGTCACAGGTTGAAATATTCAATAAGAATTTTTGCCAGACTGATGCACAGTCCTGAGAAAGTGATTTGATAATAAGCTCGGTTACAAAACTCATCGTTGATGTTCGAGAAAAAACAATTTTTTTTAAGTAAACTAATTCCTTACTTTATTTCTGCCAGTTCATTAGTGCAACCAGCAGCGATTCTGCATCAAATAAGTTCTGATTCGACATGACGCCCATTAATTCAAATCCTTTTGATTCACCCTACTTAATGACTTTCTGCATCTAACAGGCGAGCGAAGTCCATCCGAATTTCTGCGTAACGCTTGCGAATTTTGACGACTTTTCTTTGTTAATAAATTAATAGAGTTCAATTCACTTTTATCCGACATCCTTTTACCATCTGAATGGATCGGTAATTCAGGAAAGCAAGATCCGAGAGTCTCGACCGGGCGAGGTTGTTTGAAGTCACAACCATTTACCATCTTCTTAAACGCAGTATTTGTTAACAAAGGTAACGAACTTGAGCTTTTCAAGAAAGGCGCACAAGAAACGGCAGTTTTATGTTTTGATGTAAGGTGCGTTTCTCTCAAAGGTGGTAATAAAATTTCCGTAACTTTACAAGCGCTCGCTATTCCCTCGTTATAACTGGAATCGTCTCTTAGTTTACATGCGTCAATTTGTGGTAGTTTGACACTCATTTTGGGTTCTTCACTTTCCTGACCAGAAAAAACACTTAGTTCCTCTTGTTCCAACATAGAATTGAAACGAGAACCTTGTGGCGATCTTGCCGTCGTTTCTTGTCCCGACAAAACAAACTGAGAATCTTTCGACGCGCATTTCCTTTCTTCAGAAGACGATACCTTGTCGCCTTTTAAATCGTTTATCTCTTCCATTTCTGCCTCAATCATCTGTACTTTCTCTTCAATGATGTATCCTAAATCCCTTGTGAAGTCCTGATCTGTTGTTCTGTCGAAAGCTTATTTATATAAATACTTCCAGTCGACGAGGAAACATTTTTGCGTTTTCCATAAGTGTTCGAGCAGCAGACTTATTTCTTGTACAAATTGAAACTTAATTTTTATGATATGAAAGGCAGATAAAACATAAACAATTTCAAGCGAAGCTCAAATATATTGCTTCACCCAGAACCTTGTACAACAACAATTATGTACAATTTGTATTTTGCCTAGCGACAAGTTGCTGGAGGCAGACGTCTGCAACTTACAAAAGCTTTCATGAAAACAAAACAGGTCATTAACACGTTTGATCTAAAGCAATATAATTAGATGACAAGGTCTGGCTTTAATGATTACAGAGGAAAAGACAAGGGGAGGGGATGTGATTACAGATACAGAAAACTATCTATAAATCGACAGTAAATTAGCGCAAAAAAAAAAAAAACGAAAAGAAAACAGAAAAATAGCGATTACTTAACAATGGTTTAACACTGGCTAGTGATAGACGGGAAAACCAACAAGACGTTCTGACAGAATGCCGGATGGTCAGAGATTAATGATGCAATTTGTGATGAAATAAATTTCATTTGATCTGCGGATTGAAAATCAAATAAAGCTATGAACCTCGCAGGCAAACTGCAATCTTAGAAAATTTTGCTTCGGTCTCAACATGTGGCTTCGTATCTCAGTTTAAAGAAGCGTCCAAGTAGGATCTAGTAGGCCTGGGTTCGCATTCCGTCGAGGCGTTAATTTTTTTCAGGCTTCCGGCGAGGATCATGGCTTTCGTTGAAGGTATGATGATTGGCAAAAAGCGCCCGTAAAACCCGAGGGGAAAGACGTTTGGCGAACGATTTACATCATATTTTAATTGGCAGACGCAAAAATGGTCGAGCTGAGTTTGAAACATTAAAACGATAATAAGTAATTACCCGAGAACAATAACTCAGCGAAAAAGACACTCTTTAAGGTGGGAATTCATCAGACAAATGAAAGCTTAGCCGCCTTTCACACGATATAGTGTCAGAATATATTGTTGATCGGGAAATTCTGACGGCTACTCAGCTATTTCTCCGCATTTGTCGAGATAAACCCGAAAACAAAACTTGAACTCTGAGTCAATTTCAAACACAAAACGTCTTTATTTTTCTTATAAAATGATAACGTCAATAACGCCAAGTTAGGAATACAAATTATAAGCTGTTACAAAAAGGTTTTCTGTACAATATGAATAAACAAAACTTTTATAGAGATAGCTTGAAATAGCCACAAAAACCTATGGACTCTTAACTCAAACATCCAGCACAGAAATCTGCTTGCTCGATGTAACTGAAAGAAAGTCTACCATATCCAAATCTTTGAAGAATTTCAACTTCAGTTCTTAATACTTAACAAATACCTAACATAAACAAGGTCTTTGCTCGGTTGATCAATTGAAATTAACAATTAAATTATACTCGGAGAAACTGAAATCAAACTTTTTGAGAATACCCGACTATCTATCAGGCAACCGTGAAGCTTTTTAATATCCACGACTCCAGGGGCGGGGAGACTTACTTAAGGGGGGGGGGGAGGGGGAGGACTAAGTATTGTGTTATTGATAACCACGTTTAGTACTTAACTACTGACAGCTGAATGACCTTCAGAGGTCAATGTTAAGGAAAGTTTTATAAAACACACACAATTTACAACTGCTTTCGTACAACGTTCGTTACTGGTTACTCACAAATGTTTTCAAATAAGGAACACGTTATCGTCGGCCACCATGATTTGATTTGCATCTTGCATGACTTGTAACGCACTCTCGATTTCCTCGTCACGGAATGCCTTCTCACGTTTTACAGACTCCTTCACGGTGGTCAGCGGTAGAGTCTGGGCATGCGCCGAAGAGAAGGCCTTCAACAAAGCGGCTTTGAATTCACCGAGTCTGAGAGCAAATAGATTTGATAAAAAATTAATGATCAATAAACTGCCAAGAATGAGGTGAGTTGGAGGTTTAAAAAATAACAAAAACACACTGAAATGAGTTTTGTTTTACAGAAAATCATTTACTGACCACCCTCTGCTAGGTTGAAGTTAAAATAATTATTTCGCGACATTTTTAGATTTTAGTCATTTTTTTGGTGCAAAACTATCCTCAAGTTAAAGGGGACTACAAAACATTTATACGATGAGGAAGGGAAAAAAAGGGCAACGGTAAACCAAGGAGGCTCGAGGATATTTAATAATGGAAAAAAAAATTACGAACTGAAAAGGAAAAACTTCAAACGTTTTGCTAGTTTTTTTTTAAATACGCAAACCCCTAAAGAGTAATTTTAAAGCAAAAATGTAAGTAATTGTCCTGACCTAACATTAAATTCACACAATGACATAACAAGGTGTATAAAGCAAACACCTAAAATACTTTACTTTGGTATCTTTGTTTACCTTTCAGACGAAAGAGAAACAGGAGTTCTGTCATCACTTGTATCCATGGCTTCTTCAGTGCCACTGCTTTTGGCTGAACGACGACTTTTCATCCTCTCTACAACATCTGAGGCAACAGTAAAGCAACGAAAAATAATTATACCTAATGACTAATACTTCATAATGTAGGCCCTCTTTTTGTAGTTTTTACGAAAGCTTACCTCCGGTTTCTTGTTCTCCGTCATCGCCGTCAAAATCATACGGGTCGCCATCTCCATCGCCTCTATCTTTCTTTGCTACTTTCTGTTTCTTGGCTTGTGATTTAGTGGCTCTACAACAGAAATAATAATTTAACCCAAGGAATTGAATATTCTTCTGATTCTGACACAACTGCTGTTGAGAATTTAAAGAAACTGAGAGCGGGCAAAGATTGGAAAATTCTAGGAAAGTTGTCAAAAAAAAAATTTGGCGCTTCAAGAAATACGAACCCAAATATGGGGCGCTAACCCAGTTATAGGGTGTATTCAGTAGAGTTGTGTTTCATACAACGAGTTTTGTTTTATGTTGCTTTTTGTTGTTCTGTTTCCTTTCCTTTCTTTCTTTTTTTCACAGCTCTTACGTTCTGGATGTTCTTTGCTGTGATTGGCTGGTTTGACTTTCTTCTTCCTGTTCTTCCTCCTCCTCTTCTTCACCAGATTCCTCCTCAGAATCTTTCTTCCTTTTGTTCTTTTCTCTCTTCTCCACCTGGAAAGAAAAGAGACCTTCTCAAGAGATAATATATACATGTAACTCAACGGTAAGGCTAATTATTTGACACTGATATGGGTAACGTTTTACGTCATTAATGTTCATTCAACTGGTTGTCAGAGAATATGAGGTGTGCGATGTAGATATTCAATTTACGATGTTGTAGAACCACCAGAATTACTCTGCCTCTATGAAACTCAACCAAAAATGCTGCATTACCGTCGCACATGTCTTCACACGAAATTTGAAATTTTATTTGAAAATGCTCCATTCAATTTAAAACTCTTCGTTGTGACTATAAGCACGTATAGCATATTTGCTTCAAAACAATTTTTGATGGTTACCTTGTGAAAGTACGCAAACGACACCATATCAATTGCAGCACCAGCATCGTCCTAAAAAAAATGACAGTGGTTAGATTTCCCTGAGACTCGCCGTTGTGATTACACTGTTTTATTGCACTCAAACGAAATCTGCTGTAACATATAATTTTAAATTACTAACCTCCTCGATAGTCTTGCTCATTCTTGCCTTGGCGTGTGCTGTGGCCAAACGAATCATTGTTTCCAGAGTTCGTGCAGTAACAGGCATTGTCTGTGAAGAAAACGTCATACAATGAGTTAAACTTGTATAAAGTGGCAGGAATAACAAAAGGGATTTTGTTTTTTTTGTTAAGTTAAATGAGGAATTTTAAGAATGCGTGGTGTGCTTCGAATGTAAATTGACTCTAAATCAGAAAATACAGACAAATAAATTAATGATAGACAGATTGATTTATTTTTATATTCTTTTAATAAGCTACATACCTTAGCCTTCTCATTTCCAACGTTCTCCTGGTCTCTCAGAGCTGAATAGCTTTTGGAAATTTTGTCTGCTGCTTGTTTTGTCAAGCGAGGCTAAGACAGAAAAAATAGCAAATGAAAAACACATCCCTTGAACACTTGGGCACAACTCTCTAAAGTGGTCGACTTCCTTCAAAAAAGGTTACAGCAAAATAAATTAACCCTTTCACTCCCAGAAATGATTCACACGTAACTTCTCCCAATAATATCCATGCATCACCCACCAAAAAAGTTATGAGAATACTCAGACTTATCAAGTAGAAGTTGTCAACTTGATCTAACACCAAATTCTCGAAACCAATTTACAAGGAAATGTGTAACAACTTGAGGGGAGAATTAACAATCAGATCTTGGGAGTTAAAGGGTTACACGGAGGAAGAGAAAGGATGAAACGGTGGTAGGAGCCATCATCCACTTCTAATGTGGCGAGGGTTCCATTCCCACACTTGACGTCACGTGTTTGTTGCTGGCTCTCACCCTGTCTTCTAGGGTATTTCTCTAAAAGTCCAACGTGTTTTCCTTCCTTCTTTCCTTTATAATCCAAATTCCAATCAAACCCAAACACAGTAGACAAAGAGCTACTCAATGGATGCGTTGCTAAACTCTACCTTCTTCTGTGTATCAGTTATTAAGCATGGTAGCAGATTTAGCACATTTTATTGCAGTGCGGTTTTTGCTAACCTTGATGCCTTTAGCTACATGAATGTATTTCTTCATAAATGCCATTGACACATATTTCTCCCTGAAAGACAACCAAGAACAGAATTCATATCATCTCAAAGTGTCTCAATCTTAAGAACATCTTTCTGTTGTAAACCTAAAGATTTTTTTTTCATTTCGGATTGCAAAATAATTAAGTTCTACCAGACGCATAAGTCAACTTACTTGCGATCTTTTCGCTTTCCATGCAACATTGCATCATACTTCTCATAGATGGGTGTGTCTGTCTCCTCATCCTCTGCCTCTGGGTCTTGTGTGGCTAGAGTCTCTGTTGTTACTCCAAATGGTAAAGCTGAACAGGAAATCACAATAATAAAAGTTTAAAAAAAACCCTAATTGAAGCTGTGGACTAACCAGTGTAGGGGGTCAGCAGCATAGGAAAGAGAAGAGAATGGGGCGAGATATGAGGAATTCGTTAAGATAAGAGAAAATGAGAAATGAGAGAACTGCATAGCTATAACGATTCATTTGTTAATCATTGTTCTGCAGTGTTTTGTGTCGAAAGGCAGAAGACAAGACTAAACACTGGATGCAGGGGAGGGAAGCTTTAGAAAGGAGGAGATGGGAGATTGAAACTCATCTGTCACCAACAAAGGTAATTCTTCAAAACCTTGTTTTAAGCTCTACAATGAATATCCAGAATAAATCATAATGTATGTTGTAAATAACTGCCTTAAAAAATTTTCCTAAAGATTCATAACAATCAAAAACTGCTGCTTGTAGAAAGTTTTCCAAACACTACTCACCCTCCCCTCTTGTTCCCCTGGTTTTCTGTATCGATGCATCCTCAGCACATGGTCAGAAATTTTACGGTCATTTTCAGGATCCATCTACAATGAAAACAAGTGAAATAGGTTAACCCTTTAACCCCTAAGAGTGACTAACATCTAGTTTCTGCTTACAACATCAGCCCTGAATCAAACGTCAAGATCATGAGAATAAAGGTGATGATCACCAACTAAAGAAGCTCTTGATTGTTGAATAAATTCTCCTTGTCAGCACCTTACAAAATGTATAGAGAACAGTATGGAGAATATGCTTTCTGATGTTAGGGTGTAAGGGGTTAATAGTAATGATTTTGCTCAAAACACCTCATGAGATCATCTTCCTTTAACTTACACTGAGATAAAGAACAATTACACGGCATCAAAGATTGATGATTCAAGAAATGAATGCTTTCAGATAAGGAAAGAAATATAAATACTCTTCCATGTCCACTGAATGTACCCTAATTATAAAAGGTGGCAGGTTGGGGTGCTAGTTAACTATAAGGCAGAAAACAACACCCTGTTAAACTGATAAGGAAGCGAGGGAAGGCAGCCTACAACTGAATTGCACCCATCCCCCAAAATATTTAATATGATTCATGGAAAGAAAACTATCTCTCCCAAATGGAATCTTTCTATCATCCTCTTAGCCAATTCTGCCATGAAAAATTGTTCATGCATAGACAATAAGGTTTTGAAATCATATTCATTGATCACAATGACTTTTTTCAAAGCTTGCCTTACCTGATCAAGCACAATAAATAACAAATCAAAACGAGACAGAAGAGAATCCTGCATTCCAATGTTGTCCATAGGATTTTTGTACTCATCATACTGCATGAATAAAAGAAACAAAGAGAAAAGTAATGAAATATCACTCTAACATTCAGTCAGTCAGTCAGTCAGTCAGTGTTACAGAGAGTTAGTTTGTTGGACAGTCAAACAGTCAGTTTGTTAGTCTGCCTTTCAGTCAGTTAGCCAGCATGTCAGTCTGTTAGTCCATCAGTCAGTCAGTCTCTGTCAGTTTGTCAGCCTGCTAGTCAGTCAGTAAGCCAGCCATTCATTCTGTTAGTCCATCAGTTAGTTAGTCAGTCTCTCTGTTAGTCAATCTCTGTCAGTTTGTCAGTCTGCCAGTCAGTCAGATGGCCAGTCTTTATGTCAGTCAATCCCTGTCAGTTTGTCAGTCTGCCAGTCAGTCAGTTAGCCAGTCAGTCAGTCTGTTAGTCCATCAGTCAGTTTTTCAGTCATGGTCATAGCATCTGTCTGTCTGTCTGTCAGTCAGTCAAACTGTTTGTCATCCATTCAGTTGGCAAGTCTGTCTGTCAGCCACCCAATGAGCCAGTTGGTTTAATAGTCATTTGGTATGTCAGTTGATCAGCAAGTCTTCATCAGGTTTATAACAACTCTTACCCTGCCATAAACTGGGTTAGCAGCTGCAAGAACAGAGCAGCGTGCATTAAGCTTGGCATGGATCCCAGCCTTTGAAATAGTGACTCTTCCCTGTTCCATCACTTCATGTATGGCTGTGCGATCAAGGTCACTCATCTGTGGATTGAAGAAAAAAAATTTAGAAACTTAGAAAGATCACCATATCCAATCATTAAATCATGTTGCCTTGAGAATTTCTTGGTCTTTGCATTTCTAAACTAGCAGATGCTTCAAAAATTAAAATTTTTCAGAAAAAAAAGTGTCTTTAAAATACATATCGCATTTATAATCCATAACAAATCACCAAACAGAACTCAATATTACCTTGTCAAACTCGTCAATGCAGACAACTCCTCTGTCAGCAAGCACCATAGCACCTGCTTCCAATCGGCGTTCACCTAGAAAATAAATTTATTACATACTAGTTCTTACATACTGATCACTTCCTGGCAAAATGCTAAAATATGTCTTCTCAAGGTATGCCAATTCTCTAGAGGAGATGTGTTAAGAAAAATTCTAATATTTCAAGCTTTTCCAGTGTAGCTCCTTCAAAACCAAATGCGAGTTCCTATTTGAGCAACAGTCACCAATAAGGTGGGAACTGGATTAAATACTGCACATGACCTGTTTTACCTGTTTCAGGGTCTGTAGTAACAGCTGCAGTCAAACCAACTCCTGATGAACCCCGTCCAGTAGTTGGAATGGCACGTGGGGCAGAGTGGAGGACATACCTGAACAAGACAAATTTGATGAATTCTCACACCATTTTCAACTATGCATTGACACAGAGACACTTGTGGGAACTAGGTTACATTTAAGCATTAAAAAAAAAACAGTTTTATTTGATTCGAGTCATTTGTAAAGTAAACTGATTGAGAAGTTTCTCCTACAGTACACTCTCAGACATTTCTCAAATGAAACACCAACACTATTACATTTTAATTGTTAAATAAACAAACTGGGAAAAAAAGTCAAGTAAAAATTATGAGTTTTTCTGTTACCTTAACATCTGTGACTTAGCAGTAGATGGATCACCAATCAGCAGAACATTAATGTCCCTACAAGAATAAGGGGAAAAAAAACATTTTGATTAGAAATTGTGACCACAAAATATAAACAGGAAAAAACATTTTTGATTAGAAATTGATCCTCGCAGTAATGACCATTAGTGAAAATATGGCCTTACCCATGACCTTTAACTCCCATGGGTTCAGTGACCAAGACAGAACTGCTCAAGTAGTACACATTCTCCATTCACACAATATATCTAACCCAATATCAACCAGATAAATGAACCAGACAAGTGATGAGAATAAAGAAAAATATCAATTTGGGGATAATTAGTTGATGCAATAATCTAAACTAATGTTATAAGAATTGTATGGTTGACAGTGAGGAGAATTACAAATTTGATCTGGGAGTTAAAAGGGTTAAAGTTAATAATGGTCAGGAGAACATTAACAAAGAAAACAGCAGTTAGATCTTCAATCTCACATTCAAAATACCAAAAAAGGAAAAAAAAAACTTATTTTCAACCATTAATTTCAATCAATTTCAAAAATCTACTGAAAAGCAAGTAGGTATAGGCCACATGTACCCTCTCAGTCTTGTGCCATTTTCCAAGACTTTCTCTGTTCCTCCCAACAGCAGACATAACACTGCTCTCTTAATGTACTCATGTCCATGAATAGATGGAGCTAAGGACTGGGCAAGCATTTCAAATACATCCTGTAAAAAAACATAGAGTTAAATGTGATAATTTTTAACACATCTCCAACTTAAAATAAGAAATATGATGGCAAACTTTTTTATTATTAGTGTTTTCAAACCTTCTTGCGACGACTGAACTTCTTAATGTTGGACACATCAGCAGCAGAAAAATTTGGAGCAATTTCCTTACTCAATACATGGATGTGGTTAGCAATGAGAACAGTTCTGTGTAGAAAATAAAACAGAAATACCATTATAAATTTTACAAAAAAGCAAAGGCAGTTATTCTTTATTCCACTCAAGAGTGGACCAAGAGTAACCAAGACAGATACGATACAACACTGATACAATATCAAGTAGACAAGGGATAGGAATGAAGAGAAAATAATTTATCTGTCAGGGAATAATTGGTTGATCCAATACCAAATTCTCTGAACTAACATCATAATAATTAAATGGTGAACAGTAAGGAGAATTACTAATGAGATAATAGTAAAAGTGTTAAAGGAAAGCTCTTTTGTTAAGGCATTATTACTACCTAAATGTTCCTGGGGTGAATCCAGCTCTCTTTGATGGAAGGCAACGATACATTCCAACAACTTGTACTCTGTCACCAGGCTACAGGGGAATAAAACCAAGCTCAGGCATTGAAAGTTAAAACTTCTTCAAACTATTCTCAAAAATTTTGATGAAATTGTACGGCCATGACAATATATACCTTGCACTTATCTACCAGGTCATTATCAGAAATGATGTCCACTGAGCGAGGAAGCTGCCCTGCTGGAGCTTTTTCAGGCATTTCCTGAGTGAAATAATTACATGCATACATAAATAAAATTCTACAGGTGCCTCTATAGGCATGAATCAAAGGTATGGTTTGAGCAGAGTTGGTAGCAAATTGTGACTAGACTAGTTATGTACCTCCATTTCAGTTCAACCTTTGAACTCTGAGGAATGACCAAAGAAAAATTTCTCTCTACAACATTAACTACATTTTAAATCAAAATGGTCATGAGAAGAGAGAAAAGTATTGATTTGAGCATGCTATTTGACTATAAATACAGAATTCTCAGAGCTAAAATGATTGAAAATGTGTACAAAACTATATGGAATAATAATATTGCCATTATAATAAATTTCAACAATGCAGTCAGGTACAAAAAGTTAGACAAGAGTACTTTATCTCAAACAAGAAGAAAAAAGTGAGGGGATCGGTTACAGGTGAGTTTAAGCCATATGTGCGATAAATGATTATCACAAGAGCATCTCTATAGTTGTACCTGAATTGTAAATGTCTGATGATCTTTGTAGGTTGATAAACCATACTCAGTCTCCAGCGGATTACCATCTTCATCCTGAAGATACAAGATAAATTTCTATCAAAATGAAATTACCATGATACAAAGGATTGATAGTAGATGCTAATCACTAATCAATTAGGATTTAAAGGATTAAACAGCAAATGAATGGCATAGGTTACCTTTGTTGGATAGACTGAACTTGTTGGGAAGGCATCCAGAGAAGTCAGGTCTGTGTACCTACGAACCAAAGTCTTCTTCGTCTGAGGACAGTAATGAACACTGCGTACAACTTTAGGCCTCACAAGTGAACCTGGAAAATAAGATAAAAAAAAACAAATTAGAACTACAACACCTGTGGTTGTCTGGAATGTTTGACAGTGGACAAAGCCCGGCTCAAATCAGCTCAAACTAAACACATAAACCCTTTACACCCTAACATCAGTATGCATATATTCTTTATACTATTCTATATACATTTCCTAAGGTGCTGACAAGAAGAATTTGTTCAACAATCCACAGCCTCTTTAGTTGTTGACCATTTCCTTTATTCTCATGAATTCAAGGGTGATATTGTAAGCTGAAATAAGATGCTGGTCTGTTAATAATGATTAATTAATAATTAATAATGAGATCTTGGGTGTGAAAGGGTTAAAAACGACTGTAACAATCAACATTTAACTTACACTTAGTGACAATTCCCTCCACACAGACCATGTTCCCGATAAAACGAGCAGAAAGTGACCTAGGAGTTACATGCTTTGCACCAAAGCTACAAAATAGAAAAAAAATATTTTCAACTAAACTAATACGCACTACTACTCCACTTTGAATAATTTAAGGTGAATATAGCCTCTATTCAAAAACAATCAATAAAAGTACCTTCCGTCAAATCCAATAAAGAACTCTTCATTTTTTCTGCCGTAAGCTGTATCTGCAGAGCTCACAAACTCCTTTAAGGCATTCTAAAGAGGGCAAATGTAACTCTTAAATAATAAAACACCAATTTTAAATGTATTTTGATATTTTGATCAATGAACAAGATTGAAAATAGAAATTAAGAATTTAAAGAAATACCTGAAATGCAATTAACTCCTCGAAGGAATTGTTGAGAATTCTGAAAAAATTAAAAGAATATCAGTTCAGTAATTATTAAGTGTTCTCAGGGGGTAATCATGAGAGAATAGTTTGAGCCAGGAGATTTCCAAACTAACCCCTTCACTCTCAAGATCTCATTGGTAATTTCCTTTAATTTCTGCCATACAATTCTTATTATGTGAGTTTGGTGAATTTGGTATTAGATCAATTAATAATCCCCTAAAAGTGATATTTTCCTGTATTCTTAACACTTTTCTGCTTCATATTGTATTGATATTGTGAGGAGAAATTGCCTTGGTCACTCTTAGGAGTCAAAGTGTTGAGGAAGTCAAACATAAACCATGCAAAACAAAAAAATATATAGATGTAGTCTCACAAGGGTCTTGATCTCAACTCGCTGCACCTCTTGTAACTTTTTTATTAGGAAATTCATTCAAAATGATGGTAGGATTTTATAACTAAAAATACTTTAATGGTCTAAACTCACTCAACAGCTCTTTTTTCGTTTTTTCTCCTCAGATCATTAATGTTTACAATCAATCTGCATTCATTTCTGCTTATCATGTCACGAACTCTGCCATGATAAATTCCTTGATCCTCCTGCGAGAACAACAATACATATTAAGGCTTAAAAGCCATTGAAACCACTTAAATTCGGCATCAGGAAAAGATGCCCTGTATACATGACCCATAAATGTAGTTAAGGTATAAGCATTCATTTCACTAAAAGATGCCACGATAGGTTCCACGATGGAGATCGACAGAAATTGTTGATGGTGAAAATCATGCAAATAAGGTCGTGTACAGGAATTAAAATTTCCCGGGAACTGAACATGTGATGTTGTATAAACCTTTCATCGGCATGGATGTCTCTAACATTTTACTGAAAAAAAATAGCAAGCTAACAGTCACAAATTCATCACTAAAAGTAAAAAAAAATTATGTGCCGACTGAAATTTGCGAACATACTAACGGAAATCAATCAGAAATGGTGTGTTCACCATGTGCGAGACAAGCTCTTTCGCACAGCTAGACTACACGCAGGATTTGATCCAAAAATAAGCAATCCTCTACTCACATCGTCATCCAAGAAGTCAAGATACTCTCGTTGGAGTTGCCGTAGATACTTTTCATTGTCCAAAGCCATAATGTAATGCCACGATCTGTCCAAATTTTGTGCTCTTTATCGCCAGAAGTTACCTGATCAAAGCTTCGACTTGCAAGCAACTGTTTGACCACGTGATCAGATTTCGCGCCAAAAAATCTACTCCCCAAATATGGTGACGGCCTAATTTGGCATCAAAGAAATGGAGCAATTTTCGTACTTGACTAGGGTGGGAAAGGGTAACGTCAAAAAAAAAAATTAATATATAACCCCGTCAGCTTTGGAAAAAATAAATCGATATTGCAACAAAAGCTTTGGTTTCGTTCTGTTTTATTTCGTTTTATTTTACGATTTCTCGATTTCTCTTTTCTTTACTTAATTGAATTTCCTGATGCAAGATCTTTTCAGGGGGTAGGTCAGTATACCCCCCTTAAAAATAGGCAGCTAAACAAATCCAATATGGCGGGCGAAAAGGCAATTCGTGATGTTTGTGGTATCTATTCTCGACTTTTTGACCACAGGGCCGTCATGCAGAATGAATGTAAATACGTGATTCGTGAATTTGAAGGTAAAAGAAATGACAGAGAGCTGTTAAGACTGACAGAAGCGTCTCAAAAAGCAAATGAAATTCAGTCTAAAATCCCCGAGTGCGTTCAACTAGCAGAACTGCTGAATGATGTGCAAGATCAACTAAAAGATGCAAGGCAGCGATGTCATAATATTTTGGAGAGGGAAGAACAGGATCCTAGAAAGAAGAGACGAGATGAGATCAAAGAAAAGTCCAAAAAACAATGGGATGAGTTTTTGAAAGAAATGGATAAAGAAGAGGAAGGCATTGAGAAAGAGTTTCTGACAAAATCTTTAAAACTGAAAGAAAAATATGGTTTGATAGCGAACCCTGAATCAAATTGAGGAGAAGAATTATTTTCATAGGATGAACTAGGTCCATAAACAAGAGTGTGAATTGTTGCTACGAACTCAATGGAAAGAATGAATGTGCGAGATGAATAATAATAATAATAATGATAAAAATAAATGGTAGACTTTTATAATGAACAACTCTATTCATAAGGGTGTTATGTATGCCATGGGACCTGGTTTAGATCTAGGATATGTACAGAAGTTGTTCTGGCAAAAGCCAAAGGCAATCATCGGTAAGGGTGTTCAGGAGTCTTTCTCTTAGAATTTTTTAACCTGTTATAACCTAACATCATTATACATATTCTCCATACTGTTCTCTATACATTTTGTAAGATGCTGATAAGGAGAATATTTCTGGCAATCAAGGGCTTCTTTAGTAGGTGTTCATTTCCTCTATTGTCATGACCTAAATATATGTGATTCAGTGGTGATATTTTAAGGAGAAATTGGATGCAAGGGACTTCTAGAGGTCCATGGATTAGTTATTTTCATTAGGAAAAGGCAACTTTTCCACACTCTGAGGAAAAGTCAGCATGATTTAAGGTGAAATTTGTAAATCAATCCCCTTTTGGCATGTACCTTCTTATCCTCCCAATATGTCTCATGAAGTGATAAAAAGTGTGGTCAATTGCTAAATATCCCATCAGGAAGGCTACAGTATACATTATAATATCACCCCATGACTGGAGGGGTGCTAAAAAAAGGCCTTGAATGACCTCCGTTAGACCAGTAAATTCTCCTCTTAATTTGCTTTGTACCCCCTTGTCAACAGAGGGAGATATAGAAGCTGTGTATAAATTCAACTAGGGTTTTATTCCAGGCACTCCTTGAAGTTAGTAAAGATTATTGAGAATGTTGGAACCATCTTGCCAGGCATGAAGAAGAAGTGAGACTTCAAGACCATAAGAGATATTTCTAACTGTATTATTGCATTTACTTGCCCATTAAAAAAGATAGAACATGGTTATTTCAATTAATTTTCTTAGTAGAAGGAAACGAGTGAAGTCAGTTTTATAACATTTTTACACAAAATTTGACTAAAATCAATACTCAACATGTTTTTGTATTGGCAAAAAGACATGAAAGACTGTCAATTATAAAAATGATCTAACTAAAATCTTAAGTAGATATATGCACAACTCTTTAAAAATTTGTATAAAACTACCTATTTAAAATTATCCTAACAAGCCTACAGCATAAATTTACAAAATGTATGCTAAAATGTGTGTCAAAGCCGTCGAACTCTATCTTTAGTTTTCTTACTTCCAATACTGTCATTGTTGAGTTTTCTAGATCTGAGTCTTAGAGCCATTCCACTGTTTTTAGGTAGTCCGTCACATGGGCTTTCACCTTGATGATGATGATGATGAGATTCTCTTAGGCAAACTGAACAGAATCTTAGTCCACATTTCTGACACTGACAGTGACCTTGTGTTTGTGACAGATATGAAGGTGAGACGCATTTTGGACAAGGTCTCAGTTCAAGTGTCTGTTGTGATGCTGGATGGGAACAAACTGGGGTTGTAGTTTGGTTGTTAAGTGCAGGTAGTTTAGAGATCTTTTTCTCGGGTTTATTGATGTCGACACTTTTTAATGGAAATCCTTTAAGATTATTAGAAGATGACCTCTGAGAAGTAGGCACACCATAATTCTCCTGCAAGAGATAAATATTGGAGAGTGAACTTACACATTATTTTATTAGCTACAGCATCTAACTCTTGGGATGTAGGTCCATAGCCCCGACTAAAAGTTTTAAAATATTTTACAAACTTTTCATCAAGGTAATATCTTTACTCTCTTAATCTTGCCAGAGATAATTTATTAGATTTAGTTGAGATAAATGGAATGAAACTGAAATGGAGGATAAAAGAGTAAAAAGCCCATCTCTGAAGTTTCTTTGGCTATAACTATGGCTGCTTCTAAGTACCAAGCTTAGCAGTTTGTTTTATATTATAAAAGGGTAATCTAGTATCATCGACCGAGTTGATAACGGAAATTGGCCATCGTAAAGAGTTTAGAAGCTTTTAAACTCTTTACAGTGGTCAATCTACGTTATCAGCTCGTGAATAGGATTTTTTTATATTCACAGTCAGTTATCAACTCGGTTGATAATACTAAAATTACCCCTGTAATACTCTCCCACCGACGCAGCACCACAGTTTCTTTAGAAACTTACCCCCTTTATTCATTATTATATTAGTTAACTTGAAATACAAGTGTTTTCTCTGCTTCTTTAGCTGAGTCGAGTACCGGGGTATTTAAGCAGCCGAAAGTATGATTTACAAATTTAAGGTTACGCAACAAAAATATATTTTTGACTGATTACCTTTCCCTTGAGAGCACAATGGTCCTTACAATCTCTGAGGAATCCTTTCCACCTCTGACTCGTTTTTGTGTCTCCTTTCACAACATTCCTCCATGTTCGACTCACGGAGGCGAACCTAGACACAAATAGAAAACTGATGAATGTCAGGTACAATAAAATACTAGTTAAAAACGAAAGAGCATGGCTGATCGGCAGTAAAAAGCGGGACATCCATTAAATCAATTTAGGGCTGCCGCAAGGGATCGCAGTAAGTGATTTTCATTCATGCATGATTCATATTGGCAGCGATTATGGACGACATAACGACCAATTTCAAAAACAAAAAAGGAGAAGTTAAAATCTTGCCTGCATAGCTCAAGAGGTTCCAGATAGCTGCAGATTCTCTGGCAAATCTTATTGCCGTTTACTGCTAAAAGATCGGAGATGAAATCCACGCTTTTTATTCCAATCAGCCTTCCGATAACACGGTCTTCTGGCATCAAAGGTGACCGATGAAGGCTTTGCTGCATAGATTTCTCCTGATCGCTCTCATCAAGCTCAAAATTAAGCCTAGGAAATTCATCAAGGGCTAACGAATGAAAATGAGAGATCGATTCCTTTTCTTGCGAACAAGGTGGAGTGGGGAAAATTGACGATGGCGAGTCGAAGCAAGGAGTCAGGCGATCACGTAGAAGATTGCCCGGCGTTTCTGGCGACATGAAACAGCTTGGCAGCTGAGGGATGATACTCTCTTTCTTCTGATCTCTATCTGTTTCCTCCATGACTAATAAATGTTGTAGTAGATTTGCTGCAGACCCAAAGATCACGTATGTTCCTTGGTCGATGTTGTTGTTATGTAGTGAGGCTGACGCTGAATCAAACTTTTGAGTCAACCGCCAAAACGCGCTGACAGCTGTAAGCCAATCACAGCCAGTTATCTCTTCCCGCCAAAATTGTATTATGCGGCGCGAAGCCGCTGCTTTCTCGAGCCGGTCACAAATGCAAACAACTTTTCTCTTATCATGCAAGAATTTTTACGTTGCTTTATGGGCCAAATAGAAGGATTTGTAAGATAAGAAACGATCGCTTTCCAAACCAAAAAAACCGAAATGGTATGAATTAAAACAACCCTATCTCGCTTCTGTGTTCGTTTCTTTGCATCGTGTAAGCTTTCTGGGCTGATCAAGGGCCACGTAGCTCGGTTCAACCTATTCTGCTCCTCGATATCCGGTCATTCGCAACCCTAAACCCATTTCAATCTCGTGCACGCGCGCAATCACGCGCGCAATCACGCGCTTGAGGCGGGTATTAAGATTTGATTTTTTCCAGAGTTTTCCTTGGATCCCCGTGATCACTTACTTTTTTGGTTTGGACTAGTCGTTTACTGTAAGACACACCAACGAATGCTCTTTCACAATTTTGATAATTTTCATACGCAAGGTTAATGTTAGCCGTATCCAAATAAAATTAAATTAGATTGTATTTCATACAGGCTGGAACACTCAGATCGTCTAAGGTTCCTAACTTCGAGATGCAGTAATTTTGTAGAGGACATTTTTCGTAGCACCTCACCTCCACAGTTCACGGGACTAGACATTTTCTCGCTGGGTTAGGGAGGGTACTCGTACTCGATGTTTTGAACAAGAGCTAAGCTGTATAATCGACGAGGTTCCAACGTGCGTCTGAGACAAACTCTTTTCTATTTTGAACCTTAATGTTTTCCGGTAGAGGTGGAGAGAACGAAACAAAATTACAAGGTTTGACTTAATCCGCAGAAAACAGAATTCTTAACTCTAAATGTCGGGAGAGGATAACAAAAACACGGAGAACAAAGGAAACTTATGAAATACTTTTTAAATTGATGAAACAACTTTATTGATCATTCAAGTAACTCGTCAAATCCATGGTAAAGAAAACAAAATCAGGTAATGGTTTCTTCAAATTTTTAAGTCTTATCCGGTTAAAAGTGAACCTTGAGGGACAGACACAAAGCTTCAGTTCTTCATCTCGGTGGACTTTTCCTTGGCATTATGGGCACGCAACACGGACACTGCCTCTTGAATCTTGGCGGACAGTGCCTCCCGTGAATCTAACATATGCAGCAACTCAGCATTATCAATCTCCAGCAACATGCCAGTGATCTTTCCAGCTTGGTCAGGGTGGGTGAGCTGGATCAGTGGGAACAAATGCTCTCCTAACATCTGTTTCTGGTCCTGAGCGGAGGCTGCAGCAAGCTGGCTCGGATCAATGGAGTTTTGTCCCTAAAAAGAGAAGGGTCCAAATAATCAATAAATAACATATACACGATAGTTTGTAAATCAGTAAACACAAGTTAAATTAAATCCAACTAAGAGAAGTGATGGTACATACAACTTAGTATATAAAAAAAGGAGAAGAAACCCAAACCCAAGGGCATTTGAACATTGTACAGTTAATGCTGGATAAAAAATTGTTAAGTACAGGGGAGCAATTAAACGACCTATTTCTCTCAAAATTTTTCCTCATCTCGGCCTTCAATATCTTTCCTCCACAAAGAGAAAAAAAACAATTTTACCCTTTAAGCTTTGAAAAATCAACAGTGAGACATCAATGTTTTCTTCTAAAAGATTATTACCCCAAGTTGAAGACTTGATAAGGAAAAAACATTTAAACAAGATACTCACTGGGATAGTGATGGGCTGTTGAACCTGATCATGTGGTTGCATGGCCACTCCTGCAGGGTGTCCCTGAGCTGGCTGGTTACGAACATTCTGCTGGAACTTGTAGGTAGGTCTCTGGCCCTGACCCTGCATGCCAGGACCACGTACCTGCTGTGCTTGGCCCATGCCTCCTCCCACACGCTGGTTGGGCCCTCCAGCCCCTGCAGTCTGCTGCTGGCCAGGCACTCCTCTGGGTGGAACCTGACGGATGCCTCTGGCACGTGGAACCTGTCCTGCTCCTGGCATTCCTTGCATCCCAGGCTGTCGCACTTGCTGCTGTGGCTGCATTGGCTGCCATCGAGGGCGTACTTGTTGCATTTGTGGTGGAAAGAAGGGGCGCTGCCCAGCCTTTGGTGAGAAAAAAAAAAGAAAGAAAAAACATTCACATTAGCATCTTTTTTATCATTAAATCAAAGTCTTCCTAAACTGATATTCTAATGTCTAATTAGCAATTCTCCCTTCTACCAGTCTTACTTTTTGTGCATGAAGTGTCATACCAAGGTAACATGCTCTTGCTGATAAGTTTGCAAGTACAAATGATTGTTTTTTTCTGGATAATGTGTTAACGTTGTTTGAAGTTACATTTCACTACCTTGGGGAAATTAAGGGTTAAGCCAGCCAGCTCCTTTAAAATCTACTGGGTACTTCTCCTAACTAAAGCATTCTGTGGTTCAGAATGATAAAAAATCCTTCTCTTCATCTTTTAGTCTTAAGCCTTTGAAATTAATGCAACTATCAAATGAAAGAGTGCTTGAAAAGAAAAAAAAAAAAACAAAAAAAAAAACCAGTGACTTCTGACATTTCTTTTGTTTTCCAATTGTCTTGTATTTGGTTTTATGAAACATCACTCAGGTCCCTGTTCCATGCTCCCCTCCAAATTACCATCTCAACAATATCAAGACAAGACAGCCTGTTATTCACTTGCATTATGCCAAGTCTCATTACCTGAGCCAAAGGCTGCATGTAAAATGCTCCTGCTTGAGGAAAAACCTGTCCAACCTGCTGACCAGCCGCCTGCATAGAAAGAGAGATTATATGAACAAAACTAAACCAGATACAGTCTATATGCAGGAGAAACAGATCATCATGTTGTCTGATCATCCAAGCTAAAGTGGCTCTTAAAAAAAGAGTTAATGATGTTTCCAAAGCACAAGTGGAAGTTAACAATGACAGTTCCATGAATCAGAAACATGTAGCCATGCTGAGAACAAGGCCCAGATATGACAGCTTAGACAATAACCAAACAATTACGTTTAAGACAATTTTCCTGCAATTGGACTAACAGAGTGCCAGGTTTACATAGCAATCTATCGCAGAAGCACAGGCAAACTTTCTGCCCATTATCAATTGTCCACACCCAGAAATGACAAGGGTGTAACAATAAACCGCTGGGCAGTGAACCACACTTCCCTTGGACATGATCAGACATCAGTCCTTGCACTTAACTATTGTTTATATAGGAAAATACGTAAAAATAAAATGGAGCCTGTGGTAAAGACTCCTAACTTATTCAAGTCAAGGTTTAGAGGACTTGAGAAGGTAAGAGTCAGTGACTGGTAATCTTAACTCTTAAGATACTTTTCAGAACCATAACTCATTCACATTTTCCACAACAAGAGTGGGAGTTTAGCTGGCCCACCAAGCTGGACAAGCTATTTCTTCCTTTAAATTGAAAACTTTCCTGAGATAAAAATTCAAAGGAAAATTTCAGTCTGGTTGTCAAGATGACCTGGGTACCTTCTTTCTACTTTTGTTCCAGTAAACAAGCTTCATTGTTCAGGGAATCTTTTAGTCTGATCAAAAAATACCTCTCAAAAAATGCAAGATTTCAAAGACCAGCTGAAAAGTCTTCTTATATCAACTCATTAAAATCTTACAAAGGAAAAAGACTGGTGATGCAACCCAGAACCTTAATACACACCAAGATTGCCTGGGCTCACATGAAGGAACCTCTACTAAACAACAGATAGAAAGTACTTAGTCACTTTGTCATACCATACCTGTTGCATTCTCAAACCAGCAATACGTTGCATATGCTGCGCTGCAAGTTGAGCCTTCCGCTCCTCCTTGCGCTGGGCAAGGGCTACATACAAAGGCTTGGATACTAGAATCCTTCCATTCATCTCAGTTACAGCTTTGGTGGCCTCTTCAGGAGCAGAGAAACACACAAAACCAAACCCTGTAATGAGAAAAAACAAGTGTCAAACATTGATTACCTAGGAATAATGACCAAAAATCAAAGTTGAGACATTGCTTGGCACACAACATTGAAATGACCATAAACCCTTATCCAGATTGAATTTTGATACCAACAAATACATTTTGTGTTCAACAAAGGTGAATGATGGTGAATGATAAAGCTAAGACAAAAGGGAGAAGGAAAATTGGCCTTGAACTGTGTACAACAATCAAGTAAATAAGTCCACTAACAGAACTTTTTAAAGACACTCTTTAGACCAGATGAATTTAGAAATGAAACTACTTTTCAGTTAGGTCAACTGTCTACAATAACCCAAACCCCAAAAAACAGAAACATTAATGTCACTGTCTTTTATCTCTAGAGACCTGAGCATGATACAGCAACTTACCCCTGGAATTGTTCTTCTCATCCATCATTACTTTAGCACTGGTGATGGTTCCATATGGAGTAAATTCCTCACGAAGGCGCACATCATCAATGGTGTCATCCAAGTTCTTCACGTACAAGTTGACACCCTGATAACGATTGATACGCTCAATCTTCCTCTTCTCAAACTGAGACTTCAAATCCATCTGTCTTTCAGCTCTTTTCTGTGCTCTAGCTGCATAAAGCTTTTGTCCATTCCAGTCTTTTCCATTAAGTTTATCAACACACTGCAAATTGTGAAGAGTGGATGCTTAGTTATACATAGTCATCACATGAAAAGCCCGCACTAAAGCCAAGTGGCTAATACTGGAACAGCTAAAGGTGTGGATGACCCTATGCACTAGGTAAATCTCTACCTGGTGGATAGGGTACTACCCATATTCATCTCTTATCAAACAAATAGCAATTTTTATATGTTGGACAGCACTATCTCCCTTTTCAAACTACTGGGACCTGAACAAGGCACCACCCACGAAACTTGCACTTAGCTGTAAGCATTTTTCACAGAATTGCTCGAGGTAAATACTTTGCCAAGCTAGAAAAAAATATTTGAAGAATTATCAAAAACAATGTCAGAAGCATGCTTTTCTCTAGGAAAACTGTTTGCCTCTAGGGATAGATGTCACCTGCTGATGAATATCCCAGCATGTTTACCCATATTCATCTCTTTGATCAAACAAATAACACTATCCAACAGATGCATTGCTCCAACCAATAAGTGTTGACAAAATGCACTATATCTCCCTTTTCAAAACTAAAGGGACCTGAACAAAGTAGTCATTTAAGTAGGCGGATTCAAAAAGTTTCCATCCTGATTTTTCTAGGGGCTTGTCTCCCCTGATAAACTTGTCCACGATCATGATTTTTAATATCATACTTGAATGCAAAATATATTGTTTTCTCTGCAAAAAACCCCCTAAATTTGATTGAAATTTGACCCCTTTTTCCAATAGTGAGAGAGTCAGTTGTATTTACTAGTTTTTCCCTCAATTAAAATATTATGAAATAAATGACTGAAAGTCACTAAGATCTCCACTTATTTGATATTCTCCAAGAAAGTGGCCATCCATAAGATGGCTGGCTACATGTCTAAAAGCCTGCAAATGAGCTAACAAGCGTCAACGGATCACTTACTGCTTGAGCTTCTTCTGGTGTTTCGAAGGAGACAAAACCAAATCCCTTGGAACGTCCCTGATCATTAATAACCACCTTGAGACTCAGAATTTTTCCAAATTCATCAACGAGCTCTTTGAACCCCTCATCAGTCATGTCTTCACCAAAATTCTTGACGTATACATTGGTGAACTTCTTTGGTTGGTTTCCTAGTTTTTCTAGACGCTCTCTTCGGGACATCCATTTGGTGGCAAAACTAGAATTGGGAAATTTACATTTAAAATAAAACAATTACTTTGCCCCCTTCATTGTAGTTTGGGTACTTATATGAGCTCAGGGCAACACAAGAAGACCTGAATTTTTTGGTGAATACTAATGTCTTAGATCAAGATATCCAGTTAAAGACAAAATTACATTGCATTGCAATATTCTATCTATTTCCTCACTATCAATCAGTCAGAGAAAAATTGTTTAAAAATGAACATGTCTTGAAAAAATCTGCCCTGGTTGTAAGATTAAATCGGTAATTACAAAGCTTGTTGTTAACTTATGACTGCATCAGAAGTGATCTTGACATACTGGTCATGGCCCTTGTTCTTAAAAGTCCTAGGAACTTCACGAGCCCACAGCCATATTATTTTTAAATCTACAAAATTGCAGAGTAGCTGTTTAATAAAAACCAAACTTAGAAAAATCAGTCAGGACATACTTCTCGTAGATGATAGACACCCACCCTCAGATATAATAAAAAGAACATGGGGTGGAGTTGAACTGATAACAACTTTGGTAATGAACAGGATTATTCTTAGTTCACAAGCTATGGGAAATGTGATTAACGCAAGCTACATTTGTAAACTTGGTATTCCATGTATCTTGTTGAGATGCCTCTTTCGCAATAACCGGATTTCTCCACCCACCACGAGTTGTGAGGAAGCCATTGTTTAAATTTCACTTGTATCATGACAATAACTAGTCTTTGAACAACCCTAACAACCGCAAGTTTCATTGTTTCAAACCCTTGAATAAGTGCTAAAAAGTACAAATAAAAAGGTGTACTAGTTCTTCTTGACCATGCTACACTTCAATACCTTGAATACCTATTATTTTAAAGATAACGTGTTATCTCCGTCATGAAACCAACAAAAAAAGTCAAAATTAATTTCTCGAAGGTTTGCCCAATGTTTCGTTGATCTGTGTACTTATGGTTTGCTGTAAACTGTGCTTTATATTTATGTATGAGTAAAACTTGATGGCAATGGCTGTGAAAACGAAAATAAAGATCGAACAGATTTACTTACACTTTCTTGTCATTAAGCAACATGCCATTAACTTTAGCAATTGCATTCTCGGCAGCATCCTCGTCGTCAAAATGTACAAAGCCATAACCCTTTGAGTTTCCGTCTTCTCCGTTGGCAATCTTACAAGAGAGGATGTTTCCGAAAGCACTGAAGGTGTCATAAAGAGCCTTGTTATCGATACTCTTGTCAAGATTCTTGATGAAAATGTTTCCGACACCAGATTTGCGAAGAGAAGGATCGCGCTGAGACCACATGATTCGACAAGGTCGTCCCTTGATCGGATCAAAATTCATGGTATCTAAGGCTCTCTCCGCTACGGAATGAACAGACGATCAAATTAAAAACTAAATTTCGCGTACATGGATGTCAAACATCCGATTTCAACTTAGAAAACCTAAATCAAGTTTCATTCTCACCAGCAGCCGGTTGTTGAAAATTCACGTAAGCATAACCAAGCGAACGACGGGTAACGATATCACGGCAAACTCGGATGGATAAAACAGGACCGACTGTGCTGAATTTCTCGAACAGCATAGCTTCAGTGACATCAGCTGCCAAATCACCGACGTACAGAGACGCCACGGGATAGTTCGGATTGCCAGTAGTGCTGGGATTCATCTTCCTCAAACTTCTTTGGGTTCACTTACTTGAGTTGCGATGACTGTTGCTTGTAACAGGGTTGTTTGGAAATTTTTTCAAGATTTTCGAATTTTTTTCAAGATTTTCTCCGCTTTTAAATTTTTTTTGAACCTTTTTTTACTTTTTATGAATTTTTTTGGCGGCTTTTAGCGTCGCTGAAGAAAAAGAACGCTAAAAAGCCGTTGAAAATACTTAATACGGACCGTAACCGACAACGATTTCTCGAAGGTGAGAGGAAGTCTGTCGCCACGAGTTCTACATATCCTCGGGGGCTCCCACCGAAAGTTGCAGGGGTAAGGCCTCATTGGTCAATTATCACTTCCGGCTACGTCATGTGCTTTTACGAGCTGACTCCACGAGGAAATTAGCATTTCCGGTTGAAAGTTTTTAGCTAAGGTATCGAGGGCATGTTGTTGCAGAGGAAAACGATAAACTACAAGGCTATGCATCAAAGACGAGTATGAGAGAAACAAAATGTTGGGAGTCTAGCTTGAGTCTATCATGATAGACAAATTAAGAAGATTGCCTTAGGCATTTTCATTTCATTTTCTCATCCTTTGTTCATGTCAAATCTCGTACCCCGATCCTACCGTAAAACTGAAATTGGCCGTGGAAGGTCTGAGTACAACACAAGTTTATATCCAATAACAGTTTATCTGAAATGTATCTCAAATGTTCAAAAAATTTCCTGTTCAGCCAGTTATTCTTATTTCAAGCACAATTAGATGAAAATTCACAATTTGACAAGCAGATAATATACAAGGAAAAAACATGATCCTCATTGATGATATTCAGTTAACCCTTGAACTCCCAAGATGATTGTTAATCTCCCCTCTAGCTGTTACCTAATTCCTTGTAAACTAGTGATGAGAATTTGGTGTTAAATCAAAATAACTGATAAGTTAGAGTATTCTCAATACCTGTTTGCCGAATAATGCACAGCATTATCAGCAGAGCTCACAGAGCGTAGCCCCATAATTATACAAAATAGTAGTAACCCATCAAGCTGAAAAAATTTGGATGTACGACCATACGACCGTACGACCGTACGACCGTACGACCGTACGACCGTACGACCGTACGACCGTACAACCGTACAACCATACAAGATGCTACTTTTAGCATGTACGGCCAACAGTACAACGGGCACTATCTTATAATCAGTCCTCTACACAGACACGGAGAAGTTACAAATGAAAATTCATTAATATTACCATGCACTTTATCCATAGTAGGGGCTTTAGTTTTGCTGAAGAGATGTGCAGGAAAAAAAATGCAAGCTCTGCTTTTCGGCTTGCCTAAATCTATATATTAGAAGTTACATACTTTTAGAGAAAGATAACACTTGAAAGATTCAAATCCCATGCCTTTACACTAACACTCTTTTTCTGATATTTCTTCACTTGCATCTCACCTACAAAGATAATTTTATTACTTGTCCTCTTATTTGAAATGGTAGAGACAAATGTATTGCCATTTTCCCACAGAAAATCACTTAAGTAAGATGACTGTATGATCAGAAGTGCACAATGTTTATAGCCTCCCCCTCACCCACCCTCTGTTATCTGTTTCATTATCATTGTTTTATTATAATTCTCTTCATTAATATTCTTATCCTCATCATCATCATCATCATCATCAGAAGCATCATCATCATCATCATTTTTGGAGTCTTTGGAGCAGAAGTTAAAAGTATTGTTTTGATGCCAGCAACTTGATTTTTATTGGCAAACTAAACTTAAATCAACATAAGTGTGCTTTCAAAGACTATTCGCACTATTCTCAGGGTTTCAAAGAAGCATTGTGTACATAGAAAGCTAAGATAATTGAAACTTCCTCAAATGTATCACAAATGTTTCTTTTTTAAATATATACAACAAAAAATTTTTTCTTTAAAAAATGTTCGTATACAATGGCGAACAGTTCAAAAGCCATTCATTCTTGTTGAATTCTGTCTTTGTATTTTTCTTCAAGCTCTCTCCATGGATTTTCAACCATTGAGTGCCTGTAATAAGCTTCAATTCCCGGTGAAACTTGGTCTCTTCTCTTGAAGCCTCCTCTACCCTGCGAATAACATGAAAAATGAACTGTGACTTTACCATGAAAACTGAAAGAGTGATTGACATTAAGGAAGGAAAGAGGAAGTAATTTTGCCCGATAAGTGTAATCTTGATTTAGCGTGACAGAAAAAATGTATTCTGCAAGGTGAAAGGAAGTAGATTGCTGAGAAATCCTCAGTTTAACCATTAAACTCCCAAGATCTCATTCCTGTCTACCATACAATTCTTGTGATGTTAGTTTGGAGAATTTGGTATTGGTTCAATTGATAATCCCCTAACTGATATTTTTTCATTTTTCTCATCACTTGTTTGCTTGATATTTTATTGATATTGCCAGTAGAAATTCTGTCTTGGTCACTCATGGGAGTTTAAGGGTTAAGCCAAGCTCAGCTGAAGTGGGGTGGGGGGAGAATCTTAATAAATAGGGAAATTGGTCATGTAGTCTGATAGTCTGGGTGAGAATAGTCCCAAGAGAGCTTTTGGTAGCAGTCATGCTAAAATGCAGTCTGCAGACTGTGCAGACTGTGTTTATTTTCCTATATTTTATCATGACTGTTTTGGTAGTAGTGGCTGTAGAAGTGAATGATTTTTTCACAACTTTAGTGGAATTAATCTTCAGAGATAACTTGAGTGCAATGATGACCTCCATTAAGGTTATGAAATATATTGACAATAACCACCACCAATAACAGTCCTTCTCAGGAGTACTCTCAGGCAGATAATCAGACTACAAAATAAAATTTCACCACTGGCTTGGAATAATTTACTGCAATAGAGTTCATGATCACTATCGCAATATTCCAAACCCTAAAATGTCAGTAAATTTCTTCAATAAACCCTTGAATAAAACTTTCTCTGATAACAAGCTAAAATGAGCCTGTTTTTTAATTGTTGGGATGTTCCACACCTTGAGCTAAGAGGGGGACCTGGTTTTTTGTCGCTTGCTCTACTGGCTTTTCTTCCTTCTGCAATTCTCTTTTTTTCTAACCCAAAATAAGAGGGGGGGGGGCGGGGGGCCTCATTTCAATTTATATCACATCAAAGCTAAATAAGGAATTGTGCAGTAGACAGAAAAGATAACAAGTATACAGTACTTGTAAGTGAAAGGGTCAATATTTTGTGCTTTTGATTTTAGTTTGCTATTTTTATCGAGATGGATGATCAGCATCATTAATAATAATATGAAAAGTTTACTTATATAATTTTAAACTTATTTCCGTGTACCCTGTGGGGCCATCCCGGTTGACCAGAATATTCCGTTTGTGGAAAGCGTTGTCTGGGTCCACCTGCCTGGAAAGGTCTTGGCTGAAAACCTGGTCTCGGTCCTAGTGGACCAGGATTATTCATAAACTGCTGCCTCTGTGGTGAGGATGGAAATCGTTGTCTTTGAGATGGATAAATCATTTGACCAGGAGGAAGAGAAGCCGGATTCTCGAAGCGCGGTCTAAAGTTAGGATGAGGTGCTCTCGCTCGCCCTTGAAAAGGCGAGAAGTTTGGACGACGAGGACCACCATACATTTCGAATTAAAATCAATTACTTGCCATAATGATTTTTGTCATTTTTAATACTCCGTCCGCCATGTTGAAGCTTAGCAGCCCTTCCTTGCAAAGTGCCCAGTTCCCCATCCATTCCGGATGTGGGCTAAAGACAAGCGATAGAACCGAAATGATAATAATAAATTGAATACTTATAAAGCGCAAAATTTGTACGCTAATTTTTTCGTGACCTCCCTATTTATAATGCAACCTAATAAACGGTCCTGTGCTCCTCTCTTGGTTCCGATGCAGACACGACAAAGAAGCTCTGAAGGAAATCGTCTGGGTTTAGACAAGAGCCTTTACCAATAATAAAATGAAAAACACAACTTGTTCGATCACTCGCCGACGCATTTGAACGAGTAATTATTCGAAATTCTAGTGATTCATGGCAGTGGTGACTGGGACTTTCTGCCTGTCAACAGTCTTATCTTTGCTTCAACACTCCGTTTGGATCTTTAGTTCAAACTCCTCTCCAGTCACGGGTTTGCTAGACTGTTACAGAAACACGAGCTGTAATTGCACTCTTACCTGGGTATGGTCTTTATATAGGCTCGGGTGCATATTGGCATGCTCGTTGGCATTTCAAGAGTCACTTTCTTTCTGTTTTTTCTTTTTTGTTTTTGTAGGTTTGGGAAAGGAGAATGCGAGAAACCAGAAACGCGCTCTTTCCAACGCGCCTCTCATTCCACCTGCTCGCTTCAGTTTTCCCCACTTACTTTCGCTCACTTCATAAACGCACAAAAATGACTTCTGTTATTCTCTTCGAGACTAAAACTATGACAGCAGCGACTGCCATCTGAGAAGCCAAGCGTTGTAGCTTTAAGCCGAACCAACACCTGGGTCTCAAAATAAAGCAGGTTAGGAAGTTCGGCTCTTGATCCACAAAAGGATCACGCACACGACATGAGGATCTCTGGTCAACTACTTAGAAATACATAACAAAAAATTAAATGACGATATTGTGGTTAGAATGATTCACAAAGAATAAGGATCACTCTGAAGGACACAGAGTGCCTAGTCTGGTTGACAGGCCTTAGCCTGGGGATAACAAGGAACCTGATAGTAGCGGCTCGAGCTGAATGCACCTTCAGGCTTCTTAATAAATCCTTTACACCCTATCATCAGTATGCATATTCTCCATACTGTTCCCTATACATTCTCTGAGGTACTAATGAGGAGAAATTGTTTCATAATCCAGAACTTCTCTAGTTGGTGACCATTTCCTTTATTCTCATTATACCTTAATGTGTGATTTTGGGGTGATACTGTAAGGAGAAATTAGATGCCAGTCGCTCTTAGGGGTTAAAGGGTTAACAGAGGTAAGACCCGATCTCTGTCTTCCCTAAGCCCCATCCCTAACACGGCCCATGCCCCCATCCCTCCCTCCCCCCCCCACCACACCTCTCTCCTGGAGAGCTGGCTCAAAATATGGCAACCAGTTCGTGTGTGAGATAATCGGCAAAGCAGATCGTCAACCGAAATAAAATAGAAAAGCTATGTGTGTTACAGGACGGATCGTAGATGAAAAGTCATTGTTATAATCTATGCAAGTTCTTCCCCAATAAAATTTTTTAAATAATGCTGCTCAAGTTCGAGTGAGGCCTAATACTACTTTTAAAAGAAGCCTCCAAAAATTCATACTTCGACAGGAGTCAAGCCCGAGCCTCCAAGACATTAGTTACGCGTTACTTACACGCAGACAGAAAGAGTCAAATCTGAGAAAATTTTTGTTTTACCCCTTACATGCATATTTCATGGGGCAAATAAATTTTAATCACGATCAACAAAACATTACTCTTTTCAAGTACATTTGTGAGGCTATACCATTAATATAAAAAAGCATTTCCATGCTTTAAGTTGTTAATATTATTACGTCCAGGTACAAATTCACTGCAAGATTTTCACTGTGTTCTGTGAGAGTTCCAACAGAGCTGTAGCTGCATCTAACTCGCGGATGTTTCTTTCCCCGAAGAAAACAGTGGAGCTGAACAACTCATATAAACTTCTCGCGGCTTCAATTCCCATCTGGGAAACGTTGTTTCCAAACTGCACAGCTGTCGTCGACGCCAGACTGAGGAGACCATGAGCAGCGTTTATTTCTGAAGGGCTGTACATATGATTCGTAACTGGCTGCTTGTCCTCTTGCTCAGTAAATGCAGTGCACTGATTAACGAGACTTTTCTTAACACCCTGCTTGAAAATCTTGCTTTCTTTACCGACACCTTTCACTCTTTCTCCAGGACAACTTTCCTCTGATTTGCGCTGTCTTTTAAGATCTGGCTCCGATAGTTCTGAATGACTTTCCTTTGTTGAAATTTCTTTGCCGTCAGAATTATGTGGAAGTTCGCCTACCATTTTTCGCTTCCGATTTTGTCGCAGACCATAGTGCGCAACACTATTCGCGTTTTCTCCCCTGGCGCAATTACCGTTGCTGTTCTTCTGGAAAAGTGGATGGCGGAATTTGTAAACCTTCGATGGCCTTGAAGTGAACACTCTCTGAAATCCAATTCTGTAAAGAACGTCTGCAAAACTCAAGAAGTCTTTCAACCTCAACTCTTTCAATACTCCTGGCAACACTTCTTTTTCAAAGAGCTTTGGACTCGTAATCAAAATAATTGTTCCTTGGTCGGACCATCTGATACAGCGCCAGTACTTTCCTGAACTGATGGTATCAAGAAGAAGAGAAAACACTTTCTTGGACTGTGTAGCTTTCCTCATTGTTTACGATTGTCTAATAATACACTTGAAACTTCTTCTGACGCAAACTGAGTTATCTGAGAAATTTGAGACTATAACAAACAAGATATCGTTTTTGTGCGTAAAGCTCTCTCTGATATCAGACAACCAGAGCAGTTTTCAAAATCACTATAGGAACTGCATTATGACGTTGCTTCACAAAGAAGCGCGCGCAGTCAACTTTTTGCGCGCGCCGTCAGTATTTCTCAGGTCTCCCGTTTGAGTTAAAAATTTCCTGTTGGGTTTGGTTAGGCTCAAAAGCGCATGCATGAAAGTTAGTCTTTACATGCGCAAGCTTCAAGAACAACTCGAAACACTTGTGAAGAAACTTTCGGGAAGGGATCGAATTTTCTTAAGTGTTTCAAATGCTTTTCACACGGCTTTCACATGAAAAATTTCGGATCCATAGGAAAATTCACTGATGAAATAAATGTGGACACCGAACAAAGACCATTCCTAAATTTTACCATCGCACGCGCCATACATCACTCATGTAGATGTGGGTCTGGTCTCCCATAAGGCCTCTGTGTTGGAAAGACACTTCAATTCTCGAGAAGCTATGACCAATTTGAACAACGAAATCAGTCACACCAAACTTGTTAGCAAGGAAGTCTTGTCTTAGTTTGACCTCACCCATTTTAAACACTTATCAAGATATTTAAAAATTCGCTTCAGAAATCCATTTACACACCTAAAAACGTTTCTAAGGTCAAGATGGTAAAAAGAAGAGGAACATTGTAACATTCTCTTTGTTTCGTCTTCTAATCAAACCTGACTGCAACTGAACTGTACCTTAACCTCGTGCAGTATTAGATCAAGAGGAATAGGTTGATCTTTAAAGTCTCTGTTGAGTAAACGTTTTACTTTTTTTCTCAAATAGATCCGTTCCGAGTCATGCGAAACAAACCACAGCTTTTACGTCGACTACGATCATTGGTGCGGAGTGCTGTGAAAATAATACAAAGATGAGGAAAATTTTTTTTTATTAATTTTCGACAGCGAATTGTTTTTAAGCTACTGGATCATTTTATTGCTTCAAAATATGCGAGTTATCACTCCATAACGTATATCGACTTTACATAGAAAAGTAAGAGAAATTCGCCAGCTTAACTCTTTATGAATCTAATGAGCTCATTCCGTCGTGAAATTCCATTTCTTACCGCCAAAAAGGTGTACATGTTATAAATACATTAGTCAAGTTTCCAGGCTTTTTCTCTCATTTCGTCGTCCGCGCAAAGTTTAAGGATGAGTGGACAGGAAATCTTTTTTCCGCTACATGACGGCCCACGGTCAGTAAATGCCAGAGTAAGGAATTTCAAGAATTGAACTGGTTTGAATAATTCAATTTGAGAGATCTATACAAAATCGAAGGCTAAAGAAACTTCTTGGAAAACGTCTGTGGATCAACGGCCGCCTGAAAATGTTCTGTTTGCTTTGGCCTTGTCTCTCCAAGGTGATGAAGTATATTTGTATAATTTCTCCATGCAATATCGCCACATTGCCTGGGAAACAAGTGATGAGAATAAAGAAATACATTAATCACAAAAATTTTAATTGATCTGACAGCAAATTCTCAGACTTAACTTTATGAGAAATGTATGAGTGATAGTAAGGAGAGTATAAATTGAGATCGTGGGAACGAACTGGTCTCTAAGGGGCCCCTTGTAAAAGCGTAAGCAATAAATAGGTTTGAATTGAAACATAAACGTTAACAACTCATCTCTTCCTCCTTAGAAACTTTTTTTTGACCGCTAAATCGGAATAAATGAAAAACCCTATTTTGGATTAAACATAATCCATGTAATACTTCGCCCGGCTCAGATGATACACATAAAAATAAACCTGTAATTTTGTTTCGTTGAAAGATGGCTTGGCGATTTCTGACCAAAATCACTGTAAAACGGCGGGACAGATACATCCCTATTACGTTATTTTGACATTCCTCGCACGTTGCTGTCAAACGTCATATTTATTCCATCAAAAATAACATCTTACGCAATTATCTTCTTCTATGCCGAAAGTGGTGATTAAAAAACAGAAACGTTTTCATGCCTAACTAGTTTGAATATTAAAGGTCCGACGCGAATCTTTTTATTAACCGAAAACTTCCTTTAAAGTTACAAGTAACTAATAAAAACACAAGAAGGACAGAAGTGGAACTGATTCATTCTCTAATTCCATACGCCTCAGGCTTGAAATGAAAACTTGTTCACCAGCGTGTATACAAATTCGCCTTTTTCAATAAAGTATTGATTGATAAAAGGCGATAATGTTTTTGCATATCAAGAGCCGCGAAAAAAAATTGCGAGTGAGAAAAATTTATGAAGGGGAAATTATAGAGAAAAACAAAATAATTCATGCGATTCTCTGCGTGAAAAACCCAAACTTGTATCATGTTGCGAGAAATTCAAATTGTCTCAACCACATCGGCACGTAGAGCGTTTTACTAATAACATTTGCAAAGCTAAGTGCTCCTAAATTTAAATGAAGAAAAACGAAAAGGAAAAGGAAACAACGTTAAAGCTTTTTGTAACTTTCATGTTACCTGGATGGTTTCTTTACTAATGAGCAAGGCTATTAAATTCAAAATAGGGCAATAGAATTGTCGAGTATCTCCATTATAATTGTTATTATTATTGCATTAAACTAGCGCAGCTCTCTACCTCTTCCAAAAGCCTCGGTAAAATTATAAAATTTCAATATCTCTTAAGTATAAAACTGTGGTTAACGAGTTAAGCTGCTTTCAAATAAATCGCTTTATAACTAAATCGCCGAATTAAAACCAACTCGAAACAGGTTGGATTCCATGGCAACTCATGTCACCGTCACAAATGCGGGCCATGCTGAATTAATTTGTGCCAAGAGTGTTTTTGAACCTCGCGCTGCTTGGCGCACACACCTCCAACGGTGACAAGCGTCCAGCAAGTTATTGGCAGAAGACTTCGCTTTTATATTTCACATCGGAGACTTAGTTCAAGCTTAAATGTGCTCAGAGGGGCAAAACCAATGACAGCACGTTCAACGGAATGGGCGTGGTTTGGGGTGGTTGACACAAGTTGGTATCCACCAGGCGCTTTAGTTACCCTCTCCACACATTCGTAATTGCTTCAAATTAGTTCTTAAGGATGGCCAATCACAGGACACTTAGTGCAACAATGTGCAAGGCTTTCGGGTACAAACATTAGACTTAAAAAAAACGAAGATCGCTAGCAAAATTACGCGCCAAACGAACCTATTCAAAGTGATTTTTGCGGCTGACAGATATGATGAGTGAAGCGACGCGATGAAAACGCAAAATCTTCGAACGATACTGTTAACGATATGCTGCGTATCTTATCTCTTGGTCGGCGCGGCAATCTTCAGCGCCTTAGAATACGAAGAAGACCAAGAGATGCGAAAAAATATGACAATTCTTCACAAAACACTGACAAAGAAGTACAACATCAGCGACGAAGACATCGGGAAATGGCTCCAATATCTCGATAGCAAAGCAAACATAGACGCGGATCTTTACCAATGGAGTTTCGCCGGCTCGGTTTATTTCGCCACCACCGTAATAACAACTATAGGTAAGGGTTAACGAGCGCCGGACGCGAAAAAATTAGCTTGATTTAATGCAATACGCAAGAGCTTTGCAGCAATTAATACTGCGGTATGAAAGAAAGCACCTTAGGACGCGCTCGAGTAGAGGGAAGGCCGGCACTTACACTAGAACCCGTTATCGTCTTTTATCAAAGCGAGCGGGTAGTATCTTAGAAGCATTAAGTCGTGCTAAATGTCTAGCAAAGACGAAAAGATAGCCCTAACCACGCACACTAGACTTAAAAGGGACGCGATCAATTGTAACAACCTCGAGCGACACTTATGTATATCGGAACATGCTTCCTCTGGCAATTTCCGCGCAATAATGTTTAACTGCGATAAAAGTTACCGGGGAATTTCCTCTTTGCGATAATAAACAAACCCTCGTGAGGTTTAATCAGCGCTTGTCGAAAGCGGTTTAAGTCGGGAACAGACAGCCCTCTACACCTACACACAGCATTGTTGTACAAAAAACACAAAGTTGTACAATGTAAATACACACTGATATGAAGGTTAAGTTTTCCTCTTTGTTCCACAGGTTATGGACACACGGTGCCAAAGACGAACCGGGGAAAAGTATTTTGTATGATTTATGCGGCAGTAGGAATTCCTCTTGCGCTAACGATGTTTCAGTCAATTGGCGAGCGTTTGAACACGTTTTTAGCGCATATGTTTCGACGAGTGAAGAAAAAGCTGGGAATGAAGAACACCGAAGTTTCAAATACAGCGAATATGGTGGTTTTATTCGGTTTGTTCGCTATGATGGTCACTGTATGCCTTGGAGCATTTATCTTCCGTTACTACGAGAAATGGACATATTTTAAATCTCTTTACTATTGTTTTATAACTGTAACAACAATAGGATTCGGCGACTACGTTGCCTTACAAGACAGCCGAGAGACGCGCTTTGATCATACATACGTGGGTATCTCTCTTCTTTTTATTTTCTTTGGACTGACAATTGTAGGCTCCGTAATGAATCAGTTGGCATTGAGGCTGTTAACGGCAAGTCAAACCAAAGAAACGACAGACCAACTTTTGGTGGAGGGACCGTGTTTATGCGAAAAATGCAGTCGCCGGGAATCTATCGACATTTTTAATCTCTATCCGAGCGACTTATCGACCACACTTCTAAAAAACTACGAGGAAGAGATTGCATTTACAACGTACAAAGGACTTCATAGGAAGCGCGCCTCAATTTAACTAAAGTCTTCGTGTGATTCATTCCACACAAGCGGTAACTTTAAATTAAGCCGCTCGTTTTATTAATCAAACTGGTAAGAAAAACTTTCACGAAATAGAATATTTTTCGACTATGTAAATTATAGAACTCATTTCTTAGTTTGGTCTACGAACACCGCTTGTTTTTTTAGTTATCAGTAGCGTCGCGAGCGAGCCAAAATAGGTATGGGAGTTACTTTATTGATAAGCTCGCTCGTTCGGCGTCGGAAAGCCATGCTAGAGCCGTTTGCAAGATAAACGAGGATGGACGCCAAAACATTGAAAATTTTAATTGGCTGTGTATTTTGTTGTTTGAAATGCGTTTTTCACAAAATAGCTTTCTCTTAGCCTAAAACGCTGGCTAATAATTTCAAAGGCTATGGCTTGCAAAGATAAGGTTCCGAACAATTTTACAAAGTAAAATTCAATCAAACAAAATGATTCTGGTCGGTGATAGCAAAATCTACCACCTGTTACCGCGCCATGAAAGTTTAATTAATCATATCATTTGTATGCAGACAGATTTATCATATGCCAAAAGAAAAAATTTGTGTACAAGAACTCTTACAAAAACTTCACGGTAAAAATAACGGCTTTTTATGTTACCTCCGATCAGCCTAGATCGCGATTAGGGGAGTTAAAGGGGTTTTAAATACAAGTCAAATTTGTCGAAAAACGCCCGATAGTAACAAAATCGAGAGTTCTTGATGTGAATATTTTATGACCGGGATTTTTCGCATGAATCACTTCTCCGACGAACAGAAAGGGAATTTTGTATCATTTTGTATAAGAAATGAAGTATTTGCTGTTCCAATTTCACTACCAAAAACGTGGACTACTCGACGTGATTCTACATTTGCTAGTGTATATAAAATTACCCTCCAATCGATGTTTGTAAAATATATTTTTTATAGTACACCAGAAAAATGCTAGAGTGTTTTCACACTGTAATCGAGATGCAAATATTTCGTCTACGGATGCGTTTCTTAAATACGAATCTTCTAAAATAAATTGCACACATGTATTTAAAGCGAGCTTTAGAGCGGAAAAAAAGTGAAATTAAAACTTTCTACAAAACAAAGGGTATTGTAGATTTTGTCTTAAATTTTTTTCGCTTTTTTGTTTTTTGTTGTGATCCATCGGAGGTGAAGAAAGCATAAATAGGCAGAGTTCCCGCTATGCCATTGAAATCATACGTGGCTAAATCAGCCTGTTTTGAAATTTAACATCCTCTTTAATTTATTTGAAACTCCCAAATCCAAACGAGACATACGAAACGGTTACCACTTGTTTTAAACAACGGCAAATTTCGAATTCGTCGCGCACAGAACGCTAACATACGGGAAAATTATGAATACACACAATTCCGTCAACAAAAACCCAACAGGACGCTGAAAGCATTTTCTAAAAATATTTAGTACGACATGAAAAAAAGACAGGTTTTTTTTACCTTCAAATTACAAGTAGTGTTTTCTTTTTACTTGTGAGAACGTCAAAGATTTGTAAATAAGAAAGATGTACGTGAATATCGGCGTTTCAAACTCGAGAATTTTTTTGTTCATTGTAAACAGCTTTTCAAGACGGTCTACCGCCCTGATGAAAAACGTTAATTACACGCGTTTCTAAGCGTTCACCATGTCGCTGTGGCAACTGACATAAAATGTGTTGCACAAGAGAAAGGAGAAAAAAATAACTAATTCTCACAGAGACGAAACAATACGCTATGGTTTTTCCTGTTTAGATCTTCGAAAATTTAAAGATCGTTTCGTTAAGAAATACGCTCAAAAGTTTGATTTTAAGTGTAAAGCTAATACGTTTCAAAATTTTATACGAATTCAATTCTAGAGATGCGAACATAAACATTTCTCAATGTTTGGCCTTAGCAAAGAAACAAATGCAATCAATAGGTGTATATTTTCATCGGAAAATACGTTCAGAAAAAGGAGACATGTTTTCGTAAAATATAGTCAAATGAAACGTTGTTCAAATTGTATTTACTACGAATTTTACTGCTTCATGCTGACCGACAACTCTTAACTTTCCATCTAAACGTCTTCCCATTTTGTCGATGTCTCAGAGCGCTTTATTCTGAGCAATGTTATTTGCTATTTTGCAACATCAATTATTCATCGTCCCATTTGGAAGAACCCATGTTTTTACGTAAGAGACAAACAAAGTACATTTGAGAGACTACTTTCATTTGTAAATTTCACATGTAACGCTCGCTCGTGTTCGTGAACTTTTGTTTGCACGCAAAACTGAGGGAATTCTTTAAAGTAACGCGTTTTGTAAAGCGAATTTCAAATACTGTGTACTATAATGAGAAAGGGTCGCATGAGGATAATAAACACAACTAAAATTATCTTGATTCTGGGTTTGCCAAAATTTTAATGCACAAAAAAAAAAAAAACGACATAAAACCTCATGACATGCATCGTGGCTTTTTCATGAAAATTAGTACAAAAAGAAACAAAAAACAAACAAACAAAAGGGAAAGAAAACACCACTTTGACGTTGAGAATCTATTTTTTCACCGAGTTACAACGCCTCGAAATTGAATGCCAAACAGTAGATACAATTCCCGCTCCGCAGGTTTTCAAACCCTGCTCAATACAACTTCTATCCCTATTAATTACTGCTCAACCCTGTATTTACACAACTTTTCATTCCGGCTCATTAGCCAAGACCCGTTGGCATTTCTCGGATTACAGAAAAATGTCGAATGCCGCCGGATTGAGAAATTAGTTATTCATATTGCTAGGTTGCTATCTGAAGAGATAAGACAACTCCATTCGCTTGGCCATTTTTTGAAGCTCCCACAGCGAATAAAATTCAGCATCATCATAAAATTTTCACCATCGGAAACTCGAGAAGAAAGCAAATAAATGCGTCAGCAATATTTTATTTTTTGTTTTTTAAAGACAATTATCATAGTGTTGCAACTTCGGCTTTTGTTCCGTTCCTTTAAGTGAAGATGCAGCTTCACACGCGTGCATAAGTATTAGATAATTTCAGCTCTGTCTCGCAAGGGGGCAAAACAATTTCTTGTCAACTATTCTGACAAGTGGTTTGGCGAGCAGCCCTGCTGGAGGGTTGAAGATTTTGATAAATTACGTTCACAAAAGTTTGGTACATGCAATTAAACAAAATGTAAATGTACTTTGTGTCATAGGCGTGACAGCTGTAAAGTTTGACCAACGTGCACGACATGTTTTAATGGGTTCCTTTGAAAGAAAGAAAATAAAAAAATAAATTCGCGCAGGAAGAGTGCAAAAAAAAATCAGAACTAAAAGAAGTTTGACGAGAAAATTAACAAAGATGTTTATCTTCCGTGCCTTCGGTTTAGGTAATCAATTCGAAAGTGTCTTAATAGAGTTCTTATTGCGCCAAACGAAAAAACAGCTGGTGCTTTCAAAAAAAAAATTGACAATAACAAAAAAAAAAAAGAAGAAGAAGAAAGGAAGTCTTCTATATCTTTGAAGAACAAAGTGCTGGTAACCGTCTCGCACGAGCCTGGTTTTCTATAAATGCACGTTATTTGCACGCAACCGTTGGGATAACATTAATATTAACTTTAAAAAGTCCCTGGAAAAATCACATTCGCCTGTTTAACCTTCTTTAAGGTATATTACAGACGAAAGAAATGAACCGTCACATGCTTTGCTCTCTTGCTTTAAATAAACTTTTATAAAGGTGACTCAGTTTTGGAGTCTTTGTTGAGACCTGTCGTTTAGGTAGAAAGGACTTAAAAATATTGCGCGCATATCAGATGAAGGCGTCGAATAAAATCTAAAGACTCGTGAAGACATACATAACAAGTTATGGTTTTCTCCGTTTTCGATGTCCTTTAGTAATTAAAACCCTTTTAGTGGCCATATTGGAAAATAATTCATCCACTAGCGACCGTCAGAACTTACAGAACCCCTTTCAGTTCTTAATAAGAAAAACCATTTAAAAAATAGCAAGAAAAAAAACCATCAAAGTTCCATAAAACCAGACAGGAGAGGTCACGCGATAAGAAAAACATCGCTTTACTTCTTATTCTCAATTAATTGCACAAAATTTTGAAAATGGATTTTTAAAAACATTCAGACGGTCTGGCGTTTTGATCAGCTCTCTTAATCAAAAGGAATTTTGGGGTACCAAACAGTAAAGAGAAGTCGATCCAAAAGGTTTACAACTCCGACCCGTAAGCAAAGTTTTTGACACAGGAATCATTGTTTAACTCCCTAATTCCCACGAGCGACAACATCCTTACAACATCAGTACAATATCAAACAGACAAGGGATGGGAATCTAGAAAAATATCAATTAGGGGATTATTGGTTGATCCAATACCAAATTCTTCAAACTAACTTCAAAGAATTTTAAGGGAGATAGTGAGGAGAATTACTGATGAGATCTTGAGAAACAGTAAAGAGAATTACTGATGAGATCTTGGGAGTGAAAGGGTGAAGTAAACGACTTAAGCGGTTAAACTGGCGGCCTGCTGTAGAAATTAAGTTTGTTTTTGGGACTGACTTAGCTCAATTAATCGATTTTCTTAGGCAATTGAAAAAGTGATTCCTCAATACGCCGAAAGCGTCAAAGATTAGCTGATTACAACCTATTAGTCGAAGATGTTTCATTTTTTGTGTTGCACGTTATTATAGATAATAGAAGTTCGTCTTGTATCAAGATTCAATTTATTGAAAACAGTATCTTGTCACGAACGTGAAACAGAGGGAGTGTATAAAAGCCCTGGAGCTATAAAACAATTGTAAACATTCGATCTGACCCGAAATACATTTTAAGTTTAAAGCACTTTAAAAAGCAGAAATACAACTAATGAGTCGTTTTGTCTATGGTTTCTTGGGCTGAATCGTAGATAAGAGATTATAATCTATTGAAATTTTTGGGAGAATTGAGAAAGAAACATAAAAAGATAGCAACAAGATGATCTTTAGTTTTTATCCTAATTTTTATTTTCGTGGACAGTTTCTTCAAGTTGCTGTCGCAATATAGTAGACATCACCCGACAGGTCTGACAAATGCATGCAATTTAAAATCATCAATAGTATTTCATACGCTTTTAGATGAAAAACGCCTGCTAAAAAGTTGAGAAACCACAACGTGGAAGGTAATAAATTAAGCTGAGTTCCTGATAATAGACGGAAGTAAAGGCGTCATATTAACAAGAACTCCCACCAAACTATTTTGGTCCGGAGAATTCTAGGAAAAACGAAAAACAAACAAGAAGATGGCTGTCTACACGACAGACAGATTTGACCACAGAAACAGGTTTCACGAACACCTGTGACATTAAGGGCTTAAAACTATCTTATTATGAATACCACGAAAACAACAAGATAAGGTTTTTGTATCAATGAAAAGATTCCCCGCCAGAGCTTGCTAGACAATTTCCCTGTATTCTCTCGACACAAACACTTCACCACAGATGATTAGGGCTGATTTTTTATTAATATTTTTTGTCATTTTGTCGGGCAATTAAGAGATGGCGGCTACATTTTGGTGTTTCCCTAGTCGTAATACCCTTAACAATTGTGTTTTTATTTCCATACAATTTTGAAGCGCACAGATCTTATCGACACAGGCCGGGGCTTCGATATCACAAACACTGGCGAGCGACGTTGAACAAAGCATTACAAATCAGGAACGATTAACACAATTTGTAACGATGATAAAAATCAAGGTGGAGAACAATAAAAATTGTTTTTATTCATGTTTCTTAATTCCTTAATCAAAACAAAAAGAGTTCTTCGGTCTGGCAAGCAGGGCAAATATTTCATTCTTTTCTTTCGAGAACAAACATCAAACAACACTGCATCGAAAGTTCTAATTAAATCAACGACTCCCATTAACAGAAAAGAGAGGAAAAATAATACGTACCACAATAGAACGTAAATTTTTAAATAAAAGATGCCGGCCTCTTTTTGCAGTTTTGGTTTACCCTAGCGTATTTTTTTTCACTAATAAAGCCTGGTTCATATTGGTAGCATCTGGCAGGAATCTATCAGACATCATCTTAATTTTCCATCATAATTTTCATGACTTTATTGCGCATTATAAAATACACATTTCATGAGCTTATATTACATAGAGTCAGTTAATAAATTGGTCTGGGTAATATCATACGGTACACATGTTCCTGCAAAGAGCAGATGGCAGAGCAAAAACTACTAACAACAGCGTCAAAGTATCTATGCGCTTCATAACCCCAAGACAACTTCGCGTCAGTGACGAAGTAGGAAATACGTTTTAAAATCAGAAAAAAAGATACGCTCACCGAAAAAAGAAGTAAACATAAAGTATTCATAATAAAAGTATAAGAAATTCAAGCCAATAGTATCAAATCAAACTTGTTGGAATATAATTCCCCTCGAAAATCAGTCACAGTTTCTTTGAAAGGAGTCCTTACAAGCAATTGTTTTCTTTTAGAAGATTTTTTTCGTTACAAACCTGGCAAGTTAGTTAGAGGCGAGCGGTCTGTCAAGGAAAAATACCACATTTTTTTCCATCCTAAATTATGAAGAAAACTTGTCGAAAAGATTGAAGAAAACTTGGGAGTAATAAATATGGTAGGTACCATAAAATCTGATGTTTCGCATTTCTAGCTTTGATAAAAAGTATATCAAACAGCTACTTTTAAAGAAGACCTGAGACTACAAGTCCTTTTTCATTCTGAGTCTTACATGAGTCTAACAAAACCCAGAGGTGGTGACAAGAGAACAAGAGAATTCTGTCGTAATATTGATGCAAAAACAAGAACGTTGTCGTTGATATCTTAAAGTGAGTGAAAATGTGCCTTTCTCCCTTTAACAAGAGTTACTAGTATACAACAGTCTGTTGTAAGGTCGGTCTTTCCGCGAGTTACACACGCGTGTATTTACAAACACGCGCGTGCGGTGCGTCGTTCTTGAAGAGATCTCTCCCTAAATAGCAGTCTACACGAGCGATGAATTGTTCAATCCATCCAGGACTTCGCACCACATCATGTTACCTATCTACACTTCATTACCGTTATTCCTTCTCAATGGATTTCAGCGATTTAGCCACAATAACCAGAATATCTTTGGTTCGGAGCCTCCAGTTTGGAATAGCTTTGGATACCGCGCACCAGTTCTCCCCATGATGAGGCTCGGCCAGCACGCACCGTTGCATAACACTCTCTTGTTGAGCCTGGACGAGGAAAAGAAATTAATCAACAACAAGATTAAGATTTGGGAAACAAAGAAGTCTGATAGTTCCCGCGAATAATTCCAAATTTATAACAAATACGTTCGAGGCTTGTTTAGTGTTACTAAACAAAAGTTCTGCTTCCCTACTTTGTACAAACGAAATTTCAGAATTCAAAAATAGTGTACCCAATGTTTGAATTTTGAGAGGAATTTTGCCACACAGGATGTAGCAATTTCTAAAAACAATGGTTGAAATTGAACTGGAATAATCTTCGTCTGTTTATTTTGATTGTACGTTGAATAACTGATTTATTTGATGACGTACATTTCATGTGAGCATGAAATATTCAATATTCCGGACCGCAACATTTCATGTCTCTATCTTCAATTTGAAAAATATTCAACAATTTTTACTGGAATTAATTCCTTAGCCGTAGGAAATGGAGAAATTCGTCAAATCAAGTCCAAGTTTATAAGAAGCCCCTAAATTAAACGCTTCTCAGCAAAAAAACATATTTCAAATAACGTTGACGAAAGATCATTAACTCTGTATTTTCAAAAGAAAACAAAATACTGAGTACTGCCCTACAATTCTCGCGTATTTACAGAGCAGATATTGTTACCGCTGCGATCAAAGACACAATGCAGCTATCAGTGATTATAAAGTAAAAATATCCCTCAGCTAATATCAGTGATCGCAAATATCTTAAAAGTATTAACACGACCTTAAACAGTTTAATGCCTAAGAAGTAATATACGATTAATCGCTTGAGCATGTCACTGTATTGAACTCGGAGGAAACTTTTCTTATCTTGCACCAGTGTTAGTTTTAATTCTAACACAAAGGACCAGCTTGAATCTTGCAGTAATGTAAGAAAACAAAAATCTATTTTTTGAAGTCAAAGTATTAACTCAGAGCTCTTGACACTGTTTGAAATGCGAGCGACCCACAGTCTAGATCAGATAAGGACTCCAAGTTTGGGAAATCAGCATGAATAATATTGATGTCAGAACAAATGACGACATTTCAGCACGTGGGCGTTTCATGTAGGCGTGATGCGTGGGAGTAACAAGCCATAGCGGCATGCTAACCACTGAAAATAAACAAATCGCGTGGGTGTAATTCGTGGGCGTCGCGCGCGGTTTAAAGTACCACCGCTTAAGTTATCGTGCCTCTACCTGCTGTGAAGAAACAAAAACTGCGGTTTAAATTGCACGAGCTGGGTAAACATTATTCCCCGTGACTACCTCCTGTAGCGATTACGCTGACAATGGAAACAATACGATATTAAAGTCAGCCATCTATCTTTCCAGAAACCGCCCACATATTCATAACATAACTCAACAACTCTGAAAGCTTTCCGTTGAAAACGCCATTTTCAACAGTGCGCAGCGTGAAAAACTGTCGGATCTAGTTACGATTCGAGTTGAATATAGTGCATATCTCTTCAAAGCCACAATTATTTCGCAATTTTCTCCCCAAAGACCAAAACGTGATTGATAAAACACAAACATTTTGGCCGCAACTGTTTAATGTTGGCAGGCAACTGAAAAAAAAATTTAAAAACAGAAAAATAATATATAAGAACGTACAACGAAGTCATTGTCTTTCACATTTACCGATATAAAGGTACTTATTATCAATTCTGTCTGGAAACTCGAAGCCTTACTTTGTTTTACTCATTAAGAGGAAGTTTACTTAAACAGTCGCTAATTAATAAAAAATTAAGCCCACTAATTCTTGGATCAACTACAAAATTCCCTTCCACATGAATGCATGTATGTCAACGAAAATTGCTTTGGCTTTCACATTTGGGTCAGCTTCCAATATAAATCTCAGGCCATCTACAAAAACCATTCCTTCACCGTTTACAGTCTGAACAAGAAGCGCCACCTGAAGTTTTCATGACAAGAATTTAAATCCCTTCTTGTGTAGAACGGAAGTCGATATGAATTATGGATGCACCTGTTTTTGGAGAGTGATGTGTGTTGTGTGCCAAAATGGTGGGTGTTCCGTTCAAATTAAAAGTTTTTCGTGCAAGGTTTGTTTTCCTTCACGAGGACTTCAAAAGAGAAAATAATGATATTTATAACACTTATAGTGATTATCAACAGTGTATCCATTGTGCCCGGTTTTTTGCCTGTTGACTAAAACTAGCGGACAAACAGAAATTACACAGAGAATAGAAAAGTAGTAATTACAAAAGAGACTACAAATGAAAATTAAATGGAGTTGAAACTTTAACAGGGATGTATCTCCGATGTTAAAGAAACAAAAACGAATAGAAAGCATTGATTTTATCAATTAAACATTTACGTAATTGACAGCTAAAATCAAAATAAAACAGACCTCTGTTCCATGTTGCAATTCAAATCTGTAAAAACAAGCCCACGAGTCGCCGAGATCTGGGTCGAGTTTGACAGCTCTGTGAAAAATATCACAAGAATACTTTGATTAAAAAAAAAAGAAAAGAACTAAAAAAACGTGACAAATTAAAGTACAAACATAGAAACTAAGGTATATATTTACAAGCTCGGACTGAGGAAAAGTACTGACTCTGCTCACCACTGAGTCTCTGTGGCTCAGTGGTAGAGCATCGGAGAGCGAAGTCCGAAGGTCCAGAGTTCCATTCCTTATGGGGACTTGGAGTTTTAAGTTCGTTGTCACCCAATCAATCAATCAATCAATCAATCATTTTATTTAGTGATACAGGTTACAAAAGTGGCAGCCATGAGGCTGATGTGGTCCTACAATTAACTAATAAAATGTGAAATAATAAACAAAATAATTTGTAAAATCACCCAACGGTATTTGAATTCAGTACAAGTCAATAAAATGAGGTTCATTGACAAATAAAAGTTACAAACTAATCTAGAAATTTACGTACAGTATAATATTACTTAAAAATATACAAAATCTCGGTCTCTCATGGCTATCATGGGTGCTTCGAATGAGAAGCTATTTATGTTTTGTGAGAGCCTACTTAAAATGTTTTTAAACACGTCAAGACGAAAATTTCCTCCTTAAGATCGATTTCCGACTTCGGTTGCCACTTCGGAGAGTGTGACCAAGGACACTTCGACTTGCAAAAGAAACAAATTCTTACCTGTTGAACCACTCTCTTGCTTTGTTTATTTTTCTTTCGCTCCAAAACAACCTACGAAATATCAAGCACATTTAAGACACAGCAGAGGATACTAGGGTTGTCAATAAGTTGGAAAGTAAAAGGCAAACAAGAAATAGTAAGCGTCCAGATCATTTAGGGCGCCATGTTGTTTCGTCAGATTACACGCAAGACTACGAACTGTTCAGTTAAAATGTCCCCAACGTTCCGTGAAGTTAACACGAACCTTTGAGCAGATTCTGTACGTGGAATCGATTCACATATCTAAATTACGTATACAATTCCGCTCAAAACCAGGGAATGGCTGCGGTACAAATTTCCACAAAGGTATATAAATAATTGTGCGATTATTCATCAACTGTGGTAAAATGAGCTGAAAGAAGCTGATCTGAAAGATGGAAGACAAGCTAGTGGTTTTGCCCAGATACTAAAACAAGACAGTGTTCGATGTATTTTTATACCTAGCCACGGCAAGCAGCACATGTGGATCATGTTCACATCTCTTGAGAGCGTCAACACTTTTAGTCTTCCTCTGTGGCCTGTTCTCCATGAAAATTGCTTCCGCCCAGAGAATGCCTGAAGCGGGACATTCTTGCATGGCTAAAAGAGAGGTTATGGAGGATTTTGTGATCAGCTTAGATCGAGGGTGAGGTGAACCACACGCTCCCAAAGATTTCTCTCTCTATTCTTTTTAGGGACATCGAATGTAAGGATATTGAAACGAAGCATAGAGCGTAATGTCTACGATAACACAGCCAAAAAACAAAAACAAAAAAAAGAGAACTTGAAAATCATATGAAAGAAATACTGATTTTGAAGTTGACCTACAGACGTGCTAATATTTCGGTATTTGATGAAATAAGGTAATCTTATTAATTTTATAAAAATTAGAACATTAATGTCACTTATTAATGTCACTTCAACAACAATACCTTTGGCCATTAAGGTTTTTGCAAATTCTCTTCGTTCTCCTCTCGTTTCGATTCGAACTGCTTCGAGCCTGGAAGAAACGACAGAAAAAATGAGAATTCCACAGCGCTCCTTCAATTCGAACGACATAATTTGATTCGTAATTCTCCTCGCGAGAAGATCTTTAAAGCCACTACTGCTTCAAAAGAGTAATTTTCAAACCGTCCAAAGCCTCTCTTTCGAAACAAGGATAAACTCGAATAGGTAACTGAGAGCTGTACAGATTTCAGTGTTAAAATCTGCTTCTGTTTTTGGATCTGACCGCACCAAACGCTCAGTAGCATTCCACTTATTTTGAACTAAATGACCTGTAGAAACTTTCCTTTGATTTATCGAGACCCAATGTTTAAACACTCACACAAAACGAGTGTAGTCAGTTAGAGAGCTCCTAAGATAAACTGCAGTACCGTTGTTTTCATCGTTGATTTTTGCCGGCTAACCCAACCAATCACCTATACCAACTAAAACCTCTTTTTCCTACACTAAATAAATCAAATTTTCTAATTCTAAGGGTTAGTCCGTAGCTTCATTTGGAAACGAAGGTTCTTAAAGCTGGAGATACCCTATTCACTGGCTTGAAAACTCTCACATCAAAAATGATGAAGAGGGAACGCAGTCATACCATAATTCTGCACACTTTGGATTTTTCTGTCGCGCCTGTTCCAACACTGATCTTGCTTTAGTGGCGTGCCCTGGAATACAAGACATTGCACTCCATTTAAGTAAATATAGTTTAAGAAAATCTATATCGCAGTTCCTTTATGTCATTCATATTTCAGCACCCAAATTATGATCCCTACATACCAGCATTTTCTTCAAGCTTAGCCAATAATAGCCAGATTGGGACGGAGTGAGGACACTTCTTGGTCTGCAAAGATCCAAAAACATTTATTTAATCCTTTGACCCGTGAGTGACGAGCATCTAATTTCTCCCAACAGTATAACCCCTGCATCACACAATGAGGTCATAAGAAAAAAGGAAATGATCACCAACTAAATATTCTCTTGATTGATAAACAAATTCTCCTTGTCAGCACCTTGGCAAATGTATAGAAAACAGTATGGGGAATATCCATACCGATGTTAGGATGTAAAGTGTTAATTCCGTATCCTTCAATGATCTTTTCTTTTAAAATAGAAGGACAGAGAACATGGCGTGAGCGATAAACTAAAGACATACCCCCAGTTTGTATGATTCTCTCGCATTATCCAACTGATCCAACTCTTCATGTATTTGTCCTTTCATCATCCACAACTTTATTTATAAAGAGGAAAAAACAACAACGACGACGACGACGACGACGACAGTTAAGTAAGACTTTCATCAATAACACGATAACGGGGCTGTGGCAAATGTTGAGGGTAATGCTGACTTGGATAGCCCAATATGCCTTGTGATTGGTTACAAAAAAAAAAACCGCGCGGCACACTCAACCAATCATGAAACGCTACAAGACAAACCCAACTTCAAATTGATTCCAAAAATTTTGCCGCACTTCGCCCAGTGAGTCACATGATTTTTTGAAATTTCACTGCCTCACATTGCTGTTTGTTTGTTTGTCCTTTTGTTTCCGTGACATTTTCGTGGGTTTAAACTTCGCACACATTAAGATACGACTACTACATCTCAGGGGTTTCAATAACTCTTTCCATCAGCGGTTGCCGATGGTGTAATGTGCGGCTGTGACCCTTCTGTCCAGAGGACCTGGGTGCAGGAGAGGTCTTATAGGAGGTATACGGTAGACCGACGGCAACCGGCTTTCATTCAAACCTCAGCAACTGCCAACCAAATCTTACAGAAACCACTAATTTCTGATGAACAGTAACGGTCTCTAAAATTTTGGCTATAGGTCCAATAGAATAAGCAAATTAACCTTGACGGTGGCTCCTACCTTTGCAAAATCTGGATAATTTTGAACAGCCTCGCCTAAGAGTTTTTCCGCCTAATAAATAAAATGAAGGAAAAAGTGATGACAGTAAATAAAATAATTGAAAAGCTGAGATCAATTCAGCATGACTGAAGAATTTGATTTGTTTACCTCAGAAAGACTCCTCAGCACCCATTCCAGTTTGATGGATTTCATCATGACCTGCAAAAAAAAAAAAGGAGAAAAATCTCCATCTATTACAATGTAACAAAAATTGTCCATTTTTAATATATTCTAATTGAAACTTGGATCTTTCCTAAAAGTCGCTCTTCTAAAATTCCTTCTTTCTCCACACAGGAAGCTTTCATCTTTACTGAGTAGTCTCAGAACGGTTGTCACTTAGGAACTTTGGATCAATATCAGTATCTGGGCAACTGCCCACCTACCCCTCCCCTAACCCAACATTAACCTTAACTAGTTATCAAGTTAGGGGAGGGGTAGGTGGGCAGTTGCCCAGATACTGATATTGGTCCGGAACTTTTACTGGCCTATCTCAAAGGCCGTTTACAGGGTAGAAAACGAATTTTTTGAAGCACAGTTGAAAGAGCATCCAGACGCCAAATCATTAAGCAGGAGCTCATATTTTTACCATGTCAAATCCTCTTGAAAATTTGTTGCCTTCCCCTCTTTATCTTACGACCGATTTCAAAATGTACCATCTCTACACACGACTCTAGCGTTTTAAAACACATTTTCCGGCGCACCAAGTACATAGTCTCTGTCTTACTTGTGTTTAATTTTCTTTTGTAAACTTACCCTTGGTGTACAAGCGTTGAGTCTTGCTCGCTGAAGAAGTTTCCTGCAAAAGCGAATAAGAAAGCAAGTTTTCGACCAAATAGCAGGCTGATTAATATCTTTTAACATCTCTCTCTACTATCTGACAAAATAAAGCTCATTTCGAGGGAGTTTCGTGATACCTACATAAAGTAGGAACAATAGCCAAGCAACAAGAAAGGAAAACACCACAGGAGCCAATGAAAAAGCAGAAAACACGTGTCTAAATCTGGATCTGATTGGTTGAGAGGATGGTGCGAGATTTTTAGACCAATCACATGGGCAAGTAAAGGAAAATGTAAGCATTCCCGAAATATTTTCGACACTCGATTGAAAATTGCTCCTAAATAGCGAATCTACGGCTGACCTGGCTCTCTGATCTTCATTATTTTCACTCTCCAGTTTGACGGCCGCCAACCAAATCTCCTCGCTATTTGGATTGGCTTGGAAAGCCAACGCCAAGATTGAACGAGCTTGATTGATCTCACCCTAGGAAATAATGTAAAATCGAAAGAACTGTTAATAATAGTATGCGGGGTGTGTGAGTGGTGAAGCTGCAGGGTACGGCATCTAGGCATCATCAAACATTTATCCTACATCCCAGCCTACGGGAAGACGCGCGAGGGGCGAGACACGCGCACTCTTTACGGTCGCACTCCTTGCGCTATCCTCGCACGCTCACTTCGCGCGTTCAACTTGCGCGCTCTTCTCGCTTTGTTCCGAGTTTGTGAAAACTTAATTTATCATATCTGTTTAAAACTGTGGAGCATATTAAGCTTCTTCCAGATCAATGGGCTTTTAAAAATCGAGCTCAACTTACAGCCATCCACTTGGACTTAGCGCCCATGAGCCACAGTATCTCTGCTTTGGGGCAATGCTTGACAGCATTCTGTAACAAAGCCTCTAAAGATTCCCTGCATAAGAACATTTCATTGATTTAAACGGGGGTGAAAATATTAAAGAATGTTTTACAAGCAATAACTGAGTCGAAAGATACTATGATATGAACTAGACTTGCAAGGAATAACGCAGACAATTTTATTCAATATCATTATCATTACTGTTATGATAATCATTATTACTATACTAATCATTATTATAATTATTATGATGATTATTGTATTATTATTATTACTATCATCATCATTTTGCTCCGTTCAAAAATGAACAATCTGAATCAAGACCTCTCCCAATTAAAGAAGTTGTCAAGACGAAACCTCGTACGTAACTAAAACGAGACCCTCGTGACTAACATGGAGCACGAGTCTAATGCTGGTTGCATTCTCCTTTACCCTCCACTTTTCGGTATGGAGAGCTGTAAGAAGAATCATCGACCTGGGGCCCGAGTCTTCGTAGATTCACGGGCTCAAAGTAACACGATTTTAAAACAGAGTCATTCTTCTTTCTCGTTTCCTGATAATCTTGTTATTCCTCTTTCAGAGCTGTCAATAACTCAATCTCGAATCAGTGAAACACGGCAAACAAAAGTCAGCTGTCGGGCCTGTAAAGTTACAGGGTCTTTTGAGAAACGTGTCTTTGATCACGGGTTACGAATCACTTACCTCGTCCCATGATTCTTTTCGAAGTGTGCAGCTCTCAGCCAAACGCTCTTTTTACTGGGGAACACGGACAGAGCATGCGCATAGATGGCTCTTGCACATTCAAATGCATTATTGGCGATACACTGCGAAAAAATAAAAAAATAAAAGACAGCTCTCAAAATTAGCAAATGATAGAGAAAAAGTTCATCAGCAGATTGGTGAAAAATATCAACTCCAGCTACTAAACAGGTTTGTATAGCTGCGCGAGTTTATTGTGGTTTCAGTAGAGTGGAGTGACTTGTAGTGCTGCCTAGAACGACTGTTGGTCCGTGAAAGTACATCCCCAGTTTCGCGGACATTCAATCTCCTGACTGAGTGAAAAAATTAATTGACGACGGCCAGATTTAAACCTGCTTACCACTAGGGTAGCACGTCTCCAACGAAAGAAATGTGCGGATAATTATGTGATATAAAATGCACTGATTTGATTTTGTACTTACACTATTTGCGTCCTCCATCCAAGTGTGCTTTCTGTCTTCCTCTTCAACACCAATACCAATAACAGTATCTCTGAAAACAAAATTCATGGATTTAGGGCGACATTAAACGGTTATTTTTTTTAAGTTGCACTCTTCTCAAGAAAGAATATATTTCGTTTTCCCACACATGTGGTACTTTGCTTGTTTTTTACTTTAATTTCTCCTTAGCTCCTTCCGATATTTTCCTTCGTTCCTATTAGCCTATTTGGTTAGTTTGGTGTTAACTTTTCAACACTCGATCGCGAACCGCTTCAACTCCTCAAAAGTTATTACTTACATAATGGCTCGACATGTGACCACGCTGCCTGCTTTCTCGCTTTCCTCCGCATCTTTTATCCACAAATCCCTGTTAATTTCCACGCCATTAGCTTTCAATGACGTTACAGCTGAAGAGAAACAAAGAATGCACATGTGAAACTGAACAGCTCACAGAGGATTGACAACGTAACGAGGTAAGGCGAGGTCTTACGCACCAGCCAGGAGGCTCTAACCACTGCAGCATATTTCGGTTTTCGTGGCATGAAGTAACTAAGAGTGCTGCCTCTCCTCAACGCAGCGGTCAAATGAACATCAAGGCCTGCGCAAGGGGATTAATTTCGGCCAGCCACGCGTCCAGTTCGCGCGCAAAATTTCAATGGAAAACATAGCAAACAACTCCGACCCGGAAAAAAGAGCTATCCCGAGAAAGTTCTACTGCATATCATTTCTTGAATTAATTACCAATTGGAAAATACGTATTTATAGGTCGGTTTGTACCTCTGTCAATGATTTTCTCCACCATAGGAAGATTGCTGTTAGCTTCTTCCAGTTTGGCCGCAGTTATCCAAATCTGCCTGTCAGTTGGGATATTCTCACGAGCTTTGTTCAAAACCTACATAAACATATATAACACAAGGCGTAAGAAATACAATGCTCAGCTTTACAGCTGCATTAAAATAAATTAAATTTTCTTTATACACTAAGTGTTGCCTACCTTCCTTGCATTTTCATAAGTCTCCAGTCGCGCAAGCGCGAGCCAAAGCTATGAAGAAAACAGACACAAATGAGTTGTTTCCAGTTTTCTCGTGAAATTATGATCCGAGAGACGGACGGGGTCAGCAAACCTGCAAATAACTTTTGACAGTTCACATTTACTGGGATAGGGACTAGATTAGACGAGATAAGTAACCAATCCCATCCTCTCAACCAATCAGAAGCAAATCTAAAACCAAACGCGGCTTGGCCACCCGCGTTTTCCCGCGCTTTAAGTCGGTTACTCATAGTTACTTTCAGTTCTCGTTGACTCCGTGAGATGCTTTCCTTTGTCCTCTAGGGTGACCGGAATAGATAATTAATTATTGAGCGCCTTGAGGAATAAGGAAGACCTTTACCTCAACACTTGTGGGACAGCATTCTACTGCTCTGCTTAACATAATCTGCGCATCCTCAGGTCCTTCTAACTCAACAGCAGCTTTCCAAATCCTAACCGAGTTTGGAATCTGCTCCAAAGCTACAAGAAACACCGACAAAAACAAATAGACCGTGGTTATTCATTGTGAGTTAACAAGATAATGTTTGTCTCACGACTAACTCACTCCCGATGTAAAGGGCGGTTTTTGTCTTACATTAATTTATTTTGTTGTTGGTGTTGTTGTTTTTGTTTTTTTTTTAAGACAAACGCGCGTGATGAGTTTCGAAAGCAATTACTAGTAGAAAATACGGCAAAGGGAATTTACCTGCAGATGGGATCATTTCCTTCTCTTACCTTTTCTGTACACTCTCTTCATTGCTTTAGTCTCATCTTCAAGAGCAGCAGCCTTGATCCACAATCGTACAGACTGAGGAAGCTGACCAACTGCTTGAGCGCAAACGGATTTGGCTGTCTCGGGGGGCTACGAAGAGGAGATTAAGAAATTATTCGATTCAAGCGCATCTACATCTCCTGTCTGACACTAGTGCTTTAATAATATACAATAACATATTAAAGCAACTTACATTTTTCATCGGGTCAAGATGGCCTAAAATTGTCAGAACATCTTCCTACATTTTTTTTTTCAATCTTGATGATTTAATTTAATCACCACTGGTCCTCTTATAACAAATGAAGCTCGAATGCTAACATCTACACCATTTTTCTTTCGGACTATCACACCAATCAAAACATATATATCGTGGTTTAAAAAGGGATTGTTCCCCTCTGCTGTTCGACAAGAAGCTGCACAAGTGTTAAAATGTTTTGCAACACGGTAAGTTGGAATGAGATCAAGAATAGATTCTTCAAGACCAAGATAGGGTTTCAAAAAGGCTAGCATGTAGTAACAAATAATCAAGACAAGAACTTCCCAAACTTTTCTACCTTGGCCTCCTAAACACTCGCTGCAGAACGTTGCAAAACAAAAGCCCTTTACCAACTACGTTATTTGGCCGCAAGTCTATGCTCTAATGCCATCCGTCGTTGTTCAGGATTTCTTTCAAATGTGCACTTTCAGTGATTCTCGCGAGAAAATATCCTTATCTCACAAAACACAAGACCATACTACGATAATGTACTTTTGGTAGGGTCGGGAGGTCCTTCGTTCAACTTTTTCCTAATCTTTCAAAGATTAGAAACTTGAAACTTGGAAAGAGAAACAAACCTGCAGACGAATAGCCTCAAGCCACACATCTTCGTTCTTTGAGCAAACTTCTGACCCTTTCATGATTGTGTTTCGTGCAGCTTGCATGCTGCCTGTCACTTCCTCCAATCGGGCAGCAGCTATCCAACCTAAGGAAAGTGTGCAGTTACAGTACCACTCTAGTGTACCTGCGCATGACACGCACATCAAGCACGTGGTATTCTCAAGCGTTACACAGGTGCGGCACGCACGCTCCGCGGGATTACACGCAAACGCATGCTTGTAGTGCAAATAATTTGTCATAAATTTCGCAACAAGCACGAACGTGCGATCTTCTGGGTTCTTGCCGATTCAAGTTTAAAATGAGATTGGCCTGCAGCATCTGTGCTATGAGAACAAATGAATCTTAAAGATAAGTCTTGACTTTAAGGTTGCGCGAGAAGAAATCAATATCAAGAAATACACTGCAATTCTAAACATGATGAATTTTTTTATAGAACAAAAAAAAGAATAATGCAGTCAGAGGCAAAAATCTGGTAAGGGGAATAAATGTTTGCCCAAAATGGCATGTGAAAAATGTTGAACATCTTTCTTCATTTTTAAAAACATGTTACAAACCTGGTCCATGTTGTGGGTTGGTGGTGATCACAGACTTCAACAAAAGTCTCGCTTTCTTGATGTCACTGTAAAAGCACAGCAACCCCAAATCAAAGAAATATTCATGGAATCTGTATGCTTAATACTGCCCTCACTCTTTTGCATACTGAACAACATCAGATGACCAAACAAAAACAGGACTATTACTCACCCAATATCTCCGCCAGAGGAAGGAGTTAAACTCTGAAGATCAGTTAGGTAACCTTTGGGATCCACTACTGTTTGCCCACTCACTGAATCAGATGCCTGCAAAGTAAATACACTGCAACTTGACTGTTTCTCAGGCCCAACATGTCAAGCTCACACCTTGCCCGATGTAGACACAAACTTAAGTGCATGGATCCCCTCAACAAATGCCACATATGAGTTTTTCAATGTATTAACCCTTTAACTCCCAGAAGTGATCAACAAGCAACTTCTCCCAATAATATCCATACATTATCCAGAAAACAGGTAATGAGAATACTCAAACTTATCAGGTAGAAGTTGTCATCTTGATCTAAAACCAAATTGTCGTAACTAATTTATGAGGAAATGTGTAGCAGCTAGAGAGGAGAATTAACAATCAGATCTTGGGAGTTAAACAGTTAATATCTAATCAAAGAGGCATACAAATACCTCAAACAGTTACAAACCTGATCTAGCTTAACACCAACAAGTGATTTTCTAGCTTCTCCAATTTTGATCAAGTCAAGATCTGCTGATGGTGTTGAAAAACCTGTTGTCATTCCTCCAGGTGTGATCCCTCCAGGGAAAGGAGTCTGGAAACCACCAAATTTCTTGCAAAAAAAAAAAGGAGAAATTATGGTGCACTCAGGATGATGATTTGTTGTGACAAGAAAGAGAATTGTGAGTCAACACTTATTCCATTTGTACCAAATAATCTTTTAAAAGCAAAAATCATGGAATCAGATCCATCAGTTGAATACACTCATGGAAAGCTGGCATCTATTTGCACATAAAAGTTTTTACTCCAATAACATAAAATAAATATGCTGCTGCAGCAAAAACAATTTGATTTAGCTATACACTCTCCACTACCTGTTGTCGTGAGTCAAGAGTTGTTATTTTCTCGCCACTTATCAGTGCGCTGTGCAGGACACTGTCAGGAACTGGAGTAAATCTACAGGAGAATTGTCAAAAAAAAAACCGTGTAAAAAGAATGAAAAGAGCACTGTAATCATTAACAAAAAGTTATACAGAGTTTTCTATGGTGAATTCTGTAATAATCAACTCACTTTTCTGTCCTTGGATTTCTCTGCTTCTTGTTTCTGTAATCGCCAACTTCTGGAATACTCAGCCAGTCATCTTCAGATACCTCACCCAGTTTCCGCTGAAAACAAAGATGCAAGCATTAATCCAATTTCTGACTGGTTGCTTTGAATACCCTCAGAAATTCTATTATTAATATGTACCATGCCATCATACTCAAAAAACGACACCAAAAACTAATACCTTGAGATCAGAAAACTGCTGCTGAATCTTAGGCCTCTCCTGACGATATTGCTCAATCTCTTCCTTAAAACGTTTCTCTCTAAAATGGAAATGAAGCCAAAAAAATTCACACTTAACCACCCACATTAAGAGGATCCAGTAAGAACACCCACACAATTTATAAACTGTGCAAAGTAATTATTCTCTGTGTAGAACATCATACCTTCTCTCTTTTCTTCTATCATCCATTCTTCTATCAATGGAATCATAAATGGCATCTGCTTCTTCGTCATCTTTTTCATAAGGACAGCTTGAGAACAAGCTTCCACCATATCCTGCAAACTTTTATCACAGTTATCACAATCAACATTTTTGTGACAACATTTTACTTTAAATCAGATTTTTTAGACTCATTACAAAGGCTGGTGAGGTCTTACGATCAGATATCAAGTCAGCCAAGGCCAGGTTGTTCAAAGCTGGGATTTCAGATCTAAAAGCTTTAAAAGAAAATTCAGTCGAATTTCTTTTTGTCTAAAATATGGCTCTTTGATGCTCTTAAAGAACACAGAAAATTATCCCAAAAAGGCTTTTGAATAAAGGAATAAAGAAACCTAGATTCAATTTTAACCTTGGGTTAGTGCTTACTGGCCTTCAAACAACTGGGCCCAGACCCACAACTTTTCTGGTTATTATTTCCACCTGTTCTTTCCAAACAATGCCACATAGTGACCCCTAGTGCACTTAACCTAGCTAACATTACAAAATTATGCATATCCTTGTTGATGTACCTCGTCATAATTTGTGTCATTCAAATCTTCCTCTTCATCTTCCTCTTGAGGCTTCTTTTCATTTGCAAAGCCTGGTTTTCCATGCCTCTCATCACTGTTGATTCAAATGAGAGTATTAATCTACAACATATAATGAGAGGCAAACACATGACACGCAGGGTTGAGGAAGAACTCCCCCATCTAGGTTGATAATATTTCAGCTGTCCCTTTAACTCCCAGAAGTGATTAAAACGTAATTTCTCCCTATAATATCCTTACATTATCCAGCAAGCCAGTAATGAGAATACCCAAATTTATCATATACAACTTTTTATTGTCGTTCATGCAATCATCATGTTGATCATATTATCATGTTCATATTATAAGCACCTGAATAAGTTTGGCAAGATTCTCACCTTATATCCGTAGCATCCCTAGCAGGACCGATATCTGACCGGGTCGTAAAGCCAGTAGCACTGCGAAATTCAAGCACATTGTTGCTTAGAGCGGTTACAAAATTACTTTACTGGCATGAAAAGCGTGACATCTTTTGATTCCTTTAGTACACGAATTCAGAAATTATATTCAAATACGAACCCTCTTCCAAGACCGGGTACGTAGCCAAGAGGAGCAGGTACTCCAATAAAAGACTTCTTTTTCTTATTCAGTAACGACATCTCCACAAAAGTTATTCAACTTTCACCGTAAGTTGGAAAAAACCTTGGAGAAATTCTAAGATGGCGGTGCGGCCTCGTTATCGTGTGGACTTCGAAAAGCAACTGCTGACCTAGAAAACAGCATCGTCTGTGACTCATCTTAGATTGTCTTAAATCCTGATCATCGTAATTGGCACAAAGTCAGCATCTGTTAAAAATTATTGGGCATTTCAACCTCAGTTTTTCGGGTGGATCAAAACTGGGTGATATTGAAACGAAATTCAGAATGTCTTTGCCTTGAAAAACAGTATTCCAAAAATTTCCAAAAATCAACTACTTTTCTTCAGTCATGCATTCCACAGGGTAAATCCTATGTTTGCAAGAAGTTCTTTTAAAAAAAAATTACAACTTTTTTGTACAGAAAAGATTGTTTTCAGGCTTAAGATTACATCTTTGTGAGGTAAACATTGTGAATAATTAATTGATTATGAGTACTGATACATCTTGGACAATGAGATATTTATTCAAGATTGTGCATTCACAACTGAGCCACCTCTATATCACAAAGAATTATCTCAAACCAGTGTCAAATCTGGTCAAACATGCATGTCTTTAACTCCTGAAGTTAAAATTCTCCTGAAGTATTACCACATCTTGGGAAAAATCCACAAGAAAAATGTTATATTATTTTAAATCTCAAACCTACAAAAAATTTGCCAACTTTTACAAGGAGCACATAGAGGACAGCTTCTTAATTCAGTTTCATGCTGTTGAAAGACAGATTGGATAAATGCCTGTAACAAACATTGCCAATCGTAATGCACCCTGTTTCCACTTTGTTTAAAATGGTCTTGTGCTGATTTGCATTCCAGTATCAAATCTAAATCATTTGATAATTGACTGACAAGTATATGTACACTTACAATCCCACATTCCTACAACTTTAATTTAAATTACTTGAACTCTGTACACAAAAAAATCTAAGACCTCTTAGCCTTAACTTTTGAATTATGTTGGGCAATTAAATCTCGCAGTTCTTTGTCTAACTTTGCATGTCCACTATTTCCAAATGTAGCAACACATGAACGACGTTTCTGCTTTACTTTTTGTTTACAAACATCCTCCTTGCCCTTCCTATTTGTGTTTGATGATGATGAGTTTGTCTTAAATGTAGCTTTTTCACTTTGTGTGCTGCTCACAGCAGCAACACAAGAGCGGCGCTTCTGCTTCACACCAACCACAGGTTCCACAGCTGTTGTGGGCCTCTTGCAAGCAGCAGATGGTGACAATACTGTGGATGATGAAGATATGGACTTGTGGCCTGGTGCAGGACAAAAGTTTGGCTCTGCAGTTCTGATTTTGCGGCCATTTTCATCATACTTATTCCTTGCAGCCGCAATTTTCTTGTTGTGTTGTTTTAACAGTGCTTCCAGACTAGCATCATGAGATTGTGTTACTGTTTTACACTTTGAGGATGCATTCTTTTCACCATCTGTTTGCACAAGGGGCTGGCTTAGTTTCTCTTTGCCTGCAGTGTTTTCATGTATTGCTTCTAAAGGTCTTTGGCTAAACATATTTTTGTCCTGAAATTCTCTTTCAATAGTGTTGTTACTCTGAAGGTGTCCTAGAGGGTGATCTTGACTTGCAGCTTGTGACATATCTACTGCTCGAAGAGGCATGTTAGAAACACTACAAGCAGCCTCTCTGGAGAACATTTGATCATTCATTTTGCCCTCTTTGACTTCAATTTGATGACGCAGCTGAGTAGGTGATGCAGGACTTGTACAAATACTACCTGGACTATTCTTGTTTATACTGGGAATGGCAGGCAACAGTCTTCTTTTCCTTCCAGGTTGATTTCCTTTCTGATATCCACTGACAGCCTTTGATAGCAGAGATGTCTTTGGTGAAGAAGCAGATTCTGTGTAAGACCGTTTAACACTTCGCACTGGTGCAGGGGACATGGGAGACTGATTAGACAGCACACGTTGGGGAGAAAAGACAGCCATGTTGTTCAGGCTACTGCTTCTATCATCTTTCTTGTTAGCATGTGATGCATTTTCTGAAATGTAAAAAAAAGAAATTTTAACCAGTTCCATCCTGACATTGGTATGCATATTCCACAGACTGTTCTCCATACAATTCAAAAGTTTCTTTGAATTAAAATCTTTTCCCTCTATTTGAACCTGGAAATATAATAACTATATTACAAATATAAACTCATTTTCTTAGTCCATACTGTAAGTTACAGAACCTTGCTTTTTCCTGCTCAGATTAATGGCCCTTGCATTTTTCACACATGCCAAAAATCCAAACAGATAAAACTTGGTCGGTAACTTGTGTGTACAGTACAGACCTTGAACTCAGTTAGTAAGAGGTATCTTTACCTGGTCTGTTATGAGGGGAGTTTATCCAAGGTGGTGTAAAACTGCACTGTTTGTGATGTCTTAATCTTTCAGGAGTTAAGTTCCCCTCCTCAGAACTACTTCTTTGTGTGGTCTTCTTTTCGTCTTTTTTAGCTGTTGATGACTTCACATCTCTTTGCACTTTTCCACTGTTCTCTCTATTATTCATGCCCTCATGTTCTCCACGTTGTGTTCGAATTGACTTTATACCAAGAGACTTTTTGCTGTTGTAATTTTTCTTCAGTTTATTGGGCTGTGGTTTTGAGCTTGTGGCAGGCTTGTCAACTTGGGCAGCAGCAAGCAGTGGCTTGGTAGTTGCATCATGATGCGATGGGTCCTTTGGTTCATGAAGTGGATGGACTTTCTCAAACCATGAACTGTTCAGACTGTGAAGAAATTCAGTTACAAAATCAGCTTCACAAATAGACTCAAAAGTTGCTTCCTTGTGTCTGTTCAGTAATGGATCAGAGATGATGTCATAATGTAGTAAGAACGAAAACAGTGGCATACAAACTGCACCAGAATGTTTCACTGATGTTCTCACCACATTTCATCATCTTCTGTTATCTGTACCTGAACAGACACATGGCAACACGAGTGACCAGGACAGAATTTCTCCTTACAATATTAATACAATATCAAGCAGACGAGTGATGAGAATAAAGAAAAATATTAACTAAGGAATTATTAGTTGATCCAATACCAAATTCTCCAAACTAACATCACAAGAAGTATATGGCAGACAGTAAGGAGAATTACTAATGAGATCTTGGGAGTTAAAGGGTTAATGGTGATGTTATCTATGCATCTGTCCTCCAGTAGATCATAACTAAGGACCAATCAAAACACATGTACATGTTGCTAATGTTTGCATTACATTGGAAAGCGTTTAAGCCTAGGAACTACAACATTAAAATCTCATTTTTTTAATTGAAAACATCATATATTTGGCATTTAGCTTTCATGCAGATTTCTGTACATAATGCATTTTGCCGCAATGAGAGTTAAAGGAAAGTGATTATAATGGCAATGCTCAACTTTCATTGAGAAATCAGAACAAAAACGCGATTGATGCAACAAAAAGAAGAGCTGATAAGCTTAAGTTTTCCTACACTAACTTCCTGTATTGAGAAAAATTCAATGAAGAAGTGACGTTAAAAGTTACAAAATATTTAAGCTTCAATATAAATTAACGTACGGCGATACATTACTGACTGCAAAGCGAAACATTTCATGTTTTATATAAATTATTTCTGTGCATTACACAAAAGTTATACAAAGGAAAAAATTAATATCGTAAACCTACAAACAACATCGTTACCAATTCAATAAGTCGATGCCATTTTTAAGAACATCAAATTAAACTTTTCGCAAAATACTGAACGTACCCCGAGTCATTGAATTCATCTTCGAAATCTTCCGTAAAGTCGACCCATTTTGGAGCTTCAAACTCGTAATTTGGATCAGTTTCCATCTAGCAGTGGCTAGGAAGGACAATTAACTTTTCTTTATCACACTCTTCCGCTAAATGCAGGAATAAACTGCAAGGGCAAATGAACTATTCATGTTGATCCTGTTCGCTTCAAAAATGGCGCTGAAAATGCAAATATATTTGGATCCAGACCCCAGGGAATTTTCTTCGTCGTCTCTGCAAGATAAGGAGTGGAACGAGAAAGGTGACTGGGTAAAGAAGAATTTAGTTCAAATCATTGCTTTTAAGAGCACATGTTTTCTGAAAATCACACTTATGGATCAGTAAATTACATCTAAATCTACGAAAGGGTTTTCATAAACAATCGTTATTATTTCCAGCCCTCATAGCAGATTTTGTTGAAGGGGACAATCCTTTTATATAGGGGTTCCATTTGCCTAGTTATATTTTTTCTTCAGATTGGTCGTTGTGATTACGTTGACCTTGGTTTAATGACGCTCGATCGAAATACATTCTAAAGGAAAATTTCCAACTAGATGTCGAAAGTAATCAGGGATTGCTCTGAATAAGTGATTGTTTTAGGAAACTCGCGCCACTTTAAAAACAATTAGATTCAAAACTTAAACCAATAGTCACTCGCTAAATCGTATTTTCCCTCGCTGCGGGCATGTTTTCTTGTAGTGAGTTCCTATTGGCTCGTCGTCATATTTTCCCTTGTTCTGATCAGTAAAGGGGAAGACCACAAATCACAAGTTACCTGGGGTCTATGTTGATCTAGACCTCAGCTTGAATGAACATGTTGAACATCTATGTAAGAAACTGATCGATCAGACAACATCTTCCTCTAAACGAGTGTATACTTTTTTATAACACAACCAATAAGCCTGCATTCCTATACGGTGGAGCAGTCTGGGGTTCAACGCCAAAATGTAACATTAGACGAATTTTTCGTCTTCAGAACAGAGCAGCTTGTTTTAGTTTAAGCCCTAAAACGAGAGACCTACGTACTGTAACCCTATTCAAGAGACTAGACTGCCTACCCTCTTAGGACGAGTTTAAAGTAAATAAATTACGCTTATTCTACAAATGCTTAAATGGACAATTCCCAGAGTGCTTAGGTGTAGATTAGTGCGTATCAGCGACACGTCTACCAGAACTTCACGCTATGCTGATATAGCTATACGCTGTCCTTGGTATAACCGTGACACAGAAGGTGGAAAAACATTTCTTGTTACAGCCGCAAAACTTTGGAACCCTCTACCCCTTAATATATGATCTAGCACCAGTATTAACGCATTCAAACAGAACTACTGTAACTTCATGAAGGAAGACTATGCTGGCTTAATAGCTTTCCCATTTCATAATTTTTTATGATCGTCTGATCCCTTTTTAATATTACATTTAATATTACATTTTCGATATGTCGCTTTTATTTTCAATACGCCTTTTTCATTGCAGTCGTGGAGTGAGGATTAAACCTCGCCGAACAGAGGAAGTGAACGACTTGGAAGAAGTTGTCGCTTTCATTCGCGATACCAAACACAGGATTCACAATTCTTCACATTGAAAGGAAAGTCAACCACGAAAAGAGATGGAATCATATCTAATACACAAAGAGCAGCTTATTTCGCCTCATGACCAAGCATTCATCTTTGTTTCTTGAAACTTTAAAAGGACGGAAAAGGTAAACAAAGGTGAATACAGATACCGAGCGAAAAAAAAAATTCTTTGACGTGTACCATTTCAAGGGAATACTTAAGGTGGGGGGAGGGGGGGTATCCCCCAATCTCCCACCAAGTAATTGACACCATCAATACCAGCAAATTTCGCTACTGACAACTTTTTTCTTTCTTTCCTCTTGCCGACACTTGAATATTCCAGGTACATACTTAAGAAAAAAATTGACAAGCAATACATTCTGGTTTAAATGAGGCTTGTATAAACTACAATTCTTAATTTGCATTATGCCTCATGTCATCTTCCACCAATCAGTTTTCTTCGTTACCACATGCCGGATAATCCGAGCAATCAGCGATCGAGATATCTTCATGTCAACTTCGCAATTCATTGTTAATCTTCGAAAAGACTCCTCACTTTGCGATCCTATTCCGTCGTGTTTTCCGAAGTCTCTTCGGAGCCGGTGCTTCCGACTCGGTCTTTAAATAGCCCTTATCCATATGCTCTTGGGTATCCGGAAAGCTTGAGTTCTAAAAACCTGGAGGAGTGGACGGTGGTGGTGAAAACTTCGCTCGGTGACGAGAACAATGCTTCAAACGTTTTTTCAGCTAATCCTCGGGAAGATCAAGGCCCTGGTAGTACTGAAAAGAAAAGGGATATCTGTCATGGAGCACATTTCGATTAGTAATCACAGTAGCAAAACCTAATTTATCACATTTGCAAGTCAGAACAACATTATCTGAATTTGTAAAAGAGAACTCGACAGACCACTGTCAACAATCAGTTTAACACTTCTCAACTCTAAATGACTCGTTGCGAAACACCGAAACTTTGACGCACAGACAGGAAAAAAGTCGCCCATCGTGAAGAACGTCACGTTAGCCAATACAATAAAAACCCTAAAAAGGGGATAAAAAGATCTTTCGCCAATGGTTGAATTGATTCTTATCTATTACTTTCAAACTAAACAAAAATGAAAGAATAACAGGGAACATGTTTCAACTTTTTTATGGCTTAAGCCAAAACAGCCATTCTCTTAGGACATCTCGTCAGCGATCAGGTCTCCTTAGGAAGATCTTTACCGTCAAAACAAATATCATTTGAAACACTATTAACTTCAAATTTATTTAGTAATCTACAGTTTCTTGAAGATGCATATTCCCCCTATACGCGGAAGCAATTACTTCCACACCAAAGAAACAGATGAACAAAAATTTTCATCTCTCCTTACCAGGAGAAATTTAAAGAGGAGATGATCTTGCAGAGCCGTTGACACAATTTGTAGGAGCCTGGGTAGCTGTTGGACTGCCATCACAACCATTTTCAAGGGGTGAAAACTGATCTGGTGCCACAGATGGTGCTGGTCCTCTACCAATGGGTAAGGGCCGAGGCCTCTGAGCTCTTCTTTTACCAAACCTGCGATTAAAAGTGACGCGCGTTAATGAAGAACAAGGATTACTGCTCAAACCCTGGTCGTTGAAAAAAATCATGTTTAGATCAGTATTTATTATCATTTTTCCAAGACATAATAAACAGCCCATGATCATAGAAGGAAACTTGAATTTGGGACATGGCTGATAATGCTAGTCAGTAAGAGGTCATTTGTGATTCATGTCCAAATATTTATTGTAGGATTTGGAAATTAGACTTTAGGATAATGCAACAAAAAAAACACACATTAATATTTGGACCTGAGAATAGCTTAGCATGAAAAACATTAATTTGCAAACTTTAAAGCAAAGAATCAGATCAACACCCACTTCTCTAGCTCCTCCTTTGTGTGTGCAAATGTACAGCGGGGACCTCTAGGACATCTCCCCCAAGTGTGATCTCTGCACATACTGGTTTTGAACTTGTTGTTGTGTGACTAAAAAAGAAAAGGAAAAAAATTGCTACTATCCTGAAAAGAACCAAAGATGTAAATAATAGGCTTACTACTTGACTCTTAAGGACAATCTAGACCAAGTTTACCGGTACACCTGCCTGAACTAACGCACAAATAAGACTACAGTTAGCTAGACTAAGGGTTAGGTAATGCGCAGCCTCGTTTTGATATTAATTGTTGCCAACAAAATTAAAGACGCAATCAAAATGGCGGTAAGTTTAAATCACAATATCCTGCTGTTGTTGGCGCAGTCACGGCTGAGGGAAAACCTCAGAATTACACAAAACCGACAGAGAAACGCAGAGAGACGGTTTAATCGTTATGTCCGTTGGAGACGTCTCGTTTCATCATTGTTTTTCCGTTTTTTGCTTCGATTTCTTCTCCGACATCTTCCTGTTCGCCGTATTTGGCTAAAACCCCGGTCGCAGATATTTTGGGAAGAGACTTGCCAAGATTGGGAAGAAAAGGACTGGAATGAGAATTTCCGCATGTCTAAAGAAGCATTTAATCGCCTTTGCCGAGAACTTTCGCCACATATCTCTAAAAGGGACACCAATTACAGGAAAGCCATTACAGTGCGCCATCGAGTTGCCATAACATTATATTGGCTCGCGGACACGGCTCACTTTCGAACGATCGGAAATCTATTTGGTGTCGGAAAATCCACTGTTTGTGGTATTGTGCGACAGGTATGCGAGGTGATAGTGAACGTTCTTCTTCCCAATTATATAAACGTTCCCCAAAATCAACATGAAGTCCAAGAAAAAATTGAAGGTTTTAAAAGTCGCGCGGGCTTTCCCCAGGTGGTTGCAGCAGTCTATGGTTGCCATGTCCCAGTCATTGGACCTCGGCAAAGTCCAGATGATTATGTTAACAGGAAGGGATTCCACTCATTAATCCTTCAGGGGCTAGTAGATTGTAATTATCTATTTCTTGATATATGTGTTGGATGGCCGGGTAAAGTACACGACGCACGTGTCTTCAAGAACTCTCCATTGTTTGCCTTGTGTTGTTTTCTTTCGCTCGATATGTCGGTGATGATATCTGGTGTACAAGTTCCTCCCCTGATATTAGGTGACTCAGCTTATGCTCTCAGCAATTGGCTGATGAAACCATATATTGATCGTGGAAATCTGACCCCGGAGGAACGCAGTTTCAACATAAAACACAGCACGACTAGAGTAGTTGTTGAAAATGCCTTTGGTCGATTGAAGGAAGGTTCAGAAGCATTGGGAAGAGACTGGACTTAAAAGTTGAAAATGCCTGCAATGTCATCGCAGCGTGTTGTGTTTTACATAATTATTGTGAGATGCAAAACGAGTCTTTTGATGACCAATGGCTCAATGATATTCACATTCATGCTGGAGTTTGTCCAGGTGATCCAAACCAAAGGCAGAACACAAATGCTGTTGCAATAAGAGATGCAATTAAAAGATTCTTAAAATAAATATTCATTGTCACATGCATCACTTGAACATGAGTGTTCAACATAAGGCAAATAATCCATCAAAGAGTTTGCACCTCTAGCTCAAAAAAGTCGTTTATATGAATACTTTCTCCCTTTAAGGTTTATTGTATACAGTGCAAATAGTTTCATAAATAATGGAAGAGTCAAGATCTTTTGAAGGACACTCCTCTAAGAGGGTCAAACAGTGTTCCATTTGTAATTACAGTTGTATAAATGAGATTTGAAAAGTAAATTGTCAATTGTGTAAATTAAAATTACTGATGACAAACTTTGATTGTCTGTGGTGTTCTTGGAAACCCCCACATTTTTTTTGAACATTTCAAAACCTGGACACCATCTCAGAACAATTAAAGATGCAGTCATTGCAAGTTTGCCATTTCACATGTGAAATAAACATATTAGCACTGAAATTATGCTAAAAAATTAGGGAGTAGTTTGAAACCCACGGTGTGACATATGCTAATTTAGCCATGCATACTACATGTTCACATAAAATACTAATTTGAGTGCAAGACTTGCATCTTCCTCTCTGAGTATTAGATGTAGGCATAAAGAAGGAGGGGGGGACAATCTCAGCTTTTTCGATCAAAGTGTTCAGTTCGAATAGCAAGGAGATCTACTCACTCAGTGACATGGCCTCAGCTGGCATTAATGTCAGCAAAACTAATTTAATTCACTAACTTTTTGCTCTTGTTCCATTGCAAGTGACTGTGTAATTATACACCAGACTTTTTGGTTAGTCCCTTACAAGAAAGAATAATTAAGCAAACAAACACACAGAGCTCTCTGTTGTAAATTTATCAAGGAGACTTAAAAGACATCATTCATTTGACCCTCTCTCTCTGAACAACTGATGGAACCTCAGAAACAAATTTCATCATTTTAAAGGTGGATCAAAACTTTATTTCAAATATTAAATCAATTTTTCAAAAGATCCTAACCACTGTGCACAAAAATATTCATTTATTTCATTAATTTTCCGGAGCATTTTTTAAATACTCTGGGCCAGGTCGTTCAAAGGTGGCTTAACTTAACCCAGGGTTAGTGTGAAATTTGATTTCAAATATGAAAATCTAAAAAGAAATCCATTTTCTTTTTTTTTGTCTACAATTTGATGATTAGATGGTCTAAAAGGAATAGGGAAAATTATCCCAAAAAAGACTCCTGAATAAAGAAATAAAGAAGCTGAATCAAAATTTAACCCTGGATTAGTGTTAATCGGCCTCTGAACAACTAGGCTCTGCCGGAAAATTAAAAATAACACTTAAAGGAAAAAAACGATTTTTATTTTCTCAAAGAAAAAAAAAGCATATTCAATTGAAGACAACTATAGAAGAAAATTAGTTCAAGTAAAGAAAAGTTAACCAGAGCATGTCAACATCAATGATCTAAGTGTTAAGTTCAATATAGTTTTCTTCTTTTTCTTGCACCTTCTCCAACGACTGGGAATCGGCCATTAGATTTCGTGAAACATCGTTCAACTTACAACATAAATAAAGCCGAAAACTAAACCAACTGAAACTGTCGCAGGTACGATCGCAAATTAAATTGTTGAAGACACGTACTTTTTATTTTCGAAGTACCTGCGCCAATTTCAGCAGAAACTCCTGGTCTTCCTTCCTTCTTCTCTCCTCCCTTTCTTCTTCTCGTCTTTCACGAGCCTCCTCTGCAGCAAGAAAACTCCTATCAGCAGCTTGTTGATAGGAAACAAATGCCTCCAACGCCTTGTCAATTTGTGTTAAGGCATCCGTCGTTGACACCTTCCGCTTCTTCGTAGCGGGTTTGAAAAATGGCTTGCCAGCATCTGTTGTTCTTTCTGTGAAGGAATACAAGAAATCTTTAAAGGCAGAAGTTAAAGTTTGAGCCAATACTTATCTCAATATTTTTGTTCAACTCCACTCATCTTGGAAGTAAAATTATCAATAAATTTTGTTAGAGATTACAGACAACGTAGGCGCCGATATTGAAACATTTTCTTGGCCTATTGTCTGACCCTCCAATCAGCGAAAGTTTTCAAAGCTCACCTGTCAAACATTCACCCTTGTTTGGTTGAGGAAATTTGCCGGCTGTTTTGTTGCTGCTGCCGACGCTGGTGCCGCCGCTGAAGGAAGGCAACTCTTCGTTTGGTTCATCGTTCTTAATTTTTTCATTGTCTTCTTCTTCGTTGTCCGCCTCAATGATAATTTTTGAAGAATTTACCACAACCTTCGGTTTGGTACATGGTTTTTTTGAGAGAAATTCATCGACTTCGTCGAAAAACGCCGGCTTCCTCTTTGGAGTCCCGTTTCCGGTCTTCTCACATTCGTCTTTGTAGGAGCGATACGCACTTACTAATGTGTGTACTCTTGTTTTGCAGGCATCTTCATCACGGTCTTCGTAGCCTGCCGCTCGAATAAAATCACTTATTTCTTGCCATATAGGCCTCTTTCTGGTACAAGATATTAACTTCATTTGTATATTTTCGTCCCCCCACTTCTGTAGTAACAATAACGTTTCCTGGTTTTCCCAAATCCTTCCGCGGGTTTTTTTGGCAACCGCCATCTTTAATGTGTTTAGTTAAACACGAAAGTTAAACAACCTCATTTAGGTAGTTTTATTAAACACGGTTTTAAACATGTTTGGCTACACGCGCCCGCGGTGTGAACAGGTAGTTTAATAAAACCAGTTTAGCAAAACAAGATTTAAACATGTTTAAGTTTTGGTGTGAACGGGGTATAAATCAAGATCACTGGAAATTAAAGAAATTTACAACAACAATAACAACAACAACAAAAACTTCAAATTGTACTTACTTGTGGTGGATCACCAGATCCTTTCATTCCTCTGCCATGTGACTGATACCATCAAAATAAAGGAAAAACATAATCCATCCTTTAGACTACTCAGTACTTTTAAAATTACTAAACTGTTACCGATGGTTATGATAAATTTTTGGAAATACAAGACTTGTCTGTTAAACAAAGGAGACCCTTAAATGTTCAACAGCTGCTCTTGATGCTTCTGCATGCATCTAGTTTTTTTTTCTTTTTTTTAATCTGCTCTTTTGTATCAATGAACCTGCAGATGTTTCAAATTAGCCTTTTGAATATCAAAGAACAGAACCAAAAGCAACATTGATCACAATGATCATCCTGCATCTGCCAAAAGAGCTCTCATGTAGTTTCCATGTAATCAAAATAGACTCAAATCAAGAAATGAGTGGATTTTATTTTGAAAAACAAAAACACCATCGCTCACTTTTGAAAAATCAACAAATCCATGGACCACAGAATGTACAGAAACCATGGCTTGTTCTAGCTCATCCCAAGCTGGACATGATGCCTCTGCAGGAAAAAAAATCAAAGACACATGTTATCTCAACTGGTAATGCAATTGTTTCTGGCCTTGAAGTACATGTATTTTGACTGTGCAACTGGGGTGTCTACATGTATATGATCCCAAAGCTGTAGTGAACAACTCGGCCAAAACAGGCCACTAATGTCAAGAACTTATTCAAGCTTCAGTCAATGAAAATTCATGTGCTTCTGTATGCAACAACTTGCCATTCTTTCAAAAGAGACTGCTACACAAACCTGGAGATGCATCAATGTGGGACAGTAATTCAAACTGATCTCTCATTTGACAGAGATTCCCAGGATCACCAGATCTCTGTAGGGCAATGATCAGCTCTTGGATGCTCTGGGAAAATGAGGCAGGGGTTTGGAGCTGAAAACAAAATAAAGAAATTAGTTTTAACTGTAATGCTACCATTTTTTGGGATAAAATTGTGATGCAAACAATAACACTCCATTAAAAAATTCACAGGTCTTCTCATGATAGAAATACAATAATAGCACTGCTGCTTTAAATCTTGAATAGTGATATCAAAAATATTTCAAACTAGCTTAGATCCATTGTATTAAATGTACAGTTTTACCTCATTGAAGTTGAAGCCATAATGAGCAACACACCTTGTCAATGATAGATTGCATGTGAGACTTGTGATCCATGTCACCATAGAGCAGTGAGGACCACTTGTCTGGGAGGATATGCAGCCCTGCATCTGTTGCAATTTGCACTATCTGTGCATCATGTACTTTCCGTAGTGCATCATAGGTACGGTACTAATAGCAAAAAAAAAAAAAAAAAAAAGGAATGATATAATGTTTTTGAGTCTAACAAGCACAACCAACACAATCATTGACCACTGTTTATTCCCTGGAAAGAAATATACAACATGTGAATTGAATGGTAGTTACATCTGAAAACACTCATTAAATTTTTCAAAGAAACAGTACCTGTTCTTTGAGCTGCATCAAAGATGGCTCATTGTTCTTTTCCTCAACCTGAATGAAAAAATTGAGTCAACATTTTAAGTTCAACACTTTTAAATACACAGAAACCTCTTAATTACATTTAATATATATTACAAGCATACTCAATTTCCTACATAACAAAAATCTCAGTGCACTTTTTAGTGACAATTTAACAGACATCTACTGAAATCCACCTTAATGGAGCATAAAGTATAAACTCACCTTAAAACAGGATGCTCTGTAAAGCAACTGCACTACATGGCCAATACTTGTTTTAGAAGCCTGTGGAAACACAGATTTCAGCTTCTGGACCACAAAAAGGACCAAAACCTTTCTAGACAAAGCCTCACCACCTTCAAGAGCCAACAAAATCAGTTTCAAAGCTTCTTCCTGCATGGCTGGTCCTAAAAACTGACAACCACGATTCCGTACAGCAGCCCATATATTAGCTGAGACTTGTTGATGCAATAAAATGAGCTCTGTAACTGTCCTTTCTCCCAAGCTTCTGGCCGCACGCATGGCTCTAGATCTTCCTTCACCCTCAGCCAATTGACAGTTAACTAATGTCACAAGCTTCCTCTGCATGGGTCTCGTAAGGACATTATTCCCATTGCTGTTGACGGAACCATTACGGGTGCTGCCATTGACTTTTCCATTCACTGTACCATTAACACTGCCATTGACAGGTTTCAAGAACAGGGCAAGCTTTTCGATACAGCTTTTCGAATTTAAATAATAAGTGGCATATTCTCTGAGATTGTCAATTGGGGGAAGTCTATTGTCTGGTATTTCTTCTCCAACTAATTGAAGCAAAGCATAGTTGTATGGAAGTTTGGATATATCTGTCTCTACAGAAGCCTGATCAGTAGGGCACTGTGTTTTACCCAGGTGGAAATCTTATTAAGATCTTGGAAGATCTTGTAAGATCTTGGAAGATCTTGTAAGAATCTTATAAGATGGCAATTAAGATGAAGATCTTACTAAGATCTTATTAAGAATTAATAATCTTAATAAGATCTTGCCAAATTCTTGAACAAATCTTAACCAGGTTTGAGCATTGTAAGATCTTAAAAGATCTTATTAAGTTTATACAAGAATCTTGTAAGAATCTTGACAAAATTTTACAACACATGGGGATTAAGATCTTGGAAGGTTCTTAACAAGATCTTACTAAGTTTATTTAAGAATCTTGTAAGAATCCTCACAAAATTTTACAAGAAATGGGGGTTAAGATCTTGAAAGGTTCTCAACAAGATCTTATTAAGTTTATTTAAGAATCTTTTAAGAATCCTAAAAAAAATTTTACAACACATGGGCATTAAGATCTTGAAAGTTCTTAACAACATCATATAAAGTTCACTTAAGAATCTCAGTTGTAAGAATCCTAATCTTTAAGAAAAGGAAGATCTTACAAGCTTCTTGACAAGATCTTGGTAAGTTTGTTTAAGAATCTTAATAATGAAGTAAGATCTGTAAATGTAACATTAAGATTCTAGACAGGATTTCATCTAAAGTTCATCTAAGAGTTTTGTAAGAATCAAAATTTTAAGATCAGTAGGAATTTAAATGTTCTTGACAAGATTTTATCAAGTTTATTCCAGTACATTCTTGAGTAACTTGAAATGTTATCCTGTTCTGTCATAAGAGAGCATGGGGATGCATAAGGCTTTAAACCTCTCACATGATGTGAAAAAATGCCATGTCCAAAAGGGGATCACATAACGTCAAGTAAGCTTCTATGGTATGGTGTGCAAATTTCAGACCTGAGAACACAATATACATGCAGCTGCTTTCTAAAGAGGTAATTGTTCCACTGGAATTATGATATCAGCAGATTAAATTTGGACAGACTTTTCAGATTACATTTGATGATTGATTATGAAATATACTGAACAGCTAGTTTAAATAATCACTAATCATGTTCATAGGGAGTGTCTAGAAAGGGATTTAACCTTCCCATCTTTGCCTTGAACATAAAGACACCCATAGATAATGTCACCACATTCCACAAGCAAGAGACTTTCGCTGATATGGTTCAGAAAAAAAAAAATATGGCAGTATGCAGACCAGCCAGATGGCAGAGTGAAAAGATGTAATTAAAAAAAAAAAATTCATAGCTAGCTACTTGTAAAAATATTTTTCAAGAAAGTTACATGAAATTTGTACTTTCACCAAGGCATTCCACGCCACTGCGCATACGCAGAATTGCAAATTGTACACTTGATCGTTGTTGTTAACTGTTTTTTTTTTTTTTTTTTTTTCATATCGTTTCGGACAAAGTTTGACAGAAATTCTACATTGGTCGAGTGTTATCTGCCTGGTTGCGAAATTTAACTGTGCCTTACAGCCCTAAAGAAGAAGAATGATTTTGAGAATTAGGATTTTACCGACCAAATTCTTTACAAAATAATAACAAATAAACATCGGAAATTTGCAGACCGGTCAGATGGCAGAAATTAAAAGTATTTTAAAAAAGTTTATAGGTAGTTACTTACAAAATACTTGCGAGAGTTGCGTGACATTTTGTACTTTCACTAAGGTTTTCCCCAGTCTCCCGCTACGGCCGGCGCAAAATTACAAATTGTTCACTCGACCGTTGTTGTCAACCGTTCTCGCGCCATTTCGTTTCGGCAAAGTTTTACAGAAATTTTACTTTGGTTGAGTGTTATCTACCTCGTTGTGAAATTTAATTGTGTCTAAAGCCCTGAAGAAGAATAATGATCTCGAGAATTAGGATTTTACAAGCCAAGTTCTTTACAAAATAACTAATGTTACTGTCGCTTAAAATACAGAAAATAACGCAGTCGGTAAGTAACATGAGTTTACAGCACACCAGAGGAGATAAATCGCGTTTTGCTTTTCTTGGGAAAGAACACTACGATTACACATTAAAGGTTGCGATATCCTTGTTTTATTCTGTCACGTGAAGGGGCCTCAGGTGAATAGTTTACACATCTAAGCACATAGAAAGCACACGTATGATTGTGCACGACACTCGCTTTATAACTCAAGGAACACATTGGTCTTGGTAGTTTAAGTACCTTGAGAAGATTTCTAAAAAAACCACTAGTGCACGACTGGTAATGAAGCAAATGAAGGCAAATCATCCCGAAGGTAAGTGCAACTGACTTTTATTCATTAAGTTCACGTTATCAACATTATACATCTGGAAGGTGATGCGATAGACTTATTTCTCGCACTTTTTAGATTCTTTCAGCATAAGTTTATGTAATTGGTACAAGGCAAATCATAAAATCTCGTTAGGGTTCTTTTTGTTTAGAATTGAGTGGAAACTGACACGAGATGTAACGCTATCATCATCAAAACCACGTAACGGCGGCTGCTAACCTTACTGCACTTTTGTTCTGGATTTAAGTGTTGTAGGCAGAATCATCGTAGCTTCCAGTCGTCTCGCATGGAAATGGTTCACAATAAACAATTAATTTGTCTTCGGCTTTACTAATAACCACTTTAAACTAGAAGGGTGCAATAACAACGCGAAATCGATTATGAATTATAAATTGCCACGTTCTACTTAAAAGTTTCCACTTGAGGATGATGATGAAAGCTGGGTTTGATTATCACGGCCGTGTCCAAAAGCAAACAAAATTACCAAAAATTTCTTCTGATGATGTAAGAACTCTAAATACTCAATGTTGACATTCCCCCTCCTTCAAGACTTCATTGACTTAGATGGCTTAAGGCAGAATTTTTGGCAGTGTTATCCTGTTAATTTTACTCTAATACATTCAATACCTGTATTAATTCCATGCAACATTTTTTGTATTTTGTTTGGTTCTGTTTAGTTTTTATGTTTTGTTTTGTGAATGTGTGTGTATTTTTTTTGGTTTTCATTTAATGCTGATTTATGATTCCTTGTTTCCCTTTCTCACAATTTTCTTTGTTCTAAAGTTAATGAAACTTAATTCAGTGGAGGATTGCTCAACAAATGTAAACATTTTTTCAATTCATATTCACAGGAGAACTGGAGAGATAGGATCACCTGTAAAAATGATTGTATCCTGAATAAAGTAGACTTTGAGTCCCATCTTAATGCTACAAGCACAGAATGGGATAGAAGGGTGGCAGCTCCTCTGATTGTAAAAAGGTAATTTTTCATTAATCAACTTTTGTCTGTTTCAGCAGTGCAAAGCGTTTTGTTGGATTGAGTTGGGCAGTGCAAATTGCCAAGATTCATAACTGGGAACTTGTACATGAAATTTTGCTCTTAAAGATGATAAATTCTTGTTAAAGATAGTCAACCTCCTTTTCTTTGCATCATGATGGTGATCAAGGAGAACCATTGAGAAGCATCTTAAAGTACCACAAGTCAACTACTGAAAGATGGAATTGAAGTCAGAGCAACAATTCTACTGCAGACAATAGATTATGATACTTAATTATTTAAACACTGAGGGTTTTTTTTCCAATCTTGATTCTTGTCTCCTAACATGTTACATTTCATTTTAGATGTACAATGAAACCAAACTCCTATTACTCCTCTCTGGCAGGGATTTTTAAAAAATACGAAGGTTTTAGTATATTTTGTACCATACAAATTACTATTTTCTTTTTTTTTCCCCACAGGAGCCATTTTGGTTGCCCAAATGAATAAGATGGTCTCAAATAAGGCTCTACTTGAATAAAAAATTGCTTGGATTCCAAGAGAAAAGTTCAAAATGTATAGGGCAATGTTGACAAGTCCGTAGACTGAATGAACTAAGGCTTGGTTGATATTTGTACAAAATTGAAACATATGCAAATTTACTTGTCAAGTAGCTGTCAAATTGACTAAAATGCCAACTTAGATGAGTGATAGTGAGCTTTAATTCTTTGAACACATTTGCTGCAATACAAAATTTTGTTGTTGTTTGTTTTGTTTTCATGCTTAAATTAGAAAAACTATTTCAGTTGAATCAAACAAAGAACAATTTAAAACTGGGACATGCCTTTTTATTATGGCTTTTTTGTGAAAGGTAACTATTTTCAAATCAAACTGTCAAATGGAACAGTTAAAACAATTGTTTTTAGATTTTTAAAACACAAGTTTTGTCATTTAAATCGTAATGTTTACCAGTTAACGTTTCTTATCAGGATCTTTTTAGTAATTAATTTCACAGTGTTGAGAATTTGAAATTTTTGCTTAAATGTTGGATGAAGAAATTCTTTCTTAGTTGTGATCTCCATTCCTCGATCATCCAGTTACTGCATATTGCATAAACCATCAGTTACCTACTATGGTCTGAAAAAATGTGATATTTAAGAATTTTTACAGATTCTGCAAAATTCTTGTAAGTTGTTTTTCACAAGTTCTTGTTTCTTTTAGAGATCATTAAGACATTGTTGAGAATCTTAACAAGTTCTTTTGAAAACTTGTGAAGGTACTTAATTAAGATTCTTGTCACAGGAATCCTACCAGATCTTGTAAGATTCTTCTAAGTTTCTTACTAAGATACTTATCAAGACTCTAAAAGAATCCTGGTAAGATCTTGTCAAAGATTCTTACAGGAATCTTGGCTTACAAGATCAGGTAAGATCTTGTCACAAGATTCTTACAAGAATCTTGTAAGATCTTGTCACAAGATTCTTACAAGAATCTTGCAAGATCTGGCAAGATCTTACCACAAGATTTTAAAGATCTTGTAAGATCTTAGATTGATCTTGTAAGATCTTACAAAGATTCTTACAAGATCTTGTAAGATCTTACAAGATTCTTGTAAGAATCTTGTGACAAGATCTTACAAGATCTTGTAAGGTCTTACAAGATTCTTAATTAAGAATCTTAATAAGAATCTTAGTAAGAAACTTACAAGAATCTTAGTAAGATCTTAATAAGATTTCCACCTGGGTTAGACAGTTTTGACAAGCAGGAAACACAAAATGTGTGTCCACATCCCAAGCTGATTGGCTGCCTGTCATGATTGTCAAATTCCTTGTAACATATTGGGCACTGAAGAAATTCTGTCCCTTGAGGTTTTTGAATTGGCATAATTGATACCCGCTTATGCACACACACTGCAGTTTTATGTATATTTATTGATGCTCAATACCATGGGTATCCTGCAATGAAATAATAAACAAGACATGAACTTGTTACAAATATCATTCATCACACAAAAGGAGGCTACAAAATTTAACCAACACAACACCAATATCAAGACATCTTACAAAGTAGAGCACACCACTGGCATTCCAATACATGCCCAGTCAGTATGAAAAAAAAAACATAATTATATCTAGTAGTTCAACCATAAACTCAATTCATAAAATTAACACTTTAATTAAAATGACTGCTAACCTCATCTTTGCATCAAACTGCCAAGTGTTATTAAGCATAAAAGTTAAGATAGTTTCTGAGTCATCAAGCATCGATGTGTCGTGTTATGAAGATTTATAAACATCAATGAGACTACTTTTAAAGTCCGCCTCCAAGTACATGTATATGTAACACTGTGGTGAGTTAATATGTCAAATTTGTACAAGGATCTATAAAAATATCTTCAGTTGTAAGAATACATTCTTTGCTGTTCTTCAGGTATGAATACACTTCTGCCATAATCAAACTAAAATTCAAACAAACATGAATTATGACCGATCAACTTTCAAATGTTTCCTTTTAAAGAAATAAGCTTGAGCACATGCTTAAGGTTTCTCAATATGATAAGGAAGTAAAACTCACTGATAAGTTGTTTCAAACACAATATGAAACCATCAAATAAAAAAAAAAACAACAACAACAATTTATATATGATCAGCAAACAAAACTTTGAACACAAATAAAAGGCAGGTAACTGATCCTTACTATATTTTGGTTGTTACCATCATAAAATTTCCCGAACTTCCAATCCATGGCTCAATATACAAAAGTTAAAAGAAACAGTTAACTGACACAAGAAATACATCAATGTGATTTATCACAGCTTAGAGCCAGTAAAATTGAGATCTGCTTATTCATACAGTGACTGTGACAGAAGTGAAACTTCACTTTTTCTATAATGCTGATAAAACAGGTTTTTATGTACACATGTATGTGTAAAATCACCACCATCAGATAATCTATTTCCTTACTTAAAAAATGGAGAAAATTAAATGCTTCAGTCTGCAGACTGCACTTAATATTAATAGTACACATGTATAACAAAGTCAGCCTTATATCTCTGAATTGCAGCTATATCAAGAGTCAAACATAACTATCCTCACCTTAACACAGGTACAATAAGATTTTTAATGACAATTCAAAAAAAATAATTACTCTGTTTCTTTCCTATTCAAGCTCTACTTGCTCAAATTTTATCTATAAAATTGCTCTTCCAGCACCTGTTGTTTGAATCAAAAAGTTTATTCCTAAAACCTTTCATGGTATTAAAAGAAGAAAGGCAGAATCATGTCGTAAACCTTTAACCCTAAGGGTGACTAGCATCTAGATTCTCCTTACAGTATCACCCCCAAATAAAACAGTAAGTTCATGAGAATGGAGGAAATGATCGCCAACTAAAGAAACTCTTGATTGCTCGACAAATTCTCCTCGTCACGACCTCAAGAAATGTGTGAAGAACAGAATGGAGAATATGCAGACTGATGTTAAGGTGTAACAGGTTAAACAATCATGTTATGATTGCTCATAATTAATTACAACACCCTGGCTCTATGTCGCGCCAAGACACGATGCTTATACATGATATATGTATGGACGAGAAAATAGCTCCGTTGTGTGTGTTACTATTAAATGGCTGCAAATGAACTTTTTTCGTTGATTACGTTGGAACATGTTCCCAGCAATCTTGCTTCCTTTCGCAATGTAAACTATCTCCAGGTCATCAATAGGCTATGAATATCGCAAAAAACTTGAGAAACATTTCCAAAATACTACAACCGCATCGAACCGGCGATTAGTACGTGGATGTTTATTTATGTTAATAACGAGATACAGCTGTGTTTGAAAACGAATACCTATAAAAATTGATCAATTTTTATCCATGAAATGCTTGATTAGATGTTCTTTGAAAGATTACAAGAGATGAGCTCTCTGAACTTTCGAATTCCCGAGCAAGATGTTTCATGACCAAAACGAGAAATGCAATCATAAGCGAAAAGACTAACGTGCAGTCACAGTCTGCACGTTCCCAAGACTGCAAGGTCGATCTTCGCCTCGTTCACTCACCTTAGACATGTACAAAACCGCTATCCAACACTGGAAAACACTTGCATGTACAAACAATGCCTTGAACTATCCAAAGGCCTTTCCAAGAAAGCAGGAACTCAATGCTGAATTACGGCAAAATCGCTCTTAAAAAAGATGTGCGCACTCCGATTGCGTTGCATTGTGGTAGCTTCATTTTCAATGAATTTCATTTTCGGTTAAAGCAGCGGAAATTGGCGGATGTTAGCCGCACATTCCATAAAAGTTGGGCCATTCCTTTTTTCTTTCGCCATAGGTAAATGTTAATCGATTTATTTTGAATGTGTAAAAATATTTTTTGCTCGTATTTGTCGCGTATTCAATATGGTTCTCAAGGACAAACGCAATCACTGTCATATGGGCAAGGAAGGACAATTAACGCTTCTTTAATCGCCCTTCTGCTAAATGCAGGAATGAACTGCAAGGGCAAGTGAGCTATTCGTGTTGATCCTGTTCGCTTCAAAAATGGCGCTGAAAATGCAAATCTATTTGGATTCAGCTCCCCAAGGAATTTTCTCCGTCGTCTCTTGCAATACAGGGAGTGGAACGAGAAAGGTGATTGGGAAGTATTTGATTCAAAATAATTTAGTTCAAATCAGGATGCTTTTAGAACGCATGTTGGAATTTCTGAAAATACACCCGTGGATCAGTAAATTACATCTAGATTTACGGAAGGATGTTCATAAACAGTCGTTATCATTTCTCATAGCAGACTTTGTTGAACTAAGGGGACAATCTTCTGATATTTGGGTTCCCATTTGCCCCCAGCGACATTTTTTTCGTCAGATAGGTCGTTGTGATTACGCTGACTTTGGTTTTATGACGCTCGATCAAAATACGCTCTAAAGAAAAGTGTTGAAAGTTATCAAAGATTGCTCTGAATAGGAGATTTATCTAGGAAACTCGCGCCACTTTAAAAAGCAATTGGATTCAAAACTTAAACCAATGGCGACTTGCTCAATCGCATTTTTCCGCGCTGCAGGCTTGTTTTCTTGTAGTGAGTTGCCATTGGCTCCTCGTAATATTTCTCTTCATGTAACCACTTAAGAAAAAAATTGACAAGCAGTACATTCTAGTATAAATGCACGAGGCTTGTTCACAATACAGTTCTATATTTGTATTATGCCTCGTATCATCTTCCACCAATCAGTTTTCTTCGTTACCACACGGATAACCCGAGCAATCAGCGATCGTGACATCTTCATGTCAACTTCGCAATTCATCGTTAATCTTCGAAAAGACACTTCACTTTGCGATCCTATTCCGTCGTGTTTTCCGAAGTCTCTTCGGAGCCGGTGCTTCCGACTCAGTCTTTAAATAGCCCTTAGCCATATACTCTTGGGTATCCGGAAAGCTTAAATTCCAAAAGCCTGGCGGAGTGGACGGGGGTGGTGAAAACTTCGCTCGGTGACGAGAACAGTGCTTCAAACGTTTTTTCAGCTCATCTTCGGGAAGATCAAGGCCCTGGTAGTACTGAAAAGAAAAGGGATATCTGTCTTGGAGCGCATTTCGATTGGCAATCACAATAGCAAAACCTAATTTATCACATTTGCAAAACAGATGAAATTATCTAGATATGTAAAAGAGAACTCGAGAGACCACTGTCAACAATCGGCTTGACATTTCTCAACTCTAACTGACTCGTCACGAAACACCGAAACTTTGACGCACAGACTGAAAAAAAGTCGCCCATCGTGAAGAACAGCATATTAGCCAATACAATACAAATCCTAAAAAAAGGACAAAAACAAGGGAATAAATTTCGCCAACGGCTGAATTGATTTTTATCTATTGCTCTCAAACTAAACAAAAATGAGAGAAAAACAGGTCACATGTTCCAACTTTTGTAAGGCTTAAACCAAAACAGACATTCTTTCATGACCTCTCGTCAGCGATTAGGTCTAAAGGTGGTACGTTTCTAAAGAAACTGTGGTGCTGCGTCGGTGGGAGAGTATAGCAGGTAATTTAGTGTTAACAATTGAGTTGAAAACGTAAATTGGCCACCGTAAAGGGTAAAAAAGCTGACATTTTGAGGGTTAGCCCTTCGTCAGAGCGATTGGAGGAATTGTGGGTTGTGTGTGGGTTTATATGCAGAAAGTGGAGCTACGTTATTGGTAGGAATATGGTGACGAGAAAACAGGAATAAGGTCTTCCTAGGAAGATCTCCACTGTCATATTAAATACCATTTGAAACACTATTAACTTTAAACTTATTTAGTAATCTACAGGTTCTTGATGATGCATATTCCCCCTATACAAGGAAGAAATTACTTCCACAAAAAAAAAACCGATGAAAAGATCTGCCTTGCTTCTTTAGTATGTTTTGTTCGTTTCAAAATCCTTTAAAATTCCTGTATTCTTCGTGCCTAAGTTTTCCTGTACTTAGTGCCTTTTGGGCCAAATTCCAGCATGGAATGTCTTAGTTCACTTTTTCACTCAGTGGACTATTTTTTTCTGTCTAAGTAATCTGGCATGTTACCTCTTGGCAGTCACGACATTTATAGCCGTTCAGCTTGGCTCTTTCATCTTTCTTCCGGACAACTTCTACGTATTTATAATTTGGTTCAGCGTCATTATTCCTAGTCAAATTTAGGAGGGAATGATTCACCAGCGTTAGCAATAATAATATTGGTGTACGCGTTTAATACAATATTTTTAACTGAGCTAAAAAGCCATATGTCGGAAGAAAGACAAATTCAAGAGGAGCACATTCCTTTATGGGAACAAAGAATTCTCAAAAATTTGCCTCACTTTCAAAATGTGGCCTTGCTGCTCAAATGAACTAGTACCTAGAAGGCATGGGCTCGAATCTCGTCGAGGCCTAAACCTCTTGACCCTTTAACCCTTTATCTACCAGATCAAATTTGAAATTCTCCTTACTGTCAACCATGCAATTCATGTAATGTTAGTTCAGAGAATTTAGTATTGGATCAATTAATTATCCCCAAATTGATAGTTTTCTCTATTCTCATCACCTGCCTGCTTGATATAGTGAGGAGAAATTCTGTCTTGGTCACTCATGGGAGTTAAAGGGCTAAACCCTAAGAGTGACCGGTATCTAATTTCTCCCTACAGTAATACTGCTCAACCATTCATTAAGATCATGAGAATAAAGGAAATGATCGCCGCCTTGGAGGTTTTGATCTTCATATCAATTCTCCTTGTCAGTATCAGTAGAAACATATAGAGAGGGGTATGGAGAATATGAAATATTTAACCCTTTATATACTATATAAAGGGTTAAAGCTACTTTTTCCGCAGTTTCTTCAGTTGCAGCTCACCCTCGAGGATCATTTCGTCACTTGTATACAACTAACCCTCAGAGGGCCTACGTGTAGCCGCACCCTTTCCCCAAAGGTAAAATGTAGGCGCCTCTGTTTCACCTTTGGGGAGGAAGGGTGCGGCTACACGTAGGCTAACACTCAGAGGGCTTTTTCCCGCCTACCTGTAAATTCCGTAATGGTGTGCATGAAAAATTTAGGCGCTTCTGATTGGCTGAAAACGAGTGCATTCTCATGTAACACGAGTGCAAATTTGTAACACGATTGCAAAGTTGTAACACGGGTGCAAATTACAAATAGCGCGCGCACGCTTTCAAAATTTCGTCGGTCTTGACTTTCTGCGATGTTCTTTCATGTACATTATTAAAAACCGATAAAATGAATTCTTGAGCAATTTGGTGTGATAAGCACTTGTAAAATTTGCACAAATTGCACTCGCCCTACGGTCTCGTACAATTTTGTCGTCTTTGAAAAAATTTACTCGTGCGTATTTACACCAAATTGCACTCGAAATCATGTTGTTACCTATGCTAACTGCAAACCCTCACGGAGACCACGGGTAACCCAGTATAGACTAGCATCTCATCCGAGGGGAGGAAGTTCCGGTAGCTATACGAATCAGCATCGTGGCATATCTCATATGCTGGGGTAAGTTTCATAAAGAGCTGATTTACAGCGGTCTACCGCTGCCCATTACACCTCTCACCGCCGTCCGTTTAGCGTACGAGCAAGCTCGTGTTTAGGTTTCGACTTACGGACCTCTCCCGGGTACAGCCGCCTAATGCCCATGGAAAAAAGCTTATCAAAACACTTGTATATGTCTCGTTAGCTCAGCTACTAGATGGAATTGATAAATTCAAATACCAAATACCTGACTCCCATTTTTGAACACTCATTCGTATCTTTCGGCCTGTTTTCTTGCGAAGCCTTACTTCTATATTTCTGTTTATAAGAAAAAAAGGTAACTTGTTATTTAACACATTGGTGAAAGTGCGTATGGCCGAAATATTAGCTCAGTCAGTACCTCATTTTTGCCAGTAAAATTTTCTTTTCCGTCGTTCTCCAGGCAAAGACCTTCTTTTTCACTGTCCTGTTGCACATCTAACAATGAAAAGATACACATACAGCAAAAATAATAACTAAAGAAAACTGAGAAAACCTAAGATTCAGCCGCTACTTCCACATTGGAATTAATTTCAGATTCGACACAATCGACGAAGAGGTTGAAAGTAATGCAAATGCAACAACAAGCCCGTGAAGAATCTAAGAAGAATTACATGATCATGTCCAATCCCGGGTGAAACGATTCGTGCGACCAAGTCACGATTGGTTCGGTCTTGCATCTGATTGGTTGCAAAAGCGGCGCGAGCTCTAAACAAATCGCAGAGCGCTCAAGATAGCAATGTTCTTCAATTCTAGTGATTACCTGATGAGCAGTGTTCATCCATATTACCAAACAGGTCCATACCACTCGTGTACAGCCCTGTGATATCTCCACTGCTGCCCAAGGGAGTGGTAAAAGACTTCTTATCAGCTCTGCGTGAAGGAAATTCCTCCAGTAGAATCACTTCGGGTGTTTTTGGCGGTGGTGCCGTAGGTACTTTGAACAAAGTCTTAAATTTTTCCCCCTAACAAATACATGGTTCCAAAAAAATAATGAATCTGTCAAAGTTATCCTTACTAATCCGTGCTAATTCCGCTTCACCAGTTTTCAATAAACTCTCAATAATTGCACCATGGCCTTGCGCTGTTTCGTTACTTAATGCGTAAAATCGTCAAACTAGATTATATGACACAATCATGAATTCGCCAAAAGTGAAAAGTTTGTCTTAGTTTTGACGGAAAAGACTTTAACTGAAACACTGAACGTAAAAGTATATAATTAACTAACCCTAAAATCTTCATTTTTTCCATGGGACTTTTGATCATCAAATTCCCCTGAAGTGTCCCTCTTTCTCTTCCCAGAGGTAAAATCATTTTTGCTCAAAGCCCCTTTCGTGCTGAAAAAGTTTGTGTCCAAAGTTGTCTGTTTGGTTGATTTGCTTTTGCAAGTGCTTCCAGCTTTCATTGGTGTAGGTTGTTTTTCCATTTGTTCATTCTCGATTTCTGTTTTAACATTGTCTTCAACCAATTTAGAATCAAAATTGGGTTTGCATTCTTGTTTCTCAGATTTCTCTTCGGCCTTGAGTCCATGAGGCAAAAGCGACACTGAGCAATCAGCAGTCAGGTTCATGTCTTGTTGCAGAGAACGCGTACGGCTTGGAATCGTTGGAGATTCTGGCTGTGTGTACGACAAGTCAACTGGAAATTGTGAATCTGATTTAGGCAAATTTGCTAGCTGCGACTTAACATTAGTTAAAACATCCATAGTTTCATCCTTCGGATATTGTTTTAGATTATCTAGAATACCGACACTCACATCATCATCATCATCATCATCATCATCATCATTACCATCACCATCGTCAACATTATCATAATCAAAACGAAGTGAACTTGCGGCAGCAAGAGGAGTACTTGCTGCAGAAGGTGCCCCTATAAAGCAACCGAAGCCATCACCAACTTCTTCTGTGTACACATCCTCAGTTTCTTGAACAAGAACCTCGGGATGAGCAGAAATATTACCTCCTTGCCTTTGATCAGGTGGAGAATTATGGTAAAGTTTTGTGCTTTCATTGGTATCAGGATAAACCTCGTCATCATCCGTTATCAGTTTTTCCTTTTCTTCAGTTTCACTGATGTGTATTTCGTCTTTGTCTTGAGAATTTGTTTTCACTTCCTCTGCAGCAGTCGACTGCGAGGCTGACACTTTGTTGTATCTAACCTTCTTCCTACTTTTAAGGGTGGAGAGTTTGCCATTCCTCTTGTATAAGGAAGAGCTAGCAGAATTATTATTCCTGAGGACACAAATTCACAAAAGTTTCATAGCCCTTACATCCCTTAGAGTAACTTACATCAAATTCATTTCTGCTTACAGTATCAACCCCAAAACAAGCATTAAGGATAAATTATGAGAATTTAGGATAGTATTGCTGACCAAAGAAGCTCTCATGTTCTCCTTATTGGTCCCATAGGAAATGTTTATAGATAATAGTATCGTTAATAAGGATATTAATGTTAGGGTGTAGAGGATTAACCCTTAAACTCCCATGAATGACCAAGACAGAATTTCTCCTTACAATATTCATACAATATCAACCAGATACGAGATGAGAATAAAAAAAAATATCCTTTTGAGGACAAATAGTTGATCCAATACTAAATTCTCTGAACTACCATTATATAAGAATGTGGGGTTGACAGAAAGGAGAATTACAAATTTGATCTGGGAGTAAAAGGATTAAAACAAAAGATGGCAAATATGTTACGTAATCAATCTTGAAGTCTTCCTTATCCCTCTTTGCCAATTTCTTCGTTAGCACCCCTCTACTCTAAAATTATTTCATGAGTTTTATATTAGCCAACTAGAATTTAGTCCTCCAAAAATTGACACAGGGACTACAACCTGGGTTTACTTTAATGCAAAAGTAAGTAACAGATTTTTCAACTCACATCAACTCCTGGAAAATATCCTTATTTACATATTTTTCAAGGATGTGTTGAGGGAACGTTCCATATGATTTCATTGCTGTAGAGCAAAATACAGGAAAAAACATTTAAACAGAAGTTGTACGCAAACAACCATTCCATTTCCCTAACAAAGAAAACAAACAGACTAACACCACAGCCTAATTCATTATACTTAGTTAATTAACTCATTTGGTAATTATATTGTAATCTATTTCTAGGGATTTACAGAAAAAGAGAAGAACTATTTGAAGATTGCAGTATCTGTAAATGCAAAATCATAATCAAGGAAAAGAGGTAAATAAAAGTTTTTACCAAATATTTAATTTCCTGACCAAGTCTAAGACTTTGATATCATCATGAATGTAAAAACCAACCTTTAAACCTCCGCTGAGTTTCATCTCGAAATTGGTTCCACCATTGTTCTTTCTTGTGCAGTTCATCATATTTCCTGAAATATTATTATCACAAAACTGATGTAAAAAGAAAAGCATACATGTAGGGAAAGGGGAGGAAGAATTAACTCCCATGAGTGACCAAGACAGAATTTCTCCTTACAATATCAATACAATATCATGCAGATATGTGATGAGAATAAAGAAAAATATTAATTAGGGGATTATTAGTTGATTCAATACCAAACTCTCCAAACTAACATCACAAGAACTATATGGCAGACAGTAAGGAGAATCACTAATGAGATCTTGGGAGTAAAAGGGTTAATGGATAGAAGTCCATCATCTCAACCCATCCTTCTACTCTCACCTCTTTAGCTTTTCATCCTTGTATGCCAGCTCTTTTTCAACCTTTGCCAAGGTTTCTTTAAGACTTTAGGCAATAGTTTGAAAGTAATAACAAGAAAACACAATCAGCATCTAAACAATACTCTTATCTAACTAATTATTGACATATTTTGACCCAAAATATGGATATCCTAAGAAAACCATATGGGAGATACATATAAACTTGCACATTTTGTTCATACAATATTTGACAATTGTAATAACAGTTAAGTTCAAAAATTTATGGTTCCTTTCCTTACTGAGAGTCAAACAGAAAGTGTAATAATTTTCCCTCCAGCATACAGATACTATTCTTAAATTTCTGCAAATCTTGCACCTCAATTGCTGCAAAATCGGAAATCCTATTAATCTCATAACATACTTTCAGATTCTGCTGCTTTGAACCAAAAACATTTTTACAACTGAGGTCATACAACTTTGTTAAAAATTAAGTTTAAGATCTCATTCCTACTGATTATTTTCATCTTGAAATTGTTTGAGGTGCTCCTTTATCTGAGTATTTTCTTTCTCCAAGCACTGAACCCTTTTATCAGACTCTGTACATCTCTCACTGAGATCTGGAAAATGTGAAACAACCAAATTTTATCAGTGCATACAAATAATGAATGATGCTTATGTCAGAATGATGTAAAGCTCTTGCCAAAGAGTCAAGACAAGAGCTTTAACATTCTTGTCCCTTATGTAGGGACATGGTCAGCCTTAAACTCATAGATTGGGCATCACTTTTTGCATTTTTCAGGCAAGCACAAGGCAAGCAAGAGACAAGAGATGCGCAAGGGAAGGGGAAATTTGTCTTTTCACTTCTCCTCTGACAGGTGTCTTGTACTTCCCTGTGAAGGCCTGATAAATGCAGAACTCCTGTTCTGCTCTCTACTGTTGGTTAAACTCTATTAAAGCTCCAGTCTGGGTGCATGCTAATATTTTAAAACCGAACAGATGGACCTAAAAGGCACGGTAGAAAACTCTTACAAATTTGTTCAACTAATTGAGGCAGGGAGAGTTACCATGAACTCATGGTTAGATCCCATCTAGATTCTTAACACAACTGCAGCTCTTTTTGAGCTGGCGATCGAGTTTTTAAAGAAGTTGAGAAAGAGATATATTATCTCTTTCTCAATTTCTATAAAAACTCGACATAATATATCTCTTTCTCGATTTCTTTACAAACTCGAAAAGTGCTGCAGTTGTGTTTTAGATTTTCTCAAGTAAAATTCTTTACGGCAGACAGCTTTAGATTAATACCATCCTTTCGATCAATATGCTAGTTTAATTTTTGGGGCCATAAGAAAGAATAAGGTCTTTAACTATCTCTATGCACCCAAGAAAAATAAAGTAATATTTTTTAACATGCACAATTTACACCTTGCCTTGAAAATCTCTTTTTATGGTCTCTTTGAGCTTTTCCAGCAGAGAATATGATTCCATTAGAAATTATCCAAGCTATACTCCGGTTCCTTTCCATCTGAAGCTTAAAGGGACCAAATTTTAAGTTCAGCGAATAAAAACTTTTGGAGCGATACATTCATCGTGTAAACTTCCCGCCATGTTGACCCCGCGGTTTAGAGACTGGGTCCAAGGAGTCGCCTGGCACTTCTTTGTGTTTACAGTGAGTGATCGAACTCGGAGGCGATGTACACTTCGCAGGGTTTCTTCTCAAAATTATAGATCCTAAATTGTTGACAAAGTAAACAGGATCATGACTGAGGAAGAGTGTTTATGCGATCGAACTTACAGAGCTCATCAAAGGCAGGAAAGCAAACCAGAGAAACACGAAAATCGCTCGTTACCAAGGCACACAAATCAAGATCACAAGGTATTTTAAAAGCTTTGTTTTAAACGGAACAACTCTAAGACATGGTTTGATGCTACTCTGGTTTAAAGATTTGATGAATGTTACGAGACGTTACAATTCATAGTCCCAACGTTTCGCCAATCCTGTCCAGTGCTTCCTCTAATAACTTCTTGGTTACATTCATTAGATCTTTAAACCAGAGTAGCATCAAACCATGTCTGATTGTCCACCTGGTTGCCATGTGAACTTTAATATATCGGAGTAACTCTTATTTTAATGCCTTTCTTCGCTTCCAGTCAGTAAACTTTCGATGTGTTTGTTTTTTTAAAACTTTTAAATTCTAAAAAGGTATACGATCGAACATAATGCACATTTTCACGACCCGAGATGCTAAATGCTTGTTTCAAAACCGACTACAAATATAATTGAAATTGTGACTTTTGGATTATGCCAACCTGTACCAAGCATTTGACATTTGACTTTTGACTGCCAGAATTAACTCGTCCACCTTATCAGCTTGACTTAGCCGTCTGTTTTTTCCTTCTCAAGGGTCCAGAAAATCAGTTATTGTACAGTCAGCTGGGAAGAGTTGTTATCAAGAAGCACACGTACTTAACCCCTATAACACATGCTACGTATCCATGGAACTATGCCCAACCACCCGGCAGAAAATCAGCCTTTAAAATGCCAAAAACTGTTTACCCTAAGAGATGACATTATCAAGCATCAAAACAAGTATTTCTAAAATGCAGCTGGCTAAACAAGCCCTTTCAAGAGACTCTGGTAGCACCAGCGAGGTCTTCTCCTTCCTCTCACCTGGCTGGGAGAATTAGTTTCATGAGGACTCTGCAGGACTGGTGCAGAGATCTGGGCTCTTGTTCCTCAAAGAGTGGATAATGCTAGCCACTGGATAAATCTCTATCTGTTGGATAGTGCAGTACGTTTTATGCACTGGATAGCAATTTAACCCTTTAACTCCCAGATCAAATTTGTAACTCTTCCAGTACTGTTAACCATACAATTCTTATAATGTTACTTCAGAGAATTCAGTATTAGATCAACTAATTATCTCCAAAGTGATCTTTTCTTTATTCTCATCACTTATCTGCTTAATATTGTATTGATATTGTTGGGAGAAATTCTGTCTTGGTCAATAATGGGAGTTAAAGGGTTAACTGTTAGATCACGCTATCTTCCCTTTGAACAACTGAGCCCTGATGTATAAAACAAGAAGTCTTCAGAATAGTAGGGCCCTTTTAGGAAAACTCTCTTATTTGCCTCTGTAAAAGGTCATGTGTACCAGCTAACTGCCAGGAAGAACATGATTGAATACAGAAAAGGGGAAGCAAGGGAGTCCTAAGTCACTAAACACTGGGGAAGCCAGATATGCTCCAGTAAAAATAAGGGGCCCATAGGGTTATGTAAATTTAGGGACTGTAAGATGGGTCCTCAAGAGCTTCAAAGATGTTTAGATTTACTACACTGTAAGTTTCATTTTTATTAATGAAGTGGTTTGATACAGATCCAGTAACACTTAAACTATCTTTAATAATAAATTTCCACATTTTAATAGCAATTTTATGGTAGACTTATTTTTTACTGACATCTTCACAGAAAAAAAAGTGGCAGATCAATGTCTGGGGCCCAGAATACATGTTGCAAGTTTAATTTCCTGTTTAGAGTAGTAGATGTAAAATGAACTTTTTTTTAAAATACACAGAGTGAAGAAGAGTAACGAATTACATGCTAATTTGATGCAAATTTCATTTCTTTTTCATCATTGTTTCTCTCAATGTTTCCAGCTTGTCCAACACAGATGGTGGCACAATGATTTGAGTGAAAAATGCAGCAGGGTCATCAGCTGGAGTATCCTGTCTTCCTTCTAGAGGAGTTTCCATAATTAACTTGGAAAAATAACAACAAAAAAAATTTACATGAAGGTTGACAACTGAAAGCCTGAAGCTAACTGCTACAGCTCTCCCATTTCGCATTGCATAAAACAAGGGTTCTATCCATCAGACAGATATTTATCCAGTGTATAGCACAACTCATCCTTCAACCAACCAAGGCCTAAATGGGATGCTTGTTCCACCTGGAATTTGTCAGATTTCTCTGACATTTTTCAGGTACCCACTTATTTCCCTGGGTGGAGAGAGGCAACGTGGAAATTATAAGTCTTGTCTGAAAAACTTCAAAGAGGGACACAGACAGGGCTTGAACCCTTGATTAGGAGTCCAGCAAGCTAACCAGTGAGACACAATGTGTCAACTTAATTCACCCAGAGGGAGGAGCTGAGAGTTTGTGCTTAGGATTGTGAGAGATTAATCCTCTACACACCTGTCTTGCTTCTGTCCTGGTAAGATCTCCTCTCATCAACAACAGGGCCAAGGCATGGTCAGATTTGAAGTCTGGGTACTTGTTGGCAATTCCCTGAGGAGAAAAGTAACCGGCAGAGTAAACTTAAAACCGAATGTCATGTTGCTAACAAACCATGACTGCTGTGAACTTTCAAAAATTACCTTTCCTATCTTGAAAAGAGGGTGACAATAAGCAATATTTCTGATCACATTTTCCATTTAAATTCTTCACGAACAGCTTATCATTAACTATTATAAATTATCATGAGATAAATTTTATGATACAAATTAACATACATAAAACAGCATGACTTTTCTTTGTCTCAAACCCAAAAATGATAACAAATTTAACTATTCTAGCTAGATATGATTTGCTCTTTAGTTACCGAAATTTCAAGAGCCATCATGGACGTATCCCGAAGTTTGATGACCTCAGCAAGTGTGGGAAGAACGGAGCATTGAGTTTCTGGCTGCAAATTAGCTTTGGCTAACTTCTTGAAGAGTTTCTCGATCTTTTTGGATTCCTCCGTGATCTTTTTTGCCGCATCCCTCCTTCCTTCGTAATCTTTAAATGCAATACGCCTAGAAAAATGAAAAAGAACTTGTAAACTTAAGTTGAGGTGTGCCTCCTTATGCCGGGAAGGTCCAAGACTATCGCGGATTTACACACAAAATCTCAGATTTTGAGTTACATCAGTTAGTGTACCAGATTCTCACGAACCGTCGCTGAAGTTCGCGCATTTTCACGACGCACTCATTCAATTTTTAAAAATGTCACGTTGAGAAATTTTCACGTCACGTTCATGCCTTTTAACCCCAAGAGCGCGAATTTTCACCACGCGTTCATTTACGTCTTCGTCAGACAAAACTACAAAGTGAATGATCGCCGACCATCATGAAAATCTGAAACACTCCCGCTTTTCGCAAGCAATACGGCAATGCCAGGAGTTAAGTTCACAAAATACAAAACAGTCAAAAATATTCAACACCATACTTGTTCAGCATTGCACGGACATATTCTAGCAACACTTTCTTCAGAGCTTGTTCCATGAGGTTATCGAAAAATCTGTCGAAAAAAGAGTCTTATTGAAAAACTAATCACCGTAAGAAAACCCAAACAGTCACCGAGTCTTCTCTTTTATCATAAACCAGTTTACACAATTTTCACTTCACTTTAAAGCATTTTCACGTCGCGCTCACGCTTTCTCGGTTCACGCCGGTTCACAAAACATCGAGTGGTATCTCGGTGTGCGCGACGTTGTAAAGACATCATGCCGTTAGCACTAAAACTTCCCATAGCTATAAAAGAAACATTCAAGTTCACTTTACTTGTCTTTCAAGTGTAAAAAGTCATTGTAGTAATCCTCTATTGTGACAATTATTGTGTCCACAGCTTCTGGACTTGGTATCCTAAAAAAACAAAAAAAACAGAAAATATCAGGCCTTTAGAAATAAACTGCAATTAAAAAGGGTAAGCATATTTAAACCTTTCCTTGATCAACTAACGATCCAACAACCACCACCCCTTTGAATTTTTCTCTCACAACTGGTAAACGAAGCGTAATAGTTAATGGTGCGACGTTTTCAAAAGAGTGAAAAATCAAGGAAGGTTTTGGGCAGGAGGACGAATGTCAAATAGGACCTAGGAAAATGGTGACGCTCAAAACCAAGTTCTGCGAAGCTCAGTGGGATAGCATCCAAACAGTAGTCGGAGGACCAAAGGTTTCAGTTTTCTGGTCTCTGGAAATTAATTCCAAATACAAAACTTGCCACAAATGTAGTTTTAACCCCTTAACTCTCAAGATCCTATTTAATTCTATTTAGTTCTTGTGATGTTAGTTTGGTATTGGATCAACTAATAATCCCCTAATTAATATTTTTCTTTATTCTCATCACTTGTCAGCATGATATTGTACTGATATTGTAAGGAGAAATTCTGTCTTGGTCACTCATGGGAGTTAAAGGTTGAACAACTTTTCATTAAAATTGCAAAGTTTGTTGGACATGAAATACAATACCATGTAGGAGTCATAATTTGTGAGAAAAAAGGCTCCAGGTCCAAAAATGCTTCATCCAAGAGGTATCCAGCACTGAAAATTATTAACAAAAAAAATTTCATTTGGAAACAGCAAATAAGTAAAATTAAGATGAGATGCAAGCCAAGAGTAATTCGCAACTTGGTCGCTCGTGTTTTCCCGCGCTTCAGGATCGACGTAATTGCTTTCCCTTTTTGATTGGTCGCGACATCTTAATCCGCGTCGCCCTCTCAACCAATTAGACGAAAAATTGAACAAAACGCGTCTTGCTGCCTCGCCTTTTCCCGCGCCTCAAAGAAATTGTTTTGGTCGAGACATCTCAGTTTGCGACGCCCTCTCAACCAATTAGATGAAGAATTGAAACAAAACGCGTCTTGCTGCCTCGCCTTTTCCCCGCGCCTCGAGGAAATTGTTTTTCCTCTTCACTCTGGCTTACCATTACTTCCCAAAGAGATATTTGTCTTTGTTCTGATTGGCCTCTGTAATTACTTTGGAATTCGTTTTACGATACTCCGATAAAAAGTGCTTAAGTAACCAACATTTTGACAAATAAAACTTGTGTCAGCGTACAAACCTCTCCTCTCCTATCTGTGCGAAGCAGTCGACGACACTCTTAAATGATCGTTGTTTATCTTCTCCAAACGTTGCTCGGCCAAGTTCAGCCACTAACCGCTCCTACAGAGAATAAACAAGAGTTGAAAGTTGGTAAAGCTAAGAACAAAAACATACATTCGCGTCGATTAGACTTACACTTCTTCGCCTTTGTAGCTACCCGATTTTGTGCGCGCTTGATCCAACCCTTCAGTCTGTGATTGACCCGGAAAACTTGCGCCAATGATCTCCTAACCAATCAGATGCATGCTAAAAACCAATCACCACTTGGTAACCCGCGTTTTCCCGCGCTTTAAGCAGTTTGCGAGTTTTTATTTCGAGTTCTCATTGGCTGTTTAGGGCATTTCCTTACTTCTCACTGGCCGATGTGATCACTTTAGTTTTGGTTCACGACGCGCAAGCGAAAAGCGCAGTTACATCTTGAAGCCTACCTTTAGTTGATCTGTAAAGTCCATACACGCCTTACAGTTGTTTACGATGGCCACCTAGCAAAGAGGGAAAAATCACTCAGGTGTAAACTCAAGAACAGCGTAGCTTCTACAAGACAAACGTAGAGTAAAGGCTTTGAAATTACTTGTGTGAATGAGTGAGGAGTAAAGAAAATGAATGGGAAGGGCTGATAAAAAGTTTGACCCTTTCTTGTATTCGTGGTGATCTTCGTGCGCTATCGGTGACACTCGTTCGATCTTAGTGATTCCGATACGCTCTCGATAACTATTGTAATGTACACCAGCAGTGACATTCGGACACGTTATTATCAGACGAAGTCTGCATATAAAAACACACAAAATCCACAATTCCTCCGTTCGCTCTGACGAAGGGCTAACGCTCGAATAGTCAGCTTTGAAACTCTTAACGGTGGCCAATTGACATTATCAACTCAGTTGACAATACCAAATTAACTTGTTACGTTCTCCCACCGACGTAGCACCACAGTTTCTCTAGAAATTTATCTCCTTTATTCGAAGTCAAGTAAGTCAGTTTTATCTGTAACTCCCACCAATACGGATAAGGATGATTATTTCTTATAACTGCGTCACGCACATTAGTATAAAGGATACGGAACATATAGACAAAACAAACAAACCAAAGAAAGAAATAATGTGGAAAAAACTACTGCACTAAGTGAATTGTGTCTAATTTGGGACACCAGATTGTGTCACAAGACTACCATAAGTGCCTATCAAATATAAACTTCGCAAACTTTTGAGCAACATTCTTACTATGTATTCCACAAATCTCACAGGCTGCAATCTGTCCTCAAAGTGTTTGCTCTTGAAAGCTCTGATTTGACCTACAGATTAAACCACACGCAACGAATAACATGATTCGAAAAACATCTTTCTACATATCTTAACCGAGCTTAAAACCTACCATCTTTCTTATCCTATTTAAAAAACATGACACAATTCGACATTGCTGATCCAAGAAGTATACAGGATGCGTGTCATATATGAATGTACACCGTGGAGTCCCAGTGGCTCAGTGGTAGAGTATCGGAGCGCGGAATCCGAAGGTTTGAGGTTCGTTTCCTCAAACGGACACAGAATTTTCTCTTTTTCCCACGCTCGTGACCAGACGAAAAACATCTTTCTCTTATATGATATTTTCTTTCAGCTCGTTTCCAAAGACAAGCTGAAACTTTACCATCTAAATAACTAGTTACCTCTATATTCCCTCTGGAAACCTTGCATAGACTCAAGACAAATATCCAGAATCTGAGCAAAGAAGAAAATCGCAAGGTATTACTTTAGATTTTAAGTCTTTTTTACGTTTATTGTAAATATTTTACTGCGATCACTTTGGTCCTAGTGTAACATCACTAAACCATACTACCCTTTTAGAAGTTTACGTTTAATGCGGCGAATAATTCATTTCTATAGCTGACCTGTAGTTTGATCTCTTCTCCAGCCTTCGCTGCAACTTGCAGCTGAAAAAAAAAAAGTAATGTTTACTGGGATGGCCAAAAATTGGAAAAAAGGGCCAAATCTTGTTCTTTGGATAGTATTTCTTGCAAAAATAAGAGAATAACTCACATTCTGATCGACCATTTTAAAAAGGAAAACTGGAAGCGATGTGTTGTAGAAACCATCCATGTCTGTCTCTGGCGGTGCGTCCCTGTTCCAGTCCTGGAATTAGAAACGCAACAGATATTCAAACCTAGCACTCAGCAGTTACCATGAAAAAAAACAACAACAAAAAGTAACAGCTAGCTACTGTCCTCATAACCCCCAAGATCTGATAAGTTACTCTCCCTTCTTAACGCCTCACATTTCCTTGTAAATAAGTTGAGAGAGTTTGCAGTTGCATCAAAACAACACTCTTCAACTGATAACATTGTCTAATCTCGTAGCCTGTCTACTGTATAATGTATTAGAATGAAGAGGTGAATTTGCAGAGTAATCACTTCTTAAAGCTAAAGGGTGGCCAAACTGATAATTCGACCAAAAGTAAACATTCAAAAAAGTATCAGCAACTGCCAGTGTGCTAACGGATTTGGACGCCCTTAATTTGAACCCCCCAGTCTTTTAAGGGTCCAAATCAGCAAGAGGGGGTCCATATCCGCTCACTGATTTGAACCGGGGAGTCCAAATCCTCTGTGAAACCGGCACCATACAAACGTTAATTCATCACCTGTAGATCTGTTTCGGCCAGCTTGGTCATCCACTCCATCATGTTGTTTTTAGTGGTCGTGAGGTAGCTGATGAAAAAGAAGTTGAATTAATTGTGATACAGTAGTAGTAATTTATACTAATCTAACTTTCACTAAAAAACAACTTTCAATCTCGTGTCGAAAATGATCGAGGAGTTCACTCTGTTCATTGATTGGTCTCGAAAACTCGCGCCAATATCTCAACCAATCAGGTACAAAAATGAAACCAGTTCTAACTTGACTACATGCGATTCCCGCTGTTTACTCGCTTACAACCCCAATTCTCTTTGGCTCCTTAAAAGTTCATTCAGACAGTATGATTACGTGGCGAGACATCACGAGCATATTACGATGAGGAGTACGTAAAAGGGACAATTTGAAAGTACATAACAAAGTTTTGATTACGTGTCTAGCAGTTCCTGTTCAACTTTGGACGATAACAGAGGTCCTAGGAATCCAACATCAATCTGTAGTTCTGGATGCATCATAAGATCAGTTCCCCTAATGTAAAAAAAAATGTATCAAGCGCAGTCAAATGATGTTTCGTTCTGATATATTTAAGTCCAGCAGTCACGCCAACTCTCAACGAATTTAAAGTTTAACCCTTTCCACCCTAACATCAGTATGCATATTCTCCATATTGTTCTCTATACATTTCCTAAGGTGCTGACCAGGAGAATTTGTTTAAAAATCAATATTTCTTTAGTTGGTGGTCAAAAGGTTAATGCGAACATAATCTGCCAAAGCAGTTTGCCAAACATATCTCGAACGATGCACACGACAAATGTAGGCCCCATAATAGTAACGGAACAGTGATTAAGGGAATGATGACTAGCAAGATCAGGCTGCAACAAATGGGCTAGCAAAAGATGAGAGGAAAACTTCCCATGAACTGCATGATACGTATTAGGAAAGCCTTCAGCTAACATTAACTAAAAGTGCTATATACTGAGGGTTTAGAGTTTCTGTAGGTTCCGAGCTTGGCTCTTCACCAATGGAAAGTCAAGGTAGTTGCATTAGAAATGAGCTCTTCACAAAGAAGATCAAAAAGGTAGAAAAAAAAGGGGTAAATCTGATTCTCTCAGTGAAGGGGTCACGCGGAAGTGGGGGGGGGGAGGGGGGGACAGGAGAGAGACTCTGTTGGTGCATTACGTCATATACTAGTTACATACTGATAGGATCAGCAATGTTCCAGTATTTTTTCCTTTGCTTCAGTTACTTACTTGTATTCTTTGATCCAGGTTAACAGACTGATGCACTCATTCGAATCAAGTCTTTCTTCCAGAACAAATCTTTCCAACTGGCAAAATCAAAATCAATAAGGTGAACGTTAAATCACTCCAAACCGATTGAACCTCAGACAACGCAATCACGCCAAAAATCGTTTGTTTCTCGTCGCGTATATTTCACGAAGATCTCGGACAATATCCCGAACAGGCCCGAACGTCTCGAAATTCGACACGACCCTCGACCCTAAATGTCTTCGAGATTCGAGGATCGAGGGATCGAGAATCGATAGTCGGGTCCAGGTACATGTGTGCCCTCGGGATGTTGGGTATAACCCTCATGTTGTAACCACAATCAAACGTTCCTCGTCTTGTCAATACAAACTCGTAAATTCGAAGAAACTACAATTGAAGAAAATACTCTGGTTCGTATCGAAGTCAACAAATAGATTTAATAAATGAAGTGACTTCTAAGCTCCTTACCATGACGGAGAGTGCCTTGTGATACATTTTGATATAGCGATCAAATATGTCATAACTTGGAGGGAAACAAACCTGACACAAGTTCTAAGACGAATAAGAACGTAAATATTACAATAAAAACGTGATAGGATTTATTTCTCTCCCTCGCCTTTCCCTCCTTTAAAAAATACATGATAGCAGCCAAACATTTCACACACAAACACCGAGCACTCGCTCTCCAAAAATACTCCCATAATGCTCTCTTAACCCTCTCACTCCCAAGATCTCATTAGTAATTCTCCTTACTGTCTACCATACAATTCTTATGCTGTTAGTTTGGAGAATTTGATGTTGGATCAACTAATAGTTCCCTAATTGATGTTTTTCTTAATTCTCATCACTTGTTTGTTTAACAACAAAGAAATTCTTTCTTGGTCACTAATGGGAGTTTAAAAGGTTGAAGTTAATAAAATTGCTTCTTTCAGTGATGATGAAATTTTTGTCATTTGGCAGTAATGAGATAAGGGTGAGTAAGAAAACAAACCTTGACGACAATCAAATCATCCAAAACAAGTTTCCTTGTGCGTTCAAGATGTTTCACCAGCCACATCTTGTCATCCATTCTATCCTGCAGTTCCATGTCAAGACTCTCAAACCTGAAATTCCCAAATCATGTCATCACTGCTTGAGGTAAATGTAAATGTAAATGCAATTCTTTCAAGGGCTCTCCCCGCAAGTAAACCACACATAAAGCTAGCATCCCCTGTGACCCAGGCACAGTGGTGCCACCAGAGCCAACAAAGAACTGGTTACCCTGTGACAGAGGAAGTACGAAATAGTGTGTACATCTTGAAAAATTTAAGAGACAGACAGGAGAAGTAGTTCAGAAAACAAGATGGTAAAATCCACCATTAATATACAACAAAGAAACACTATATTGCTCTTGAGTATGCATTATACAAAAGTTATTAATAGCTGAAGAGGAAACAAATGTCAGAATCTTCTTAACCTGTTCACAGTAAGAATCTACAGTAACATGTGAGAAATATTCCAAAATAACATTCTCTTTAAATTTCAAAAATTTTCATAACTGCATGTTAACCTGTTACTGACAGACTCCTCTAGAACATTAAATGCTTTATCTCTCCACTTCTTAGGCCGTCCAGGCACAGAAAATCCCATATTTGTTTTTTTTTCCTCTGCTCTTTTATCAGCTCTGTGAGTAGATGATACATGAATATTAAATCTCTTCTGATACAATACAGTACTTTCAATTTTTTTTTCAAAAATTATGCACTTTAAGTGAATTTCAAAGTTTAACCATTTGAACCAGAAAATTTTCCTCTCTCCCAACATCTAGCTTCATAGTTCAGTAATGTTAGTATTCCCTTAGAGTACCCAAGAGACAGTTTAACCCTTTAACTCCCAGAAGTGATTAACATAAAACTTCTCCCTACAATATTCGTACATTCTTCAGCAAACAGGTAATGAGAGTATTCAAACTTATCAGGTAGAGGTTGCTATCTTGATCTAGCACCAAGTCCTCATAACTTATTTACAAGGAAATATGTAGCAACTAGAGGGGAGAATTAACAATCAGATCTTGGGAGTTAAAGTGTTAAATCCCACCAAAGCCTGAATTTTTTCATGTTTGCAGCCCAACTGCAAGGATCATTTCTTTGCTTAAACCTCACAGTGATCATTTGCTATTTTCTCCTTGTGATAAATCCTGATTTAGACTAAACTGGTTAGGAGAAAACTGTAGATGATCAACTAAGATGAAATACTTTCCATATATTGGCAAGTTCACTAAACTTCGTAAGTAAAAATGTTAAGAGATGACTCTTGAGAATAAATAAGTTGGTCCAAAAAAATAGAATATAATGCAAAGCAGATGATACCTTGTTTCTCTTTCAACAATTCTTAGGGCTGTCACCAACTGGGCGGGGTCACTGCGAACTGTACTAAGCACTCTCCCCAACACAACCCAGCACTGTTTGCCAAGGGAATCCTGAAAAATTGAAAAAAATTCTTGCATGGATATCCATCAACTAACTGGTAAATAAAATGATTTATAAAGTAATTCAAATAGTACACGCACTCTGATTGGCCATAAAACCATTTTACATGAGCACATGTAAACACGGTTTTCATTCCTCTTTCATTAGTTATTTTATAAAAGAAATGTAAAATGGTTTCCGTGTTTACGTAGCCTGATTTAAACACTTGGGAGGTTGGGAGAACACTCGATAAGCTGGAAACCACTCTGCTTCACGTCGTGGTTTCCTACACTTATCTCATGTTCTCCCAACCTCTCGCGTGTTTACATCAGGCTATGTAAACAAGGAAACCATTTTACATTTCTTCAGTATTTCTTCCTCTATTCATTCAATTTGGATGTTGAAATATTTTCTTTGGTTTAACCCTTTAACCCTTTAACTCCCAGATCAAATTCGTAATATTATTCTCCTTACTGTCAACCATACAATTCTTGTAATGTTAGCTCTGAGAATTTAGTATTGGATCAACTAATTATCCCAAAATTGATATTTTTCTTTATTCTCATCACTTATCTGGTTGACATTATATTGATATTGTAAGGAGAAATTCTGTCTTGGTCACTCATAGGAGTTAAGGGAGAACAGCATGGAGAATCCCTTTACTGATGTTATGGTGTAAAGGGTTAAACGTAAGTGGCTTGCTTTACAAGAAGACAAAAAAAAAATCATAAATTCACACATGTTACTTACTGATAACTTCTTGACTACATCGAAGTATTGGTACAGCGGCTGGGAGAGAGAAGAAGTGAAAACAGACCAAGTAAGGTATATTGACACTACAAACTTTAGGGTTCTTTTAACCTTTTAATATCATTTTGTCTATTGCTTCTACATAATTTTTGTAGAATGTAATTGTACACTTGTATTGAGCTCAACAGTCCCATAAAAACCAGCAAATCACAGCTCAATTTTAGAAGGACAAAACTGAAACTAGTTGTTAATTTTATACGTAAAGAAATGCAGTATCTTTACACTGCATGGTGTTATATTGTATTACAAATGGAATCAAAAATGCTGACATATCAAAATGGAGCAGAGAGAAGAAGCTTAAGGCAGAGCAAAACAATATCTTAAAGTCATTGTATATATTGCAAGCTTAGTAAATGTTACCACAAACTCACTGTTTTATCAGGTTTTGGACCCTCTTCTTCCTGTGCCATCTTGTGAACTTCCAGCAGGAGTTCATCTCTGGTGGCTTCCAAGTCTGATAAACTACATTTGACCACAGTGCTCAGAATTAATATCTATTCAACAGTATTTTTTTACATCCATTTACCTTCTTTTTTTTTTTTTTTTTTTTTACATTGGGCATAAGGTTATTATCAAATGTAGTGGAAAAGGAATTTTAGGTGTATATAATCCAAAACTAAATGTCTTTGTTTTCATCTTTGTTCCTGGTACATTTAACACAATCCTGAAGCAAAAGAAACTACAAATCAAGTCTAGCTTGAAACCATGTTTAACTACAACTTATGACAACTACCATTTGTACAACTGTGAAGGTCTAGCAAATACCCTCTTCCACGCATATGCCTGCAATTTTTCCAACTTAAACAACACTTTCTTAGCCCAAAAAATACATCTAACTGGTCAAAACTCAGGATAGATGGTTAGCTGCTTTTCAAATACATTATTTAGGTGCTCATATACGTCATTCCATATGCAGTTTAGTATCCATCTGCTTAAAATTTCAGTTTCCATTTTACAGTAAGGTTTGCTAAATGATTGCCATGATCAATGCAACATAATGCTCATTACCATTTGTGAGCAAGGAGAAGTTTTCCTTCATTGATCAAGGCTTCTGTTTTTTTTACACTGTCTGGAACATTGAAGATAAGATTAAGATGTTCACAGGCCTTAGATATCTGTTGAGGAAATAATATTACAGAAATTAATTTATACTAAAAATCAATACACTACAGCAAACATGAATTTTCACCCCTAGAGGTAATTGGAGTGAGAGGTGCAGCAGCCGAATGCTTAGTGCACTGGACTCTGTGGATTGAGAGGCCCATATTTAAGACCTGGCCTAGGGCCCCTTTCTTGAAGGTCCTGGTAAGTTGACAGACCTATACACTTGTTCTATTTTATGAAATGCGGGGGAGTAATCTTTCAGTAGGATCCCATGGGGGGAGGGTTAGCAAAACTTCTAATCACCTCATGCTACAGAAAACTGAATAAGCTCAGGCTAGATGGGCCACTTGGTTTGTATACAGACCTTTAACTCCTTAACCCCTAAGAGTGATCAGCTTCTAGTTTCTCCTTACAATATCACCCCTGAATCAAACTTTAAGGTCATGAGAATAAAGGAAATGATCACCAACTTATAAAACTCTTGATTTTCAAATATATTCTCCTTGTCAGCATTTCAGGAAATGTATAGAGAACAGTATGGAGAATATGCATACTGATGATAGGGTGTAACAGGTTAACCTTTACATGATCATACATACCCTGCTCTGGTTTAATTGACAGTCCCTAACAGTCTGCAGCTCATCTGCTAAATATTCCACATTTTTGCACATAGAATCCACTTCATTCATGCTGATAAAAAATTAGGTAATATTTTTTTTTTTAGAATCAAATGAGAATTAATTAAATAATGGAGGTTCATAAATTAGTGTAAAATGTTTCTGAATTTCAGGAACTCAATTTTATTTTAAGATTTTAGCAGAATTTCAAAAATTTCCAAACTGAACAAATCCAGTAACAGATGCTTTCTGTGTTTTTTTTTTTTTTTTTTTTTTTTAATAACAGGACTATATTAATGAGATCAACACGTTGTGAACCCCCAAATTTTTTTTGTATGGTATAACTCTGGCAATGAGCAATTTAAAACTTCTGGCAATTCACAAAGTTAAGGTTGTCAAAAATTGAAAACTCAAAGTAAAATGTTCTAAACCAGTCAAAATGATTTCAACTAAACAGTTAGGTGTAACAGATTGTTACATCTCAAGATAAATATTATTAATTACCTCTTCTTAATTTCCTTAATATCTTGAAGAGCTCTGAAAAGAAAAACCTTCCAAATTAAAAAACTTGAAATCAAAACCAGGATTAAAATTGTGATAGATTTAAATTATAATTTGACTCTGTCATATACAAGATCTGTCTCACCCATGGAGCTGATGAAGCCCTGTTCTGACACCATCCAATTGGGACTGCACAGCTGTCTTCAGTCTGGCTTCAGCTGATGCCTGTGAAGTATCATAAAGTTAAAATTTTCTCCGTACAAAGCACTCCTAATGAGACTGAATGTGCTTTTCTCCCCCTTTGGCTTAACATGTATTCAATAATCCAAACACTAATGATCACTTCTGCAGAACTTTAGAATACAAGACGACCCATTTACATCTCACTGACGTACAATAATGGCCATTGTGTCATTTCTCCTTCTTTGAGGAGTGTAAACTCGATAGTCCTCGACTGCCTCACATTTTATAAACGACATTTCCATTCCACACTTATGTATAATATCAAAGGAGGACGGGTTGAACTCATGTTCAAGAAAAAAGATCCAGGTTCCAGCCACCAGAATGAGGTTAGAATGTGCATTGGGCAATGATGAACTGTAACAAACCTTGTTTCTCATATATCTCCGTCTCCATTGTTCCACTTTGTCCAGGCTGTCAGGATGCTGAAAAATCGGCAAAATTATCTTGAAGTGTAACCCTATTAAATACTGTCTCAGACAAAGCTGTTTAGTGCTGAATACTCGATTGTAAATCGATGAAAACGGAAATTGATAGTTTATAAAACGATCACACTATTCACTGCTATCTCTTTCAATTATCCTAGCACAAGGGACATTGCAAGTTTTGCTTAGATCAAATTCCACACCCATACATTTGTGGGGCAACATGTTTTGATATATTTCGATCAGCTGCATATTGTTTTTAGGTGCTTGAACAAGCGTTGTACATCGCAGTAAGGATCTTACTTGGAGCATATTTGCCACGGTCTTTGCAGCATTTTCATGAGCCTCAGCTTTCCACTTCTGAATTTCGAAGGACATGTTTGGCGTAAAAAACTGAATTCACTATATTTCTTCACAGAGGCGGAAACTAGTCCGCCATGTTTTATTTTGGTTCTTCCACAGTTTGCAATGCACTATGGAAAAAACATCTTAGAACCCAGACCCTGACGTTTTGGAATTTCAAAATGGCGAACGTGTTAGACCTTACAATCCAATTTTAGTGCTCCATTTTTGGGTTGATTTGTAAATGATATTAATGGGATCGTATGGTAGAACTGGAAGAAGGCGTAAGCGTAAAAGGGACGGTGATCATCGAAGGGAATTTGGTGCAGCTGTGTTTGAACAAGGCTATATTGAACTCCTAAAGTGGGCGAAACGAAATGGCATCTCCTTCGGTAAACTTCGTCCAGCGTACTTTCGACAGACAGGAAGAGGTTTGATGACTTGTAGAAAGCTTTCAAAAGGCGATTTAGTGATATCTGTTCCAGAGAAAATGTTAATTACGACAAAAACAGCGGAAAGGAGCCAGATTGTGAAAACGTTCATCAAACTACAACCGAAGTATTCCCTGACAGCGATTCAGATTTTATGCATTTTTATCTTGTATGAAAAATTCCAGGGAGGAAGCTCTTTCTGGTACCCTTACATTAGAACATTACCCACATCTTTTAACACTCCTGCTTACTTCAAAGCAGAAGAGCTTAGTGCTTTGCCGTCTAGTTTACAGCAACAGTGTGTTACCCAGATCAAAACTGTGCGTGAATCTTTTGAAGAGCTGAAAAGATATGTTGAAAATGATTCAACTATGCTGGATAAAGCATTTTTGGATTTCTTGACTTTTGATGAGTTCAGATGGGCGTGGTTTGTAGTTAACACAAGGTCTGTGTTCAAAGCCAACTGCATCGATTTGTTACCAGGCAGCAGGTTGCAGACACAGGATAACTATGCCCTTGCCCCAGTTCTTGATTTGCTGAACCATAATGACACAACAGAGGTATATAGATTTCTACTAATTAACAATTTAACAATGGTAATGATGATGATAATGACAAAGACAATAGACACAATGAAAATAACCCTTCCCACTTGTACACCAAATCATCATCTTCAACACTGTAAGCAGTAACAGCATTATGATCTTGTCATCTTCATGATCAAGTCCAAGAATGTAACCTTAGCGTCTGAGTATTTTTTTTGAAAATTCGGCCATTTTGATAGTAGCCCCTTTCAGTAATTTTGCAAACCTGAGTGGAAAAATCTTGAAGCCTATCCAGTGTGTATTACAGCTAAACACCCCTTCAGCATCTGTGATCACCATCATCATAAGCAGTATCAGTTACTGTAGGATTATTACTCTCATAATTACACCTTTATCATCAGCATTATTATTCTCATTATTGTCATCCCCGATGTAATTGTTCTGTAGTTCACTATCATCACTATCATCATTTTATTCACCTTTTACCAGTGTTGGTACTCATCCCATTAATTTCCCCTGGTCAAACTTCTTTCAGTCACCTTAGATTTTATCGTTTGTTCTTGCTGACATAAATAATAGGGTAGATTAAAACTCTTTCAGGAATATCAAAATTGTTTTGTAGGTCCAAGCTGGATTCAACCAAGAAAGTAAACATTATGAAATTTGCACTTTTACACCCTACAAGAAAGGAATGCAGGTTTTTATTAACTATGGGCCCCACGATAACAGAAAACTGCTTTTAGAATATGGTTTTATTTTGCCACATAACTTGCACAATACTGTTGCTTTCTCTGAAGATCTAATTTACTCAGTTGTTCTACCTGATATCTTTGGTATTTCAAGAAAGAAGAGGGAAATAATTGCCGTTAACGAGCTACACAAGGACTTATGTTGTTCTGAGGGAAGTGGTTTGTCATGGAATCTACTTGTCTTGTTGAGGGTTCTCGCAATGAAGGAGGACCACTTCAAAAGACATTGGCAAAGAGTCTTGACTGGTGAATTTCTTGGGGAAGATGTTGAAAATAGAGTTTCACAATGGAGACAAAACTTAATTGAAAGGGTTCTAATATCTTATGAGTTAGATGAAAAAAATATTGCTAAATTCTTGAGTTCAGATATCCAACGATCTGAAAATGCAAAGTTGGCCTTGAGCTTAAGAAACCAAGAGAAACACATCCTTCAAAATGCCTTGGACCTGCTGAAGATTTCTTGATGAAAGTCCATGGAAAGTAGGAAAGGGCAGCCACTCAAAATTTTATATTCTGATTTTTATTCTGAGACTGTGCTTGATATTGTACAGGATAATAACGATGCACAGTTTTTATATACTTCTTTACTTTTCGACATTTTCTAATATGCATATACTCAAAAGGCCCCTGTAGTGAGACAAACAAGGTTTTCCGTAACTGAAAGAAATAAAGTCAAACTTAGTTCGACATTACTTCCTTGCTGTTAAAACCTTGACGCTGATAAATTCTTAGGCTCTTTTATGTTTCCCTTTATAAAAAATAGTTCTTAAACGACTTGAATTCCTTGAAACAGTGTAAGTTGTGTACACGATTTTATGCCGTTTATTTGGTACAGACGAATGAGTCGCCTTAATTTCATTAGGAAAATTGAGCTGTGAGTGGAATTCGTGAATGACTGTGGTATGGCTATTGTCAGTCTACCATGTCCACCTGGGGGTAAACTTCGTTCACAATACATAGTGTTTCTCTTCTCTGACTTCGTTGATGCATCAGGGTGAAACGCCCGAAAATACCGTGGATCTGAAACCATAGAATGGAGATATGAAACTGAAAACATGACTTTATCCTATCGCATTCAAAAATAACTTCGTAAAGCTAAAAGAAACGCAGCTTCACGGAAGTGACTTCCAGTAGAATCGAGCTGTTTCTCTACTTTTGGATTTCTATTGAAAAACAAACAAAAATTAAACATAAGAAAACAGAATATCGTTGGTCGTGAGGATGAGTAAAACCGAACTAATCGCTATAAAAACAGTCTTAGCCACAATAACAATTTGATGAAAATCCCTTAAGTCATTACACTGATTCAATGAGATTTTTTTTGGAGCTTAAATGGTAGTTTCATCCAAAATGAGTGAGTTTCTTGGCGTAGTAAATTACGTGTATCTTTAATACGCGGTTATAAATTGCCGTTCATTACCTAGGAGGGAACGGTTATTTGTTAGAACACAGATCCTGGCAAAGCTGTTTCAAAGTCATTCTCTATGCTGGCAATCAGTTGCTTTTCATCGTCGTCGTAAATTTCGTTATAGTTTAGCGGCCTCTCCACATCATTACTGTTGATATAAACATAAGAAAAGTTAGTAGACGCCAGAAGGTGAATATATACTGCGAGATGGAAGGACGAACGAATAGAAATATTAAAGCAAAACAGTAGACAGACAGAACAGACAGGTTAGGGGGTAGCAAGAAGGCAGACTTATAGACAGACAGACGCACAGGCACGTAGGTACATATCTAGGCAGCAGATAGAAAAGCGAAAAGACTGACCGACAGACCATGGCAGACTTTTTTAACAGCTTTATTGGGTATGGCTCATATAATACTAATACAATATACGATATGATTCGAAAATACAAGACACATTAAGAACAATTATTGAGAGAGCAAAGCAGGAAAAAAAACGTCGTGGACCCATTGGGGCTGATGCGACCGGGACACAAGGACCCATGCCAGGCACCGCCCGTGAGATAACAAAAGAAAACACAAAGAATTCTAAAACATGGTGAATAATTTTTAGGAAAAAGAAACCAGAAACTACGGGTGACAGGAGTAGGATCGTACAATTTTCCAAGTACAGGAATAGTTTACATCAAAGCAATTCTAAAGAAGATGAAACCTGCCGACTGAAAAAATTATGAAAGGACTCTATAGTTGGAAAACTGGTAGGAGGTGATAATTTTCAGATACATATAATTCCAAAGTTAACGTTGCAGTTGAAGTAAGAGACTTGGAAGGAACTTGTTTTACATACAGGTGTTTTAAGATTATAAGAAGTACTTAGTCTGGTTTGGCAGTGAGAAACAGAGGAAACAAAATCACGAACATTGAGATCGGTACAACCATTCAAACATTTGAAAAAGAAAACGAGGTCTTTGAGTTTACGGTCATAGGTTAGAGGAAGAAGTTCTTGAGCCAAACAGACAGGGACTTTGTCCGACGGACCGTCGGGCGCGAGCGGGCAGACTATAATGTAAACAGGCCCGAGGGTAATACGATCTCAGACAAAAACTCAGACAGACGAACAGAGAAACAGAAAGATAGGCAAAGAGACTAAGTAAGCCACACAGTGAGCGAGCAAAAAATGAAACAAGACGAAGAAAAAGAAAGGTGCAAAAAAATTTTGGCAAATTCTGAAATAACTGGACAATCTCACCTGGCTGCTTTTCTCGAGACATCAAGAACGTTGTGGTTTACGTCAGTATCAAAATTTGACAATTCTGAAATAAGAAGAAAGATTTACGAAGAAATTTGGATGATACCCAATACGAAAATTCGGTAACCCAATTTATCGAACAGAGGTGGTTTTTTTTCCTTTCTTTTTTTGCCTGGGTTTTATTTCACAACATTAATGGTGAGTAAATAGCAAATAGCAAAGTTGAGTAAATAGAATTCGAGATGCTTGCGACAGAAATATTGCGTCAGAGTAAATCCCGGTTTGAGATGTTTTTTTTTTCCCGAGTAATCTTCTTTGGAAAGTGCATAGAGTTTCAGGTATCCAGATGTTCTCATTCAAATGAGTTAACCACCTTTTCCTCAAGAATCCAGTGTTAAATTGTGCCACATAAAATATTTATGGCCTTTCACTAAATTCTCTTTTCATCAAAGCAAACAATACAAATTTATATTTTACTTTAGTCACGTCTATGTTGGTTTGACGAAATATCAGAGCTAGTAGCTTAAATAACACCCCAAGATATTATCAGGCTCAAACCACAAAGTTCATTTATGAATAAACTAATAGATAAATAAATGGATGAGTAAGTTCAGCCTCAGCTCTAAAACCAGACGATCTCATAAGATAAACTAACCTATGCCTAAAAGTGGAGCTCCAATTCGTTGACATTACTGCCTTTAAATTATTCAAACTTCCATAGGCAGTTAGCGAGTATCTCACAACAATATAGCACACATTTTCTGAACTATGAGGCTACGCTGCGCGCGCTTCTTGCGAAACACAATCGCTGCCTAAAGAGAGCCAAGGACTTAAACTCAAAAAACAAGGCACTAGGTGTGGAGTGAGTCAGGCATCCTCCCGCCTGATCTGCTGTGGCCACGAAAGCTCAATATTTGCTTTATTTTTCTGTATAATTGCGTGTAATGTGATATTAGTTCCAGGCTTCGTTACATAGTACCTATATGTACATTATAAAAATTTCCTCCGTTCCCTGTTTTTCAAAGTTTACGATAAACTATTTTAAAATTTCATTTGGCCTTAATACATTTCAGTGCTCTTCTTTTTTGATAACTTTTCTTCTCTTCAAGCTAAGTCATTTCATAGTAACCGTGAGACATAAAACTGTTAAAAAAAAAAAAAATCTTTTCATTTACATAATTATACAGCATCGCGTTCTTTTCGTTTCCCATATATCTAATTTATTTGTGTAGATTAGAGATTCCTGCAAACCTAATTTCCTACTTGATTCGCTTCAAACTGTATTAGAAAATAAAATGTTTAGTTTTCAGATCACGGAGTTTAGTTATGTTTGCAAATAATTATTGTTCAAAACAACGTTAAGGCGAGCAATTAATATGATAATCATTCAGGCTGATTTAAAATGCGTATGTCGCAAACATATTTCTTATTCTTACCTGGTTTTGCGGTGGTCGTTTGCACCTGAAAAACAAGGAAAAGTAAGAGTTAGCTGTTAGATAACAGCTATTTACCCAGGAAAAAAAAATAGTTAATAAAACTTTAAGGGGTAGTTTAGCAGCAGTTACATCAGAGCTCGTTAATCAATTAAAATTAGTTCATGTAGAAAATTTGAGATGAAATAACCGAATTTGTCTTCGATCAATTAAGTAACAGTGTTTTTTATTGATTAAATACATACGCTTTTAATCTCAAATATAAGTTGTTAAATGATGGAGAAGAATTTATAATTTTACGTTAGGAAAAATGTAGCTAGGAAATAATTTATTCTGTTAATTAATTTTTGCACCGCACATTTAGCAACTACTGCATTGTCTGGTGCATCAGTAAATTCTATCAGATATTACAACGGCGAGGTAATGATCAGCCTTTAAACCGGCCATCTTTCCATGTTTTATCTGTCTCTTTCCGTTTCTCAAAGAATAAAACACCGGTTTACAACTATGAATAACATTAGGAATAAAACATAAGACATTAGGGTTGGAAGCGTCTATTTTGCACATCAGTTTCTTTACAGCAGTTCACTGATCGAAAATAAGGATTTTACCAGGATTTCAAACTAATGAACAATTATCCCTGCGTGAGATATAATTAATAAGACCTTATCGCTAGAAAAATTTTATTCATCAGGTTTAATTCGGTAGGCTAAAGGCAGAAATTAAAATTGGGAAAAAAAAGATCGACGAAAAATCCGACGAACATAACAATTTGTTTTGATCATTCATACCTGTTTTCCTGGGGCATTTGCCGCTTTGAATTTTTCAATATCTATTAATTTCGACGGATCGAAAGATTCATCTGATTCTTTCTGCCAAGAGAAAATAAATAAAAAATAAACCATTTATGTTGCGACTTCAACAGCCTGTCAGGTGAATAAAATTTATTTAAGTTTTTTTTCCAAAGGTATTGTGGAGTGTCAAAATCGTATAGAAAGCGATTTTTGCTTTAAAAAAATCTGACTAATCGGCCAGTGGAAGTCAAATGGGAGGCGGGAAAAAATCCTGAAAAACAAACCAGGACTTGGACGTAAAATAAATTAAATGAACGCTTATTTGGTCTTATTTGCCAATCCATCTTGCTTTACAACGCTCTCTCGGGTCATTAGCATTATATTTACCTTATGGATACCAGGGCGTTCATGGTTCAGTCTCTCATTGTAATCAGCGCTGTATGTACCATCGGGGGATGTTCGCGCACCAAGCGAGTTACTGACGAATTTCTCAGTATCCTGCCCGCTTTGAACGTGACTTGAAGCTAAATCAACACCATCTTTTCCATATTCGCTGCCAAAGTCGTCCACCTTTTGTACTTGCGGCTTGTTGAAAGTATTTTCGAGGTTTTCATTTACGACTCTTGTGTTACCCCAGGCGTTTTCCAGACCGGATGGCCTTGCTCTCAGTGGTTTCATAATGTTCGACTCTTCAGGTCTTTTAACGCTTCCGTGAGTGGAATTTAATTGGATTGGGTTCACGTCTTGTAGCGAATTATCCGTTGCTTTGGTTTTTGCCGGCTCTGTCTCCTGCAATCCGTTTCCATTGGATGAAATAATTGCCTCAGCTTCGGCTCTCCCGTTGCCTTGAGATGGCTTGGATTCACTGCACCCCATCCCCTTGCACTTGGATTGATAAATTTTTCCTCTGAACTACATTCTCGATGTGTTTATCAACGTCTCACTCATTGTCTCTTGTAGCTAGGAGAACGGTGTGTTGAAAAACACGATTGAGGCGAGCTGCCCAAAATCCGACAACTTTTTGTTGTAATGCAAATTGATTTACTTAAGATATTCTACGTCACCGAGGCAGCAATTAAACTGGTGTCATAAACGCGTTGGATAATTATGTAAGAGTTAATTATTGACGGCTATATTGTTCTTCGCAGCAAAGCCGCGAAAGCAAATTACACTGTCGATTAAAAAGTGCTGTTTCGATTCTTCTTTTTCATATTAATAATATCGCCTGTGCTACAAATAGGCTGCTATCTACTCGCAGTTGTTATTGAGAAGTAAGTGTATCGACCATAAAATGAATAATCAGAAGATAGGAGGAGAGCAGTTTGTACAATCTCAAAATAAACATTTCAAACTTCAATTGTCTAGGTATTCTATTGTGTGTTGATTGTAAAAGGCTTTTGTTGGCGTTCAGCTTCAGGTCTACAACATCTGGTACATTCGTTGTGCTTCAGTACCCACAGCTGATGCGTAAAAGCTGGAGCACTTGCAAGTACAGCATGCATGATTCCCTCGCACTCGCGCTGCACAGGTTTTGGCAAAGGAATAAATGGAAATTTCTCTATCTTTTCTCAAATTTCACGTATCGTAAATGAATTATTTGGGATTTGAAGCTTCTGCAAAGTTGTTCAAATTACAAATTATTTGGAGGCAATTTTAGTTTTCTAACGGCCATGTCAGTCTGTTTGAAAGTTGAAACAAGAGAACACAATTTCAATTCCAATCTTGTTACTATGTTTTAATGAAATTTATGAGGAATCTTACCCATGTCATTTCAGAATTTTGACAGTTCTTCCTGAGAATCAATAGACCCATCATTTCGTTTTACAGGGTGGCGCACTGTTTGGGAAAAAATTGTCGTTTTGGATTACTGTGGGAGTGAAATATGATCTCCACGTTTTCTTGAAATTTAATATACTGAAAACTGCTACGCAAACATCTCCCTGATCTCTAACGCCTTAATGACAAACAGCGAGTTAATCCAAAACAAATCTTTCCGCGCTAAGATTTACAAAGCTTCACATTTTGCGATTTTAAATGATCAGGTGGATTGTCTCTCTTATGGGGAGTTTCATTGTTGGGTGGGTATTCCTTCATTGTTTCAACCTTTACAACCTAATATCAGTATACATAATCTCCATGCTGTTCTCTAGGCATTTCCTATGGTGCTGACAAGGAGACTTTGTTTAAAATCATATCTTTTATTCTAGTGTGATTCAGGAGTGAATTTGTATGCTAGTCACTCAGAGTTCTACAGGTGAAGCAACAATTATTCTTTTTCGTTCAGTTCGGTGATTAGTTTCCAAAGTGTTAATTTGCCCCTCTTTCATGGCTTCCAAAGTTGAGCAGCAGTTATTGATAGGTGGCGGTAACACACTGTTTGGAAGAGACCGGACTTGACCCATCAATTGCATTTGTGAAATATTTAGTCAAACATCACACAGTTAACTGTTGTTCGTTGTTCAGTAATAATAGCGAGCAAATTAAAAGGTGGAGTTGTCAGGGTAGCTCCTCGACCTAATGGCGCCAAATCAATTAATAAACTAATGAATAAAAGCCAACTCTAATTGCGAATATCTTGAATAACTATTTGTTTACCAAAACAATTACTTGTTACCAGGGAATTGTTAATCAGCTGATGCTCTCGGACATTTTGTTGAGATGCGGGAGCTAAAAACTAGATTCCAGCCTTTCTCTGTTTTCAGCAAAACTCGAAATGGCGGAAGTTTAGTTCAAGTAGAGCGCCAACCTCTGCAGCTCTTTCGGGAGAAATGACTGCTGAAATTACGTTCCAAGATTTACCAGAGGCTGTCATCCTAAACATTTTCGCTTTTGTGGCCGGAGAGCGTATATATAATTTGTTTAGACTTCGAGTTGTGTGCAAGAAATGGTCTCGTTTGTCAACAGATTCAAGTTTATGGAGGAAGTTGTATTTTCCAAACTGCGAAGGACTCTGTTATAAGGCCTTGGATCACGTCTTGTCCTGGTGTGGCAACGTTAAAGAAGTTATTCTTTCGAACTGTAACCAAGTGGATGATGCATGTGTGGAAAGTATTGCCAAAAAGTGTGGCAATTTAGAAATTCTTGATCTAAAAGGCTGTCGATTGCTGTCTGACCACGGGTTGAAAGTGATTTCAACGAATTGCAGACTCCTTCGTGACTTAAAAATCGTGGCACATAAAACAAGTATAACGTGTAACATTCTAAAGGATTTGATCACATCTTGTAAATCACTCCAGGAGTTGACAGTTATTTGTGAGAAGGAAGAGGATTCAGACGAATCTAATTTTTTCTTAACGAATCAGTTCTTCAAGGCAGCGAAAGAGAGTGACAGTTTGAAAAGAATCTACTTCCACGGCGCAGGAATTTTTGACGAGGAACATCTGACTTCTGATTTAAATATGTTCAATTTGCTCAGCATAGGCCTGCTAGGTTGTATTGAACTTAACAGCAATGTACTATGGGAATTGGTTTGTACTTCTCCTAAGTTACAATCTCTCGATGTTTCCTTCTGTCCTAGTATCAATGATGCAGGTATTGCAGTTGTTGCACAGGTTTGCCCAAACCTATTGCAGCTTATAGCAGAAGGATGTCCTGGTGTAACGGATGTGTCAATCGAAACTGTTGCAGAACATTGTAAAAAACTTCAGTGGTTGAATGTGTGTGGCTGTGAACTGCCAAGGCCTGCAGGAAACATTACTGATGTAGCAGTACAAAGAATTGCTGAAAACTGCCCTGATTTATACCAGTTAAATGTCAAATGGTGTCAGGGGGTTACAGACATTGGAATTGCTGCCATTACAACAAATTGCAAGAAGTTGTGTGGTCTCAACATTTACGGTTGTTTAGGAATTTCTGATGTTTCACTAAAACTTTTAGCAACCTTCTGTAAAGGTTTAACAAGCTTAGAGATATCTGAATGTTTGCGTGCAACAGATGGCAGTATAAATGATATTCTGCAGAACTGCAACCAACTTGAATGGCTTGATATGCAGGTATGTTCATATGTTTCTGACCTGGATTTTAAATCAGTTAAAGGCTCATTAACTCTCCTTCATCATGTGGACCTCTCCTATTGCACCAAGCTCACTGACAGAACTTTAAAACAACTGGCTAAGAATTGCCCAAGGTTAAAATACCTTTGTGTCGCTGGGTGCCATAGAATCACAGACACTGGCATCATCAGTATTGCTCATGGTTGCAACAAGTTGCAATATCTTGATGTGTCTTTTAGAGGGTCACAATCTTGTGCTCAAATCACAAGTAACTCGGTATTTTCTCTTGCCGCAAATTGTCCAAATCTGACCTACTTGGATGCTATTGGCTGTTTTGGTGTAAGTGAAGCTTCCATCTCCTCACTTGTGAAGAGTTGCAGATATTTAAAACAAATCAATTTCAGTCAGTTTACAGAAAAGACAGATTCTCAACTTTTGTTAAGGGTAACTGAATTTATTTCACAGGTTCGCAGTTCTTGTAGTTATGAGGAAATGATTTCTCCTCCAAGAGGGAGAAAGTTAGTACAGAAGAACTTTCTGATAAAAATGTCTGCTCCAAATTTGTAAGGATGTGTTTTCTCTTTTTTCAACAAACCCATTTTGATGACCCCTATTTTGAAAGGGTTTAGAAAGAACACTATCCTTCTTTTTATAGTAGTTTTATATGGCCAGGGTTTAGCTAATGACAATGATTTAAAATGGGACTTGGAACAAACTTAGACATATTTATTTAGGATATGTCAACAACAAACCATACTAGTTAGCTTTTGTGTCATTATTGAATACTTATTTATTGAGATTCATATTGCCATGTTTAAAAGGAACTTGCTGCCATGTATGAAATTACAATAAAAATTTAAAAAGACTCAGGTATTGTTTGTTTGTTTGTTTGTTTGTTTTTTTTAACTTACCAACCTCTCCCTCTTTTTCTACCTTTCTCCATAGAGATAAAAGAACCTTCATTTCTGGCAAACTTATCACTGGTCAAATTGTCTCAAAAAATAGAATGGGATGAAGGAAATACAAGCAGTATTAAAACTTAAAACTACACTTATTGTTTTCTACATGCATTTTTTTCTTAATCAATTGTTCTTATTTAAAATGGAGATTCCAGGTCCTCAAACTGGAATTATTGGGGATACTCAAATCCCGAAAACTTAATAGGACACAGGTTAGTCAGATTCCCCCACCCCCTCCCCCTCCTCCCCTTTAATGGAAGCTCATGGGGCGAAAGCAAGCAAATTAAAGGCTATCAGCGGGGCCCTTGCAGCCGTTGTTTGGTCTCGTCACGCAACGTCCTCTCCCCGACGCTGCGTGACGAGACCAAACAACGGCTGCGAAGGAAACGAGGCCTTCCTGTGGTTCACGCTTTTCCCACTTAGATAAAATGACGTTTGAAAAGCAAATTCTCGAATGAGTTATTTTCCCTTTTCAAAATCTCAAGTAATTTAAGGATACCGTGACTAGTTGTAAGAATCTTCGAAGCGCGCTTTGTGGCTGTTTTGTTATCAACTCAGTTGATTATACAAAATTACCCTGTTATACTCTCCCACCGACGCAGCACCACAATTTCTTTAAAAGTTACCCCCTTAAAACTCAAAATTACTTGCTCATATATTTGTCGCAGCAGGCAAGAGTGGGCATGCTGGCTATCTGACCTTGGAAGGTAAAACATATGTTGTTAGAACATTAATCCAGACACTTCTACAATAATCCCAAACATAAACAACAATGTATTTCTGCTCTCAATCACAACCGAATCAACATTTGACAGCTTAAGCCAAAACAAGAACTTTCGTGTGGGTCCAAAGCCACTGAGGTCAGTGGACAAACTGGGCAGGTCCACTAACTGAAGCCGCTAGGCAAGACAGTCGCAATTTAGAAACTCATCGCCATAGTTTGAGCTAAAATAACTTCGGACTTAAAATTCATAGAGTAACTAAATGTACCTAAGCGCAAGAATATATTATACTGAACTAACTAAATACTTTTTGTATTGCATGTATTACTAAGACAGTGAAATGTTCCACTTAGCGTAGAGCACGCACGAAAGCGAGCCTGCAATGTTATGTAAACACGTTTATATTATGAAATAGGCAAAAATAGCGATTTGTGCAAGACGGGAAGTCACGTTTTTATGAACCTAGTAATCTGATCTGATTTGGAATAAAAAAACAAACTTTCCTCGCATCTTTGCCTGTTCGCTTGGATTGCATGAGTTTTCTTGCTTATTAACAGCTATTTAGTAGGTTTTTAGTTCCCTTTTCGTTATCCCTTCAAATCAAGAAGAGCAAAATTGAATGAGAAAAAAACTTCCGTATTTAAGCCTACTGAGAAAACGCGCAAGTCTCAAACGTATTGACATACAAGCGAACTGGATGAGATTTTATGCAAAACTAAGTCAGATTGTTGGGTTATAAATGCGCCCTCTCAACAATCTACATGTATCGGTCTTAGTATTTCGCTTACTGCGTCACTGGTCTGTGGTTTTACTTCTTCACTAGCAATTTTTTTCCAGCACCTAGGATTACAAATTTTGGTGGTATTTGACGCCTAAGGCCGCATTCAAGTCTGAAAAATTTTTCATCTTCATGTTCGTATCTTTGTATGTGGCGTTAGGTCATCCAAAGCTGTGCGGATGAGAATTAGCTTTAATTCGAGTTCCTTACCACAGAAAGGCAGAATATGGTCTCAAGATTTTGTTTTGGTCGCGAAGGGAAGTCATCTTCGTATCTTTGTATGTAGCGTTAGGTCATCCAAAGCTGTGCGGATAACGTGCGTGAGAATTAGCTTTGAAGCGAATTTCTTGCCACAGACAGGCAGAATATGATCTCAAGATTTCGTTTTGGTCGCGAAGGGAAGTCATAAAATTAATTAATAATTGGACCAATAGTTGTCTCCATATTGATAAACTTAGACCTCCCACAACAAAGCGCAGGCGCTGTGCCTATAAGGAGCGTGAGAATTAGCTTTTATTTGTGTTTCTTGCAAGAGACAGGCAAACTAAAACCTTAAGATTGGCTGAAATTTCTTGAAACTCACAGGAAAAAATTAGAGCAAGAACTTTCTCCCTATTTAATTGAAATTACGTCACTTACATGGCTTCTCACAATGAAATGTAACCGAAACAGTCTCTGTCTGACGGCGACAATTAACACGTTCTCTGCTTTTGGTCAATTACTGAAGAGAACAATAGTAATTTGAGAACCAAAAGTGACAAGCTAAGAGAATCCACGGCGCAAACTCATAAAAAGATCGAGAACATCTGATCTCTTAAGGCTAAAATTCGCCCTAAGTAAAGATATTCCTCTTTGAAACATTAAGTTTGTGGCAGTTTCCTAGATTCGCTGAGCACAATGTTTATGAGCGTCTCTGTGTGTTTGTTACCGTATGTAAGAAATTTCAGCAACGTTTAAGTTATTTGGGAGAGGGAGGAGAAACACTACGTATGTCATAAACTGGCGATCTGAATGACTAAAAACTGTAACAAGAGTAGAAATCTGTGACATCGGCAGCATTTTCTTGACCTCTGTCACAGTTCTGCATTATACAGACCTACCAGGAGTAGAACGAAGGGGTGATTCAGGAACGATTTCTTGCCTTACATGAAAAATTGTGTTATCCGACAACTAGTCCTGTCTTAAAAAGGACTTAGACGCATCTTTGGTTCGAGATAAAACTAGAAAAAATTCCTACATTTTCAACTGAATAATGTCGTTGAAAAAGGTCTTGCAGTACAGTCTGGTTCGGTATTTAACGTCAAGAAAACCTTGTGATTTGAAACTGCAAAACATAGATTGACTATCAGCTCCTAAAACTTTAAGATTTTGTTGCTATAATTGTACATGTAACTACGTTTAATTCCGAGAAAAACGATCATGTGGTGAACAGGTAGCGATTTTATGGTGTAATTATTATTTTGGCGATTTCCGAGAAAATCACGCGGGTCGATTTGAGAGTTTAAAAAATTAAAGTGAAAATGAAACATGTGAATTACAGCTGATTATATAATTTAAAGGTCAGCAGGTGCTTGCAAGTGATGCTCATGACTATCGCGTGAGCACGATTTCCGCGCCAAAACTGAACTTCCAGCGTATAAAAACAACACATCTATTCCAGAACATTACATTTCTTCCATTGCACTAAACTGTAAGCTTGGCCTAGCTGTGTCTGGTAAGTACATCTTCTAGTATATATGAAAAATGATTCAAAGTTCTCTACCTTTGCATAGCAAAATCATATGCTAGACTGTTAGACTAGTTAAACTGTTTTCGGAGCAGAAGAAAAAAAAACGAACGTACGTGCAAATGCGACTGAAGTAGTTCGGAGAGGTTTTAACCGAACTTGCTAAAATCACTTAGGGATCGAGCGATTAAAAAGATCTCTGGCGCAATATGCAAGGAAATTTTGGAAAGATTTTAAAACATTTTCTGTATGTAGTTAAGAACGGTTTAAAGTACTCATAAGGCGTTACTTGTACCCCTAAATCCCCTACTGTTTCGTTATTTTACTAAAGTTAACAGGAGAGTAATGACGTAAGAATTGCATATAAGTATGATATATTTCTTTAAAAGACCGCTCTTTGCGTGAAGATCCTCATCGAGCTTGTGTTTTAAAGTTCCATATATGAAGAAATGACAAATTTGTTTTGTTTTGGTTATTTTAATCTCTAATGTTATGCAACTCTATTTGCACTCTCGGTTGTAATGTTAGGTATTTCTGACAGACAGCTACTAAGATGAAGTGTTATGAAATCGTTCTTGCCTCTTCTTATGCAGCAACGTGAGTTCCTTGCAAAATGGCGACAGATAAAAAGAAAATCTCCGAAGCGGTAGAAATGGCATTGGCGCATATTGCAAATAATGCCCCTGGAGAGTATTCCAAGCTAACTGCATTTAAAAAATTGAAATATTCTATCAAGGAGACGGCCAGAAAAATAGCCAAGGAACAAGTAAAGCTCTCTCACGAGTTTGAATGTGGACCTCAAAAAAACATCCGCGAGCGCCTTGCCAAGCATCTACCCGAAGACCGAATCAAGCTGATTGAAGAGGCTCTTTTCATCCCAACATTCCGCATGGAAATCGGCAAGCCTGAGATGGACAATGGCAAATCTCTGGTGGTGATAAAGAGAGGACAGGAGGAGTTTTTGCCTTCCAGGGAGCTGGCAGCACACGAAGACATCAACTGGGCCATGAACTTACAGCACGCTAGTATTGTAGTGGAAGCAGTGACGTTTGTCATGCAGGCGGCCGGCATAAAGGTATCTGTAAGTGGCAGTACTATGAAAGAAACCGTTGAAGACACTGCGAAAGCAATCGAAAAGTCTTCAGCATTCCAGCAAGCGTTACAGAAGTTTGTCAGCACATGGAAAACGGCAGGGAACAGCGCAACCGAGAGAGCCAAAGCCATTTTCTTCCTTCTTAAAGACACCTACGCAGCTGGATTGCTGTGGACCATAATCAAGAGTTTGTGCAAAGAGACCAAATGGTACGATTGGTTGGAGACTACAACGAAGGTTAGCGCCATGATCGTAACAGCCCTTGCCACAGATGGGGCAGCGCTAATAGCTGAGATTGCTTTGACCGTCCTAGCGACCGTTGACTTCGCCAGGAAGATCGATAATGTTGTACAACAAGAAGAGATCAGGAAAACTCTACAAGAAGAACGAGATCATACAGGTTCCGATAATCTACCTTAGAACAGGTATTACAGTCTATGTGTATACTTTACATGAGTAAATTATTTTTAAGAGGACAGTCAGACTGCAAGCTTTTGTAATATATGCCAGAGTCCCTCGAAATTGTAGAAAAAAACAGCAACCGATTAGTAATGAATAGGAATCGAAGACAATGGAGTGAACTGTTACATTCCGGCAAGGAGTTATTGTAGAGTGATTTCCAGCTGTTATGGAGCGCACTCTTAACATATTTAGTAGGTTTATGAAAGTAATGAAAATTATTTCACCGTGAGATGTGAGAAAATCGACTTTGTAAACAATGAAATCATTGTATATAGCAGCCGAATTTAACTGAGTGAACCGGCTATCTCGATCAGAAGCACCAGCAAATAAAATTGTTTAAAATGAGTTAGTCGTTCTTTAGATTACTCTTTTTTTTATAAAAAATCCTCGCTTTTGAGACTATCTGAATTATTCTTTCCCCTTAATTATATTGTTTCAATCGAAAACCAAAACACACTAGACAAAAGATTACATTGGCAGCTGCCCGTGCAAGAATATTCAAGACATCACGTCACGAGGTCGAGGACTGTTCCGAGCCCCCAATTAGCCCGTCTACTAACCCCCAAGGAGCTGGGGTATTTTTAATGTACACAAATACTTCTGGCTTGGTTTCAAAAGATCTGGCACAGAGATAAACAATTTTACAAGACTTTAAAGGAAACTCGGCATTACGAAGACGGCAGCGAGAGTGTTAATATACAAAAAATTTAATGAGCAGACCAGTTTCTCAGCTCGACCGATATCTGTAAGTCAATTAAACTGAATGTAGCGTCTGAAAGGCCCTTCCTATGAAGTAAAAAAACGTCAAACTCCCCGTGAAACGAATTTTTCCCAAGAAAAAAACCCGTTGGCAAATAGCTCTTAAACACGACGATGTCACCGAGAACTCACTAGCACTAAGTTTTTCTTGAATCTTTGCCATGGACATCGGACATGTTTTAGGATTTCCCCAGACTGTTCCATGAAAGCGAAGCTTGGAGGTTAAATTGAAAATTCCGACGTAAATATATAAGAGGCCATTTGTTAACCTTTCAGCGATGATTAGCATGTTCCAGGCGTCAGTTATCAAATCGAAGCGAAACACTAAGCGACACCATAATAGCTGCAGAGTGAAAAAGCGAAAAAAGAACACAGACGTTCATTACACGACTCGACCCAAGCGACGCTCGTTTTTTCACTCCTCCGCCATGTATGTTATCGCCGTTTATCATCGCGCTTCGTTTCACTGACTGAACGCATGGAACAGTTTAACATATGTTATGCTAAGGTTGAGGTTGGCGCTTTTAGCGACGATAAACCACAACCAGCTATTAACAAATTTCATAAAAAAAAAATGAAAAAAACTTTTTTAATCAATGTTTTCCTCGGCCTTTTTTTCCTGGCTTCCATTTTAACCCCTTACTGTTGATACTGCGAGCGGGAATGATGACGCAAATCCTTTGTTTCGATTTAATCCCAACTCAACATTGTGACCTACTCTTCCTATGATGTCAGTGCTGACGATCTTTTCAAATCTTTGGATTGGGAAAACTTGAAACGCAACGGAAAATTTAAACAGCGGCTATGATCTGCAAGTCTCTAGATGGCCTTGCTCCGCAATATTTGCCCTCTAGGTTTAGTTATCGAGATAGAATTCAGTTCTAATTATTCTTTAAGAAACTTCGAGGGCAATTTAGTTACTCCACTACCCCGAGCCAACTTTGTCAAAAACAGTTTCACTTACAGAGGTTCAGTGTCGTAGAATAGTCTTCCTTCCTTTCCACCTTCTTCTCGTCCAAAAAAGGAAATGTCTCTCCTTAGCCACATATCATAAATGTCAAATTAAGGAGAGACAAAGAGTCACCGCGAGTCCAGGCCAGAGACTGGGACTGGTTGTGGGGACCAGGGCGGTTTTTATGGCTCGGCAGCTCAGGGATGGGATGGGGAGAGAAGGTTTTTTACCTCGTTCGTTCAAGCTCGAATTCAAACAAAAAACTTCTCTCTACATCCAAGCCTTTAATTCGCCCAAGTCTCCACAACCAATCCAAATCCCTGACCCAGACCCGCGATGACTCCGCAACGCTTAGTGTATGTAACTCGATATTCTTCCCCTCGTTCATGATCTCGAGTACTGATTGAGAAATATCCCAATCTTAGTGGTCCTGAAAACTCTCCTTCTCTCCCCTATCATATTAGAAAATGCTTTATTCAGAGATAATTAAGTGAAGTTTAACAGAAATCTGGATTGCATCGACGCAAAAAACGAAAACAATAACAACTGTGAGCGAAGTCACGCGTAATTGTGCTCATCCATCTATTTAAATCATACAAACCCCTATGCTACTAACATAGGTAGAAAATACAAATTAGAGAACGAAAACTCAAAAAGAAACTCACAATAAAGAAAACATTTACCTTAAAGGCGCATAGCATTACAGGCATAAAAAAAACGACGACGCTGCTTTTTAAAAAGTGGACATAAGCATTGATCCGCAGGGCGCAAACGCAATACACTCGGGAAACGGTATCACAACAAGTTTCGCGATAGCAACTAAAGAAAAGAAAAACAACGCACACACTCACACACGTAGATCTTTTATTGTAAAAGTTTGAATTTCAAATTGTAACAAAATTTTCGAAGCTCAGTCACCGAGCTACAGAGACTCTATGGTGAGCGAGGCCATCATTAGAACTTACCAGATTCACATGTGACACGTGTCTCACATACATCGCGTGATAGTTGAGGAGGGCAAGAGCGAGGCCGAGCCAAGGCTCCCGCGAGGCCTGAAAATCGATTTGGTATCAGCTTCTGTACCGCAGAAAGTAGCTCTCATACCTTACTATTTAATTCCAAGAAAATCAGGCGAGGTGATGTCAACTATTATTGCGCTGAGCTATCCATGTTTAAGACATTAAGCTATATGAAATTCCGAGAAAACCCGGAAGCCAATTTTTAATATCGAATGTAAATGGATAAAAAAGTCATGTCAATCAGCAATACACAAGTCGGATTTAACTTGTGGCTTTTACGTGATCGTCATGTCCATGCGCATCAGTAACCTGAAAGTTCTTAATATCAATGGTATACCCATTTATTCCATTACAGTCGACGTCTGAGTTTGGAACAGTTTAATTTGGCAATCAGGCAGATATGCCTTTAGATTCCATTGTTGTAGTTGTCTGTTAATTTCCGAGAAAAACCAAGGGATTAAGACCTGTCAACGCAAAATGGAGTATCAAGTGTCAAAAGGTGGTGATTTCATTGTTGTGACTTCAGTTGAAATTAAACTGCAACCGAAAGTTTTGTCGTGTGAAAACAACCCATCCTCATCAAACTGGCCTGTTATCGGCCTTGTTCTTCCTCTTTTCTAATGGATGGACACAAAATTGAGTTAAGTAAAAAAAAAAAAAGTACTTGGCCATAATCTACTAATCTTTTGAAGGACCTGTGTATGAAGCGTACATTTTTCACTCTCGAATGGTATTCTACGTAACGCCGAAAAGTCAGGCCTGGTGATGACAAGAGTCAGGATTTTTTTTCGTGATAAGCTGTTTATCCCAAATTCTGGGAAAAACAGGAAACTCATTTTGAAAGTGCAACGCAATCAAGTATCAAATGTAAAGAAAAAAAAAATCGGGAGATTTGACATTAAATCAATCTGCAAGCGCTATAGAAAAGAGATTTTAATAGCCACAATCGCAAACTTAATCGATTATATTTGACGAAGACGATCAGTAGGAAAGAGACTGTCTCTACAATAAGTGTAAGTATACAGAATGGCTTTGTGATTTGTTCAGTTAGGTGTGCAAATCATGTATGACTGATGTGCAAGTATAAGAAGCAACGCGGTGTCTGTGTCTCGTCAACTTATTGTGAAGCGATGTCTCTAAATATTTGTATATAATATATTTTTTGCTTTGATGTGGCACTCTCAGCTCCTCCGTGCAAGTAAGTCGTTATATTAAAAATCTTAAGATTCTCCAAAAAAATTAGAAAACTTGTTGAAACCTGTCTTGAAAACCGAGCATGCCGAGTGTAAAAATCTACAAGGGAGATTAAAAGTGTTGGAACACTTATCGCAGTATTACTAAAATCCCTCTCTCCTTCAAACAATGTCGAATTTTGTGCGCTTTGTAAAAATTACCCAGACGACTGTTTTGTTTCACTAACATTGTTAGAGGAGAGGTTCTGTGTTTACGCCTGAATTGGCAAAAAAATGATATTCTGTAATATATTTGGATATAAAATATGTTTTCAATAATTACGCCAAGGAGTTTTGACCTTCATTACCACTATTGTTAGATGTTGAAATACAAACAAATGAAAAACATCAGATAACTTCGCAATAGGCCAATCAGAGAGCCCCGAGAAATTTAGGCTCAGTGATATTGGGTATTTCTATTGTGTGGAGCTATTTATGTTCAATTCCGGGTAAAGCAAGAAGTTCATCGGTTTCTTGAGGTGGAACGAAATTTAGCACTAGATGTAAACAAGTAAGAAAATCAGGTGATTCGCAATGGACCAATCAGCAATCGCAGAGATAGAATGAGAACTTACTCGTGTCTATCATGTGATGGACGAGTTGATACATATAAACTGAACGTTCAGAACATCAAAAGCACTTTACGGTGATCTCTTCCCTTGAAGCTGAACTCTGAGCTTGGTACAGTTAAATTTGGTAAGCATGCAGGTTTCCTAGTGGAACATTATGTTGATCAATTTAGATTTCTTTCAAGTTAAGCTGACAATAACAAAAGATAATTCTATAGCTCAGTTAAAGCGCTCTTCGAATTAGGGCTGGTGAAGCGTTTTGTTAGGCAAGCGCATATGCGGAACTAATTAGTGATGATTTGACTTATGAATGAGCGAAATAACTGTGGGCACTGAAGAAAATTTTGTCACATTTTGTAACTGTATTTTGGAAAAGGTTTAGATGATTATGACCTATAGTTTCGGTACTCATCTCTCCGTTCAACTGTCTCGCAATGATGTTGGTCAGAAAAGTGCCCTCGAAATGAATTAAAGTGATACCTAGATATGCCGTGTGGAAACAGCTTTCTTCAGCAGTGATCGTCATCTAACTTTTGCGAGGTTCAAATCTGAAGATATTTCCCCTACTTTTGATTGAAATTAAATTTGATTATTCAGCAGTATTTGCGTACCTTGGTGTATAATCGGCAATAACATTTTGAAATTGGTCTTGAATGCTTTACATTCACAGCAACTGAAAGTTTCCTTGATCGAAAATGACAACAGATAACAAGAAAATCTCGGAAGCTGTAGAGGGGGCGTTGGCGCAGATTAAATCGAACGCCCCTGAAGAGCATTCCAAGCTCATTGCAGACGGGAAATTGAAAGATGCTATCACTACAGCAGCGAGGGAAGCCGCCGATGAGGAAGTGAAACTCGCTCACGAGTTTGCCTCTCAACCAGAACAAGACATCCGTAAGCGCCTTGAGAAGCATCTGCCTGAAGATCGAATCAGGCTGATTGAAAAGGCGCTCACCATTCCAACATTCCGCATGGAAATAAGCAAGATGGACAATGGCAAACATCTGGTGCAGTTGACAAGAGAAGGAGAGGAGTTCCTACCATCCAGGGAACTGGTAGCGAGTGCTGACATCGTTTGGGCCACGATTCTTCAGTACGCCAGTGTTGTGGTGGAGGCGGTAATGCTTGTCATGCAAGCAGTTGGGATCGGAGTATCTGTAAGCAGCAGCACCATGAAAGCCACCATTGAAGACACCGCGGAAGCAATTAAGAAGTCTTCAGCATTCCAGCAAGCGATACAGAAGTTTGTCAGTTCGTGGAAAGCGGCGGGAGGCAGTGCAACTAACAAGGCTAAAGCCATTTTCTTCCTCCTCAAAGATACCTACGCAGCTGGATTGTTGTGGACCATCATCAAGAGTTTGTGCAGAGAGATGAAATGGTACGACTGGTTGGAGACCGCAGCGAAGGTGAGCGCCATGATCATAGCAGCCCTTGCCACAGAAGGAGCAGCGCTAATAGCAAAGATTGCTTTGACCGTTTTGGCTGCTGTCGATTTCGCCAGGAAGATCGCTAATCTGGTACAACTTGAAAAAATAAAGAAAAGTCTGTAGGAAGAAAGAGATTATGCAGGTTTCGGCAGTTTGCCAGGGTTCATGACATTTTCAGATCAGACGATTCAAATCTCCCAAAATACATTGAAAAAGCGGTGCTGAATTGTTTGGTGATACATAGGAATCGAACATGACAATGTGAAGCTGATTCATTTCGTTAGCAAAGGCACACTTAAATTTACCAGATTTATGAACTTATAGATGATTTAACTCACTAATATCACAAAATTGATTCAGTCAACAGAACAATTATTATTTTAATTACAGCAGTTAATTTTTGTACTCAGTTATTAATCGTGATCACTTACCAGATCAATATTCAAAATTCTTTTAAATAAATTCGTCGCTTTTCGGATGATCTGTTTATCTTAGTCTTCCCTCTTAACATTTTACATCAAACATGACTGAAAACATACTCTGACAAGAATAAACTTTGGCAGCTAAAAACGTATAAGCTGATTCTCAATTCATTCGTTATACTCTCACTTTATTTCAAGGTTTATGTAAAATCTGTGAATCAAGCAATGTTTCCTAGAATTACACATTGAGCCTCCAAATGTAAACATCTCCTGTTGATTGACTTTTTTCGCACTCTTAACCCTTAACTCCTACTAGTGACCAAGACAGAACTTCTCCTTATAATATCAATACAATATAAACCAGACAAGTGATGAGAATAAAGAAAAATATCAATTAGAGGATTACTCGTTGATCAAATACCGAGTTCTCCAAAGTAACACCATAAGAACCGTATAGCAATAGTTGGGAGAATTACTAATGAGATGTTGGAATTGAAAGAGTTAGGTCGGAACACGTTCCTATTGACAAGTGTTTTTCCATCTGGAATAAACATTCTACTCTGACCCGTGAGCACACAGTTCATTGACATGGAGATTATGTTTCACTTTTAAAACATAAAACCGCGCGCTAGATTAGGGGTTCGAAATAACACCGAAGCAAAATGCAGACACAATAGCAATTAGTCGATAGGAATACGGGGCAGACATCTTCGGTTAGTCGTCCGAACTTGCCCGAGCACGAAGCTATATTGGAGTAGTAAGCGCGCTTAAAACGATAGAGAGGCTTTGTTACAGTTTATACTAAGCATCGTTGAGTAAAATATCTCCTTCCAACACAATTAGCTTTGCAAAATTCGTTCCTTTGCTACTCCTAAGGAGTAGTTGACCTAGAGATGGATAACTCGCTAAAATGACTTCTTTTCAACATAGCAAGCGGTCAGACAACAAGCGATGCACTGTGAAAGTAAGGTGAGGTATTTTTATTGAGAATTTGACAGTATCTTTTTAATTCCTAAGGTCATAAATATTCCCATACAAACTCTTATATTTTCGCTATGACTCGTATTACGCAAGATGATCATCTCACGGGTGGAGCTTAGGCTGCCTGTGCTTCCAAGTGAACAAAAATGTATCGAGTTCAGGCACAAACCTAATATTGTGAACCGCTTCGACTGCTTATGATCTGATGTACACCAAGAACCGTGATTAAATTCAATTATCTTATGTAAACATTGGCTGGAGCGATCAGACGCGGACGAAAATAATCCTGTGATTATCTGATAAAAGAAAACTTGTAGAATTCACTGCCGCATATCTTCAATTTCAATCATTCCAAGAAACTTGCGGTCACATAAAATGCGTTCTGTGGTGTTTTCGTTCAGAGGCAGAAAATTTAAAGAAGCACTATTGGATGCAAGCCAACGCTGTAGACAAAGGTCATTGCGTTACAACGCGAATATTTATTAAGCAACCGTGGGGCGAAACGTGACATCGCGAAATGGAAAATTGTCGAATTTGGCTTGTGCAGGCGGAGAATGATGTGGATTGCAGCGCCTGAATTTGACGAATTTTGCAGAGAGAAATTCGATTAACACAGGATACTATTATGTGCTGTTTTTTTTTGTAGAATTTATATGCGTTCATCACTCTGTAGAGTTGGATGGCTACCATAATTGTGGTACGCTCCGTGATTGTCCCGAAGCTTGGCTTTTGAGATAAGAGCAACCTTGCATTGCCACAAGATCAGTAATTACAAGTTCACAACCATGTTTCTTCTCCAGATTAAGTACTTTATGCAAGAGTTGGCCGTAGGTATTCTTTGATTATCACAAACCATTCCTCCAATATTAATACAACCATGTTTCTTCTTCAGATTAAGTACTTTATGCACGAGTTGGGCATAGATATTCTTTGATTTTTGTTATCATAAGCCATTCCTCCAATATTAATACAACCATGTGATATGAAACTGCAAACACTTAGATTGACTTTAACGGCTTCTAAACCGTTGATACTTCGTCGTCACATGTTATTTTTGTTCAATATCAGTGATGTGAAAAGATAGTAATTTATTGTGTGAAGGGGTATTTAGTCAAATTTCCGAGAAAAACATGGAGACCATTTTGAAAATTTGACAACATCGAGCACTTATTAAGCGCTACAAAGCAGAGCTTTTCCTGACTTTGTCGTGATCGACAAAAACGCTTTGAACCCTAAATTTAAGTTACATTTAAACGGTAAGATCTCGGTACGAGATTATTATACACGTTAAACGTTTCGTAAACGTTACACGATAAACATTACACGTTGATTAAAAGCTACACGTTTAACGTTACATCAAGGGCAGACTAGCACATTATGAGGCCTTTTCAAGCCAAATCGCCATAATTTAACAATTTTATTTGATGGGTTATTCGCAGTCGACTAAATGGTGGAAAAATTTCACGTCAAACTTTCTGGTAAAGTAGATCAAACTTCAACAATGTCTTAAAAAAGCACAACAGAGAAAATTTTGCTTAAGATTCGCTTACGGTTTTTGTATCAGTCCATAAATAGACGTGGCAGAGATCGCTATGCATGACAATTAAAAATATTTGCACAAATGGCTAAAGGGCAGACATCTTCAGTTGGATTCTTGACGTTGTTTGCCGTTAAATTTTACCTGCCTCTTTGCTCAGACGAATGGCTAATCTTAAACATTTGAAAGAAACGAAATCTCGGAAAGTTAGCTGTGCAATGCGTAAAACTGTTTTACTCAAACTCGACGTTGGTATATGGTCAACTCAATTTCACAAATATTTACCCCCGGAGAAGTCAACGCATTAAATAAAATAACTCTGTATCATTTATAAATTTCTTTTCCCCCACAAAACCTTCCTCCTTTCTGAAAAAATGAGATGAAAATTTCTGGAAATTTGTAAAAAATCTGTTGATGAATATGGATATGCAAATTCTTTGGTGTATGGTTGCATTTCATGTTTGAGAGTTTCGTTCCATTGTCTGGCTCTCAACTCAGTTACAACATTGGGCAGACAGCTGCGAAAGAATTAACTGGTTGAAAAGGATAACACTCTAATACTTTAACAAATTAAATCGACGGAAAAGTAAAAAACAAACTTCATAAGGCTGATGCATAGTTTTTTTACGGTTGAGGCTTTTCAGTTACATGTCTCACTTAACCTGAAATGTGCGTGTTTTTGGGAGACATTTTCATGTTACCAGTTTGTTTACTTCCTTTGTACACGTATGCACTTACCTTAAGATCGATCTGAACAGTCGTTGAGGATATTTTCGACTGCCATCGAACTAGAAACGGTCAGAAAGGAACTTATAATTTCTGTGCTGTTCGAAGCTGACCAATATCGAAGCTCGGCTAGACACCGCGAGAAAACACGGATATGGAGTTGAAAGCAATCGCATTAATTGGAATCGTTTTCTTGGTGAGTGGGTCTTTTACTGACTTTTTCATCATGTGTCGAGGCTTACCCGTGTAAACCGATATTTTTAACAGTGTTATTTTGGACAAAACCGGATCTAGTTCAAAACTAATTTACAACCAGGAAAAAATTTAGTAGACACTGACGCGTAGAAGCTCCCAAAGCTGTCTAGGCCTTTCACGTGAATCAAGTTTTGAAACCGAACAGCCTCGGCTCTCGGGTTCGCGCCCTAATACTCATTACTTGGTTCTCGAAATCAAAGCCATAAAAACAATTAAAACCGGATTAATGAAAATAAAAGCAAGAGAAAATTCTCAGGCAAGGGTAGCATATCACGAAAATGATGTTTAGTTGTTGCGGACTAACTTCAAAGTTTGTTTATAAAATATAGCTGACCATAAGAACTATACATTTGAAAATTTCTTACTGCTACACTTGAGTTCCTAACAATGGTCGTATGCATCTGTTCGAAAGAGTTTCCAAACTCAGAAATAGGAAAATTTAATCTGTGTGGACTTCATGACGAATTTGGTATATATGGTTGATTACCCGCGGTATTTTGTTTTCTAGGCACTTACAGAAGCAAACAACAAGAACCCGCTACATTCGTCAGGATGCAAGGTAGGAAGATTTAGTCATTTCATTCCCTAAAATCGCGCAGCAAAGATCACAATGCATTAAGGCATTGATTAGAAAATAAAAGAATGAAAATTATTGATTTTATGAAGTTTGAAATTCTGGTTTGGAGCACAGAATGCTTTAATAGTTAATCTAATTTAAGATTCATTCAGTTTGGTTTACTAACCTGCGAACGAAAGAAAAACCCAAAAAAATCCCACTTTCTCCGCTGTTAAGGACTAACTGAGAATGACCGGAGTTGTGTTGTGTGTCAGGTAAACTTGATTAATTTTTTCAGTCAAACGGAGAAGTAACATATTAAGCCTGCTTCCTGATTCAGGCAAAGAAAATCAGGAAAAGGTACACATCAGAAGAAGGCAACGTGAGCCCAAAGTAAACAAGGCCTCAAACGCGTGAAGACCGTAATTCATGCGAGTAAGTCGGGATTTGCTGAAGAGATCTTTGATTTTGCATCTCATTGATTGAAAGGATGACGCAATCGCTCAGCACCAGTCACAAAAGTGCGCTGTTAATGAGAGTTCCGGATTATTTTCCATTCTCACTGAGGGTTAAGGAGTGGAAACTAAAACTTTTAACATGCCTTCCCACCTAATTTAGTATTAATTTGCATTTCTAAGTCTTAAGATTTCCTAATCTCGCCATGGATGGTCTCTATGGAAACCTTCGTTCACTCTCCCCCTTCGTATGTTGTTTTTCAGCCCGACCCTTCAATCCCTTTGATTTTTTTTTTTTTATGACTGCTGACCACGCTAATTTTATTCCGCTGACTTTCAGGGAGATTCTTGTCCTAAAGCAAAAGATAACTTACAAGGCAACGAGAAATTTCGTCCCACCTCCTGCCTTGATTATTTGCTGAAGGGCGCATCCGCCTGTGGAATGTACCGCCTCTACGACTCTTTCGGCAACAGTTTCCCAGCATACTGTGACTTCAAGTCCGAGCCTGGTTTTGCATGGACCCTGGTGATGTCCTGGGCTCATAAAAATCGTGCCTGGTCTGCCTTCCGGAGAAATTCCTTCAGGGAAGACGCTCCTGTCAACGAGAATTCCCTTATCTGGAATATGTACCGCCTGAGTCTGACTCGAATGAGATCCCTAAAAGCCCACTCCACTCACTGGCGAGCAAGTTGCAGCTACCCGACCCATGGCATCGATTTTACAGACTATATCCGCGGTAACTTCAAGGACTTTAATATTGTCGACTTTATTGGGTCTGGTCAGTGCAAGAAGGTGGAGTTCGTGAATATCCGTGGGCACAATGGCGTGCATCTCACCGTACGCTTCTGGCAAGCGGCTAAAAGCTACTTTTTGCACACAGACAGCAGTTCTTCCGGCTGTAACTTTAACGCGAGGTCCGGCTCAGTGTCAAGTGAAGATAACTTTGGTTATTATCATACCATCAACCCCAAGTTTCGTTGCACAGCGGGGGATCTTTCCACCACCCAGTGGTGGTTTGGTGCCCATTTGTAAGCGACAATGGCGCGCACCAAAGGGTCTTCAAAACGACAGAAAACGACTCTCAGCACATAAGTATTGATTCTGTAAACTAGACTTAGGAAATGAGAATGTAATCTTTGAAAGACTCTTCAATGAAGACTGAGATCTCCAAGAACTGAGTGTATTCTTGAGTTCTTAACCGTTTTCGCGTTCCTTTTATGAGCAGTTTGGACTAAAAAAAACTTCAATGCCACAATCCTTTAGTTTGTACACAGTTTCTCAGTTCTGCATATGCGTAAACTCTAGCATGCTCATTGGCTTAGAGCAGGTCCATTGGTCCCAGTCCTAAACACTGCTAAAAGTTGAAACTTTATTCTATTAAGGTATTTAGTGTATTCCGATAGAATCATGAGGGCCATTTTGAAAATTCGACAAAACTAAGCATCATATGTTCACAAGTACTACACGAATTTCACTTATTAAGACAGTCAAACAAACAGACAAAAAAGTGGGTCACTTGACACTAAATCAATCATTAACCGCTGTAACTGAGAGTTTTCTTTTCGAGACTATCTCGTGATCGACCAAAACGTTCGTCAAAAGCTCATGTTATCAGTTTGTTTACTTCTTTTGTACAAGTATGCACTTACCTTAAGAGCGATCTGAACAGTCGTTGAGAATATTTTCAACTGCCATCGAACGAGAAACGGTTTTTAGAAAGGAACTTATAGTAACTGTGCTGTCGAAGCTTACCAATATCGAAGCTTACCAATATCGAAGCTTACCCAGACACCGCGAGAAAACACGGATATGGAGTTGAAAGCAATCGCATTAATTGGAATCGTTTTCTTGGTGAGTGGGTCTTTTACTGACTTTTTCATCATGTGTCGAGGCTTACCCGTGTAAACCGATATTTTTAACAGTATTATTTTGGACAAAACCGGATCTAGTTCAAAACTAATTTACAACCAGGAAAAAATTTAGTAGATACTGACGCGTAGAAGCTCCCAAAGCTGTCTAGGCCTTTCACGTGAATCAAGTTTTGAAACCGAACAGCCTCGGCTCTCGGGTTCGCGCCCTAATACTCATTACTTGGTTCTCGAAATCAAAGCCATAAAAACAATTAAAACCGGATTAATGAAAATAAAAGCAAGAGAAAATTCTCAGGCAAGGGTAGCATATCACGAAAATGATGTTTAGTTGTTGCGGACTAACTTCAAAGTTTGTTTATAAAATATAGCTGACCATAAGAACTATACATTTGAAAATTTCTTACTGCTACACTTGAGTTCCTAACAATGGTCGTATGCATCTGTTCGAAAGAGTTTCCAAACTCAGAAATAGGAAAATTTAATCTGTGTGGACTTCATGACGAATTTGGTATATATGGTTGATTACCCGCGGTATTTTGTTTTCTAGGCACTTACAGAAGCAAACAACAAGAACCCGCTACATTCGTCAGGATGCAAGGTAGGAAGATTTAGTCATTTCATTCCCTAAAATCGCGCAGCAAAGATCACAATGCATTAAGGCATTGATTAGAAAATAAAAGAATGAAAATTATTGATTTTATGAAGTTTGAAATTCTGATTTGGAGCACAGAATGCTTTAATAGTTAATCTAATTTAAGATTCATTCAGTTTGGTTTACTAACCTGCGAACGAAAGAAAAACCCAAAAAAATCCCACTTTCTCCGCTGTTAAGGACTAACTGAGAATGACCGGAGTTGTGTTGTGTGTCAGGTAAACTTGATTAATTTTTTCAGTCAAACGGAGAAGTAACATATTAAGCCTGCTTCCTGATTCAGGCAAAGAAAATCAGGAAAAGGTACACATCAGAAGAAGGCAACGTGAGCCCAAAGTAAACAAGGCCTCAAACGCGTGAAGACCGTAATTCATGCGAGTAAGTCGGGATTTGCTGAGGAGATCTTTGATTTTGCATCTCATTGATTGAAAGGATGACGCAATCGCTCAGCACCAGTCACAAAAGTGCGCTGTTAATGAGAGTTCCGGATTATTTTCCATTCTCACTGAGGGTTAAGGAGTGGAAACTAAAACTTTTAACATGCCTTCCCACCTTATTTAGTATTAATTTGCATTTCTAAGTCTTAAGATTTCCTAATCTCGCCATGGATGGTCTCTATGGAAACCTTCGTTCACTCTCCCCCTTCGTATGTTGTTTTTCAGCCCGACCCTTCAATCCCATTGATTTTTTTTTTTTTATGACTGCTGACCACGCTAATTTTATTCCGCTGACTTTCAGGGAGATTCTTGTCCTAAAGCAAAAGATAACTTACAAGGCAACGAGAAATTTCGTCCCACCTCCTGCCTTGATTATTTGCTGAAGGGCGCATCCGCCTGTGGAATGTACCGCCTCTACGACTCTTTCGGCAACAGTTTCCCAGCATACTGTGACTTCAAGTCCGAGCCTGGTTTTGCATGGACCCTGGTGATGTCCTGGGCTCATAAAAATCGTGCCTGGTCTGCCTTCCGGAGAAATTCCTTCAGGGAAGACGCTCCTGTCAACGAGAATTCCCTTATCTGGAATATGTACCGCCTGAGTCTGACTCGAATGAGATCCCTAAAAGCCCACTCCACTCACTGGCGAGCAAGTTGCAGCTACCCGACCCATGGCATCGATTTTACAGACTATATCCGCGGTAACTTCAAGGACTTTAATATTGTCGACTTTATTGGGTCTGGTCAGTGCAAGAAGGTGGAGTTCGTGAATATCCGTGGGCACAATGGCGTGCATCTCACCGTACGCTTCTGGCAAGCGGCTAAAAGCTACTTTTTGCACACAGACAGCAGTTCTTCCGGCTGTAACTTTAACGCGAGGTCCGGCTCAGTGTCAAGTGAAGATAACTTTGGTTATTATCATACCATCAACCCCAAGTTTCGTTGCACAGCGGGGGATCTTTCCACCACCCAGTGGTGGTTTGGTGCCCATTTGTAAGCGACAATGGCGCGCACCAAAGGGTCTTCAAAACGACAGAAAACGACTCTCAGCACATAAGTATTGATTCTGTAAACTAGACTTAGGAAATGAGAATGTAATCTTTGAAAGACTCTTCAATAAAGACTGAGATCTCCAAGAACTGAGTGTATTCTTGAGTTCTTAACCGTTTTCGCGTTCCTTTTATGAGCAGTTTGGACTAAAAAAAACTTCAATGCCACAATCCTTTAGTTTGTACACAGTTTCTCAGTTCTGCATATGCGTAAACTCTAGCATGCTCATTGGCTTAGAGCAGGTCCATTGGTCCCAGTCCTAAACACTGCTAAAAGTTGAAACTTTATTCTATTAAGGTATTTAGTGTATTCCGATAGAATCATGAGGGCCATTTTGAAAATTCGACAAAACTAAGCATCATATGTTCACAAGTACTACACGAATTTCACTTATTAAGACAGTCAAACAAACAGACAAAAAAGTGGGTCACTTGACACTAAATCAATCATTAACCGCTGTAACTGAGAGTTTTCTTTTCGTGACTATCTCGTGATCGACCAAAACGTTCGTCAAAAGCTCATGTTATCAGTTTGTTTACTTCTTTTGTACAAGTATGCACTTACCTTAAGAGCGATCTGAACAGTCGTTGAGAATATTTTCAACTGCCATCGAACGAGAAACGGTTTTTAGAAAGGAACTTATAGTAACTGTGCTGTCGAAGCTTACCAATATCGAAGCTTACCAATATCGAAGCTTACCCAGACACCGCGAGAAAACACGGATATGGAGTTGAAAGCAATCGCATTAATTGGAATCGTTTTCTTGGTGAGTGAGTTTTTTTACTGAATTTTTCATCATGTGTTGAGGCTTTGGACAAAACCGAATCTAGTTCAAAACTTATTAATCACCACAAAAATATTTAGTAGATATTGAAAGAGACTTAGGTCTTCCGCGTAGAGGCTTCCAAAGCTGCCATTGCCTTTCATGTGACTCAAGTCTTGAAACCGAATAGCCTCGGCTCTCGGGTTCTCGCCCTAATACTCATTACTTGGTTCTCGAGATCAAGGGCATAAAAAGCAATTAAAACCGGATTAGTTAAAATAACAGCAAGAGAAAATTATCAGGCAAGGGTAGCATATCACGAAAAACATGTCTAGTTGTTGCGGACTAACTGTAGGTTTGTTTATAAAATGTAGCTGACCATAAGAACTATACATTTGAAAATTTCTTACTGCTACACTTGAGTTCCTAACAATGGAAGTATGCATCTGTTCGAAAGAGTTTCCCAAACTCAGAAATAGGAAAAATTTAATCTGTGTGGACTTCATAACGAATTCAGTATATATAGCTGATTACCCGCGGTGTTTTGTTTTCTAGGCACTTACAGAAGCAAACAACAAGAACCCGCTACATTCGTCAGGATGCAAGGTAGAAAGATTCTGTCATTTCATTCCCTAAAATTGCGCAGTAAAATTCACAATGCATTAAGGCATTGACTAGAAAATAAAAGAAGGAAATGATTAATTGTATGAAGTTTGAAATTCTGATTTGGAGCACAGAATAATTAATCTCATTTAAGATTCATTCAGTTTGGTTCACTAATTTGCGAACGAAAGGAGAAAATCGTGATTGCTTCAGAACTCTTTTGATTTTGTATCTCATTGCTTGAAAGGATGACGCAATCACTTAACACCAGTCACAAAAGTGCGCTGTTAATGAGATTCCAGATTATTTCCCACTCTCACTGAGGGGGTCAAAGAGTGGAAACTAAAACTTTTAACATACCTTCCAACCTAATTTAGTATAAATTTGCATTTTTCCAAATCTCGCTGTGGATGGTCTCCATGGAAACCTTCGTTTTCTTTCCGCCTTCGTTCGTTGTTTTTCAGCCTGACCCTCCGGTCCCATTGTTTTGCCTTTTTTTTTGCTTTTTTACTATGACTGCTGACCACGCTAATTTTATTCTGCTTACTTTCAGGGAGATTCTTGTCCTAAACCAAAGGATTACTTTCAAGACAACAAGAAATTCCATCCCACCTCCTGCCTTGATTATTTGCTGAAGGGCGCATCCGCCTGTGGAATGTATCGCCTCTACGACTCTTCCGGCAACAGTTTCCCAGCATACTGTGACTTCAAGTCCGAGCCTGGTTTTGCATGGACCCTGGTGATGTCCTGGGCTAATAAAAATCGTGGCTGGTCTGCCTTCCGGAGCACTCCCTTTAACGAAAACGCTCCTGTCAACGAGAATTCCCTTATCTGGAATATGTACCGCCTGAGTCTGACTCGAATGAGGTCCCTAAAAGCCCACTCCACTCACTGGCGAGCAACTTGCAGCTACCCGACCCATGGCATCGATTTTACAGACTATATCCGCGGTAACTTCAAGGACTTTAATATTGTCGACTTTATTGGGTCTGGTCAGTGCAAGAAGGTGGAGTTCGTGAATATCCGTGGGCACAGTGGCTTGCACCTCACCGTACGCTTTTGGCAAGTGGCTAAAAGCTACCTTTTGCATACGGACAGCCGTTCTTCCAGCTGTAACTTTAACGCGAGGTCCGGCTCAGTGTCAAGTGGAGATTATTTTGGTTATTATCAAACCATCAACCCCAAGTTTCGTGGCACAGCGGGGGATCTTTCCACCACCCAGTGGTGGTTTGGTGCCCATTTGTAAGCGACAATGGCGCGCACCAAAGGGTCTTCAAAACGACAGAAAACGACTCTCAGCACATAAGTATTGATTCTGTAAACTAGACTTAGGAAATGAGAATGTAATCTTTGAAAGACTCTTCAATAAAGACTGAGATCTCCAAGAACTGAGTGTATTCTTGAGTTCTTAACCGTTTTCGCGTTCCTTTTATGAGCAGTTTGGACTAAAAAAAACTTCAATGCCACAATCCTTTAGTTTGTACACAGTTTCTCAGTTCTGCATACGCGTAAATTCTAGTATGCTCGTTGGCTAAGAGCAGCTCCATTGGTCCCAGTCCTAAACACTGCTAAAAGTTGAAACATTATCCTGTTAAGGTATTTAGTGTATTCCGGTAGAATCATGAGGGCCATTTTGAAAATTCGACAAAACTAAGCATCATATGTTCACAAGTACTACACGAATTTCACTTATTAAGACAGTCAAACAAACAGACAAAAAAGTGGGTCACTTGACACTAAATCAATCATTAACCGCTGTAACTGAGAGTTTTCTTTTCGAGACTATCTCGTGATCGACCAAAAGGTGCGTCAAAAGCTCATGTTGTCAGTTTGTTTACTTCTTTTGTACACGTATGCACTTACCTTAAGAGCGATCTGAACAGTCGTTGAGAATATTTTCAACTGCCATCGAATTAGAGACGGTCTCTAGAGAGGATCATATAGTTTCTGTACTGTTCGAAGCTGACCAATATCGAAGCTCACCCAGACACCGCGAGGAAACACGGATATGGAGTTGAAAGCAATCGAATTAATTGGAATCGTTTTCTTGGTGAGTGAGTTTTTTTATTGAATTTTTCATCATGTGTTGAGGCTTTGGACAAAACCGAATCTAGTTCAAAACTTATTAACCACCACAAAAATATTTAGTGGATATTGAAAGAGACTTAGGTCTTCCGCGTAGAGGCTTCCAAGCTGCCATTGCCTTTCATGTGACTCAGTTCTTGAAACCGAATAGCCTCGGCCCTCGGGTTCTCGCCCTGATACTTATCACTTGGTTCTCGAGATCAAAGGCATAAAAAACAATTAAAACCGGATTAATTAAAATAAAAGCACGAGAAAATTCTCAGGCAAGGGTAGCATATCACGAAAACGATGTTTAGTTGTCGTGGACTAACTTTAAGTTTGTTTATAAAATGTAGCTGACTATAAGAACCATACAAAATTTCTGGCTGCTAATCTTGAGTTCCTAACAATGGTCGTATGCATCTGTTCGAAAGAGTTTCCCAAACGCAGAAATAGGCAAAATTTAATCTGTGTGGACTTCATAACGAATTCGGTATATATAGCTGATTACCCGCGGTGTTTTGTTTTCTAGGCACTTACAGAAGCCAATAACAAGAACCCACTACATTCGTCAGGATGCAAGGTAGAAAGATTCTGTTATTTCACTCCCTAAAATTGGGCTGTAAAATTCACAATGCATTAAGGCATTTATTAGAAAATAAAAGAAGGAAATTATTAATTTTATGGAGTTTGAAATTCTGATTTAGAGCACAGAATGCAACATAACATGCTTTGGTAATTAATCTCATTTAAGATCCATTCAGTTTGGTTTACTAATTTGCGAACGAAAGGAAAACTCAAAATCCCACTTTATCATTAAGGGCTAATTGAGAATGACCGCAGTTGTGTTGTGTGTCAGGTAAACCTGGTTCAAGTCGTGACGCAATCACTCAGCACCGATCACAGTGCGCAGTCGATGAAAGCCAATGAGATTCCGGATTAATTCCTCATAGGGGGGTTCATGAAGGGAACAAAAACTTAAGCATACCCGACCCATGGCGTCGATTTCACCGATTACGTCCGCGGTAACTTTAAGGACTTTAACATTGTGGAATATCTTAATGACGGCAAGCCGTGCAGGAAAGTGGAGCTTGTGAATATCCGTGGGCACATGGGTATTCATCTCACCGCACGTTTTTGACAGAGTACCAGTTACCTTTTACACATCGACAGCAGCCAGACCGGCTGCAATTTCAACCCGACGTCCGGCTCAGTGTCAAGTGAAGATAACTTTGGTTATCATGCAACCATCAACCACCAGTTCCGTTGCACAGCGGGGGATCTTTCCACCACCCAGTGGTGGTTTGGTGCCCATTTGTAAGAGACAATGGCACGCACCAAAGGGTCTTCAAAACGACAGAAGACGACTCTCAACACACAAGTATTCATTCTGTAAACTAGATGTAGGAAATAAGAATGTAATCTTTGGAAGACTCTTCAATAAAGACTGAGATCTCCAAGAACTGAGTGTATTCTTGAGTTCTTACCCGTTTTCGCGTTCCTTTTATGAGCAGTTTGGACTAAAAAAAACTTCAATGCCACAATCCTTTAGTTTGTACACAGTTTCTCAGTTCTGCATATGCGTAAATTCTAGCATGCTCATTGCCCCAGAGCAGGTCCATTGGTCCCAGTCCTCAGCATTGCTAAAAGTTGCAACTTTATTCTGTTAAGGTATTTAGTATATTCCGATGGAACCATGAGGGCCATTTTGAAAATTGGACAAAATTGAGTATCATATGTTCACAAGTTCTACAAGAATTTCACATAATAAGGCAGTCAAACAAACAGACAAAAAAGTGGGTCACTTGACACTAAATCAGTCATTAAGCGCTGTCACTGAGAGTTTCTATTCGTGACCATCTCGTGATCGACCCAAACGTGCGCCAAAAGCTCATAACATTTATCTCCTGACAGATAATGTCAGAGTTTGACACAATTGAGTTTAATAACAGATTTGCCAGCACTTAAACAGCTTGATAATCAACCGATGATTTTTCAAATAGCATGCATGTCTGAAAATTGTTGAGGAAAGAACACCAATTGATTATCACTGAAATGGAGTCGAATAGGATGGATCGTACGCTTTTTTATTTTTTAAAAGATCTGTAAAGCTAATGAAAACTATTCCGCTTCGAACTATCAGAAACCGACTATGGTAACTGTACAATTATTGTATTTAGTAGCTAACTTTTACTGATCACTCGCAGCCGCAACTAAAATGGTTCAAAATGAATTTGTCTTTTTTTTCAGGTGAAGTTTTAATGAAAAAGACCTTATCCCTTCCTTTAAAGTAATTTTTAAGAGTAAGTAACAAAAATTTCAGGTCGCCACCCATATTGAGATCATTTTATTAAAAACAAACTAGCATATTAGCCGGCTCTTTTCCCTTGCCTTGCCAGTCTCCTGCTAGTCTAGTATGCGCAAGAGGATCGATTTTGGTCACAATTTTGAGTGCCATTAGCTGAATTTTTTCCCACTCAAAACACTAAAATATGCGTCATTCGAGTGAAATTGCTATCATTAAATATTTGTTTTGGTTCCCTTCCCTTGGAACTATTCGAAGTCGAGTGAATGATGAAACAATTGAACGACAAACTGTCTGGTAAAGTAGATTAAATTAGAACTACGTCGAAAAGAAGAACAACCGTCAAAATGTTTCCTTAAGATTCGCTTGTGGTTTTTGTATTTTGTCCTTTCAGTATCCTTTACGCATTAACTGAAAATGAACATATTTGCAGTAACGACTGAAGAGCAAACAACTACTTTTGGATTCTTGACATTGTTTACCGTTCGAGTAATTTTGGTTAAAGATGTTTAAGACGAAACGAGATCTTAGAACTTGAGCTTCAAGGAAATCGCCATTGCGTGAGACTACTTTCCTCAAACTCTACGCTGATAGCCAACTCATTGTTTCAAAAATATTTACCCATCGGTGGAGTATGATTTTTTTTCGTTAACGCATTGACATCACTTTTCAGTATAATTGTTCAAGGGATTATAGAAATGTGCTCGGACTGATTGGTTGGGGATTGCGCCATATCTCGCTATATAGAATCACCCCTCACGAGGTGGTTATAGCGAGAGCGCTAAATTTCAAAATGGCTGCCTTACATTTTGTCATTGTTTTCGAGAAAGTGATAAATGCTGTAGAGGAAAATTCAATTCCCAAGAGCACAGACGACGCTATTAAATTTGGTCGGTAGAACACATTTCAAAAGATAGACATGATCGAATAAAATAAACCTGTTAAAACTGCTTGCCTATCTTGATACGAGTAATCACCACAATTGTACCAAAATATACGCAATTGGTCTCTTTATTTACAGAATTTACGAAACAATTAGAAAGCACCTGAGCAAATATGCTAATTAACAAACATTTGCCGAAAGGCGAAGTGAATATTGTTGAATAAAGGCGAATAATTGTTAAACATGTCATCTATACTTTTCCTTTCCACCGCAAAACCCTCCTCCTCTCAAAACTCCTCTCTAGAAATTTTTAAAAAGTCTGTTCGTGGAAAGTAAGAAGTCCACATGCAAATTCTCTTATGTATAGTTGCAAATCATGCATGTGTCATGATCAACTTTCATTTCATTGTTCCATTGTCTCCCAACTCTTTCTATATTTTGCCGACGACCATGGAAGAATGCGATGGTTGTAAAAGAATAACACTTGCGCTAGTTAAATATCCGAATTCCAAATCGACGACAATTTCCTAAGTGAGGCTAATGTAAAGCTTGTAAAGTTAGAACTTTTCAGTTATCACTTTACCTGAAACGAACGTGTTTTTTGAGAAACATTTTCATGTTACCAGTTTGTTTATTTCCTTTGTACACGTATGCACTTACCTTAAGACCGATCTGAACAGTCGTTGAGGATATTTCCGACTGCCATCGAACTAAGAAGGAATTTTATTGTTTCTGTACTGCTCGAAGCTTACCAATCGAAGCTCACCTAGACACCGCGAGAAAACACGGATATGCAGTTGAAAGCAATCACAGTTATTGGAATCGTATTCTTGGTGAGTGGGTTTTTGACTGAATTTTTAATCTCGTGTCGAGGCTTGATCGTTTCAATCGGTATTTTCTTTTCAAGGAACTTTCAAATAGGGCCACGGGCTTTATTGAGTATTTATTGACAGAATCGGATCTAGTTCAAAACTAGTTATTAACCAGAACAATTATTAGATATTGAGAGAGACAAGTCTCCGAATTCCGTAGATGTCTCCAAGGCAGTCTAGGGCCTTTCATATGAGACACGATTTCAAACCGAACAGGTTCGGTTCTCGAGAACTCGCCTTATTACTTTTTTCGTGTCAAAATCAATGTGTTCTTTCCCGCTGGCCCGGTTCTGGAGATCTATGGAAAGAAGAGCTTTAAAGATCTGCATCAATTAAAATAAAAGCGGAAGTAAATTCTCAGGAAAGGGTTGCTTATCACGAAAACGATGATTAGTTGTTGCGGACTAATTTCAAAGTTTGTTTACAAAATCTAGGTGACCTTTAGACTATTTTTGAAAATTTGTTGCTGCTACACTTGAGTTCCTAACAATGATCATATACTTCTGTTAGAAAGATTCTCCCAAATTAAAAAATTGCAAAAAGTAAATCCGTGAGGACGAGGATGTAGAATAAAACAGGAGATGGAATCTTCAAACTTCAGATTTCTGAAAAGCCACATATTCTGATCGATTACATGTAAAAACTACGCATGAAAAAAAAAATAATATTAGTAATAACTTCATTTCAAATTCAGCATGCATGAAAAATCACCCGTGGAATTTTATTTTCTAGGCACTTACAGAAGCCAACAATAAGAACCCGCTATACTCATCAGGATGCAAGGTGGGAAGTTTTGGTCATTTCATTCCCTAAAATCGCGCAGTAAGATTAACAACGCATTAAGGCATTGATTAGAAAATATAAGAAGGAAATTATTAATTTTATGAGGTTTGAAATTATGATTTGGAACACAGAATGCAACTTAACGTGCTTTAATAATAAAGGACTTATTGAGAATGACCGCTGTTGTGATGTGTGTCAGGTAGACTTGTTTAATTTTTCAGTCAAACGGAAAAGTAACATATTAAGGCTGCTTTTTGATTCAGGCAAAGAAAATCAGGAAAAGGTGCACATCACAAAAAGGTAACGTGAGCTCAAAGTAAACAAGATCCCAAACGCGTGAAAACTGTAATTCATGCAAATAAATCGTAATTGCTCAAGGGCTCTTTTGATTTTGCATGTCATTGATTGAAAGGATGACGCAATCGCTCAGCACCAGTCACAAAAGTGCGCTGTTAATGAGATTCCGGATTATTTCCCACTCTCACTGTGGGGGTTAAGGAGTGGAAACTAAAACTTTTAACATACCTTCCCACCTAATTAAGTATAAATTTGCATTTCTAAGTCTTTAGATTTCCAAATCTCGCCATGGATGGTTTCTATGGAAACCTAAATTCTCTTTCCCTCTTCGTTCCTTGTTTTTCAGCCTGACCCTCCGGTCCCATTGGTTTTTTTTTGTTTTGTTTTGTTTTTGTTTTTTACCATGACTGCTGACCACGATAATTTTATCCTGCTTACTTTCAGGGAGATTCTTGTCCGAAACCAAAGGATTTCTTTCAAGACAACAAGAAATTTCGTCCCACCTCCTGCCTTGATTATTTGCTGAAGGGTGCATCCGCCTGTGGAATGTACCGCCTCTACGACTCTTCCGGCAACAGTTTCCCAGCATACTGTGACTTAAAGTCCGAGCCTGGTTTTGCATGGACCCTGGTGATGTCCTGGGCCAATAAAAATCGTGCCTGGTCTGCCTTCCGGAGTACTCCCTTCAAGGTAAACGCTCCTGTCAACGAGAATTCCCTTATTCTGATCATCGTTATACTGATGCATGATCAGTATGCATGATCAGTATGCATGATCCGCTAACTGAGAAGGTTAGCTCAAAGCTGTTTCATGAACACAGGCGAAGAGTTGTTTTCTGTGTGTCTTCTCTTTAGAGAAAACAAAAGAGCGGGAATCTGAGAAGTCAAGATTCGATTACGTAATTCGATAAATGAAAGGTATAAATCGCGTGCAAAATTCTATTTTCAATACACGATTTCAACAAAAAGCAAAAAAAATTGATACGTTCAACTTGGCAATTTAGTGGCATAAAGCCACCCACCTACCCGTATCATTTATTTACCTAGTTAAGTCGTTTAGAGAAGTTTAATGAAGTGTTGAGCGACAGATAAAGGAATTCCTCTGATTGTGAAGATGAAAACTGAGGTAAAACGCTGACCAGAAAAAAAGGAGAACGAACCAAGCAACCCGCCTACCCGTATAATCTTTTATCTTTTCTTGATCTCGATTACATGATAGATGGGGTGACCCGCGTGGACGGGTTACCCGGTCGGCCGGGTAGGGTAGCACTGTCAACAATTGTATACGTCTTAAGGTGGGGTAACCTGCCTTGGTAGGTTGCTCGGTCTGACGGGTGGGGTACCCCTGCCAGCCGGGATCACAATTTGCCATGTAAACGTCTCAACGTGGGGTAACCCACCTAACCGGTTATTATCGATAATTTTACAATTTCAAGTGTGACAACAATCTTAAAAAATTTCACCTCGGGATCCCAGGATTGTAAGATTGTATGTAAACGCGAGCTATTTTTACGACCATGGTTAGGCGGGTTACCTCACTTACCTGGGGTCTCCCACCTCCATGTAAACAGACCCTTAATATATCATCTTTTTATTGTACCATCTGGTACTTAGGTTAGTTCGATCAGATAATTTTCCTCAACTCCCATTGGATATATATGAAGCGATCAAAAACCAGCTTTCCTTTTTTCAGTCGGACGATTTTCACGCATATACTGACCATAAGGTTGTAGTTTGGCAATCAAAACTATTTTCTTTCTTCAATTTATTAACTCTACAAAAGGTTCTTATTATAAATTGTTTCAAGATAACATGAAAAGTTTGTTACCATCGTTTTGCTTTCAGAGCAGTTTTATTAACTGCTTTGTGATAAAATCCATTGTGAGGCTACATTGATGTGCCATGATTGTTTGGTTTTTTTAATTGTGATGTTTGGATTAATAAACAGAATCACGGAGCGATGTGCAGATGCTATTTAGTAAACTGCCTTCTACGCTGTAAAATAATTTTTGAATCTTGCAAAACAGTTTATTGTTTTTAATCTGTTTAATTTTTTAAAGCATCTACTTATTAACATCTGTCAATACTATTTTCTAAATCAGAGCTACAGGATCACAACGATAAGATGATGAAGCCAATGGCTTATCCGTTTCTGCAAGAGCCTTTAGTAGGATGGGCTAGAGATGAGCTCCGAACCACCATTGTGTGGTGGAGAACTTTCTCTTGGTGCAACGGAACTTAGGGTTGATAACTAAATAGAACCCAAAGTTGTCTTCAGACGACACCGAGCCAGCCCTTGGGTCAAAATCGCAGCCGCCACTACCGCTGTCGATATGCAAGGTGAAAGTGTCGTTAACCTGCCAGAAGCGTGCTGTAAGATGAGTGCCAATATGTCCCCGGATATTCACGTGTTCCACCTTCTTGCACACTCCAGACCCAAGGAAGTTAACAATGTCGAAGTCCTTAAAGTTACCACGGACGTAGTCTGTGAAATCGACACCATGGCTTGGGTAGTTGCAGGTTGCTCGCCAGTGAGTTGAGTGGGCTGCAAGGGACCTTATTCGCTTCAGACTCTGGCGGTACATATACCAGTTATGAGAATTCTCGTTGATTGGAGCGTCGTACTTGAAAGGAGTTTGTCTGAACTCAGGAAGCCCACGATTGATGTTAGCCCAGGACATCACCAGGGTCCATGCTGTACCTGGCTCAGACTTGAAGTCGCAGTAGGCGGGATAACTGTTGCCATGCTCGTCGAAAAGCCGGTAAATGCCACATGTCGATTTGCCTGGTACATAGTAATCAACGCACGACTTAGGGCGAAATGGTTTCTGATAAACATCAGGCATCGGCTTGGGACAGTAATTTCCCTGGTAATGGACAGAAATTGAATGGAATAATTTCAAAGCCGAGCTTTCTTATCACCTTTAAGAACTTGACGCTTTCGATCGCGAAATTGCTGATATTAGAAATATGCAGGCACCTGTCACATTTAAACTTCGTGCTCAGTAGCCTGGCTCACCGTGGAGCCTCTGTAGTTCAGAGGTACATCCACGGATGGCGGAATCAGAAGCTCTCGCTTCTCGCTTCTCCCGTGACAAGATACAAGATATCTATCTTTCAACCGGAAGTGAACTAAAAACTTAAATTTGGCTCTTTGACGTCCACCTTTATGCAGGTACAGTGTATACCTCAGTTTAGGTATTTATTATTTAATCCAGGGAGACTATTACAAATTAACAACCCAAATTCTGGTGTGTTATTCTGTCAAGATTTAATTCTTTTTTACTTTATCATTTTAACAGTTTCAAACCTGTGATAACTTGCGTAAATGCGAAAAAAAGAACTCAGTCTAGCTCTAAAAAATCCTTCATTCCCTAAGTTCATTAACGTGTAACCTCTTCTCACTGTAGCAAAACACCATTCTGCAGGCGATCAAAGCAAACTATGATACAATAACAGATTCTCTCAGCTAATTTAGAGGGAGGTCTTCCAATTCGTGCGGATAATTACCAATCGTTGAGACCTCTAATTGAAAGGGGATGGTGATAAAGAGAGATTTCTTTGGATAACAGAAAGATTTACATATCAGAATTTCCCACCTTACACTCCACTGAATGTTCGTCTATATGATGATCACCCTTGACCTAAAAGACCAACAAAATTTAAACGAAACTTTAAGCGCGTAAGCCGAGTGACTATCCTCACGAAGGCTGTGCTCTAGATATTACCTGAGCAAAGTAAATTACCTTCAGTAGCATCATAATTCTGAAATTTTCATGCTTTGTCACAGATCAGAAATGCTTGAAAAGCTTCCCTTCAGTAGATTAAGTGCGGTCAGAGATTTAGCTTAACTTTTTTAAGTTACTAAAGCCTACATTCATGCTACTTCCGCTGCTCTGCGATTACGTTTACGAAATGGAAAGATGAAATAAATATGGAACGTGAGAAAAATACTTGTTGTCTGAATCCAGTTGAGGAGAATGGAAATGAAAGAAACTTACTGGAAAAATAACAGCAAAGAGGCAAAGTATCACTGCAGAGGAACTTGGTGACAACATATCGGGTTGTGATTTTCCTTGTGAACTTCTTTAGAATGGTTCGAACTCTTGACCTCTTTACCAATTTTATGAAGAATACCTTGAGAAAATGACAGCTGCACTTCTTTGAAATCAATATGTTTTATCTCAACCCAAGTTTGACGTTATCGGCCATTACCGCGTGGCTGTTTTCGTGGATCACCTTCTAATTTCCCCTGATAATAGGCTATGGTTGACTCAGCTGATATCTTGTAAAGTTAGTTCCCACTTAAAATGTTTGTTCAAAACTCCATCATGTTTACTATATCTAATGGAAAAGTCACCAAAGGTCAACCTGATGGCCACGTATTCACATCAAATGAAAAAATGACAAAGACAGCAAACAGCTCTGCAAATATTGGAGCAGAGTAGATCACAAAATTACTCAATAATATTTTTGTGGACAACTCACCAGTATCATTTGAAAAGTTAAAGGCAAATGTTTTCTGGCAGAAATTATAGGTTAGCTGATATCAAACTCCTTTCAGAGTGCACTTAATATTTGACACAAGAAAAGGAGGAGAAAACGCGCTCAAAAATGGCAAAAAAGAGTATTTAGAAAATCTAAGACGGTAGTATCCAGTATCTTGGATTGTATTTGGGGCGTTGTGCAGCAACAAGGCGGAGGACGGAGGGGAAAGGAAGTAAAAGGGACCAAATCAATCGATATAAAAAAATATTGAATTGATCTTGGCCTTGATGGTGGTTTCGCAGGTATGAGGGTCTTACAACAGTAAAGTTGGCTCCTAAATACACCCTAAGGTTGCAAAGTGGTCGATAATGAGCCTTTCCTTTTACTTCCTTTGACTTACTAGCAACATCTTGCAATAAAACTCGACAGGAAAAAAAAATGATGTTTGCCGGTTCACAATATATGAGATGGGCGTGACAATGACAATAAATAGCAAGTTTAATACAAGAAAATTTTACTTTACAAGTGAGAATGCCAATTTCTTCGTTTCCCTAGCCACTCCTCGCGATGCCTCGCTTTCCCAGCCAGTTACTCAAGTTTTGTTTTGTAGTATAGGCGGCAAAAGATCGTGAATTAGATTTTCAATATACGTGTTTCTGCATTCTTCTCTTTCTGAAATGTATCAAGTAGTGTGTTATTGAAGGCGTCAAGTCTTTTCCAGCTGACATATTATTTGTTCTTGCGTTAATGGATTAGAAACTTCACCCAAAGGAATGAGTTGCTTACAAAACTGAGATATATCGATATAATGTCAAATCCTCTCCTCAGTGATATTTGCTTAGCTGTCTAAGGCCTTGAATCAAACGTTGACAAATGCCAAAACATTTCCATATGAATCTTTAATCATTAAAATCGGAAGAAATCCAAGGACTCATCGTACAAGTGAGGAGGTTTGAAGTATATCAGCTAAATTCACGAACATTGATTATCTTTATTAATCAAAAGAATTAGAGCTACAAATTACTAGCAATTTGCATGATCGTGCCTTAATGTTTAAACATTGTCAAATTCGGGTTTGACAAAATACAAACCACTTAGAGTAGTGCAGCTGACGCTTCTCAAGGTATCAAGCATAACTTAATAATAAGCCACTAGCCTCTATAAAGATTCTAATCATTCTAGTAAGCCACAAAGCGAGCAAGTCAACATGTGGTCACCACGTTCTTATATCGTTATCCTGTGTCTCTTTGCTGTTGCTCTACCAGTAAGTTTCTTTCATTCTCTTTTCTTAATCTATTGATAACTCTGTAGCTTTTCCATCAGATTTAGGCCAAAGAGCAAACCTGATGTCTCCAAAAAAATCTCCGTACCCTTGGAGGATTCAAATCTCAGATCTTGGAATCTCGTGGCTCCATAGGAGCACCACAAAATTCGTTTTTTGTGTTAAGTCAAACACTAGGTCATCTGTGATAAGTCTCCTGAATGCTGATCACTTGGTGATCTTTTGAAAATCAAAGAATGGAATTTTTATTGTATTGAAAATAAGCTTCATTGTTGAGAAGAATACATGTACACATGCCATGTAGAGATGTGGGCATTAACGAGATGAATCAATGCATGGTCTAAAATCAGTTCGCTTCTTTCCCCTACTCTCCTCATGATCCTTACCTTTTTCTCTACATCCTTAACTAACTAGTGTGGTTTTATCTTGTATCAAACTTATCGAAGTGGCTAAAGCCGAGCAAAATAGTCAAGATCGCTTGAGCTGCGAATGGACAGCATTCTAAAGCCGAAATTATTTTTCACGTTTTTCACTTAATCTAATTTGCTTTTTTGCCAAAATGGATCCTTCTTTTGGATTTTTAATTACTTTAAACGTTAACGGATTTTTTTAAAATTATTTTCCTTAGGTTTTTCTGGAGGCAACTGATCATAAAAAAGAAAAACGTTCTGTGGAATGTAAGGTGCGATATTTAAAGATATGCATTTAAATAACATCGATCTACCAAAGTAGACTAATTTATTTCGTACTGGTTCAACTCCCAGGGTTTCAGTCATCATAAAGTATTTTTCTTATTATTGCTATGCATTTCTTTGTAAGCTAATAAGTTTGTTGTACTATTGGGGTTAACCAGCCTCAGTCAATCGCGCAAACGGAGGCACCAGGAGTCTGATCAGGAACTTTTATTCACTCTCTGAATATATATCTGTCTCTTTAATTCAGCCCGCTGAGTACATGCTTCTAAATATCCATCAGTAGGCATATTTGGGCTTACGGGAAAACTGAGATTGGCAGAGTAATCATAGAACGCTGACCCAGACAATTTCACGAGAATTTCCATATGAACAACAACGTACTTGAAAAACAACTAATCTTCGGGAATTAAAACTAAAACAAAACTTCCCGTGGAGGAATCTCAGCGAGGTCGGGGACAAACCCAAACACGACTAGCGATGACGATTATCGTACGAGAATTCAGCCCTATTATATTACAACAGTCAAGGACACATTACTCAAAAGGTAAAAATAAAAATGTGATCTTGCAGCACCGATAACAAACCAAGGCTCACAAGACTCACATAAGGATTTCAAGTTAATCTAACAGGCCTTAACAATTCCCAAACACTTAATAAAAACATTCCTAATTTTAATAGTTTCCAAACACTTCTAAATTAAGTAGTTCATAACAGGTGCATCTGTTTTTTGTTCTCAGGAGAAGTAATGCACAATAGGTTTGGGAGATTAAAAGTTACCGGTCGAGCTTTATTTGTTATCTATGGTTCATTTTCGTAAACTTGAGACCCATGAGAATTACATCACTGGTGCAAAATATATCTCCGAGTCTCCTGTTTTGACGACAAAAGAACAAAAATTAGAGCTATGCGTTTCTATGAGCTCAGAAAAAAATACGACACTCCTGTCTATTTTCCTGCATACAGGTCGACACCTCTTATGGATTCGTATTTCCAAGAAAAAACCCCCACGTGTTCGTATTGTCTGCTGGGCCTAGGAGCATTTCTTTTAGTCCATATTATGTGGAAAATCGTAAAATGTAATATTTCTTGAGATGTTTCGATCTATTTTTAGGGAGATAATTGCCCAAAGTCAAACACTGTCGAACTCAACCCATTTCGCCCTAAGTCCTGCGTTGAGTATTATGTTCCTGGTAAGACAACGTGTGGTATTTACCGGCTCTTTGACGACTATGGCAATAGCTTTCCAGCCTACTGTGACTTCACGTCCGAGCCTGGCACTGCGTGGACCCTAGTTATGTCCTACAACCAGAAGAATAGGGGTTTACCCCAGTTCTCCAAGACTCCGTTTAAGTTTGACGCTCCAGTCAACGAAAATTCCCAAAACTGGAATGTCTACCGCTTGGGTCTGTCTCGCATTAGGTCCCTTGCAGCCCACTCCACTCATTGGCGAGCAACCTGCAGCTACCCAAGCCATGGTGTCGATTTTACAGACTACGTTCGTGGTAACTTTAAGGATTTCAACGTTGTCGACTTTCTTGGAAACGGTGAGTGTAAGGAGGTGGAATACGTTAACATACGCGGGCACCGTGGTGTACATCTGACAGCCAAATTCTGGCAGGCAGAAAACACTTTATCCTTACACATCGACAGCAGTGCTGCCGGCTGCGAATTTAACCCGACAGCTGGCGCAGTAGTAAGTGAAGACAACTTCGGGTTCTATGCAGCCATCAACCACAAGTTCCGCTGCACTCGAGGAGAAGGTTCAACTACTCAGTGGTGGTTCGGTTCCCATCTGTAGGCATCCTCTCAGAGGATTCCAACCGAAAGAGAGAACTATGGCTCTCATCCTTCAAGTTATGTGATTTTGTAACACTGATTTAGCATTGAGAGATTCTTGAATAAACAGTTAAATGTATGAAAACCGTTTTGGCAAGTCTTATTGTCGATTGCTCACACATCACAAGGACTGAGATATGCAAGCCAACTTATTATTATTCAAATCCTTACCGAATTATACTTTTCAATGTTTGCATGACTTACCCCACTCTCCTTTGCCTACGAATTCAATTCCCATATTCCATCTCAACACTACTAGACTCAAATCGAACCGCGTTGATTTCTCTCTTCTGACATTCTCGGTAAAAATTTAAAGCTCGCATCCGCGGGGGTGATGTACTTTTGTACTTGGCTTTCTCACGGTGGAAAATAGAAGTTAACAACATCTCGAGGTATCAAATGAGGGGTCTCGATTGAATCGAAAAATAGGTGAATACAAGTCGAATGATGAGTTAGATAGAATTGAATGTAGCATCAATTACACGAAAAAGATATTGAGAGGCAGAACGCTGTTACTATTTAAAAATAAAGAAGCTATCCTTAAATTTGAGTTGCACGCAAATATTGAGAGACACAATGATTTAGTTGTCAACACATAGACTCTGATAGTGTGGAGTTGTTGTATAAGGAGTCAAAAACATGAAACTACCGGTAGATTTTGTTTCGGACAATTCGGTTGAATTGTACCGAATTTACAGCCTGCATTATTTTTTTATGAAATTTATAATTACGAAATGAAAAATTTATCATGTTTTAGATTATGAATATCAATAACAAAAAGCGACACGTTTTGTGCCACGTAATTGCCGGTGTAGATTAAAGAAACAATTGGACAAGAGTCTGGTTCCGTTGCGGTGATGTGGTATTCTGGTTTGCAAGAATTGTGTCATTCAGTGACATATATATCCTGACGCAATGGCTATTGAATTCCATTATTGTAGGACTGAATCTTTTCTTCCTTTTTGTAATTTTTAAAGCTAATTCTAGTTTGTTGAGTAACCATTCAAGTTTCGTGTTATTACGTCGTGTTTCCCGTTTTAAATTAGGCCTAGAAAACCTTACCCTAAAAACTTCCTGTAAGGCTGTCATAAAAGGAAGAAACACACTCCTTGCTCTCTTATTAAAAAAAGAATAGAGAGCAGCTTATTTATTTCGCATTCGCCCAGCAATCTTAAGCAACCATCAGTTGTTTTTTTGAGACATCTCATGAAGTTTACGAGATGCATGTCAGAATCCGCCCTAGAGAAAAAAAGCTTCGGCAACTTTGTAGAACATCGACCAAATTCGTTCAAGAGCATGACAACCACTGCATCAGTAGAGGTTGTAGTTTTCGGTAAAAAGAGAAAACTTGAGCGGCCAAAACAGGAAAACAAACCCTGTAACTCATCAAAAGTAAGGTCAAAATCTTGTGATGCTTCCGTTAATCCCATAAAATTTTCCAAGCAATTACCTGACAAAGACTACAGGCGTTTCTCAGGTGCCAAGAGGCGTCATTCTTCTTCGTGATGGTAGAGACCCTCGATAGCGGACATTGTGAGAGCCGCAATGAGCGTAACTGAGAGGCCAAATTACGATTAAGAAACATATATTAACCAAGCTTATGTATAGTATGAGCCGTTGAAGTCTTGTAAATTTTTTTTCCAGAACATTCGCCTGCTAGGGGTACCGGCCTCTTTCAAGCAAGTATAAATATACTTTTAGTCACACGCAAAAGATTTTTCATTTTACTTTATTAAGAGGAGCGAACAGAGATTGATCTTCAAATAGCCTTTCATTCCCAGAGCCTCATTGAAATTTTCATTGATCTTTTACCGTGCCCTCTGATAAAAAATAAAAAGATATAATAAATTGGTCAATAATGGTTTAGTTTTTTCAGCTTTTATTTGTAAGACCTTCTGATTAAATAAAACCGTGAAAACTTCGTGTTGCCGGGTCCAGGGCCCCGTTTCTCGAAGGTCCCAATTTTCATTCCAGGTGTGGGTTTCAAAGTTTTGAAAATGATCTAAAAAAACTATCAGCTAAAGAAATAAAATGGACTGGCTAGGGAGCCACAAACTTCTTTTCTATTCTTTAAATTTTGATTTTAAAATATGGTTCCGTGCCTGTCAAGTTACCGGGACTTTCGAAAAGCGAGTCCCAAAACTTGATGTAAGGAAGTCTGCTCACAAAGTACAGAAAAAACGTCCGAGTAATTTCCTGTGTTTCCGTGGCTATTACTTGGTGTAGAAGGCAAACTTAACGTTCAACAATAGAAAAGAAAAAGACAAAAGAACCTGGAAAATAATGAAAACAATAAGTTTGAGTCGGTGTTCTACTGTGACGTGTTCTCTGTCTTCTACACAAGGGAGGAGCTGTTTCCGTCAATGAAGAGTAAAGAAATGACCAATGCAAGTTTGGAAAACACTTCTAATTAAGCAAAAAAACGAGAGCAGTGGATGAATCATGTAATTTTTTGTTTCAAGGTGGTAAAATTTGTGCGCAAACGGAGCCATCCGAGAGCAAGGTGAGGCTAGAAGGAAGCTTAAAACAATTGCAAGGAAATGATATTGGCGCGTGGGATAACTATGTCCTTAATCAGCAGATCGTGGGCTAAGCGAAGGCTGCAATGAGATTCAGATGCGAGGAAAATCAATTTCCTACTATTGTTAAAAAGAAGGGTAGAAATGGGACAGATGTTTTACACTTGAAAAATCGAATCTCGAAAACAATGTTTTGATTAAGATTCCAAATTTTTTGAAGCTATGTCTTCTTATATTTTTATTGCATAAGACATGGTGAAGAGCTTTTCTCCTGATCCTGCCCAGTTTTTAATTTACTGCACAGAGGAGTTAGGAGTTTCCAACAATTGAAGCCGCTTTACGCATTTATCTAAATCTATTTCAAGATTTCCCTGTACTTTGAAGCTTAGTAAGTTGTTAAGGATTTTTTTCCCTCTTCCTGGTTAGTTTTTAAATTAATTGGTACGGCAAATTGAGGCCCTTTTTTTCAAAATCCTGCTTTATGTGTTCCTAAGGCTGAGAAAGTGTACGTTGAAGAACTGAATTTATTTTTCCTCATAGTCAGTATTTGGTACGTCTCTCTTTCAGAGTCAAAACTCGTTGACTTGAATTGAACTTTGTAATTTAAAAATTACTCGTTATAAAAATTTTTCCTTATTTCTAACAAAATTTTCTTAATTTTCTCTATCTTACTTAGTAGTTAAGATTTTTTAACGTTTTCATCTTTTTTGGAGCTCGATAAACAATGCCAAATAGCCAAACTGCTTGACTCGAATCGCATGATGATTATCGTCCGTCCCTTTTCAGCAGACTGGGCCAAAACGAGCGTAAACTGGAGTTTGATGTTTCCTTGTACCACGTGATGGTCAAACGACTCTCAGTGACGTATTTAATCCATTTAAAGCTGCAGAGTGTATCAAATTTTCAGCGTACCCGAAGTAGTGTAAGCCGCCACAAGATGATAATTGCCTCCCCTGACATGGCTATAACGACAGTTTTGCATATTTTCAAGGTTAAAATTTCAAAGAACGCATTTTATCACAGCAATTAAACATGATGAATTATTCAAAGTGCATGTTAATGAGGAGAAATTGTTCATGTCCGTGGAAATTTGAAAAAAATAAGGTACTATAAATGTAAGCTTGAAGAAGTATAACTTTCTATGGCATGTAACTGCAACTTTCATACAAAGCAAGCGAGTATGAGTTGAAGAGGATCGCGGTTTCCTTACAATAGTCAAAGTTTGGCTGGTATGTTTAAGTAAATCCCCCCAAAAAACGAAGAAATTCATTAATATTGATCGGCGTTAGTTACCTCTGGCCATTGACATGACTTGCAGACATGAATAAAGTTCACTTTATGCCAAGAGCTTCTTTAGTTTAAAGCAGGCTCCACCGAAAGTTTTTTACATTATGGTAATAGGTTCCAGTGGAGTCGAATTCAGTCTGTAAATCATGCGAATAATCAAAGCAATATCGACAACCGCGAAGCAGGAATCTAATTTGTTAATCAGTCTGATCTCGGGTTCTGCTATCAGATGCGGGTGTCAATTACAAGTAAAATGCATAGACGGCCTTATTTGTATCTAAAACGGACAAATGACCGCCGATCCTTTTTTAGAACTTTGTTATGAGCTTCATTAGTTTCGTTGTCTTTTGTAGACGGTCTAACAGCACCTGGTGATCTGGAGTCAATCATGCAGTCGCATACTCTAGTTCTTCTTCAAGCTATGTCATGATATTTTCAATCATCTTCTTGTGTCAACTGTGTAAATTTTCCTTGGACCAGTTCGGTGCATATTGCATCCTGCTCCCGAAAAATGCGATGCGGAATATCTTATTGGATGATTTTGATGGGAAATTTAAACATGATGTCAGTGTTTTGCACATCTTCGAACCGTAAGCAATTTTAATTTCTTCATTCATTTAATTGGGAAGTATACATGCCGACTTGTGTGTGCTGTAATGCTGCGATTATAGAGAAGAGTAATTTTGGCACCACTCAGAAGAAACTATTCTAATTACTCCAAATCAAAACGTTAGTTATCAGGCTAAGAACGGAAAAGGAACCCAATTAAATTTTTCCAGTCCGATTAACACTCGGCCTTTTTTATGTAAATCAAACATTTCACCTGAATGAGAGAGTTGATGAGGTTTGATTAAGTTTGATCCCAAATCTAGATTTTTTCCGGTAGGATACACTTTCGATTAAAAGTGAGCAAAAATCAGAGGTTGGAAAATAACTTTCTCTGGAATAAGCGACTTGAGCTGCAAATTAATGAACCTGACATTAGATTCCAGCCCATTCCAGTTCCATTATGTTCTTCCAACTAACAATATTGTTGCTTCGGAGTGGCATTGTTGAATTGCCGTTCAATCGATTCCTCCAGACGAAAACAGTTTTCACTTTCGTGCTCGTTTTCGCTTGTTCAATAGAGATGTTCAACAACTTCGAGATTTTAATTCAGGGATTAAGTTAGCGCGGCCGCTTTGATTCTTCTTTGTCATCATAGTGTTGGGAAAAATGCAGACACGACCAATATGTATTAGATATTAGCTCCGGATCTCATTTCCTCTTAGAAGGGAGATGTTTCTGAGAGCACGAAGGAACTAGTTTCTTCGAAGTATATCGACAATTTAGTTTTCGCTCGAAGAAATTGCATAGCGAAATCTTTTTTGAATTGTTTCCTGTTAGCAGTTTATTAGCTGCAGAGGCCAATCCCAGCCCTTCCCTCCCCCCCCAAAAAAGAAAAAATTCAAGACTTGCTTCAAGGCAAGATGTATTCTTTCCCCAATTATTACGGGATGGATTGAGAACAATCAGTATCAGCCATAAGGGCCAATTTTAACCAAAAAAAAAAGACTAAAAAACAAATTTAAGCCACACTTCAAGACAAGGAGCATTTTATTAGTGGGATAAATTAAAGATATCGATAAGAAGAAAAACAATCTTTTTTAAAAGTACCAAACGGTGGTTACTTGTCCACAGGGAAATTTCAGACAATTCGTAATTTTACAATTGGCCGTAACTTTACAATCTGATTGGCCAATAAGAGTTCAGATAACGATGCTCGCGTCAACATGTCACGCAATGGTCACGCATTGAAGGAATCATTCTTTTTTAAGTCCATATTGTGGTAAAAAAACAAATCGACAGTGGTTTTAGCGTGGTCTGGACTCTTATTGACAACCGTAATATTCGTCATCACAGTCTTCAAAATTTGTGGCGGACTCACGAGGCACAATCGAGTACGTCCGCGACATTTTGACCGTTGTAATGACGAATATCGTTGTTGATAAGAGTACAGACACGCTAAACCACTGACGATTTATTAATGTTAACTTCTGTCTTAATCTTTACCAAGATTATTGCAGGGTCATCAAATGGATAGATCACGTGGAAGAACAAGCTCTGTATGGCCACGTGATTACCACACTGAATGTACCAGACGAGTTCGTTTGCCGCATGCAGTGCTACTTTAACTACACATGCGTTTCATACAACTTTGGAATAAAGGAGACTGTTGCCGACAACATATGCGAACTCAACAACTCCACTGACAAAACACAACTTAAGATGAAAGAAAAGTTTGTGTATCGAGGATCTGAGGTTAGGAAATATTTATCATGATAGAAAGTCTTGTTTTTATTAATGTTTTAGTTTGTAATATTGTAACAAGATATCTTAATAGTTTTATATTATGTGCTGAATTTTTCAAACTGTTAACAGCGCGTGGAGCGAAGCTCCATACTCTTCAGAAATTGTAATAATAACAGTAATGATAATAACCCATCAAGCCGTGAAATTTGGTAAGTCACGTGGCCGTGCTAGTTTCTTTTCATTTAGTGGGATCGAATATTACGATAACACAATTCACTTCTTTGCTATCACTTATCTTTTTCTCTGAAGAATGCTTGTGAGTCAGCTCCTTGTTTAAACAATGGAACTTGTCAGAATGGACTTACGGAGAAAACATTCCGCTGCTTATGTCCCAGTCGTTTTGGAGGAGAGTTATGCGAGAATGGTAAGATATATGGGGAATAACAAAGTAAATATAATATATACTTCTTTTCTGATGTCGAAGAAAAAAACATCAGCCATTTTCGGACGGAATAGCGTAAAGGTCTGCAACTGTTCTTTCGATTTTTAACTGAGATGAAAAAGCCACCGGAGACATTTTCAGTTATATCATTTAAATTCTGTCAAACGAGTCCCTCTAGGAAAATTACATGAACAATCTATGACTAGAAAATCCAGAGACAAAGTTTTCAGAGCCGAGTTGTCTCCACGCTTGCAGAAAACTTTCCCCTTGAACTAGGTCACCTTGAGTCAGAAATTACATGACAATCTATGACTAGAAAATCCTGTGTGGCAAATTTTGCTCACGTGGACATCTCATGCGGTGACTCATGCGATCATACTATTCCAGCATCACGCCAGCCACATGTAACGTGGAAAAACTTACTCGAGTGACCAGATTTACTTCAGAACAAAGCAAGTATATGGGGATCCAATCTCTTCTGTTGAATCTCTTGTATGATTAATTATAATAGCTTACCAACCCAAAATAATGATATTTGAAAATGAACTTAACAAGAGGGTAGCCTTCGAATGCCAAGACTTTGTGAAATATCGAAGAATTCTAATCGACAACCATCTGTCTTGGAAACACTATATTGATCAGGAAGCAATAAAAATTAGCCAAACTGTTGGACTTATCCCTAAATTACGATATTTTGTGCCAAGGCACGCTCTCTTAAACATTTTTTTGTTTTACATTACACCATATCTAACTTAAGGTCTGATAGCTTAGGGCCAAGCATGAAGATCATACCTTGCCAGCTTCTCAAGCTCCAAAAACGCGCTCTCCGTTTTATTTATTTTTCTGATCACAACCAGCATGCAATTCCTCTATTTACTGATATCGGAGTTTTACTGTTACAGTTCTCCTACTATGAACTTACAGCTAATTTGATGTTTGACATCAAGCATAGAAATGCACCTTGCAGCATTCAAGAACTCTTCCAAGATATTTCTGAGATCCTCTCTCATAATACCTGATCTTCTGCTTCTAACAACAAAGTTCCAAACTATCAGTTCGACTATATTCTTTCTCCTGAATTGAAACCAAAGTTTGAAATGAGATGCCCGTAATGTTGAGAAATCTTTCAAAAAATTAATTTAAAAAAAAAAAAAAAAAACTTTGTGATTCTCACTTTAGAAGACTCTCATATTGACTCTCAACAAATCATTCGAAAGGTCAAGCTTTTCTAAAATGTTTTAACCAATTCTGGCGTTTTTCTTAGCTGCCAACATGTTTATATCCTTAGTTAGTCCTTAGGAAAATTTTAATTTTAATCCCTATACGATATTGTAAGTTTATTTATTCTGTAACAGTAAACTTGTTCTATTGACAAAATTAACAGATTATTAGTAATTCGTGAACGCTTACGTTATAGTTTTACGTCTAACATTCGACCCACCCAGAATAGCACTCAAGCTAACGTAAACTGTGGACGCATGAAAACCTGTAAATACAAATTCAATAAAATGTATGTATGTATTTATGTAAGAAACTATTAACCTTTCAATCAAGAACGATGTGGTGAGACCTTTGTTGTTTGTTTTTGTTCTTAAAAGGACCATGCGTTCTGTTTAACTTCGAAAATGGTTTATCAGGTTGGAATCTTACCGGTACGGCCTTCAATAATCAGCCTACATACGGGGATAATCCCACAGCGAGAAACAGGGGCCAGCCGTCCAGACACAGAGGGGACTGGTGGATAGGTACCTATGAGAATCGTCCCAGTCCCGCTCATCCTGCCGGTGGGCGTCAAGGCGATGGTCTCCAAGGTACACTGACGTCACCCAGTTTCGTTATCACCAAGAATGCTATCAAGTTTTTGATTGGAGGAAGTTGCAATGAAAACCAAGTGAGGGCCGAGCTTTTGGTAGAAGGAACTGTGGTCCTCCAAGCGACTGGGAGATGTTCAGAAATGATGTACGAAGAAACCTGGAACGTGACAAGTTACAAAAATAAAGAGGCACAGTTACGTTTGGTTGATGGCTATTCTGGAGGATGGGGACACATCAACTTTGATCAGTTGGAGGAGATTTGTGACTAGGGGGGATGGTGTGATTTTCTTCTTGGCTACGAGGGGGAGGGGAGGGTCCTATAGAATAGAGGTTTTGGTATTTGGAGGTATTTTACGTTTTTTCTTTTTGAAAAGTTTCCATTGTTTCCCGGCCCTCTCTCCCCCAGTATACGTTCTTGTAATATTTGATTGATTTCGTCCGTAACAAATGACTAAGAAAAACTATCAGGTATACCCATTTCACACTGTCCAAAAATGGAATATTTGCAGAGAGTTTTTATTCTTTAAATAATTTTGTGCTCCTTTTAAAGTAAAGCGTCCATGTTGTTATGCGAAAACCCTCGTGGTATGGCTTTACTGATCACGAGTGTCACGCAAATTCAATTTGGGATTCTAACAGGCGTATCAGTTTACCAACAGAAAATGATATGTTAAAATCCAAGGGAGTCTAAGCTGATACTCTCCAGGCGAGAAGACATTAAATTTAAATGATGGCGTCGTCTATGTGCTTAAGGCTAAGTACAAGAGTTGATTAAAATGTGAGTTGAACGCGACATACTCCACAACTGGAATTTCATGCAACTCTGATTTGAAGATCCATTATCTCGCTTTTTGCTGAGATCAATAATCGTAATTACCCGGCCGGTTATATTTACCACAAGCAGGTCGTTCATACATCACTAACGGTTTTATTGCAAACCAAACAATCAACCAACTCTTAGTTGATTTGTTAGCTCAGTTGGTAGAGTACTGCAACGGTATCGCAGAGGTCATGGGTTCAACACCGGTGCGAACCTACAATTTTTTCAGGCCTTACATTTTCACTACTGCTTAAGTAGTTTTCATAACATATGATGATCACTCTCATCTTAAATTTTGCATAAATTTAAGGTTGAATTTTCAAAGAACGCATTTTATCACAACAAACAACATAAAATATTCAAAGTGCATGTTAATGAGAAGAAATTGTTCATGTCGGTAAAAAATTTTAAAATTAAGTTATCACATCTGGAACTAAGCTTCATTAAATGTAACTTACCCTGGCATGTGACTGCAACTTTCATGCAAAGCAAAAGGTGAATTGAAAAGGGAGTGGAGACGAAAATACGCTGCTATACGAATATCAAAAGTTTTGGCTGTTGTCTAAACACCGTGGGAGTAACATCTGCCATATTTTGAACAAATTCCTTCTATTTTACGTGGCTAAGAGAATCCCCAAATCAAACGAACAATTTCTTCAATATAGACTGGCGTTAAATGACATTGAAATGACGTGTAGACCTGCACAAATTTCACTTAATGCGAAGAGCCTCCTTGTATTAAGAGCAAGTTCGATTCATGTTTTCTATTAGAGAGTCCAATTTGTTCTGTAATCAAACAAATTGTTTAAAGCATTATTGAAAACCGCGAAGCCGGAGTCTAATTTGTTAATCAGCTGTATGATTACAGACTGAATTAGACTTTTCTCGATGCTACTTTCGACATCGATCATAAGCAAAATGCTTACATGGTCTTATAAGTGCTTAGAACGAGCAAATGACGACCAATCATATTTGTTATTAACTTCATTACTGTCGTTGTCTTTTGTAAAGCTAAAAACATCTGGTGAGCTGTACTTAATCATCCAGTTACAAACAATTTCGTTCTTATTCTTGTGATGTCATGATATTTTCAATCACCTTGCTATGTCAACCTTCAATGTTTAACGTTGACCAACTTAAAGCGTCCTCCTTGCGTAAAATGCGTCCCAGAATCTCTTACTGGATTGTTTTACTAAGAAATCTAAATATGATGTTGGTATTTTGCTCATCTTCGAATCGTAAGTAGTCTTTATCTTTTTAGCTTTCTTTATATTCAGTCTACAATTTAATTAAGAAGTATTCTTGTCGATTTGTATAAAATTTTATGCTACGATTACAGAAATGAGTAATTTTAAATTTGTCACCACTCAGAAAAAAGCAAGACTATTCATTCCAAATCAAAACGATGGTTTACTGGTTAAGAAAAGAACAGAATCTAATCCGAATCTAGTCCGATTTACATTCTTTCTTTATATAAATCAAGAATTTCACCTGTCCGAAAAAGTTAAAGTTTGATCCCGAAACTAGATTTTATTCTGCTAGGATTCATTTTCGTCTAAGTGAGTAGAGTCAGCGTTGGAAAGTAGCTCTCTCTAAATTTAGAGATTTGAGCTGCAAATTATAGAAGTTGCGATCTGATTTGGTAGAAATCGTTTCTGAAAGCATGAAGATTCTAGTTGATTTTGAATTAACTATCGACAACTTTTCTCTTCACATGAAGAAAATTTCGACAAAAAAAGCTAAAAGACAAATTTAGGACCTTCTTCAAGGCAATCCGTATGTTTGCCCCGAATGATAAAGGAATTGATTTAGAATAAAAAAAACAATTGTCAATATTTCTAAAGGGGTGATCATTACTTTTATGCAGAGAAATCCCAAATATTTCGTGATTTTTCCTTCTGTCTTTATCCTTACCAAGATGATTGTAGAGTCATCAAATGGATTGATCACGTGGACGGACAAGCCTTGGACGGTCACATAATAACCACGCTGAATGTACCAGACGAGTTCATTTGCCGCATGCAATGTTACTTGAACGACGCATGCGTCTCATGCAACTTTGGAACGAATGACTCTGTTCCCGAAAACATATGCGAACTGAACAACTCTACAGACAAAACACACCTTAAGATGAAAGAGAATTTTGTCTATCGAGGATCTGAGGTTAGAAAACATTCCAAAATTTTAGAAAGCCTCTGTGGATATATGTTTTACCGAGTTTGTGATATTGTATCAACATGCCCTCATAGTTTCACAATTGTGTGGAATTTGCATTTAGTTTGAAGCTTTTTCATCCAGTGGGAGGATTATGATAAAACTTTTTGTCTCTTTAGGGATAGTCATTATTTATCGCCATTTGGGGAGGGGGGGTTTGAGGATTTGGGGGAAACATGGTTTTCAGGGGGGACTGGAGGGGGGATCAGTCGTCGCAAACCAAGTACAAAGCGGGGACTGTAGAATAATTGATTGGTCGAAGAACGATGACTTTTTAGGACGTTTGAGTGCACGATACATAAAGTGTAATTTTGTTTAGGGCACCCCCCTCCTCCCCCCCAGGCGATAAATAATGACGGCTGCTGAATAGTTGTCAACTTTTTCCTTCAGTGGAATGGAATAATACAGTAAAACTTTACAATGTCTTCACCATCACTTATCTTTTTCTCTGAAGAATGCCTGTGATTCAGCTCCTTGTTTAAACAATGGAACTTGTCAAAATGGATTTACGGAGAAAACATTCCGCTGCTTATGCCCGGGTGGTTTTGGAGGAAAACTTTGCGAGAATGGTAAGATAAACGGAAATAAATAAAGTAACTATTTGATAGACGGTTATTGTCTGGTCGCAAATGAAAAAAAACCCGCTAGTTTCGGAGGGAATGGGATTAAGGTCTGTAACTGTTCTTTTCTGGAAAAGTGCAAAAGCGAAAACATTTTTAAATGGGGTGGTCCGATGATCTTTGGTTGGATGACACGGATTATTGAGAGGTAACGTGATCAATAATGAGCTAATAACAATCGCACTAAGTTCAGGGGAAACAGCCCGAATAATAAGGCAGGCGTTTTAGGGAAGCTATGAACAGTAATCACAAATGAAAAACAGTAGCACAGAGTTTTCCGGGCATAGTTGTTAAGTTTTTATACAATTTTGCTAGCTCTTGAGCAGGGCTTTCTCAAGTCAGAAATCTTAAGAGAATCTATCGGTAAAAAATCCTGTGTGGCGAATTCATCTCACGTGGACATCTCAAGCAGTGTCCTTTTTCCTCGATCATACTATTCCAGCATTACGCCAGCCTCATGAAACGTTCGAAAACTTCCTTCAAGAGGCCAGATTTTAGTCTAATGTTAACTTGACACGAATTTATTTCATAAAAAAACTAGTATGCAGGGATCCAATCTCTTTTTGTCTATTCTGTTGAACCTCCCTTGTGATAAATTTTTAATTAACTCAGGGACTGATCGTTTTTTATAACAGGGAGGGGGGTTGGAGTGTTTTGGTTGAGTCACAATAACATTTACCTGATCTTCGCTCATATGGCAGTTAATTGACAGCCAATTTCCTATAGACCCCTTTAAACTTTGGTGGCGACAACTAATCCTCTGAAACCCCCCTGTGTTCACCTCAAACTCCTCCAAATGCCCTGCCTCGGCGATAAATAATTAGTCCCGTGTTAACCTTTTAAGACCCATGTGGATTATTTTTGTTATTCTTACAAGGACCGTGCGTTCTGTTTGACTTCGAAAATGGTTTGTTAGGCTGGAATATTACTGGTACGGCCTTCAATAATCAGCCTACATACGGGGACAACCCGCATGCCAGACGTAGTATGTGGTATTCTCTACACAGAGGGAACTGGTGGATAGGCACTTACGAGAGTCGTCCCAGTCCCTCTCATCCTGCCGGTGGACGTCAAGGCGATGGTCCCCAAGGTACACTGACGTCACCCAGTTTCGTCATCACCAGAAATGCTTTCAAATTTTTGATTGGAGGAAGTTGTCATGAAAACCAAATAAGGGCCGAGCTTTTGGTAGAAGGAACTGTGGTCCTCCAAGCCACTGGGAGATGTTTAGAGATGATGTACGAAGAAACCTGGAACGTGACAAGTTACAAAAATAAAGAGGCACAGCTACGTTTGGTTGATGGCTATTCTGGAGGATGGGGACACATCAATTTCGATCAGTTTGAGGAGATTTGTGACTAAGGGGGAAGGTGCGATTTTCCACTAAGGCAGGAGGGGGAGGGGAGGCTCCTTTACAATATTGTCTTCAAGGGTATTTGAAGGCACACCACGTCGTTAACTTGTTGTTAGTTGTCACTGTTTCCTGTCAAATAGGAGGAAAGATACATCCTAAAGCCCTTTCTCTCTAATATACATTCCTGCAGATGGATGCGATTTTTGCGGTTTAATTTTGTTTGTTTGTATGTTCTTTTGATAATGGCTGGCCGGCGAAAAAATTGAAAATTTTAGTTGTAAACAACAGATCTTTGGATAAGGGAAATCCAGGGAACTCTCAGTCCATAATCACACGTCGCTTGTTTCTCTGAGAGTTGATATACTTGGTGAAAAGAGAGGCCCCCCAAGAGGTTTTGCCGCAAAAAAACCGGCATAATCCTCCCTTCTGTGTTACGACATTAATAATTAAAAGCAAGTCAATGGATCTGAATGGTTTGCCTGTTTCAATCAATTTTTATATAACAAGCCCTGTTTCTAATTGCACACGCTTCGAACGTACGTAAACATGGGTGTAAGTCACTTGAGGAAGTTTTTGTCTGTAGTGGTTGCCGTGTTTTTAAGTGCTTGCGCATTTTCAAACGGTAAGCAAGATAATTATGTTTATTTTCTCATTTGCTGTTCTCTGCTCAAAGTGACAATGTCATAGAACTGAAGAAATCTTCCCGCGTTGTTGAAATGAAGTTTCGTTTTATCTTGTACTGCTAATTCCACCTACTTAAAGATATGAAGAATTAATTTGCTTAATAGATTTCATCGAATTCAAACTCTTTCACTTTTTTTCTTCTTCTATCTTTTAAAACCCCTCATTGCGCTTGTACAGAACAAGTAATGCCGGCGAAACATAAACGAGATTAACTAACCATGATCGAAACGTAGATTAGCAGATATCTCCGAATAAAATAAAAATTTATTAAAATTTAACGGACTACTTGTTAGGACCGTCGATTATCTTCAAAGGAAAACAACTTCCTCAGGCAAACATTAAATTATTGAAAAACTTTTGTGAAATAGAATGTGCGATACAATTAATAATTTATGATCCTCGTTTGAAAACAAAACCGGTAAGTCTTGATAGGATGTGTGGCATCACCAATGATGCGCTGAAAGTTTTAATAAGTCAGATGTTAAGAATTAGCAGCAGTGAATGAAATGAACGTTATGTATAATCATTTCGGGGAAAAGAAAAGTATTAAATTGGTAACGATTCGTCTAATGTAATTAGCGTGATCTGTGGGAATTCAATAAAAAATAAAACAATTGAAAGTTTAAATGAGGTAAGGTGCGAATTTATAATTCGGTCTGTTTTGTCACTATAGTGCTTTCATTACAGTACAGCAGTAAGGTACAAATTTGAAAGTACCTTCTCCAGTTGCATAGGTTGATAAATTCGACTCATAGTTCCAAAATTTGTTGTTCAATCACCTGTGAAGAGGCGAGTCCAAACAACTAGTGTTTTCTTACTTAGTGAGAGGCACAAAAAAGCAAACAAAGTCTAAAACATTCGCGACATCGAATTTCCCTACTAAGAGGTGCGCGCAGTTAAAAGAAATTTTGTCAATGTTAGCTGTGTAAACATTTCCGTTTTTGATTAAAAAACGTGAAATTGAAAGTGAAAGCAAAACTGGCAAGGATAAACTGTTTGAAGAACGTTCAATTTAGGTTTTTAGTGAACAGACATAAGATTAGAACACTGAGACGATTGATAAAGATCTAAGAGTTGTGAAGCAGAACTATGATAAAGTTTTGCAGTCAGTTTCGATAATTGTTATGCTTTGTTCAACTTATCACCGAGAGTGCGGATTATTGATACCTTGCAGAAGCTCATTAATGAGGGTTTTAATGGGGTGACGGCTTTTACTGCTAACGATTAAAAATTTTGGCCATTTTCCGGCTAAGGTTAACCCAAAATGACACAAAACGACACATCACGGTAGAAACGAAACCTTTTTACGGTTAACTTTTCTAACGATGAACGGTTAAACGATGAACGGTTAAACGATGAACGGTTAAAATTTGTTAATTTGCACGCCTGAAGGCTAAATTTTTTGGCCATTTTACGGCTAACGGTTAACCCCATTGAAATACTTATTGATGGGCTCCTGTATTTAGTAACGCTTCAGATAAGAGATTGCTACAAACTGCTATACCAACAAGAGCCCCGGAGTCACATAAAAACAATCAAAATATCTTCTACATTTTCCCTTTTTGCACAAAAGATGACTGCAGAGTTATCGATTTCGATGAGCTTATAGAGAGACAGTCCTTAACTGGCCATGTGATCACTACGGTGAGTGCACCAGACCGAAGTTATTGCCAAATACGGTGTTACCTTGACAACGACTGCGTCTCCTTCAACTTTGGACTGGGTGTAACTGGTGCCAACAACGTGTGTGAACTTAACGACTCTACTGATAAGAGATACTTGAAGACGAGAGAGAAATTTGTATATCAGGGATCTGAGGTGAATCAGCAGAAACTAGATGTATAAGAAGTTACCATGATACGTTTGTCAATGCAAGGAAACTAAATGCACCATGCAGAAATGCATGAGTTCAAAATCTCTGCGTGCGTGCATGCATGTATGTACACTTGCATGCATCCTTCAGACCATCCATCCACATGCATGTTTCATACATCCAGTTCTTTAACATCAGCTGTTATGCAATGCATTCATGCACTATTCAAACGTACATCCATTCATCTGTTTGCGCAGAAAAACGAACAAGCGCCATTTTAAAATGCATGAGTGAATCATTCGTACCAACTCTGAGTACTTGCAATCATCCGTCATGCATTCAACCACTCACTGACGCAATTTTTCTTTTGTGTTACTTCATCTTCCCTTTCTTGTGACTAATTCATCAATTAATAGCATGTCAAAAATTGCTCAACTAATAGATTCATTAATACGAAATAATTATGCATCTATTTGTTTATATATTCCTTTATATAGAATGCCTGTCAATCAGCTCCTTGTTTAAACAATGGGACGTGTCAGAGCGGATTTACGAACAAAATGTTTCGCTGTTTATGTGCGACTGGCATGGAAGGAGAACTGTGTGAGAAAGGTAAACTGTAATAGGAATATAAGACGATTTTTATAGAAGTATTGTTCTATCCGAAGCGCAGCTAATCTTTTGACCCCTAAGTGTGAATGACTTCTAATTTCGCCCAAAAAAATCACACATTCGGGTCACGAGTATGAAGAAACGGATCATCAGCTAAAGAAGCTCTTGATTGTTAACCAAATTCTCCTTGTCAGCACCTTAGGAAATGTAAAGAGAACAGTATGGAGAATATGCATACTGATGTTAGGGTATAAAAGGGTTAAGTGCTGATTGGTAACGAGGGAAAATGTGAGTGTATGTTAGGTTTGATGGGATAGTCGGCTGGTACAGTATGTTAATCCCACGACCGTAATTTCTAGATCTAGATGGAAACGGAATTTTTGAGCGCGGGTGCAGTCTTGCTGCTTATTTCTGTTTTCTTTGGATGTCGTTCGACCGACATTACCACTATGATCTTCATGCTACCCACCATTAGATTACTGTCAGCTCAGAATATGAAATTGGGTTGCGGACCTCTCGGACAACACTTAGCTCATATTTTTAAAAACTCTCAACACTAATAATAAAGTGCAATTATTAGCCAAGATATTTCGTGTATAGGCTCCTTTTCGAAAAAGAAGCTTCCAATTGGCGCAGAACTACAGTACTCAGTACTACGCTCAAAGAAGTTGAAATGTAGCTATAATCGTGTTAAGTGAGCGTGAGGGGGGGGGGGAAAGAGAGCATGGAGGAATTTTTGGGGAAATTACATGATTTTTAGGAGGACCAACAGAGGGGACATCAGTCGTCGCCAACATAGTATAAGGGGGGAGGGGACTGTAGAAGACTGACTACCTATGAGTAGGAATGATAAGATTTAATACTATCTCTATTATTGCTTGTAGCGTTTGGTTTTATTATTTACAAATGTTTTGTTTCTACTTGTTACTATTAGGATGCACTCTGTTCGATTTTGAGCATGGTTTATCTGGCTGGACCTTGAGTGGTACGGCCTTCAACAACCAGCCAACATACGGGGATAATCCCACAGCGAGAAACAGGGGTCAGCCGTCCAGACACGAGGGAGACTGGTGGATAGGAACCTACGAAAATCGTCCCAGGCCCTCTGATCCTGGCGGTAGAATTCAAGGTGATGGCAAAATAGGTACACTGACATCACCAATTTTTGTCATCACTGGAGACACTTTTAAGTTTCTGATTGGTGGAGGTTGCGATGAATCTAAGGTTCGAGCTGAGCTGTTGGTGGAAGGATATGTAGTGCTCCAAGAGACTGGGAGGTGTCATGAAAGTATGGCTCAAAGAAGCTGGGATGTAACTGGTTACAAAAATAGAGAGGCACAACTGCGTTTGATTGACAATCAGACTGATGGCTGGGGACACATCAACTTTGATCACTTTGAAGAAATTTGTGACTGAGTGTAATTTTAACCAAAGGGACTAGTCTATATTCATCGCCAGTGTGGAAGAGAACTTTACAGGGGGAATCATATTGTTCTCAGGGGGGAACAGAGAGGGGATCAGATGTTGCAAACCCAATATAAAGAGTTTAGAGGCAGGACTATTATTTCATTCTTTTGTAAACTCACATATCTAATTATTTGTTTCTTTTGGCTACACCTCAGGGTTTTCCCCTGGATCCACTACCACCTGTATGCATGAAACAAAGCCATTGTCAGTCAAGGCATTATGTACCTTTATTGTCAACATTGGAGCACGAACCATACAAAATAATACTTGAATCCTAATGAATCAGTAACTTGCCATCACCTGTTTCTCTAACCCCATCCTATTCCAATGTGACTTTGGGCAGTGTGCGTGCACATGAGGTAATCTAAGAGGTAATCCATACTTCATGTTCCTATAATACATGTAACACTCCAACATCATCTAGGGTGAACTGGTAGCTTCCCATAAAGTGGTTGCAAGGGCAATCTGCTGCTACTTGGTCACTGCTCAAGTAACCTGAAGTGTGTCGTACCTGTAGGTATTACCACAACCAGTGTAGAACTCTTCCATGCTGATGGCATTTGACTTTATGTGGATGTCATTGTCACCACCAAAATTTGGGCCAAATGAGGGACATTGATAATTGGCATTGTTTGCCATGTTGAGATTTATGTGAAGTTTTGTAGGCTTATAACCGTCTTTGTTGTACAACATGGAGATAAATGTGTCATTATCAGTGGCATATGCACATTTGGCCAGACCTAAAACAAATATAGAACCACAAAGATTCTCTTAAAATCAATCAGATGAAGGCATGTAGCATCACCAAGAATAATCATGAATGTTGTATAACACTTACACTGTAACATTTCATTTATTCTACTTTTCAAATACACATTCTCCTTGTAAATGAAGTTACTGTTGGCTAAATCAAATGATATTTGAAAAATAATACTACTCCTTATAACATTAATGACAAAAATTTAAATTGGAACTTTACTCAGCACCAACTTCGAGAAAATGTGGCTTTGTGGACTGTTGTTTGTAAACTGGGACATTGCTTTTGTTGTTTATTTTGTTTATTAGTTTTTTTCAAGTTGTTCTAAAATGATGAAACATGTTAGTACTATGAGTAGAACTCTAGATGGAAGCAGATCCAAAACTAACATCAAACGAGAGGAAAACAACATTTACCGATGTGCCACACTAATTATTTTATTAAGCACATGGGAATTTTGGGTCAAAGATGTGGTAGACCACAGGCATCCCAAGCTCACATCTCGAAAAAACAAAAAAAACAGAAAAAAAGTGCAAGACTAATTCTCAGATATGTACCTTTGTATTTATTCATGAAAGCATTCCACGCTGTGTGACATGGTGTCAAGGAGGTGTCAAGTGTTCACTTGAATACCTTGAATATGATTTTAGTACAGGCCAAATAAACTCACTTATAAATCATACCATGTGCCAAACTCTGAATATTTAAATTCAATATGGTGGAATCCAACTTTCAAAAAACCTGAACACACTTTTGCCCCTCCGATCTCCTCCCAAGAATTATGCAACAACATAATCATGTGTTTCGAGACTTTATTCTGATTTAAACCTTCTTTTGCACTGATAACACTTATGGGGTCTTTCAGGACCAGGAGATTCACAACAATCTGGGAAGGTAAGGGGCTTGCTAAAAGTGTACAACATCTTCTTGTGTTGCACCTGCTGCATTCTGTTTGCTCCTTTAGGATTTAGATTCCTTTGGATAACCATCCTTTCCACTATGCAGCCTTCTCTTGAGGACTTTGGCATTGCTCAAAGTTTTGAACCTTTTCTCACAAAAACCACATTTATAGGGAGGCTTACCATTTTGAATTATGCCATGCTGAATGGGCTGAGATTCAGTAGAAAAGTGCGCATTACACAAAGCACACTTCTTTACACTGACATTATTATGCAGTCTGGTGTGGATAAGAAGGGATTGTTTCCTGAAAAACTTTCTGTCATATAACCTGCTCTTGTAACACCAATCTCTTACATACATAACCAAATGTGGAAGTTTTTCTTTTCATGATCTATTGAAGATCATATAAGCATTTAAAAGGTTTTTGGGCACTGCACTCCCTTTCATGAACAGTTTCATGGACTAGAGTTGTCAGTCTGTTATCGCAAACACCAGTCAGAGCAGCTGACACTTCAGAAAAATTTTTTAGTCAAACTCTGTACATTTGTCTCCAGTTTCTGCTGTGTGCATTTTCATTTGAAGCTCCCAGTCCTGATGGATGTTGAAGGCTTTGCTTCAAACTATACATTGAAAGGACAACACTTTAGTATGCACACCCATGTGATACTTAAGAGAAGATGCATACCCAAAATATTTAGAACAATGTTCACACTGAAATGGCTTGGCACCAGTGTGTCTTCTTTGGTGTTTCTTAAGACCCCAACTATCAAGGAATCTCCGATCACAAAGGTCACACCTGAAAGGTCTTTCTCCAGAATGAATCTTTTTATGGCGCCGAAGGGATGAGCTATCTGCAAATGACTTGTCACATTCAGAGCATTTTTCTGGTTTTTCCCCTGTGTGAGTTCTGATGTGGTTCTTCAGGTGGCGTTTGATGTTAAAAGCTTTGCTGCACATTGGACATTTATGGGGTAACATTCCAGTGTGTGTCCTTATATGCACTGTTAGAGTTGAAGCCTCCTTAAAATCCTTCTCACAATGTTCACACTTGTAGGGCCTGGCCCCAGTGTGTGTCCTTTTGTGTTTTTTAAGAGTTCCACTTTCTGAGAACCTCTGATCGCACTGGTCGCACCTGTAAGGTTTTTGTCCATTGTGAGTCCTTTTGTGGCGCACAAGAGCTGAACGTTTTACAAATGCCTTGTCACATTCAGTACATTTTTCTGGCTTTTCCCCTGTGTGAATTCTAAAGTGTTCTTTCAGGTAACTTAAATATATATAACTCTTATCACACTCTGGGCACTGATAGTCTTTCTTTGCTTTGTGTAATTTCTTATGTCTACGGAGGCCTGATGATTTTGCAAACGACTTCTTGCAATAATTACATTTGAACGGTTTCTCAGAATTGTGCATATTTTCGTGTTGTTTGAGATGTGACAGTGATTCACATGTCTTTCCACATTCACTGCAAATGAATGAACCATCATCTGGTGTCTTGATGTCTGACATTTCCGTCATTAACAGTCAAACACAACCTTGTAGTGTTAGTACACACTACTCGTTGGAACCCTAACAGCTTAGCAGCCGCTCAGCCTGTTTCTCTATCCGGGACATTAAAAGCTTAGGAGCCACGCGGTTAAAGTTGGGTGAAACAAAGATGGCGGATGCGAGAGAATTACAAGCGAATCTTACCGAATATCGTGCTCAGTTCAGACAGGCGAGTTTCTTTTTATGTTTGAAAGATATAAGAATGAATCAGGATAGCCAATTTTTAGCTCTACTGAGCTCTATTTGAGTATTCTTTCGAACAGTCCATAATTGAGAAGAAAACATGTAAATGTACGTTTTCCTGAACCAGGTCGAAGCCGCGCTGACGACGGATCCAGATAATGATGAACTCATCAAGTTAAAACAAGATTTACAGGTAAAGTTTACTCTTTGATTGTTTTTATATGCTGATAAATCATCTCTTTCGCGTTTGGCCTTTGATTGTGTAGTGCAGTACTTCAACAGACAAAAGAGTTTCTCCGGTCAAATGCACACAAAACCAAATGATTGCAGAATATTGAAGTTACTATGTTCCCTCAAATACTCATGGTTATTTACTTTATTTTTGTTGTTGTTGTTGTTTTTTTTTTACTCCAGGAGGTGATAAATCTTACATTAGATCTTCTGAAGGTGAACGAGGTAAGGTTTACATCATGTATGTATTCAATCATTCTCTTTACATCAGTAAACTACACATTGCGAAGTTTACTGAAGTTAAGATTGGCATTCAGGTAATACACAGTACGCCATCAAGTGTAAAACTTCAATATTTTGAGTGTGCAACCGATTTAGCACTAAGAATAAATCATGCATCAGTTAAATAGACAAAGGAAAATTTTCTCGGTTGATCTTTTAGTCATACTAAAGTTACAGCCACCTTTTTGAAGCAAAGCAAATGAAAAGGAACAGAGGTCATTTTTCCTGTTAATTTGTTGACCCATTCTAGATAATACTCAAGAGATTGTCTTTGAAAATTGCTCAAAGAAATATTCTTCCTGAGATAATTATTATTTATGGTTGAAGTATGAAATTAATTTCTGGTCACAATGACAAGTTTGACTTGTTTTGTTTTTTCTTTATCCTTTTCAATTTGTTTTACAGTAGTCTCCAAACCTACAAAAACATATCAAACAGGATTGAGATATTTGAAAACCTCAGTGTATACTTTCTTGATTCCCATACAATGTACATAGAAAACATGAGACCTGTCAAGAATTCCAGATGGTCTGTGATGAAGATTGAATCAGCAGATATACAAACTTAAGGATTGTATGATCACATACTTGATGTATGATAACATATGTGGGAAAGATTTCACCTGTATTGAGATTCATGTCAGACATGTTTAAGATCTTTTACATGTGTGTGCCTCCTTTCTATTAGAAAACTGTCATTCCCTCGGCTGCCTTCAAATGGAAAGTTGGACAAAAATGTCAAGCTGTGTGGAGTCAGGATGGAAGGTAAAATCTGGAGCATCACCATGTTTCCTACATTTTGTACTTTTTTTGAATGAAGCCCTTAACCCTGTATACCCAAACATCAGTATCCATATTCTACATATTGTGTTCTATATAATTATTTCCTAAGGTGCTGACAAGGAGAATTTGTCTAACAATCAGAAGCCTCGTTAATTTGTGATCATTTCCTTTATTCTTGTCACCTTTATGAGTGATTCAGAGGTGATACTGTTAGGAGATTTTAGATGTTGGTCACTCTAAGGGCTCAAAGGGTTTATTAATAAAATTAATATTCAAGGAGTGGTGTTTCAGCCAGAGGGAGATAACGAAGTATATCTAGGGACCCTTCCTTGGATTCAGGCAGGTGGAGAACACAGAAGCTGAATTTTGTAATCATAAGAATTGGTGTTAACTTTGTTCCTTTTCTTTTCTTTAATTTGTGCTTTTGTTATGGAGTTTGATCATAAATAAGCTATGATGGTTATTTTCTTTCTTCAGTTACTATGATGCAACTATCGATAGTATATCAGAAGACTTCACAACATGCACAGTTTCATTTGAAAAATATGGAAATACAGAAATTGTAAAGGTCAGTGAGTAATAAGCTATATTAATAGTTTCTGAAACAAGAAGTATTTCCCACACTTACTGGAGCACAGATTTATCTTCAAAGTGCCACCAAGGTGAAAAGTGTTGCTCTGATTCTCTCCCTCTTCTGATGTTGCACTGTGTTTCAAGCCATGCTGGTCTTTGTGGCAAAGTCAGGTTTTATTTTTATTTTTTTTATTTTTCTTTTTTAATAAATCTCTTCCCACTTAACCCTTTAATTCCTGTGAGTGACCAAGACAGAATTTCTCCTTACAACATCAATACAAAATCAAGAAGAAAAGTGATGAGTACCAGGAAAAGTATCAATTGGGGGATTATTAGTTGATCTAATACCAAATTCTCAGAAGTAACATGAGAAGAATTTTATAGCAGACAGTAAGGAGAATAACTAAAAAGATCATGGGAGTTAAAGGGTTAAATTGTTCACTATTACCAGATTATGTGTATTGTACACTATATACTCCATGATTGTGATTTATTAAAGCTTGGGAAACACACACACAGCACATGTGAACAAAACATACCAGTGTGGGAAAGAGAAGCAAGAATTTCACGTCAAAATATTCACAAAGTGACCAGAAATCAAACAGTGTTGATTCACACAGTGCATTTCAATTTCATGCAGGTTTCATCACTAAGAGAAAAAGAACAAGCTGATTCCTCCGCACCTAAAAGGGTGGCTGAAACTAGCATTATGGCTGCACCAAGCACTTCAAAGAAATCTAGGTACTGCTGTTCATAAACTTGCATGTGTACCTACTATACCTCTTCTCATCAGATAAGATTATACCAGAGGTTAACTCAACCTTTTCAGGTCCTGTTCCTTTTTTTCACACATTGTAGATTATCATTTAAGTGGCCTATTTGCTAAATATGACATTGGAAAACATTCTCTTTCCGAAAGGCATGAAAGAGAAGTTTGGTTTCAAAGGCAGAATCACCTTCACCAGATTTAGCCTCAACCTAAAGAACAAACAATAGCTAGAATGAAAACCAGTGGGCCAATAACTGCCAGAGTTATGTGTTTCGCTTTCAGCAGCTTGAATTATCTAGGACTGCTGCTACTCCCCCCTGGATGGGTTGCCAGTCAGTCAGGTTTTCCCAACAGTTCACTAGTATCATTTTACTCCTGGGAGTAGAAGGAGGCTTTGTGAAAGTTTACTTCTTGCTCAATGGCCTGACTTTCTTGGTCAAGTCATAATTCTGATGAAATTCAACCCTTTACACCCTGACATCAGTTTGTATATTCTCTGTACTGTTCGCTACACATTTCCTAAGGCACAGACTAGAAGAATTTGTTTAACAATCAAGAGGTTCTTTAGTTGGTAATCATTTCCTTTATTCTTGGGACCTTAATGTGAGTGTTTCAGGGATTAATTTGTTGGGAGAAATTAGATGCTCGTCACTCCAAGGGGTTAAAGGGTTAAATTGGAGAAACTACATGTAAAGTCCTCTACTGACTTAAAGCACTTTCTAATATCCTTAACTTTCGAAATTTATTCAATTTGTGCAATTCATGTTAAATTGCAGTCTCTTTCAATGATTTCAAGACATCTGTTTTATTAATTTTTTTTGTTTTTTTTTTTGCGATAGGGCCAATGAGGATGCTCTTCGCGAACAGAAAAAGAAGAAAATGATGAAAAAGAAACAAAGAGCCAAGGTAAAGAGTTGTAAATAAGAGAAGTCAGAGGTTTGGTGAAATCAAACTACAAAACCTGCTCCAGCAAGATACCAAAATATTGCAAATCTACAAAATTAATATCTTGTAGAATTCTTGTTCTACACAGTATTGTATTGTCCATTGATTAATCTGAGGGTCATTGGCAAGCAACAGTCATAACTATACTGTTGCGACATAGTGCATGTTTGTAAATTGCTTTGTACATCTCTTCTAAGGAAATTGAAGAACAAAGGGAAAAAGACAAACAGAACTGGTTGGATTTCTTCCATAATTCAAAAGTAAGGAAGAGTGTGTGTGTTTTATGATAATTTAAATTACCATTATCATTATCATCATCATCATCAATTTTTTTCCACTTTGGCAGTATTTGTACAGTTGTTTTACTTACTCCTTCTTGTCAAAAAGCCTGAATGGGTTTCTGCCAAAGTGTCATGGAAATGTTTACTTTTCTGGGTACATCATCATGAAAATCATTTTACTCGACTCACACTTGTGCAGTTAAGGGATGCAGAGGGCTGATGGTTATAAGCTAAACCCCAGATCAAGGGATCCAGATTTAAGCCATCAAGCCATGGCCAATTTATTGTGTTCTATTGTTTGGCATGACACCTCTCTCTCATAATGCTCCTCTCCACCTCATGAGTCTAAATGGGTACTGGTGAACTCTCAGGGGGAGGGGGGTGTTGCCTAACCTGCTTTGAAGCAGCCTGCTTCATGTTGCAGAAACTGGGGACAAGCAAGAGCAGTTATGGGTGGCTAGGCCAGTAAGACACACGCATAACTGACACCTTTGACGCAGTTATGCAGACTTACTTAAGGACTCCCAAACCCAGGAATGGAAGAGGTTAAAATTAGGGACAAAACCTGTGGAGACAATTTGTCCGTGAGCAGAAGATGCCTCCAAATATTAATACCTTCCTCCTCTTGCTTTGTGAATGTTAATTGATCTTGTTCACCTACTGCATATCAAGATATGTTTTCCTAGGATAAAAAACATATCAAACAACATTGACAGGTTGTGAAGGAGCTGGAAGAGTCGGATATAAAAGCTTATGTACATAAGTTGTTTCAACTATCTTTGTCTGCAGTTTTAGATCAATTGTAATATGTTTTTAGAAATTAGGAATGTTGAATGGCCTCTTTTGGAGGGAACTTGTGTTATTCTGCAGTCACGACACACTTAGCTAAGCATACGTTTGTTTGTGGTTATCAGACTTTTTTTTTCTGCTTGATTTAGGGAGGTGGATCCAGCAAATCTGGAAAGAGTCTAAAGGGTGTGTCAAAAAAGAGCATTTTTGCCTCCCCAGAATCAATACAGGGAAAGGTGAGTTAGTCTACTGCAATGTAGCGAGTCTTGGCTTGATAATAATTTTAATGATGATACTGATAATATTGGTGATAATATGTGTTCTGTCATGCGTTGCGCTACTCCCGTGCGAGTTGGGCATGCCGGGGAATTTTAGGTAAGTTGAGTCATGTGCTGGCGGTGTTTTCAAATTCTTGCTTCACCCTGAAAATTTGTCAAAATAAATCACGGAGACGGCCTCGTTTTCAAAAATTTTAACCTCTTCTCAGGGACGAGACTAATGGACCAGAACAATAAGAAAAGTGTGCATTAAAAGGAGACTTATCCAAAATGTAGTTTGTACACTTGGAACAATCTTGAAGAGCGTAAAGACCTGATGTGAGAAGAAGCGAGGCGTACCGGATATTCTTAGTAATGCATAACTACCCGCCGTGCTAGGGAAACGGTTCATCCTCTGATTTAGGGGACAGTGCTGTGACTTGTCATAAATATCCTGGCATTTCTAGAAGCTGACAACAATAACAACATGATAATTTATTTGAGATGGCCAAAAACACCAACATAATTATTCTTACCTTTCAAGGTTGGTGTTGGAACATGTGGAATCGGGGGACAACCCATGACGCAGTTCACACAGCCAGACAAACTTGTTTACAAGAGATGATAATTCCGTTAGTGTCACGCTGTCACGAAACCAAGAAGAGTGACAGTGTATACGACTTTAAAAACTCTATTAAAACTGTACAGACACATTTTAAGTTTACACTCCATATAGATGCACAATCAACCTTGCAGTTTTGTGGGTCTTAGTGATCTACAAAAGTTTTTAAAGATGAAACTGAGATCAGCAAAGATTATCTCTCCCAGTTCGCACAGCTGCTGAGAGAAATATGAATCGTCGGATTAGGAACGTCAGAGTGCAGTCTCAACTGACATTTTCAGGGTTAAATAACGATTAGGAGGATAGCTTTCGCTCTTCATCTCGTTTTACCTCTCTATAACCTAAACCAATTTTGCCTTTAACTTGTTTGTTTTATTTTGTTTTTCACCAAAGATCGTGTTTAATTAGACTAGTTTCACTTGTAAGCTTAATGAATTAAGGTTTTGAATGGTGAATCCTCCACTCAAATATATTAACTCCTAAGAGGCGTTTTATAAACAATTTTGGTTAGTTGAATTAAAAGAACAGGTTAAATGCGTCCTCTTTATTTTCCTGCTTTACCATTGATGGCAATTCTCGCTTGTTCAAGAAAGAGAGACTTAAAATATCCTATTTCTGAGCAATATCTCTGCTTGTTTATCGTGTCTTTCTTAGGTTCCAGGAAAAAGCGGATGTTTAACTATTGTATTACTTTGACTTTCGTGACCTTGCGCAAGACAATGGGCTCCACAAAAAATGCAGCGCACAAAACCGCGGTTTAGAAAGAGAAAATATTCAATATTTGATATTTAGTGATACGTAAAAGGAAAGTTCTGGCTTAGGGTTAGCGAAAGAGTTTTACGCCATCATGTACATTGTGGAAAGATTTGAAGAAAAAGCTAGGTTTATAAACGAAAGCGAAGCCGGACTGATTCGAGAGAAACTCGAAATACTCGTAAGCAACATTATAACCCAAGTGGAAAAGCACGACAGCCGATTTCAGAGTACATTGGTCAAAAGCGGAAGTGTTTACGAAGGAACCAAAGTTCGTGAGCCAAATGAGTTCGACTTCATGATCCAAATGGATTCTCTTTCGAACACGCCATTACTTCGTCCCTGCGACAAAGGCGATGGATATGTGAAGCTCTCCCTCGAAAGCCGTGAATGGGAAGACTTCAAAGATGCCGATGGTTTTTTTAGTCCAAATCTGCTGTCCCGCTTCTTCAAGCAGCTTGTGAATAAATCGCTCAACGATATCAAAATACCCGAAGGTTTGGCCGTACGACGAACGAGACCGTCATTAAGAGAGTCTTCTTGGTGGCCTGTGTATGCCGATCTGTTAGGAGACAGTGGTGAAGAAAGCCAATCTGGTGCTGTGTACTCGGAAAATCATGGCCCAGCTACAACACTTTATGTACAATGGCAAGGAGGAAGGAGTTACAAGAATTTATGGATAAGTGTTGATCTAACACTGTCCATAGATTACCCCATATCCAAACTCCTTGTTCCGCTGGCAGAAATCCCTTTGGCCGAGGCGAATAGCATTCTTCAGAGGTGCGGATTTCACGTCGTTCCCGCCGGACTCGACAGTTGGCGCATTTCTTTTTCTATGGTCGAGAAAGAAGTTCTGGCATCTTCTTCTGACGGCTTCAAACAGTGCTACCGGGTACTGAAAATCGTGAGAGATGTTGTGTGTGAGAATCTTGGATGGGATGCATCCCTGGTTCCATCGTACGTTTTCAAAACAGTTCTTCTTTCTCAGCTGTTCACAAATGGTCATCGTTGGGAGAAGGATCGTCGCTCCCAAACGATTATCGAACATTTGGATCGCGTTATGCAAGGTGTGAAAGCGGAAAAGATTCAGAGTTGCTTCCTAAGGAGCTACAACCTGCTTTCTCCATCCGATCACGAGAACAAGCTGCGACAGTGTGTCCTGGAGGAAATGCTCCGCGTGATGAGAGGGATGGAAATGGCCTTTTCTAGGGAAGAAGCTAGAGAAAGAAAACTGCAGATAAGGGTCTTGGAAATGGTTGATGTCCTCGACTACATGATCTCGTCTCTTCTCCGTGGAAAGAATCCTTCCGTTGTCTGGAGTAAAGTGTTTATCAATATCGGCAACCTCCCAAACCCTAGGAAGGGTGGTGAGTTCATGAATGAGCTTACCGACCTCAATTGCACAGAGCTTAGTGAGAAAGCTTATTTCAATTTGATTCAGATATGGAGTTCGACGCAAGATTTCTTCAGGAAATTATTGATCGCACTTAAAGGGGAACTGAGCTTGTTGGCTCACAAGTTTAGGATCTTGCTTTTTAAGAAGAAAGAGAACTTCGAGCGTCAACATAGGCGTCTAACAGAAAATGAAGTTGAGAAAGTGTCCCTTCATCAATTTGCCTTCGAGTTTTTGGAGGATGATTTTGTCCACTGTTACATCATGGACGAAAACTCAATTTTGCCGAACCTTCATAAAGCAATCCGTCCTGAATTTAAATCATCAAGTTTCTTCCAGGGTGTTACTGAAGTGGCAACGAGAGAGGGCAGTACCAGAGGCCTTGCTCAGCTAAAACAGCAGTTAAAGCAGTACCTTTTCATGGTCCCTGAGGAGTACCTCATGGACGGCGTTGTTGACTATGTCAGCCACATAATTGTCCATTCCAAAAAAGTGTTGAAACGTGATCTTGAGCATATCTCAATTCCAGAGTTAGATCTAGATTAGGCACATTGATCTTTCCTTGGCCTCTTTGCTAACCAGTTAGATTTACAATTGTCAAAATGCTTTGAATTGATTACTGAAAATCTTATTTTACTTTATATCGTTGGGTATAAATGTCAAGATATTACAATAGCTACGATAAATAAGACGATTCACCATTCATGTTTAATTTGATAACATGGATGAGAACTTGAGAGTTGATAAAGGCATTGCGAGGCACGTTGACGCGAGCGGCGTTCTCTGTACTCTTATCGACTCAGGTAAATTGGCCAATCAGTTTGCGACATTACTGTATTGAAGTAATACTATATTTACAGAGAAATTAATGTAAAAAACAAACATTTAAATCTAAGCGAACTCTATGGATATAGCATATTTATTTTCAACAACTTGCCCAAGTCTAGCCCTTAGAGTTGTGTGATTTTCCTTTGATGAAGAAATGTTTTACTGTTAAAGTTATTTTTTTTTCTTTTTTGGAGAATGTCCCCTTTCCTTAAGTGATCTCCAAAATTCACAATGTTTTTTAGCAGTATTTTATTCTCACAGGCACTATTCGATCACATCAAGTACAACTCTGACTCACACACAGAGCGTAATTTTACTGGATCCTATTCTTATGTTAGTTATGGTCATGATTTGGTCAGACAGGAATTTCCGGTCCTTGTCGATTCTTATCTATTGGTTAGCTTACATTTATGTCAAAATCATCAGGCCCTATTTGTCACGCAACATGATAAAAAATCGTTCCAGTCACTTTTACCGTATTTACGGAATCTCCCTACCAGTGTGTGCCAGTAATTAATTATCTCAGCTGTAAATTTTCGCGTAAATTAAGAATTTGATTGTCTTTACGTGTCTTGTTTTTGAGCATATGTTTTAAATACGGCCCTCTCGGGTGCAGTCTGCAGAACAAGCGTAGAACAAGCTTTTTACGAAAGCGGAAGGCTGGGGAGAGAAAGAAATTCGTACCTAGGGGATGAGCGACAGTCAAAAGGAGGGAGAGAAGGGGGGGGGGCAGTGAATATTACTAATAGATAATCAATTAAATGTCTCACTTGCCCGCCGTTACCAAAGCTGCCCCGAACTTTTGTTAGAAACTAATAGAATTAATAGGCTGTGATATAACTCGAGGGTTCCGTAAAGAGAAGTGAAAATGTGCTCCTTTAATAAGAACAAATTTAATGGCCCAGTAGTATTGGAAACATGTTGATGAGGTTAGGTACGACACCCACGAGCGATGGCCTAATTTTCTGGGAAACACAACTGAATTCCTCGTGCATTCACTGCTCAAGGACAAATTATCACACGACAAAATTACCATGTTTCTTATGCGTGGCAGCTTCTAAGGTTACGTTTTCAGATCATGTTTTCATCATGATCTGTGCAGAAATAGATTACAGATGATACTCAAACAAGTGGAACACTAGGCAAGTGTATTACTGTCGTTCGAAACACATTTTGACCTCATCTTTTTCTGAAGAGAAACACAGTGACATGGAATCTACCCATTTTAGGAGATAAAAAACCAGGAAGTAAACTTGAACATAATGACGTTATCTAAACGTCTCTCCTCTGACGGATCCTATGTAAGTAGCAATTAAAATGCCCCGCGTAAAAGCCAGCTTTTATTATAAAACATATTACGCATTTAACTGGGACCCAGGTCGCTCAGAGCTTCCGTCACGTTCTGTTGTAAACTTGTCCTTACGAAAACGGTGAGAACTCTTTTTATGTTTAAAAATTTTTTTAGAAAATTTCGAAGCTAAAGCCAGGTTTCAAGACGAAACCCGAATTGATACTAGAGACTCGAAACGCTTGTCACCAACATCTTGGCAGACATAAGAAAGCGTGATCCAAGATTTTTGAACGCAATGGTCAAAAGCTGAAGTGTTTACGAAGAAACGAAAGTTTGCAAGCCGAATGAATACGACTTCGATAACCCCTCTTACAGACAAACCATTAATCTTACAGAGCTCCTCCTGCTACGTGTAACTATTTCCTGGAGAAGATCAGTGGAAAGACTTCAGAGATGAAAAAAGGCTCCTTCAAGCCATACTTGCTTTCCTTTCACTTAAAAAAAAATTCCTGAAGGATCGAACATTTACAGAGCTCCCCTAGACGAGTCGGAGGGACGTTTGTGGCTCCTGTTTCGTGGAATACTACGTGACAGTGGCGAGGATCTGCATCTGGTGTCACATACTCTGCGACACTACGTGGCAGGTTTAAATTTTCACCCACCCTTGCGTGGAGGACAGTCAAATGCCCTTGGGTTGCTCAGAGTAGGTAGCAGCAGGACGGCAAGGACGAAGTTGTTACTTTCTTAGCGTGACCTTTTTTGCTGCCTTACATACGTGTGACGTTTCCTGATCGGAACCTTTCCAAATGGCCGTCGATTAAACGTCAAAAAGGTGTCTAGAAAATTTGGTTTTGCACGATAGATATAGTTCATTTGCTCCTTTAGGATTCTTTAACCTAAGAGAAATGTATTGGGACAAAAAAAGGGGGAAATTTGCCATCAGTTACACATTAAAAGGAGACTGTTATCCAAAATGTAGTTTGTACACTTGGAACAATCTTCAAGAGCGTAAAGACGTCGACCTGATGTGAGAAGAAGCTTGGTGTACCGGATATTCTTAGTGATGCATAACTGCCCGCCATTCTAAGAAAACGGTTTATCCTCTGAGTGGGAGGACATTGCTGTGACTCGTCATAAATATCCTGGCATTCAGTTCTAGAAGCTGACTACAAGAACAACATGATAATTTATTTGAGATGGGCAAAAACACTGACATAATCATTCTTTGGAACATGTGGAATCGGGGGACAACCCATGACGCAGTTTACACAGCTAGACAAACTTGTTTACAAGAGATGATAATTCCGTTAGTGTCACGCTGTCACGAAACCAAGAAGAGTGACTGTGTATACGTCTGTAAAAACTCTATCAAAACTGTACAGACACATTTTAAGTTTACACTCCACGTAGATTCACAATCAAGCTTATAATTTTTTGGGTTATAGTGATCTATGAAAAATAATAAAAATAAAACTGAGATCAACAAAGATTAATTCTCCCAGCTCGCACAACTGCTGAGAGAAATAAGAACCGTCGGCCGGATTAGGAGCAGTCAGAGTGCATTCTCAACTGACATTTTCAGGGTTAAATAACTATTATGAGGATAGCTTTCACTCTTCATCTCGTGTTACCCTTCTATTACCTTAACTACTTTTTGCTTTAAATTGTTTGTTTTATTTTGTTTTTCACCTTAAATCTGTATTTAATTAGAATGGTTTCATTTGTAAACTTAGTGAATTAAAGTTTTGAATGGTAAATCCTCAAACAAATAAATTAACACATTGGAGGCGTTAGATAAAAAACTTTGGTTAGTTGAATTGTAAGAACAAGCTTAATGTGTCCACATTATTTTCCTGTTTTACCATTGCCCAGGACAATTTCCGATCGTCCAATTGTTTGTAATTATTCCGAGAAAGAAAGGGAGACCTAAAATCTCCCATTTCTGAGAATAGTCTCTCCTTATGTACCGTGTCTTTCTTATGTTCCAAGAAACAACGCATGTTTGAGTTATATCAGTTTGACTTCCGTGATTCTGCACAAGATAATAGGCACCGGAAACAACGCAACGCCTTGAAAAGCCCATATTAGGGAGTCAAAATATTCAATATTTGATAATCTGTGAGACGCATATGGAAATTTCTTGCTTGGGGTTAGCGAAAGAGTTTTTTCGCCATCATGTCGTACATTGTGGAGAGATTTGAAGAAAAGGCCAGGTTTATAAACGAAAGCGAAGCCGAATTGATTCGAGAGAAACTCGAAATCCTCGTAAGAAACATCGTAACCCAGGTGGAAAAGCACGACAGCCGATTTCAGAGTACATTGGTCAAAAGCGGAAGCGTTTACGAAGGAACCAAAGTTCGTGAGCCAAATGAGTTTGACTTCATGATTCAAATGGATTCTCTTACGAACACGCCATTACTTTGTCCCTGTGACAAAGGCGATGGATATGCGAAGCTCTCCCTCGAAAGCCCTGAATGGGAAGACTTTAAAGATGCCGATGGCTTTTTCAGTCCAAATCTGCTGTCCCGCTTCTTCAAGAAGCTTGTGAATAAATCGCTTGACGATATCAAAGTACCTGAAGGTTTGGCCGTACTACGAACGAGACCATCATTATTTAAAGAAACGTGGTGGCCTGTGTATGCAGATCTGCTCGGAGAAAGTGGTGAAGAAAGCCAATCTGGTGCTATGTACTCGGAAAATCATGGTCCAGCTACAACACTTTATGTACGGTGGCAAGGAGGAAGTAGTTACAAGGATTTAACGATGAGTGTTGATCTAACACTGTCCATAGATTACCCCATATCCAAACTCCCTGTTCCGTTGGCAGAAATTCCTTTGGCCGAGGCGAATAGCATTCTTCAGAGGTGCGGATTTCACGTCGTTCCTGCGGGACTTGACAGTTGGCGCATTTCGTTTTCTGTGGTCGAGAAAGAAGTTCTGGCATCTTCTTCTGACGGCTTCCAAACGTGCTACCGAATACTGAAAATCGTGAGAGATGTTGTGTGTGAGAATCTTGGATGGGATGCATCTCTGGTTCCGTCGTACGTGTTCAAGACAGTTCTTCTTTCTCAGCTGTTCACGAATGGTCATCCCTGGGAGAAGGATCGTCGCTCCCAAACGATAATCGAACATTTGGATCACGTTATACAAGGTGTGAAAGCGGAAAAGATTCAGAGTTGCTTTCTGAGGAGGTACAACCTGCTTTCTCCATCCGATCACGAGAACAAGCTGCGTCAGTGTGTCTTGGAGGAAATGCTGCGTGTGATGAGAGGAATAGAAATGGCCTTTTCTAGGGAAGAAGCCAGAGAAAGAAAACTGCAGATAAGGGTCTTGGAAATGGTTGATGTCCTCGACTACATGATCTCGTCTTTTCTTCGTGGAAAGAATCTTTCTGTTGTCTGGAATAAAGTGTTTGTCAACATCAACAACGTCCCAAACGCTAGAAAGCATGGTTGGTTCACGAATGAGCTTACCGACCTTAACTGCACAGAGCTTAGTGAGAAAGCTTATTTCAAGTTGATTCAGATATGGAATTTCACGGAAGATTTCTTCAGGAAATTATTAACCGCACTTAAAGGGGAACTGAACTTATTGGCTCAGAAGTTTAAGATCTTGCTTTTTATGAAGAAAGAGAACTTCGAGCGTCAACATATGCGTTTAACAGAAAATGAAGTTGAAAAAGTGTCCCTCCATCAATTTGCCTTGGAGTTTATAGATGATAGTTTTGTTGACTGTTACGTCGAGGACGAAAACTCAACTTTGCCAAACCTTCATAAAGCAATCCGTCCTGAATTTAAATCATCAGGTTTCTTCCAGGGTGTTGCTGAAGTGGCAACGAGAGAGGGCAGTAGCAGAGGCCTTGCTCGGCTGAAACAGCAATTAGAGCAGTACCTTTTCAAGGTCCCTGAGGAGTACCTCATGGACGGCATTGTTGACTATGTCAGGCACATAATTGTTCATGCCAAAGAAGTATTGAAACTTAAACTTGAGCATGTCTCAATTCCAGAGTTGGATCTAGATTAGGCACATTGAACTTTAATATATTTAGCTTTGACTTGGTTACTGAAAATCTAATTTTACTGTATATCGTTGGGTATAAATATCAAGATATTACAATAACTACGATAAATAAGACGATTCACCATCCATGCTTGAGAACTGATAAAGGCATAGCAAGGCACGTCGACGCAAGCAGCGTTCTCTGTACTCTTATCGACTAGAGCAAATTGGCCAATCAGTTTGCGACATTACTGCCAATTGTGGTCAAAACATATTGCCTACTATAGAGAATTTGAAGCAATACTATATTTGCAAAGTAAAAATATGTTTCAACGGTAAAAAACAAACGTTTGAACTTAAGCGAACTTTATGGATATAGAATATGTGTAATTTTCCTGTGATAAAGAAATGCTTTATTGTTTATTTTTCCCCTTTTACTGTATTTACGGAATCTCCCTACTAGTGTGTGTCGGTAATTAATTATCTCAGTTGTAAATATTCGCATGAATTAAGAACTGAATTGACTTCACTTGACTTGACTTGTTTTTGAGCATATGTTTTCAAATATGACCCTCACGGGTGTAGGCTGCAGAACAACCGTAACTTTGGCGAGCGAGTGCTCAGTATTCTCTAGGTGAAAATAATAACAGCCATCTTTGCTTTTTACGAAAGCGGAAGGCTGGGGGGAGAGATAAATTCGGACTTAGGGGGTGAGCGACAGTCATAAGGAATAGGAGATGTGGCGTGGAGCAATGAATATTATAACTAGATAATCAATTAAATGTTTCACTTGCCCGCCGGTACCAATGCTGTCCCGAACCTTTGTTAGAAATTAATAGCCTACGTACGATACAATTCAAGGGTTCTGTAAAGGGAAGTCCGCAAAAATGTTCCCTTTTGATAAGCACAAATCCGATGGCTGAGTCGTATTAGCAAAATGTTGAGGCTCGGTACGACACCCAGAAGTGATGGCCGAATTTTTACAGAAACACAAATTCCTCATGCATTAACTGCTCTGGGACAAAATATTGTACGACAAAATTACCACGTTTTCATAATGATCTGTTTAGAAATAGATTACAGATGTGTGGTACCTAACCTAAGAACAAAAAAGTGGCACACTCAGCAAGTGTATAACTGATGTTCGTAACACATTTTTACTTCACCTGCTATCTTTTACTGAAAAGAAACAACCCGGTGACATAGAGTCTTTCCATTTAGGTAATAAAAAAGCAGGAAACAAACGTCGTACATAATGACGTTATCTATATGTCTTTCCTCTGATTGATCAAATGTAAGTAGCAATTAAAATGCTTCACGTAAAAGTCAGCTTTGACTATAAAAGATATTACGCATATAACTGGGAAACTGCGTGACCCCAATCGCTCAGAACTTCCGTCACGTTCTGTTGTAATCGTGTCCTTACCTGAAACGGCGAGAACCCTTATCAGGTCAGAAATTTTAGAAAATTTCGAAGATAAAGCCAGGTTTCAAGACGAAAGCGAAGCCGAATTAATACGAGAGAGAGACTCGAAACGCTTGTCACCGACATCATGGCAGATATAGGAAAACGCGATCCAAGATTTTTGAACGCATGGTGAAAAGCGGAAGTCACTTCCGCTTTTGACCATGCGTTGACCATGACTTTCGTTTCTTCGTAAATGGTTTACGAAGAAACGAAAGTTTGCAAGCCGAATGAATTCGAGTTCGTGGTAAAGATAACCCCTCTTACAGACAAACCATTAATCTTACTGATCAGTTATTTCTTGAGGAAGGTCAGTGGAAAGACTTCAAAGATGAAAAGGCTCCTTCAGTCCAAACTTGCTTTTCCGTCACTTCACAAACCTTATCATGAAATCAACATGTGATGTGAAAACTCCTGAAGGATTGAGCATCTACAGAGCTATCCAGGACGAGTTGGAGGGACGTTTGTGGCTCCTGTTTCGTGGAATACTTTGGAAAATGCATCTGGTGTCACATACTCCGAAACGCATGGACCATCGACGACCCTCGATATGTGCTGGAAAGGGGGCAAACGTTATAACAAGTGAATGTGGACTTGACACCAGCTATGGACTTGCCCATATCCAAGCTTCCTGTTCTACGAACCGAAGCAAAAGAATTCAAGGGATTCCCCAGAAGACTAGATTCTACGCCGTTCCTGCTGGGTTTGACGAGTGGCGCATCTCGTTTTCTATGGCCGGGAGAGAAATTCTGGCCACTTCCCATGACGGTTTTAAAGCAGGTTACAAATGAGATGACGCCGTCTGTAAATTTGGGATTGAGGGTCTCCTTAGTCCCATCGTAAAAATTTAAGACTGTTCTCTTGACCTAGTTGTTCACCAAAGATGTCCATGACTGGGAGGAGTTCCAATCTCAAACGATCATCGACGTTTTGGAGCTCATTCTGCAAGTAATAAAGCAGGAAAAGCTTCCAACTTTCTTCATGCCCAAGGATAAAAACATATCGAACAACATTGAAAGGGAGTGAAGGAGCCGGGAGACTTGAATATACTAGCTTATGTACATAAGTTGTTTGAACTGTCTTTGTCTGCAGTTGTAGATCAATTATAATTTTTTTAGAAACTGAGAACGTTTAAAGGCCTCTTTTGGAGGGTTACTTGAGTTACCATGTTGTCACGACACACTGCATTATGTACTAAGCTGAGCATACGTTTGTTTGTTTGTGGTGACTAGATTTTTGTTTTTGTTTTTGTTTTCTACTTGATTTAGGGAGGTGGATCCAGCAAATCTAGAAAGAGTTTAAAGGGTGTGTCAAAAAAGAGCATTTTTGCCTCCCCAGAATCAATACAGGGAAAGGTGAGTCGATCTACCGCAATGTAATAAGTCATGGCTTGATAATGATGTTAATGATGATATTGATAATATTAATGATAATATGTGTTCTGTCGTGCGTTGCGTTACTCCCGTGCGAGTTGGGCATGCCAGGGAGTTTTAGTTAAGTTTTGTCATATGCTCGAGGTGTAGACACATTTTTTGATTCACCTTGAAAATTTGCCAAATTAAATCACAGTTACGCTACTGGAGACGGCCTCATTTTCAAGAATCTCAACTTCTAATCAGGGACGAGACTTATGGACCAGAATGGTAACAGAAATAAAAATACTGCAACAAAATTGTTCATTCTGATGATGATAATTATGCTTATGATCATGATGATAGTAATAATAATGATAATGAACTGATAAGGATGATGATTAAAAGGAGACTGTTATCCAACTTTTAGTTTGTACACTTGGAACAATCTTGAAGAGTGTAAAGAACTGATGTGAGAAAAAAGCGAGGCGTACCGGATATTCTTAGTAATGCATAACTGCCTGCCATGCTAAGGAAACGCGGTTAATCCTCTGATTTAGAGGACAGTGCTATGACTTGTTATAAATATCCTGGCATTTCTAGAAGATGACTACAAGAACAACATGATGATTTATATGAGACGGGCAAAAACACTAACATAATTATTCTTGCCTTTCAGGGTTGGTGTTGGAACATGTAGAATCGGGGGACAACCCATGACGCAATTCACTCAACCAGGCAAACTTGTTTTACAAGAGATGATAATTCCGTCAGTGTCACGCTGTCACGAAACCAAGAAGAGTGACCTTGTACATGACGGTAAAAACTCTATCAAAACTGTACAGACACATTTTAAGTTTACACTCTTTATAGATGCACAATCAACCTTTAATTTTGTGGGTTATCGTGATCTATAAAAGTTTTCAAAAATAAAAGTAAGGTCAACAAAGATTAACTCTCCCAGCTAGCAAAGCTGCTGAGAGAAATATGAATCGTCGGATCATGTATGAACGTCACGGGGTGCATTCTCAACTGACATGACTCGAAATACTTGTAAACAACATTGTAACCCAAATGGAAAAGCACGACAGCCGATTTCAGAGTACATTGGTCAAAAGCGGAAGTGTTTACGAAGGAACGAAAGTTTGCGAGCCGAATGAATTTGACTTCATGGTAAAGATAACCCCTCTTACAGACAAACCATCAATCTTGCAGAGCTCCTGTGCGAAGGATGACGGATACGTGCAGTTATCTCTTCAGGAAGATTAGTGGAAAGACTTCAGAGATGAAAAGGGCTTCTTCAGCCCATACTTGCTTTCCCGTCACTTCAAAAAACTTATCATGGAATCAATCTCTGATGTGGAAACTCCTGAAGGATTGAGCATTTACAGAGCTCCCCAGGACGAGTCGGAGGGACGTTTGTGGCTCCTTTATCGTGGAATACTTTGTGACAGTGGCGAGGAAAATGCATCTGGTGTCACATACTCCGAAACGCATGGACCATCGACGACCCTCGATATTCATTGGAAAGGGGGCACAACTTATTACAACTTGAAAGTGAATGTGGACTTGACGCCAACTATCGACCTGCCCATATCCAGTCTTCCCGTTCAGCCCATAACTGATGTACGCCCCGAAGTACAGCCAAAAATTCAAGGAATTCTACAGAAGACTGGATTCCATGTCGTTCCTGCTGGGTTTGACGAGTGGCGCATCTCGTTTTCTAAGGCCGAGAAAGAAATTCTGGCCACTTCCCCTGACGGTTTTAAAGCATGTTACAAAGTCCTAAAAGTCTTACGAGATGACGTGTCTATGAATCTGGGATTGAGGACCTCCTTGTTACCATCGTACTTATTTAAGACTGTTCTCTTGTCCCAGTTGTTCACCAAAGATGTCCATGCCTGGGAGAAGGAGTTCCGATCTCAAATGATCATCGATGTTTTGGAGCTCGTTTTGCAAGCAATAAAGCAGGAAAAGCTTCCAAGTTTCTTCATTCCCTCATCTCTACTTCTATCCAAGGCACATGAGAACAGATTGCGGGAATGTCTAGTGGAAGACATGCTGAACGAAGTCAAGGGCTCCAAAATGGCCAACTCACTGATGGACGTTGAAGAGAAAAAACAACAGGTGAAGATTTTACAACTAATTGAGCTGTTGGAGTACATATTTTCGTGCCTTAAAGTTGGAAAGAATCCAACTAATGTTTGGAAAATGATGTTTGCCAACATCGACAGCGTACCTGGATCTCGCACCGCTTTAGAAAAATTTGACGTCAGTTGGATCGATATCATTGACGTGACCGTCACAGAACTTCGCCCAGCCGCCTACAGGAATTTAAAGAAGATATGGAACATTTTGGAAGCCTTTGTACCGCTTTTGCTTGCCTCTCCTCAAGGTGAGGAAAAACAACTGGCTCAAAAATACCAATTCTCCATCTCAGAGAAGAAGAAGAAATTCGAGGCCGAGCAGCCACACCTGTCTAAAGAGGAAGTTCGACCGGTAGGAGTTTGTGAACTTGTAAGCGACTGGATTTTTGTCCACGTCGTTAAAAAATACATAGATAACGACAATACGACTTTGTCAAGTACACACAAAATACTTCCTCCTGAATTCTGTCTGCCAGATGGCAGTCCTTTTCAAGCAATTGCAGACATAGCCTTGGACAAGGGCAGCAAAGAGGGACTGGCTATTTTCGAGAAAGTTCTCAACAAGTACTTATCAGGGATTCCCGAAATCTTTATAATGATGGCCACTGTTTATTTTATAAAGGAAACGTTTTTACATTCAAAGGAAGCGCTGAAACGTAAACTTGATCACATCACTATTCCAGAGCAAAAGCCTATCTCCTGTGTAGAGCTAGATTTGGACTAAGCTGTAGAAATTAAAATATCTCCTTGCTCGGCAAGGGAAAAGGTAGTCCAGAGGTAAATCTGAGTGTTCTGATTGGTTCTCACTTGGTCGGTAAGTTGGCATACGGGGCCGTTTCCACGGAAACGTTCATAAGCCGTGTACTGTCAGAAAACCAAACCTGCGGTTAGTCGGCCTACTACACTCTATAATTTGCACAATTTTATAATTTTTTAATCGTGATTGATTGGGGGAGCCGAAAACGCCCAAAAAAATGTAAAAAAAAATATCAAAAGCGTTATCCATAATTACCGCCCAAATACTCGCGAACAATTTTAAATGCTTTGTCTCACTACATCTGACATCAAGTTATTGTCGCTAGACTATACATACGCAAGTATTTTTTCCTACCAGCGTTAGGATGTAAATAGCCCAAAATTGACATTTTATGTGCAATTTTGTGTACAATATTGAATAATGATTCTACTGACAAATAAAATGCAGTTGGTTACCATAAAGAAAACGCTAAGATAGATGTTTGGAAAGTTGATGGTATTAATAGTGAGACCCCACAGAAATGCTGAACTGAGATTGAGGAGAAGCCTATTACTCAAATAGATGTACAGTAATAAATTTGGAAAGCTGAGGCAAGCACAATTGATTGATTGATTGATTAACTGACAGACTGATTGACTGTTTGATTGATTGATTGATTGATTGATGACTAATTGTTGACTGACTGACTCAGGCTGAGTGAGTGACTTACTGACCAACTGATTGATTGATTATTTGATTAAAGTATTATTTGTGTAAGAAAGTGAAAGAAGCCGTTGATTTTCACTGCAGTCATATAACTAGTAAAGTGTTTAACAAAATGAATCTGTGGATAAATATTTTTGCTG